ATCAGGGTATCGGCCAAGATTTTGAAAACTGCGAGTCCCATCCTCTAGTCCAGGTATCACAAGCTTGCACTGAGCTGGAGAGGCTCTTGTCTGGCCTTCGTGCCCCCGCATCTGCTGAGCATACTCCCTCAACATTTTCGTACACACCAGCAGTGCCACCGCGTTTACGCACAACGCAGCTTCTCATTGCACTTTCGTGCTACATACAGATTGTTTCAATCTATGGTATCATATTCTCAAAAGTTTTCGACTACCTTCTCAGCACCTCCAAGACATCAATGGGCTCATATCAATCTTCCCCATTGACTCTCTACATCGGAGGTCTGCCTATTCCTCCCAATGAAACATTATCTGGAAATCTGCTCGTTCATCTCATCGAGCACCAGCTACACCAAATTGAACAGCACATGGGCCTCCCTGAGCATTATAGAGTATCTTCTAGAGCTAAAGACAGTAAAGATGGAGAATTGGGGTTATTCGGGAGTCAGCACAGTCAGTCTCTGCTTAATGCCGCAATACAGCTGGGAGAAGATAGAGACGGAAATCATGACGACATAAGATGTGTCCGGGCATTAAAGGTAGTGATGCGCCAGATTAAAGATTTTTAGACACCTGTTTATAGAAGTTCTGGGGGGTTGTTCAAAAGATTGTTATAGATTCTAATGGAGTAAGACTTACAAGTCTAGAGATTCAGATGGCTCACGTGTTTGAACTGGTGATTGGTCCAACGAATTTTCTGGTTTTGCTGAGTCGTCGTGAATAATCATTGTGCTGTGCCCTTTTGTTCCGTGGGAGCGTAATCCTGGTTGCCCAGAACTTTTGTGGTGGTGGTGAGAGATGACTCGTGGTGTCAGCATTGTTTAGGGTTCGTCGGTGATCTCGGAGGAGCTGTTTCAGATTATTGAAGAGCAATAAGAAGTTCTTGGGGAAACGAACAGTAAAGATTCTTGTGGGAATATCGCAAAATGTCTCTCTAGACTGCCATAACATAATATATTTATACCATAGCCTCTTTTTCTGGACCTTAATCACGTTAACATCATCATCACGTCTCCATGTGATCCTCATCTCAGCCTCGAAATTCCGTCGGCGGGGAGTTTGGCTTTGGCGGTATTTTCGCCGAAAATCCGCTCGGAAATTAAGTCAGATGCTCCACTTGGCATTCAGGAACATGTGAGACGAACGGGATTAGCATATGGTAGCGGCATTCGAGTCTGCTAAACCCGCGGGCTTTAGAGGATATGCAGAGTAACCCGAACAGGGATTCGAGCATGTTCCTGTGACAAATTCGATCTGTCATAATACGTCACAGCACCCATTCCCGTAAGCACACATGCCGAACAAGGATGAAACAAAGCCCTCATAGAACATTATCAGATTCACGCTATGGGTGCATCTCGAAGGAATCCTTCGCCGGCAACAATCCGAGTTGATGAGACTTCAAATCCTTTGCTGACTTACCTGCCGTACTTCTCTTAGCTTTGGATCTGACTACAACCTGTGCTGGCCATACGTGAGCTGCCGCTTATCACCACCCGTGGAGCTGCAAGTATCTCTAAGGCACAGCAGAGACTCAGCTTCCCAAAACGGCCATGACCTGACTCTCAAAGCAAGGCATGGCAACACTTGTTTAGGAACACGACTTGCCTGTTTTATCAGATCTCTCATTTTGCCCACTAGCATCAGCCTTAGCGAGTCTTGGTGGGATAATTCCGCCCATGCAACCTAACTTTACGGGTATGCGCACGCCCCCCACTCCAAGGTCGATTCTGGAAATTCGAATAATATCACCATAATCCGTAGTCAATTCACTCACTCACGTTGTGAGTCCAATGGCGCCATACGGACCGAGTCTTCCGATGACGCATTTCGGCCGAAACGACAACAGGGTCGTCATGGCACAGTTACATCCCACGCTAATAAACCAGCAGGTTGAGCGGCATTGGGGGGGCTCAGCACTAAAAGATGACGGCAGCGCTGTCCCCGAATAAATGCCGGTACTGAAACGATCGCGATTTCGGAGGATTGGCACAAACCAACCTAACGTTTTTGCCAAGATGTCAGTAGCGGATGATCTGCCGTGCCAAGGTCCAGGTTCATTGCCAAGTATAATCATGACTATCAAGGTGCTGACTTGGCAAGACGCTTCAGAACTGATATCGATAACGCCGACGGCAGATTAGATCGCTGGATAATCCGAGGTCGCGGCCATAACTTAGGGTAATTGACGTCGTAGCGAATTGATGGACTGACCGCTTGTTAAGTTAAACTTTAAGCTAAAATTAATCGAGATATGTGTGAAGTCATGATTGGCCAGAAGCCGAGGCTCCGTAGGCACGTTTGAAGAGGTTACGATTGATAATTCGCAAGACATCAAGTCCAAGATTGGTGCCGTCCGCCTTGATTCAATTGCGATTGTTCCAGGTTTTATTCATCGTTCACTTGAATGGCTTGAATCTTGACTGGCAGTATTAGATCTACTACTTTTGTGCCGCGTATTTATACTTTTTACTGATCATATGATGCTACCCTAAGCTTGTATCAGGAATAGACTTAGCGGCGCTCGCTTGATGAAACTGAGTCCTGAAGTCGACAAGGTCTGGATAGCTTAGAGCCTCAATAGACTGGCTAACATAAAGTAGTATTGACAGTAAAAAAAGGCGCGGATGGTAAATGCCTATATTGTGAACCTTTAGCCAACTAGATCGAGGGGGTCACCAATCACCAGTGTTCTGAATCTAACTGAATCTTTTATCTATCGCCGTAATATTTCTGAATCATCGCCTCTAATATACACCTTCCAAGACACCTTTGGCGTTCAGGATGGACAGATGAGCCGGGGTAATATCACTAATCTTGCTGCACCCAGCAAGTCCCATGCACAGCTTGAACTCGTTGATCAGCAGGTCAAGAGCCAGTCCAACACCTTTGGAACCGTCATACTACAGCATTCGTTAGCTCTTGATACCACATTTAGGGGTTGGAGAACTTACAGCAAGACCCCAAATAGCGATTCTGCCGACAAAGACAAAGTCTGCACCGAGTGCAACGGCCTTGAAAATATCAGAGCCACGTCGAAATCCTCCATCGATAGCAATGCGCGTCTTGCCCTTGGCTATAGGTGCAATCTCACGAAGGATGTCGATTGTTGCAGGAGTAGTATCCAGCTGTCGACCTCCGTGGTTGGAGATGATGATACCATCAACACCCTGCTCAATGGCAATCTGGGCGTCTAGAGGGGATGTAACTGGATGTATTAGTCAGTATGGATGTTTATCACTCATAATAACCGTGCACTCACCTCCCTTGACCCAAATCTCAAGGTCAGTCTGGCTTCTCATCCATGCAATCTTCTCTTCCCAAGTAGCACCGGTATCTGGAACAAGTTAGTGAGGACAACTATGGCTACAAAATCAATCACATACCGAAAGAGAGGTCGGGAATTCCGCCACCCAACCCACCAGATCCTGACTGGGTCTGCGCACTCAGGTTAGGAAAGCTAAATCCTGGAGGGACGCTGAAGCCATTTCGAAGATCATCCAATCTCCTGCCAAACATGGGAGCATCCACAGTCAACACCACAGCTTTGTACCCGGCAGCTGGAGCAAATATCGTCAACAAGGATCTTTAGCGAACTGCAAGTACGGAAACTGACCTTTGGCACGGTTGAGAAGGTTGGTGGTGATCTGCCGATTCTTGAACGGGCTAACCTGAATGGCATAGGGCGTCGATCCATCAGAACTCTGTCCAGATACATCCTCAAGGGTATCGTTGGACAGAGCTGAAAGAATCATGGGTACGTGGCGTGCAGCACAAGCCTTTGAGGTTCCAACCTCTCCATCAGGATGAGCCAGACGATGCATTGCCGAGGGAGAGACACCAAGGGGCAAAGCTGCCTTGGTCCCCCAGAGGGTAGTAGTCATATCAATGTTTGAAACATTACGGAGAACGCGAGGACGAAGCAAGTATCGGTCAAACGCAGCCTCATTACTCGCGAGACTAAGTCCGCGTAAGTGTTTCAGGAACCGAAAACTTAAAGGTTTGAGTTTAACTTACGTGATGTTATCCATGGCCCCGCCATTGTAGTAGTCTGCAAGCATTAGTTGACGATGCCGAGATCGGAGGACTGGGTTTGTGCACACCTCTATACATCTGAGACATCTTGTCCGATGCGGCCTGCTTGAGGTCCTGGATAGAGAAGATCTGCGGCTTGGAGGATGTGGCGTCAGACATCTTGGCGGGTTGAATGGGCAAGTTGGTACGAGACATGAATCACGGTGTTTTCTCAATGAATTACTCAAGTAAGACTCAACTCGTCGTAATAGGTATTATTCCAGGTTTATATGATGAGTTTTATGAATGCAGCATCTAAATGAACTCAACATATGAGCATTCAGCGAAGACATCGTATGTTAAACTCGGTTGCATTACAGTAAATCTTCCGAAACTCTATCATGATCTACAGAGTCTCTCCGACGGAAGCCGGCTTAAGATAGACTTTCGGGGCCGTATTAGCCTCCGAAGACAACCTGCTTATGTGGGTCAAGTCATGCAATGTCGGACGTCCGATCTCACCCTGAGCCCGGATAAGTCGGGAGACTTCCGAAAGCTAATGCACAGGTCATGACACTAGTCGGAAAGTTATTTTTATCTTTTACATCTAATCAATCAGAGTTGATCTTTGCCGCACAAAAAAGGCTGTCTCATAATGCTGACTCTCAAACCCATGAAGAAATTTGAAGGATCGCGGCAACGGCTCCCGAACTAAAATGGTCAAGTGTTGACATATGACGATCTTGATGTTATCTGATAATGAATTCGTATTTGTCTTTCATAATATTATTATCTAATAGTAGATGTCGTTGAGTGATAGATACAAAATATTCACGAGCAGCAGGATGGATGAATCGACCTTCACCAGCATGCAATGAAAACATTTAATGAATGAGATACCAATTTAAAAAAGTCTCTTCTTTTATATAACTAACATAAAGCTAAACTCAATATCCCCATTGTTTCAACCAAGTGTCAAACCAAGCTGATGATACAGGCTCCATGCAAGCCAAGATAGAACTCTGCGCCAACGTGTTTGCCTTAGCCCATTCAAGACCCCGAGATGCGGCCTCTGATCCCTCTTTCCCAGAGGATAGCATCTCGAAGAAAGCCAACAACTTGAGACCACTTTGTGCTCTCCTAGCAGTCTCGGATGATCCTTCACTGACCTTCTTCACGATGGCCTTCTCAGCTCCTCGCAAACGGCTGATCCATTCTTGTAGCGGCACGATCTCAAAGGTCTCTGAGAAAGAAGCCTCTAGATGAGCTTTGAGACCAGGTAAAGTGTCTATCCAGCTGGGTGTTCGGGGATTGAGCAGGTTGTAGTAATTCTCTTGTCCTACGACTGGGTTCACGGGGACGACGAGCTGTCCAATGACTTCTGTTAAGAGATCAATCGGGATCCAGTCCAAAATGCTTGCAGACCCAAGGTCTAATGGTAGAGCTCGCAGATGAGCTGAAGCATCAATAATCTGGAAAGAGTTGTTAGTTAGACAGTAAATGATGCACAGCGATTGAGAACTTACAGCTGGAACCCAATCTCGTCGAGTCCAAACGCTACCCTCGCCGAGCGTTTTGACCGGACCAGCCACTTGTCCAACTCGTAGAACCGAAAGACTCAAAACACCAGATCTCGCAGCCTTGCTAAGCAGGTGCTCAGCTACAAGCTTAGATGATCCATACCCATTGATCGGGGCGTCAAATCTGGGAATGCTTGCTTCTGGTACAGGGCCCAAAAGGTCGGACGGCCAGTTCATGGCAGCGCTGATAGATGAGACAAAGAAGAAGCGGATCTTGTGACGAGCCTCTCGGCAGACATCGACGAGACTCTTGAGGCCGATGAACTGAGGCTCGAAGGAGGAGAGGGGAAGGTTGAAGTTGACCTCCCAAGCGTTATCTAGAGTAAAGGTCAGCTTCAAGTGAATGTTTGTATGAGGATCCGGACTTACGTATAATGGCGGTGGCTTCATTCTTGATCTCTTCAAGGTCAGCCTGACTCAAGCCGAGGTTTTCTGACGCGACATCGTAGCGAACAAACTTGGCCTTGCTTTGCCAGTTAGATGAAAGGCCTTTGGACTTGGCCGAGTCCACTTGACGCTGGAAGGCATCGGCGCTGCGGTTCAAGCACCAAACCTTGACAACCTTGTCGTTGTTGGAAAGGACATCAAGTAGATACGAGCCAATCTCTCCAGTTGTACCCGTGAGAACAATGTGCTCTTTCGCCTCGCGAGGTGGTTCGAAAGCCTGAGAGTATTTGGCAAGCATGCCCCGAGTGAGTTCGCTGTGATGGATCTTGTTCTGAGGCCCATGTTCAAGCTGAGACCAAACAGAATGGGCGAGCTGAGAAATGGTTGGGTTTGTATATATAGTGCCCGCTTCTACCTCGAGAGGCTGTTCAAAGGCAGAACTAAGAAGCCCAGCTAGTCGGATGACATGAAGTGAGTCGAAGCCCCTGGTGAAGATGTTGTCATCATCCTTGAGATCAACCAAGCCAGACACGGTCTCAATTGCCTCCCGGATCCCGGAGCGCACAACATCCTCAGTTGCCCCGTTGATGTGAACAGAGGGCTTACCGTGGGTAGACCTATCGTAGATAGCGTTTATGTCGGCAGTGAATGCTTTCTCTGTCTCATTGCGAGCGAGGGTTCCCTTTGGAGTGCGAGGAAAGGGGGTTCGAACAATCTTGACAAAGTCACGATGAATCTGGGCAAATGCTGGCAGGGACTTGTTCACTTCCTCAAAAGTTGGCCAGACGTTGTCAATGATGATGTCGTCTGACTTGTCGAGGCTCTTCTCGTCAGGATAAAGGAGGGCAGCAGTTTGGAAACGGCCACGGCCAGTGAGGTAAGCGGCAGCAATCCATGGATGGCTGATAAGCTTTCCTTCAGCAGCAAGAGGATTGAACTTCTCTCCGTTGGAGAGAATGATCAGATCATCACGTCGCATCTCATACTTCCAGAGATCAGGATGCTTCGGGTGTTGTGAGTACAAGTCTTTCGTCTCCCAGATATCAAGCTCAGGGAACGTCTTGAAGACAGGCTGGGTTGCAGAAAGCTTGGGGTTCTGAACAAACACCAACTCAGACAGGTCTTCAGAGTAAGGGCGCATTTCGACACCTGTTCGTGGATGGAAGTAGTAGTAAGCCCACTCAGCAGGGTGAGTGACAACAGATGCAAGCCACTGGCCCTCAGTCATACCCATGGTCTGCATGATCGGTACGCGTGGGTGAATCAAGTCGCCGACTGACTGAGGAATAGGACCTCCGGCTGACGTGATGAACTTGAGTTTTGAGAGCTTCTCAAGTACACGAGGCGATTTGGAGATGTCTTGAAGAACGCTAGGCGATATGAAGGCTGAGTCAAGTGAGATATGATCCAGAGCATCCTCTATAACGTGTTGCATGATTGGTCCGACAGAGGGTAGGACAACGGTCCAGTTGAAGAAGACGGCTGAGTATAGACCAAGGCAGATTCCGGCAACCTAGCAAGCACATGATCAGCTATTATTCCCGTAAACAGAAGGACGACACATACGTGAAAAAGAGGCATAGCACACAGCTGCCTAGTGCCAGTCCACTCAACACCAGTCGGCCTCTTTCCATTCGTAGGCTCCATCAAGTGGAATCCATCGACAGTAGCAGCAGTCTCAAGATACACTGGCACTAGTTTGGGAAGCCCGGTGGAACCTGAAGTGTGAAGTAGTGCGAGAATGTCGGACTTTCCCTCGTTCCATGTTTTCTGGTAGACATAGGGCTTGACAGGTGTTGGATCAAGCAGTTGAGATAGCTCGGGCGCTTCAACACTGGGGATCTGGAGATCTTGCAGGAACTCATGATGGTCTAAGCCGGATGAAGCGATCCAGAATTCACAACCAGACTGTTTGATCAATGAGACATGTCCTTCGACACTGTTGCGTGGTGATGAGAGTAAAAGCTAGACCAGTTAGAGACTCTGCATCTACAGTATCACGTTGATCAATGGGGTCTTACTCTATGTCCTAGCTTAGTGGAAGCAATCATCATGATAAAGTATCTCAGGTCATCTAAAGCCCATTAGCAGCTGCCCTCCGTAGAAGAACTGAGTCAACTTACTTTGACCAATGTACGCAATAGTTTTAGAGCTCGACGGCGATCCAAGCTGAGAGTCAAGCCATCCGCAGAGCCGGTTGATGGAGTTGGCAAAGAACTTAGTTGTGACTTCATCATATCCTTGCGAAGGTTGGCCGTTGCGCGGAGTGTAGAACAGCACACGGTCAGGCTCGTCCCGTGCAATCTCGTCGATTACAACGGGAAGCAACCTATGTCCGTACGCAGGCAAATGGGAGATCGAACCCATGGCGTTGACAGGATACCTTACAAGAGAGGAGAGAGAGGATATCGCTCGTTTTGCTATCTTCTGCATAAAGAAATTGCACTGAAAATAAGAGCGAAGCGTTGACAATGCAGGGTCCAGCTTCAACACAATACTAATCGAACTAGAAACATGGCTTGGGCCTTATCTTACTTGTACGGCCGCCTTTCTCTAAGTGTTGCAATGTTACTGAATACTACGCTTGAGCTGAAACTCGGACCTCGTTAGCAAACCGAGGTTGTTGATATGCAGGTTACTTAACAAGCAACCGAACGGAACCTTTTCTCGGTCACATTCCACGACTCTCCAATGAATTCAATCCATCGTATTCAAGCTTCGAATCAACATAGACGATGTGATTGCGACGCTGAATGCGATTGGTCGTCGGAAGCTTTTGCGGGGACCGGACCGGAGCTGACGTGCATGCATTTCCATGGGGAAGTGTCCGATTGCTCCACTCGGCGTTCGGCAACGGAGCCGGACTGAAGATCACGACCGATCTCGCGAGTCTCACTCACAATTTGGGACCGTTCAACTATCTAAAATCATATTAATAGAGGTGGTTTAAACAAGTATCTAAGCTCGAACTCCTTCTAATCAAGAAAACAGTAGCAGGCTTTCCTTTTCTTTTTCCTTGACCTTTACCATTCTTCGACAAAAGTGATTCATAATGGCGGAACAAGTCTTTCAGAACTTTGAGACCCTTCAGCTCCATGCTGGGTATGACTGCCGCGAATGCCGTCTTGTCAAAAGCTGACCTCTTGCAGTTACACACCGGATCCTCACACGAGATCCACTGCTGTTCCCATCTATGCGACATCTGTTAGTCTAGCCCAGATCACTCTAACTAAGAGACTTACCATCTAATCTCTTCCCAGAGCTACACCTTCAATGACTCCGCTCATGGCGCCCGTCTTTTCGGCCTCAAGGAGCTCGGCAACATCTACAGTCGTCTTATGAACGTAAGCAACACCGAATAGCACTCAAGTTCAGAAACTGACGTCACCTTTCAGCCTACTGTTGATGTCTTCGAGAAGCGAATTGCTGCCCTAGAGGGCGGTATTGCCGCTGCTGCCACTTCCTCAGGTCAAGCTGCTCAGTTCTTGACCATCGCCACTCTCGCCAAGGCTGGTGATAACATCGTTGCCAGCTCGCATTTGTACGGTGGCACATACAACCAGCTCAACGTGTTGCTTCCCCGATTTGGCATCAAGACCAAGTTCGTGCGAAGCGGGAAGCTAGAGGATTATGCCGCTGCCATCGATGACCAGACCCGTGCCATCTATGTCGAGAGCATGAGTAACCCCGATTACGTTGTGCCTGACTTTGAAGGTATTGCAAAGATCGCTCATGAGCACGGTATCCCCCTTGTTGTAAGTTGATCGTACCGATTTCGTTGGACAGAGCTGACTGGGACCAAGGTCGACAACACTCTCGGTGCAGGTGGCTACTATATCCGTCCCATTGAGCATGGCGCCGACATCGTTGTCCACTCTGCCACCAAGTGGATCGGCGGTCACGGTACTACCATCGGTGGAGTGATTGTCGACAGTGGCCGCTTCGACTGGAACAAGCACTCAGACCGATTCCCCGAGATGGTTGAGCCATCACCTTCTTATCACGGCCTCAAGTACTGGGAGGCTTTCGGCCCTGCCACTTTCATCACTCGAATTCGCGTTGAGATGCTTCGAGACATTGGTGCTTGTCTCAGCCCCTTCTCCGCACAGCAGCTTCTTCTGGGTATCGAGACTCTCGGCCTCCGAGCTGAACGCCATGCCCAAAACACAGAGAAGTTGGCCAAGTACTTTGAGTCCAGCCCCAATGTGAGCTGGGTCCTCTGGCCAGGCTCCGAGTCTCACCCAACATACGCCCAGGCCAAGAAGTATCTCACACGAGGATTCGGCGCTATGCTGAGCATCGGAGTCAAGGGTGATGCATCAGCTGGAAGTAAGGTCGTCGATGGTCTCAAGCTCGTGTCTAACCTGGCCAACGTGGGAGACGCTAAGAGTCTTGCTATTCACCCTTGGTCAACTACACATGAGCAGTTGTCTGAGGATGAGAGGCTGGCTTCTGGTGTGACGGAGGATATGATTCGTATCTCTGTCGGTATTGAGCATGTCGATGATATCATTGCCGATTTCGAGCAGTCTTTCCAAAAGGCTTATGGATCTTAGGTGTTGAGGTAATCTCAAGGACCTTGCGGTCAGCTAGATAGAATGTTGGCGGGAAAAGTTGCGAAATATATAGAAATATACATTCCAATACGATTACTGGTTTTTGAGAGCAATTTGTACATTCAACCATGCCCGGTTCAATCTAAATGATGTCATGTAAGCTCTCCTGTAGTTAAATCCCAACCTTGAGCGTTTATTTGGGGTGTGATTGGTGCTCTTATCGGCCAAGTAAGGGCCCGTGGCTACGTTTGGGTGAAAAGATACGAGACCGCAGATAGTAAGAGAGAACCTTCCGTACAATAGTGTCTCTATGTCTTGGTATGAGCTGCATGGGAGTGCCGAGGATGAGTGCAGTTCTTGGCGGATATGGTCGCAGACTGCCGGAACTTCGGAATCTTAAAGAGTTTGATAGCATTAGATCCCATTCACTGTTGAGCTCGTGCCAAAATGGATGTTCTCCAAAAATAAACAGCAATATAACAGCTATGAGAGCCCTCAAAGGTCAATCATCATTTGTCTCGGAATCGTTCCCAGTATCGTAAACACTCTATCTATAATTATTCCAAAGGTTTTACTAGTCCCTCATCACAATGAGAAAAAGACTGAGCAAGAGGTGAGATCCAGATTTACAACGGGATGGGCACCCTGGAGAGCTCACAGAACAGCCACGCATCCAACGGTAGTGTCCATTACTCTAGGCTTAGTGAGTGTCTGTTTTTGCAAACCAAGCGGCTACATTCAGGAACACAGATCTTACGCAACGGGACTTTGGCTCGATGGATCCGAGGACCGAACGTGGAGTGCGTACGGAGGACGGAGCTCCACTGTAAACTTCGGCTGCCGAAGGCACAAAACAGGCCCGATGATCCTGACAGGAGTTGAATCCTGACCAATCGGAAGACGAAACTCGAGAATACCCACTACCGGCTGCACGTCAACCCACTGAAGCATAAGCTTCCGTTTTTCTACAACATCACAGGAGAAATAGCACTAAAGCTTTGCTTCACATTACGACTGGTCCAATGCGAAAACTAAATTCTTCCGGCATGGACTGCAGCGAGGGAATTTCTAAGTTTGGGGGTTTTCGGTCGCTATACGGATGTCGGGTCATGGTTTCGGACGGCCTGAAAGGCTCCGAGATGGCCGCTGCAGTGCATCCTCCACTAAGCCTGTCAGAGACAATGCACCCCAGATTTACAGAGTCGCGACGACAAATGAGCCTTATAACAGAGGCACGATAAGAAGATCTAGAGTGATTATCGCAACAGTTCCTGGAGATAATCAAGCATTAACAGCAATATTGTAATTTCGCTCTTCTTTCTTTCTGTATTTTCACAAACACAACCATGGGTGGTGAAGTCTCAAACAAGACCTGGGTCTTCAAACAGTCGCCCTCAGGCCTACCAGAGCCCGGCGTCCATACCACTTTCGAAGACCGACCCCTGAGCCTGGTCGCACCACCCGGCGGGCTCGTCATCAAGCTTCTCACAGCTGGCCTCGATCCTCATCAAAGAGATCGCATGCGAGGAGCTGGCAACGTCGACTACGTCCCTGGCTATGAAGTCAACGAGCCCATCACCAATTTCTCAATCGCCAAGGTCATCCGCTCAGACAACGAGGCTTTTGAGGAAGGCAGCTTGATTGCTGGTAGTCTTCCTATTGCCGAGTATGGAATAATCCCCAAAGAGCTCATTGATGCTAGAGCAATGGCGTCGCCTCTTGTTTGGAAGGTTTCCAACGATTACAACCTTGATGTCAAGCACTACGTCGGTACCCTTGGCCTGGCAGGCATGACTGCTTGGAACTCCTTCTACGGTCTCGTCAAGCCTGTCAAGGGTGAGACCATCTGGGTCAACGCTGCATCAAGCTCTGTTGGTGAGGTTGTCGTTCAACTGGCCAAGATTGAGGGCATGAAGGTCATTGCCAGTGTCAGCTCTGACGACAAGCTTGACTACGTGGTCAATGAGCTTGGTGCAGATGTCGGCTTCAACTACAGAAAGGAGCCTGTTGGCAAAGCACTCAAGCGTCTTGCGCCAGATGGACTAGACGTTGTCTTTGAGAACGTCGGCGGCGATCATTTCCAAGCCGCCATCGAAAACATGAAGTGGTTCGGTCGCATCATCAGCTGTGGAACAGTAAGTCTCTCCTCCACTCACCCATTTGCCTCTCTCACACTCTCTAGGCTTCTCAGTACAACAAGCCAGTTGAGGAACAATACGGCGTCACCAACTTGTCGGAGATCTTCCGCCGACGTATCAAGATCCAAGGCTTCATTTTCTGGGATGACAACATTTACACAGACAACATTGAGAACTTTAAGGCTATTATGCCAAAGTGGGTTTCGGAGGGAAAGATCAAATCGCGATATACTCAGTTTGAAGGAATTGAACAGGCTGACAAGGCTTTTTTGTCGATGTTCACTGGTGGAAGCCATGGTAAGACGGTGCTCAAGATTAGCGACCCCTAGGTGAGACGCGAGTACGACTGTGATGAAGGAATGTGATAGTAGTAGTCAACATGGATGTCTATTTATAAACAAAAAGTAATATGTCTTTATGTCCAAGTTCAAGCCACGTCTCGTACGTGACTTGTCATCTTGTTAATCGCTGCTCATTCCCAAGGGTGTATGTTCATCTTAACCCCGTTCCCATCTCGATATTTATCCAACGCCTTGTTCACAGCATTCGCGTCCAAGCCCTTAATAACCTCAAAGCTACTCTGATGCAGTTTTCCCTCTTTATACCAACGAGGAACCTCTTCCCAGAATCCCATCGTCACCTCTGGATGGATGGGAGACACGCCAAACACAAGTCGCCGCTCGTATCCAGCAGACTTGGGCCCTACCCGAGCAGCATCAAAGTCTCCGTCGGGTCGACGAAGAGTGATCAAGGTGCCCTTTTTCTTGTTTGACAGCGCTGCGACACCGAGCTCTTGATCCAAGCCCGGATTGACCGTGTCAACAGCATAGATTAGCTCATCTCCAGTGATGTCGCGAATCTGGTCCAGCACATCAGGGACTCTTCGGTCGATAACGTGGGTAGCTCCGATAGCCTTGAGGTTTGCTTCATTCTGTTTCCCAGCGACCGCGATGATTTGACCTATTCCCACCAACTTGGCAAGCTCAACGACGGCCCGTCCCGTGTTGGAGCCGCCTCCAATGACGAGAAGGGTGACGCTGGAATAGTCAAAGGACTTTGCCTCGGGTGAGAAGGGAGGGGGCAGACCATGGCCGGAGGGGGCAAACAGGGCAACAAAAGCGGCCAAAACGATGACTGGAATCGTGGATGCCTCGTCGTCGCTCAGTCCACAGTCGGCTATTCTGCCTACGAACCTCGCATCAACAAGAGCATATTGCTGCGCAGCATTAAAGTCATTGTTGAAGCCCCCTTCGGCAAAGGTGTGACCAAACACATGCTCGCCAAGTGTAAACTTGGCAGAATGGTCTCCGGTTCCGACAGTCACTACTTCTCCGACCAGGTCGTTAGCAATGACATATGGCATGCTGGTGATAAAGAGGCCATCGTCGCGGGTTCTCTGGTCGTGGGGGTTTACTAAACATTATTCAGCTGCAGTTCTCGTCGGTATGGTAAACATAGTATCAAAACTTACGGCCGGCGACAAGGACTTTGACCAGTAGCTGATTCTCACCAGGCTCTGGGATTGTCCGGTGCCCCACGATCAATGGCTTACCCACCTCCTCAAGTAAAAGAGCTTTTTGAGACATTGTTATTTCTGTATTTAGATTTGTTGAATGCAACTGAGGATAAAAACAAAGGAAAAGTGTGAATTTATATAAGAATAACATTGCTGGTATGTCACTAATGGTTTACTATGTCATGTCTCTATGACTTAAAAGCTTATTAAGATTCATCGTATTATTAATTTTTATACCAGCTAACAGCTAATAGATGTTACAGAAAGGTTTTGATGGCCTGTTCCATCAAAGACGTGGATGCCATATCCGTATATCCAGGCCACGTTTACTTTCAACCTTGATTGGTAAGCGTGTGATATCAAAATAGATTCAACTTGCACTCGCCTTTGTAAGCAGCCGGGGAAATCACGCAGATGTTCACTAATCATATATTTCATATTATGAGCGTTCTCATTTGGTTCTTTAATGTATATCGGCTTGTGACAAATATCATCCGATAGCGAAAGGTACATAGTAAACCACATAATCTGCGCCCAGGACCAGCAGAGAAACATCCAGTGACGTTGACTGTGCTAACAAGCTCATAGTAATCTAATTCCACGTTTTGCGACTAAACACATACTTACCAACAGCGAACTTGGCAGAATGCTTTCTGGTTCATGGCTGTCTTGAGCTTAACAGCTTTTGAGTAAGCATGGTTTAGCGGTGTATACTGCAAAGTGGGAGAGCGGCCGCTTAAATACTTTGAACTACACTTAGGACTTTCACTTAGGAGCACCGATGTTTTATAGGATGCTTGATCCCTCTGAGAACTTTTCAGCCGTTGGAATTATTAGCCCATGCCGATCTAGGACCGCCAGTTATCAAGCCGGGGTAAATAATTTCCAGCTACTACGGAGTAGACCACTTCGTGTTTAAACTTTTAAATCTTAAAGTGACAATCATCTCCGAGTTCTAAATTTCATTAGTATAGCTTGGTCTCACTTTCCCCAATTATTTAGGAGAAAATTACCTATTTTATATATACCCGTCGGCTCGAGCAAGCTTAGTTGGGCACAAAACCGTGATACAGTCACAAACGTCTGATACAGCTGAGACCACCATATACTAATGACGTTCTCTACAGACAAACATTTCAACTCGAGTTGAAAGGTGTTGCCAAAGGCATGTCGATCAGTAGACGGAATAACAGTTTAGTTCACTGATGTATCAAACTCGTGACCCTTGAGCACTCCCTATGCGTTATGTTTCATAAAACGAGTTACTTGTACATTTAAGCTTTTGCTTCATGAGTAGATGCAAATAGCTTATCGACTACATGGTCCAGACACGAGACCATGGTGCCATCTGACAACCTCACTTAACCCAGCCTGGCTTTAGGCTGCGCCTCCTTGACCTTCCATTGATCTTTACTATTACACGACAGCTGACATGTTGTGGCGTAAGAGTCATAGTAGCTTCGCCTTTAAAACGATTATCCACGCTTGTAGACTAGCGATAAGCCGTGGCGGAAATAAATCTCTTATCTTACTGCTGATTTTAGAGTGGTTGTAGTTATTTCTGGTTGGTCTCTGAGGTTTTAGCCTCCTGGCGGCTTTACTAACTTCAAGCCTGCATTTCCCCAGAGCAGTGGCTTAGGCTAAGAACTGTCAATTTGTGCAGGTCTTATTTTATGGCTTAACTCTATTATAGACAGAGTTTTACTTGTTGACGTTCCCAGGGGGTTGGTTAATGGATACATATTTCAGGGGCATTCCCACTTTGTCACTGGTAATCTTTCAGTCATAAAGCGGCGATTTCCTTACAGTCTTATTATCACTTACTTTTTCCTGGGGATTACTACCCCGTTCTCATTATCGATATATCTTTGAAATGAAGGAGGAGGATAGCCGAGCACCACTCATATTGGGTGTCGTTTTAACCTTACTGTTGCTGACTTTCAGTGTTGTACTTCTACGTGTATACACTCGAGCTATACTGCTGAAGCAACTAGGTGCCGACGATATCTGGGCTATGCTGTCTTTTGTAAGTCTCAGCTCCAACAACATGGGCCAGGGGGGGGGCCAAGGGCTAAATGTTAAAATAACAGGCTTCAATTGCTGCATGTGCATTCAGCATACTGCTAGGTAAAAACAAATTCCGTTTCAATATGGTTGAGGAACTAAATCGTCTCTAGGCCTTAAATATGGACTTGGTAGACATGAGGTATTCTTAACAGAAGAGGAATCCAAGAACTATTTCAAGGTTTGCTTCTTGGACGTTTTACTGCTTAAGCTGATTGCTAATAACGCCGAAAGCTGTTTTATGTTAGCATCATTCTATACCTTATATCCCTGGGCGCAATTAAAACAACGCTCCTTTGTCAATACTATCGCGCATTTGCCATAAACAAGATAAAGACGGTTCTCTTGGTCACAATCGTTTTTGTTTCAGCCTGGAGCATTTCTCAGATTTTCCTTAATATCTTTGTTTGCACCCCCATAGCTGCTTTCTGGGATAGAGCTGTCCAAGGCAAATGCATTCCGAGAAACCCAACGTGGTACATCACTGCAGCTGGAAATATCGCGACCGACATCATGATTATAGTAATTCCCTTTCCAGTGGTGATGAAACTGAATCTTGCTCGTCGGCAGCGCTTTGTCCTGCTTGGGGTTTTCTGCGTTGGCTTTCTGTAAGTTCTACTCGAGACAGTCTTCATCTTGACCCGTTACTAATCGCATATATAGTACTTGTGCTATCTCGATAATCCGTATGGGTTATCTTGATATCCAAGAAGACCTTACCTGGGTAAACGTCGAGCCAGCGTGTTGGTCGTTCACTGAACTTTGTTGCGGGCTGCTATGCGCTTGCGTCCCAACACTGCGACCTTTCGTTTCACGGTATCTTCCGTCAATGTCCAGCTACAATCGCTCGAGAAAGTCATATGCTGCCAATCAGCTACCTGAGCAGAGCACTTCCACTCGTTACCACGATATCGAACTTCAAAACAGACGCCATATACAGGACGATTTGCTTCAAGACGATAGCCAGTCTACTAGGATACTATGCGTGTCCGAATTCACAGTGACAGAGACAAGGGAATTGGCGGACTCGAAGCACAGGGAGAGGGAAGAAGATGACGAGGTTTTATTGGTATCTCATGTGTTTGCCGACCCTCGTCCAATCGAGAAAGCGAGGACCAGGCCAGGCAAGTCACTAGCTACAGATTAGATATACGCAGCGTCAGAGAGGGCTATTTGAGCTTGCCACAAATTACACTTTTGAGATACTACATATTGATAAAGATGTATGGTAATATACCTACTCCAACTCTTCCCATGTTACAGGGCCGCTCTCTGCATGATATCCGGTAAACTCTCATGCAAAAACCCAATTAACAGCCAATTCAACTGACTCCATTCAATCAAGAATGCATCATGCCCATCATCACTAACTATCTCCCTCAACTTGGCATTTGGCACAGCTCTTGCAATCTGCTCTTGTTCAGCAAGCGTATACAGCCCATCGCTCCGAATGCCCAATACCAGCGTAGGTTGCTCAATGAGTGACAACGCTTCACTAACAGTCCGTGTTCGACCGCGGGCCAAATCATGGGTGTCGAGTTTGTTGGTGAGGGCGATGTAACAGTTGCTGTCGAAGCGGTCGGAAAACTTCTTCGCTTGGTAGCGGAGGTAGGATTGTGCGGCGAAGTTGGAGTCGGCGCGGTCGAAGGCTACAGGGGTTTCGTCTGCCCCTCCTTGGCTGTGAACAAGTGTCCCGCTGCTTGGTAATGTCTTGCTATCTTGATTCTGTGTCTGGAGTTTGTTGTTAGACTCAACCTTCTCACAGGATTCCGGGTGCTTACCTTTTTCTTGTTCCCTGTATCACGCCCAAACCTCCTCTCTAGGGAATCTCGACTTCGATACGTCAATAGTGCCGTCATACGAGCTGCTTCTAGACCAAGAATAGGAGGATCGTCGAACCCGTAACGGCCATTCTTGTACTTGACATCACTTCGGATGGCATGGCGCTGTGCTTCTCCCCAACCAATTGCCCATGCACTCTGATGACTGGATGTTGCAGCTGGTACAATGCATCGAACATAGTCTTTTCCAAGGAAGGCCCATTCAAGAACATGCATGCCGCCCATAGAACCCCCAATCACAGCTGCGACTTTACGAACCCCAAGCTTGTCTAGAACCAACTTATGAAGTCTGTAATACTTAGCCAGGTGATCATGACATGTTAGTACAAGTATTGCTTACCGAACATCGTCTCGGATAGTTGTTGATGGGAAGTCAGCTCCGTACCATCCCTCAGAGTAGTCCCCGTTCTTGGCTGTCACAGGACTGGCAGTTCCATATGGACTTCCCAGGCTGTTCATACAGATGACGAAGAACTTGTCTGTATCGAATGCCTTTCCAGGTCCAAGGAGCGGACCCCACCAGTCGCTGACATCTGCACTTCCGGACAACGCATGGCAAATGATCATGACATTGTTGGCCTTTGGTGATAGCTTGCCCCAGCTCATGTATGCAACAGGAACATTTCGCATCTCAACACCGGATTCGAGTGTAAAGTTGGGGATCGTGATGATTTCTCGTCCGGGGACACGGTTCGAGAAAGGATTGACTGTTCTGGGAACACTCTTCTCTACAGTGAATTAGTTCAAGTACATAGAAACATATTGAAGCGGAGGTCTTACCATATGGAACACTCTTCCCAAAGCCATCATGAATGGGCGTTGGCAACGCCGGTGCCGTGGTCGTTGTTGTCATCCTTCGTCTCGGTGCCAGGAAGGAATTGCCAGTAGTGCTAAGCGAAAGACTCTGGGAACGAGATAGAATATGTCTGTGAAGCGCTCTCAAAGCCTGGCGCTGGATCATGGGATATTATTGCTTAGTCAGATGATAAAGAGCGATATCATCAAGAGCCGAAAGTTGAAGAGAGCATAACACAGCAGCATCGTCAGGGTATCTTTGTGAATTTGTCAATTTTTCATGTCAAAGTCGTAATCTAATCTCGTCTCAGTAGAACAGTAGCCCCCATGTCAGTAATTACCCGTGTTATTCTCGAACCTCCGAAGTGGCCAACACAACCTCCGATCCTTCGATCCACTTCTTCAAAGCTTCCGTACGTCTTCCGATCGACAGAACAAGCTTCTGGCAGCCTCTGAGTGGCTCAATAAAAGACTCATCCTTGTATTTGTGGTTCCGGTAGTCCCTTTTGTATCAAGCTTATCAATGCGGTTGCCTTCCAGATCTTGACAAGGCGATCCGAGTGGTTCGGATGGTAAGCATCACATACCGCTAGCTCGGTCGTGAAACAGCGTGGAACAACCTTCACGAAGAACAAACCGACTTCCACCGTTGATGATACAGTTTACTAAGTACAAAGAAGACCGGACGAAAGGAAGAGAAGCTTAATAAAAAGGTTGCCTTGACGGAAATCTAAAACATTCTCAATTACAGTAACTCACCAAATTGCATCTCTTTTCACAAATTCGACTCAAGCATTGATTGATCGCTCAGGCTTCAACTCTGAGAATCTTTTAAACTTTAATCCAATTCTATTTCCAAAACTTCAATTAGATACGATCAAGATGAGGTTTCTTTGTCTTCACGGCTACGCCTTCAGCGTAGAGGTTCTCCAACAACAGATGGAGCCCATCACTGCTCATCTGCCAAGTGACTGGGAGTACGAATTTCTCGAGGCTGGCATGGAACCCACAGAATTGATGCTCCGTAAGTGCCACCATAGTCATCTCCATTGTATCCGATGATCTAACAAAACCAGCAAACCTCAAGCAAGTCCCCAAGCCCAACTACAGCTGGTACAACTTCCCCTATCCCGAAGACGTCGAAGAGGCATATGAGCGTCTAGCCGCCTACGTTGAGTCCGAGGGTCCCTTCGATGGCGTTTGGGGCTTCTCCCAAGGCGGTTCGATGGCTGCCCTTCTTCTTCTCATGCACCAAGCTGAGCACCCCGATACACCATACCCGTTCAAGATGGCCATCTTTACATCAGCCTTTCTCCCCCACTCTTTTGACAATGGCGTGATCAGCTGGGATCTCACAGAGAAGAACACCCTTGAGCCAACATACCTCCCCGGACGAATCGACGTCACTCACGGAAAGAAGCTGGACTGGAAGAAGGATCTTCACACTTCGATTGAGTATGACATGATCAACGCTGTCAAGGATGAGCTTGACTTCCCTGTTGATCTTCTCCTTCGATGGAGGCCGAGTGATATCCCCGAGAAGATCCCAGTACCTTCTGTCCATGTTCGCGGCTTGAAGGACCATTATTCCTTCGTTGATGAGTCTGTGTACGAGTTGTTTGATCCTGAGATGGCGAGGAAGATGACACATCGGGGAGGACACAACTTCCCCAGGTATAACGAGGAGTTGGTCCATTTTGCAGAGTTGATCATTGAGACGGTTGTTTCACTTCACTGAAGGGCTATGGTTGTTTTTCTTATGTTGATGCTGCTGGATGGCTGATTGCAAATGAAAAGTTTCAGAATTGTTATGGGATATGATAGATTGTTTCTTTGACTTAGACTTCAGACAATAGATTGAGATTGTGTCTTTACATGCTTCACCTATATCTTGCCAGTATTTCTCGTCCAACTTTTAGATTAAGCATTCCAAGATAGGAGTCCTAAGACTCGGATACTTGCGTTATATTATTCTCCTTGAGCCTGGGAGCTGTTCCAAGTTCAGTGGTATACACTAATAGTTTTTCCTGGATATGACGTAGCTCTAATGGTAGTATAAGTTTAGTCTAATCTTAGAAAGGTTTGCAATTAGTACACCTAGTTACAATCAGTTATAGACGTGACACGCGATACTGTTGGTGGCAAAAGAATCTCAAATGTTGAGACTACTGCTTATAATATTACCAGCCCTTAGGGAGCAAGAAAGCCTTTGACCTATATCTTAAGTAACAAAAGAATTTAGATAAATTTAGTGTAGACTTAGTAAGATTTTGGGCTCTTATTTTTATCACTTAGAATAGAGGTCTGAGGTTTTCTTGCCTCCCTTAGCTAACCCCCTCTTTAATGCAAGCGCGAATCCTTTTAACATGTAGTAGTTGTTCTGCCCTGTTGAACTTGACTGATACTCACGCTAAACACAAGTCGTTATTGGACACTCTAGTAGTACTATACTTAGATTAATGCTTCATAATGGTGATCTCGATTCAACAAGATAAGAATATATTTTCGCTCTATGAACTAACAAATGCGTGCTTAGGTGCTTACAGCTATAGTCTAGAGGATGTTCTTCGTAAATAATTCGTCATGCAGCATATTCAGGGCCCGGGTGGCGTCCTTATCCGGAATCACACAGGATATGTTAATCTCACTCGCGCCTGTCACCGAACCAGATTAGCATATGAGTCAAAGATCTCAATCATGTTTACTTACCTTGCGAGATCATCTCAATGTTCACATGCTGCTCCCCCAAAATAGCGAACATCCTCCCGGCAATGCCGGTCATGTTCTTCAACTCAGCACCCACGAGACTCAGAATAGCCATATCCGGCAACACGTTCACCTCTCCTTCCTCAGCGAGTCTGCACTGAACATTCTTGACTTGAGCTGGATCCATGTTGGAACTGTTGATTGCCATAGACACATGAACCTCAGATGTCGAAATGAGATCCACGGAAATGTCGTGGTCTGCAAGGATTGTAAAGACTTTGACGAAGAAGCCGTGAGACATGGACTGTTTGTTGCTCAGAATGTTGAAGACGGTGATGTCTCTCTTGATAGTAACAGCAGTCGGCATCTTCGGCAGTGCTGTAGACGAAGTACTATCCGAATCAGAGGGATCCAGGTAGTCAATCGGCCACGAAGACGTCTCGTCTCCATCACTGGGAACAACAACAGTTCCTTGACCCCATGGCTTCTGCACATTTTTGACAAAGATGCTAACTGGAGGCTTCGCTTGAATTGCCAGAGAGAGTGCAAGGTGATGAATGACCTCCGATCCATAGAACGTAAGTTCAGCTGCTTCTGATGGAGTAATCGAAGGCAAACATCTCGCGTCAGGGACTTCTCTGGGATCAGCTGTAAAGATGCCATCGACTTCTTTCCAGATCTGTACTCTTTCTGCGTGCAGACCGATCGCCACCAAAACAGCGCACAAGTCAGAGTATCCTCTTCCGATACCACTATCGATCAAACTCCCCGGAACCGCGCCGAAGAAACCAGTGATGACGGGAACCCTTCCATTGCAAGCTTCAACTCGCTTTCCAAAGACAGCAGCAGCTTCGTGGAAGAATTCTGGCTTCAACTGACCCAAATTATTGCTGGGCACAATGTCTGAGAGATCCACATATTCCGCTGGGATATCTCTGTCTCGTAACATAGCGACCATGAGTCGACAGCTCAATTTCTCACCGAAGCTGACCATTTTGTCTTTTGCTTTGCCATTGATGTCGAGATTGAAGCGTTTGGCTGCGGATGTGTAGTCAAGTAGTTCTTGGCAGTCCGCTGTGATCTGTCGAATTGTCTCTTCGCGGATATCTTGTCTCAGGACGAATATTTGGACAGTGGCGACTTGGTCGTCGCGGATATCTCTAATAATGCTGCGAAGTCGGTCGAATAGCAATTCTTGCATATCAGGATCTTGAGTTATGGCTACAATGCCTCTCAATGTCCGATAGACTTGTAGTAGTCTAGATCATCGCGATTAGTAGTTTGAGCTGATGAGAGGTTTAGTTACCTGGCTGTTTAACTCACCTACTTGTTGTTCCGAATACCTTTTTGCCTGAGCTTCGTGCGGAACATATCACAGCTGGTCTATCGCCCCCCAGTCTGGCACTGTAACAGCATTAGCTGACTCTATCAAAATCATAGCGCCCTCATCTGTACCTCTTCACAATCTCAGCAACCTGCCATATCGATGTCAGTAATAGTTCCTGAGGCAAAGCGTTCAAAGAGAGGTGAGACTGACCTTGTCTGGGAATTTACCAATACTGGTCCCTCCAAACTTTTGCACCACCCAGGAATTATCTCGATGATTACGCATGCTAGCGAGGGTTACAAGAGTTGCAATAACTGAGTCTTGTAAGGCTGATTGAGTTTGCAAAGAAATTTGTTTCAAGTGCAAGTATAATTTAGATGATTGATTATGCTGCTAGCAAGTCCAAGAATAATAGCAATGAATGTTCGTATCTCTCGTCACGTTCACTTCAGGTAGCACTCAGTATGTCACAACCTCGGCGGCTTATCTTATCGCGAGAAGTCCCCGATGTCAGCGCCGAGATACGGATAAATCTGTGATCAGTGCATTGAACCTTGGGTGTTCATGTTGAACTGCATTCTTTGCCACTCAATATCTCAATTAATCTTACCGCACGTTCCAAGACTTCGGGAGGTTATTGCAATCTAATTGGGCGCCAATACTAATCTCATATCATTAAGAGTTGGGCCGGAGACAGAGATCGGTCAGTCGGAGTGGAGCCTCCGATCACTTTGAGCATGGTCACCATCGCGAGGCCGATCGGAACTTTTCAGTCGGATCCGATCCTAGCTTCCCTGGACTGCACAGATCAGATCATCACTTCAAGGAGGTTGCCACTGATGCAAGCGAAAGAGAAAAGATCCAATGTCATTCATTCTCGGGCCGCACTCCCGCTATTCACTGCAGGTACAAGGGCGCGTTTCTCATTACCAAATTATTTACTCTTGAAAGGCCAAATAGACAACTTTCCGAAATCCCAAACTCCCTCAATAGTAAAAATATCCTTCCGAATAATCTCCTTGATCTCCTCCTCACTCTCAGCCTTGATGATCATGACTGTTCCATTTTCGGCGACTTGTTGGCCCTCGGCGCTGTGATGAGCAAGGGTGCTGCCGAAGAAGGGTACGCGACCGGCTTTGACCAGGGGAGCAGCGTCTTGGTTGTGAGGTTTGAGGAGGACTTGTCGCTTGGCTAGGACGTCGGGAAGATCAGGGATGTGGACGAGGTATTCTTTGAGCTCGGTGGCCATGATGGGCAATTGATGAAGACGTCGAGATGTAGAAGAAGATGTTATTCTGGCAATGGCTTGTGATTTCAAGTGTAATATGAGAAAACATTGGTTAAGTTGTCAGTGATTAAATACGTTGGTGATATAGAATTGTGCACTGTTTCTGCCATGATGACCCAAGGCTGGCCGAATTATCATCATGCCTCCTGGAGATTCGGACCGGGGAGCAAGAAAACTTCGGACCTTGAGAGAATGCCAAAATAAATTCATCAAAGAGCCCTCTAAGCTCATACTAACTTATCTAAATCTTTTTGTCGCTTAGGATGAAGGTCCCCAGCCCCGATATGTACTTCCGGGGCCGGGACTTGTTGACTCCGGCCGGAGCCTTTCGGTGGTTTTGTCTCGGTCATCAATCCACTTCCTTTGGAACCTGAAGGCTAGTTTAGTTATTTTGGGGACAGACTTGAAAAATCGGTGATAAGATAGGTTTCGGCTCGGCTCGGTTTAAGTGAGGACGAGTCCTCAAAACATCATGAAAAATGATGTCATAAACCCTCAGACGCGGCTGTCCTACCCTATTCTAACTAAAGATGATTATTTGTATAACACGTAAACAGCACGTCCTGTGCTCCATTAGGAGACTTTCGGGGCCTACGGCCCCCCGGACGAAAAATATACATAACATAACATAACATGTATAACACGTAAACAAGAGGAAAAACGTGTTTTTGTTGCAATGACGTCTTGTAAATAGTTTTTAGTTACAGGAGCGACTTTAGACACAGAAGTGATGGTTGATAGTGTAAAGATTTGTGATTAAAGACGCGTTCTATCTCTAAACAAAAAGAAAACAAGGGAATGTACCAAAAGAAATAAACCATAGAGCAATTTAACACATTCTGTACCCCAACTTTTCATTGCCAATGAGACTCTTCAAGCAATCAATGCAGACTTGGCCACAACCTTCTTTGCAAATCCAGTCAAAGGATCATTGCTGACAATGTCAAAGACAGAGAGGTCAGCCTGGAACTCCTTCAGTAGCCAAGTTCTAATCTCAATCGCGACGAGACTGTCAATACCAAGAGCAGGCAGTGACTTTCTCGAATCCATATCCTCCACATCAGCCTTGATAATCTTAGAAACACCCTCCAAAAGCTGTTGCAGCACAATCTCGTAGACCTCATCGGGCGAAGCAGCTGCGGCGAGGAGCTTCTTCCAGTCCTGGCCGCCAGCGACAGCACCGGAGCCTTGACGATCAAGCTGGTTGAGAACAGCAAATCGCGAGTCGGCAAACCAGTAGGGGTCGTTGGCAGCTAGCTTATCAAGTTGACCGCCGGTAGACGCACCGAGAGCGACCTGTGTAGGCGTACGGCCCGAGATAGCTGCCTTGATGACATTGAGAACATCATTCTCATCCATACCAAGTAGACCGCCATCCTTCAGAAGCTGGAATACCTCGCTTCGCTCTGTAGAAACACCAATGCCGACGACGAGACTGAGGTTGATGCTGGTGGCTGCAAGTCCTGACGCGGCGCGGTGATGAGCAAGCGCGTCTTGGTACGTGTTACCCGCGTTGTAATTGGCTTGACCACGCGATCCGATGATACCGGCAATTGAAGACAGGCAGATGAAGAAGTCCAGGTCAGTAGGGAGGAGGTCATGAAGGTTACGCGTAGCGAGAAGCTTGGGACGGAGAGACGCGTTCCAATCGTCAGCAGTCATGTTGCTGTAGACGGCGTCCTAAAGCGCGTTAGTAAGTGAATACGAATAGTGTCGAGGAGGACTTACTCTCAGATCCATGGCACAGTGAATCAATCCCTTGATGGCTGGGAAACTCTGCTTCACGTCGTTGATGACAGGCTCGAGCTGAGACTTCTCTGCGACATCAACTGCAATAGCCTTGGCTTGAACACCTTGGGCATGAAGCTCGTCGAGAAGAGCCTGAGCTTCAGGACGCGACGCAGCTGATCGAGAGAGGAAGACAAGATGACGCGCCCCGTGCTCAACGAGAAGACGCGTCACGGATCGACCAATACCGCCGAGACCACCGATGAGGACATAAGTCGCGTCAGAAGGCAGGCGGAAGCTCTCAAGACCATCGGGAACGACCTGAGAATAATCAGCGCGCGTTCAAGATCGAAGAAGTAGGATGGGACTTACCGGAACAATGTCATCAGGGCGAGGGTACAGAACAATCTTACCAACATGACCACCACTCTGCATCAGTCTGAAAGCCTTGGAGACCTCACCGAAAGAGTATCGCGCAAGGTTGTTCAATGGCGAGATGGCATTCTTGGACAGAAGCTCGACAACCTGGTTTCCAATAGCCTCGAAACGATCAGGATAGCTAATGACCTGCGTCAAGATATCCAATCCAGAAAAGGTAATGTTATCAAGGAAAGGACGCATGTCCAAGCCACTGTTATCGTAGATGTCACGCTTTCCAAGCTCAATAAAGCGACCGAAGGGTGCGACGCAAAGCCATGTTCGGCGAAGTGCTTCACCAGCAAGAGAGTTTATGACAACGTCGACACCTCGTTGGTTCGTGAGACGGAGAATGCCATCAGCGAAAGAGTAGTCACGGCTGTTGAAGATATGAGTCTCCTTGATACCGTACTCTTCGATCAAAAGACGCTTCTTCTTCTCAGAAGAGACAGTAGCAAAGATCTCTGCGCCGAGGTACTTGGCGAGACGAATGGCTGTCTGACCAACACCACCTGCAGCGGAGTGAATTAAGACTGACTCACCGCGCTGAAGACGTGCGACGTCGATGAGAGAGTGGACGACTGTAGCGGAAGTACACATCAAAGAAGCTGCCTCCTCATCACCGAGATGATCAGGTGTTCTCTGGAAAGTACGAGGATCAACGCGAACACGAGTCTGGAAGCAGCCTGCGTGCATACCAAAGACACGATCACCAACCTTGAACTTCTCAACACCAGCGCCAACCTTGGCGACGACACCTGCACACTCAATACCGAGGGTGTTATCCTCCATCTGACCCATGGCAACCATGACATCGCGGAAGTTCAACCCCACAGATCCAACCTCGATCTCAATCTGGTTATCACCCAATGGTTCAGAGAGGTCAGGAACGGAGAGGTACTCAAGAGTGTCGAGAAGACCGGGATCGCGGATGGAGAGCTGAAGAGGCTTGGTGACTTGTCTTAGAGGCACCTTCACGGCTGAGAGGTTGTTTCCTGTCTTGGAGGAGTCGAGAAGAGCCTTGAGGTCGGGGTTGGGGATGAGACGCTCGACGAGGACTTGGCTGTTGCGGATGACGTACTCGGAGTCTGAGGTCTCACCAAAGGTCTTGCGGGAAATGTTCTCGAGGATGGTTGAGATGGTCTTGGTGTTCAAGCCGGCATCAAGGGAAGTAGACGCATCAAGACCAAGGGTAGTGAACGAGATGTCAGGGTGCTCGGCACGAATAGTTCGCCCAAGACCGTTGACGAGACCTCGAGAAGCAGTGTCAAGAGTCAACCAGAGAGTTCCACGAGATGCAAGGAATAGGGATCGAAGCTTGATAAATGACTCGTGATCAAAGCTCTCGAGGAAAGGAGCATCGATGTCGAGGGTGGACAGGGTCAAGAATGGAGTGGTCTGCTCAGGGATGTTGGCAAAGTCAGCCTTGGAGACCTCGTAGCCTTGAGAGGTCAAGTCGCCCTCGGCTTGCTGGATAAGTTGGGTGAGTCCAGAGGATGGCTTGGCTGGAGTGACGATAAGGACTCGGCGGACTGAGGGCTCTGTCTCGGGCTTGTGTCGTGCGATGATGAGGTCTGAAACGGTAGTGGAGGTGAAACCAGTAGAGCTGAGAAGGTCAGCCGAGATGGAAGCGGCGTGGTTGGCGATCAGCAAGATGCCAGAAGGCTTGAGGATCTTCTTGGCGTTCTTCAAGATGAGCGAGATATCACCCTGCTGCTCTTCAACATCAAGGAAGACAATGTCGAGTGTTGCATCCTCAAAGCCTTGAGAGCTGGGATCCTGAGCAAGGTCAAGTTTCTCTTGCTGGACCTTGTTCTTCCAGGCCTCAGGGACAGAAGTCTCCACGTCGGCAGGACCATCCAAGGTAGTGGTGAGAGCCACAGAAGCAATGTTACCTTGAAGCTCTTCAGCCTGTGCGGTGAGAGCTTTGAGAAGAGTGCTTGAGGTAGACGAGCTGTACTCAAGGACGCTCAGTCCAGGTCGCTTTTGACCCAGAAGGGACAGGTAACTACCCAGCTTCGAGGCCAAGTCAGTACCCTTGAGCAACTGCTCAAGTGTCGCAGCATCGGAGATCTCAACGTCAGGAACCTTCTTAGGAACAACTGGAACATGACCAAGAGACTGTCCATCACCCGAAGACGAATCAGAGGCACCCCTCAGAGGCACAGTCTTGCATCCCTTCAGCGCAATCAAAGGCTTCGTACCACCCTCAGCAAAAGCAATGACATCGCTCAACATGTTGGTAGCACCATGCTTCTTGGAAGTGCTGAAGCCATGGTACTTAGTTCCACTAGTTGAGTCAAAGTCCGCAGAGATGTAAAGCGAGGCAGTTGAGACGGGGACTCGTGCTTTGATCTCTGCGGCGTCACCAGTGCTGGAGATCAAGAGATGGACAAAGACGTCGAGAACGGCGGGATGAATGAGATGAGCGGGCTCCCACTTCTTTGGGTAGAACTCCTTCGTGTCGATGACTTCCATGGAGAAGTGAGCTTTGTGATCGAAGAGGTTGAGTTCCTTGACACCGCGGAAGGCTGGACCGAGACTGAAGCCTGACTCGTCGAGCTTGGTGTAGAAGACAGTTGGGTCGACGCTGGGAAGATCAGACTGCGAGATGCTCTTGTACTCTTGGTTCAGAAGAGCATTGGCTGCAGCCTCCTCATCCAAGAAAGTACTGTTGGTCTCATGCTTGTAAGACGTGCTGACAAGACCAGTACAGTTCGTCGTCCATGAACCACTCTCATTGCGACTCGAAACCGTAAACTCCGTCCAATGCGACCAAGAAACATTAGGTCCAGATCTCCAAGGCGTTAACTGAAGTCGGGTTTCAACAGTCTGATCAAGGGGAACAACAAGCGCACTGCCAATGTTGACATCACGAATAGTATAACCCTCAACATCAGTTCGCGTCTCAACCTGTCGCAGACCCTCGATGGCCATGACGATCATACCAGCCATGGGGTAAATGTTGGTGTTCTGGAACTGATGGTGCTCGATCCATGGCTGCTCGGAGATGCGGAGGTAGTTGTGCCATGCGGGCTCGGCCTTGGTGGAGCGAGGATCTCTGACGCCGAGGAGTTCGAGACGAGGATGCTTGCGCTGCTTGTAGGCGGTCACGGCGGCGGATTCGTGCCAGTAGCTGTTGGTGGTGTTCCAAGCGTAGGGAGGGAGATCGACGAGTGCGGATGTACTTTCGGTGTAAGCGTTGGCCAAAGGAACATTGACAGGGTGGCCGAGAACAAGAAGTTCTCCAACGACTTCGAGAGTAGTCTGAATAGCATCCTGCTTTCGCTTGATGGCAGAGAAGTACTTTGGCGAAGCACCCTTATCTCCAATGCTATCAAGGATCTGCTTCAGAGGTCCCTGAAGAGCAGCATGAGGTCCAATCTCAACCATGGCATCGGCACTACCCTTCTTACCCGAAGCCTTGCGCTTACCCAACGCACCAGCGTTAGCAGCAGCAGTGACAGCACCAGAGAAGTTGACAGGGCTGACAAGGTTAGCAACCCAGTACGCAGCGCCGAGTTCAGTGCCGTCAATGGGCTTGGCTGAGACGGACGAGAACATGCGGACTTTGGGGTTGCCGGGCTTGAGCTCCCACTTGCCGGAGAGAGAGTTGAGGTACTCCTCTGAGATCTGCTGCATGTGGTGGGAGTGATAAGCTGTGGTGACGCGGAGCTTGCGAGCGAAGATGTCGTCGGCTTGCAAGAAGGTGAGAACCTCGTCGATGCCTTCGACATCACCGGAGAGAGTGACACTAGCGGGACTGTTGATGCAAGCGATGACGATCTTGCCGGCTGTGACGCGACTGAGATATTCGCTAACGCGCTCAGGACCAAGACCAACAGCAGCCATTGAACCAGTCTTGGTAATATTACCAGTCAAAAGACCACGGAAGTACGCAATTCTCATAGCAGCCTCCTTGTCAAAAGCACCCTTGGCGTAAGCAGCAGCAATCTCACCACTAGAGTGACCAATAGTGACCTGAGGGTGAATTCCCCAGCTTGCAAGAAGATCAATGATACTGAGCTGAAGAGCGGTACAAGAAGGCTGACTGACGTAAGGAAGATCAATGATAGACTCCTTCGCATCGCGGTTGAGCTCTTCAACAAGGTCCCAGGTGCTGCCGAAGTCCTTGAGGTACTGGCTGCATGCGTGGAGAGATTGCTGGAAGACAGGGTACTTCTGGAGTTCTCTGCCCATGGCGAACCATTGAGCTCCTTGGCCGGTGAAGATGAAGGTGAGGGCCTGTGATCGGGGAACTCGAGCGGCCTTGGTTGGTGCACCGTCGAGGGCTTGTTGAAGTTCTTCGATGGTTGAAGCGGCGGCGTAGGTCTTCCAGGGAAGAGAAGATCGCTTTTCAGAGAGAGTATAGGCGAGACGGTGGAGGAATTGGTCCTCGGGAAGTTCGCGGGTTGCAGGCTCGGCGAGGTAAGCCTGGAGAGTCTGGCTGAGGCGAGTGATGCCAGACTCTTCGTGGGAAGAAAGAATGAAGAGGCGGGACTTCTTGTCAGTCCTGTCAGTAGCATCTTGAGATCCGTTCTCAATCAAGCCAGTGGTGAGAACACCCTCGACCTTGGTGTTATGATGACCCTTGAGGTTGTGAGTCTTGAGGAAATGGTACGCATCATCCAAAACAGCATGAGCGTTTGCACCGCCATAACCAAAACTGTTGATACTAGCCCGTCTCAGCCCAGCAGGCCACTTGGTCTCCTCAGTAGGAATGTTGATCTTCCACTGATCAAGCTTGATCTTAGGATTGACGTTCTCAAGCCCATAAGTAGGTGAAATCACACCACTCTCAAGACTGTAGATCGTCTTGACAAGACCAGCAAGACCACTCGCACCCTCAAGATGTCCAATGTTACTCTTCACAGAGCCAACATAAACAGGCTTCTCCCTCGTCTTACCGAAAACAGAGCCAATGACCGAACACTCAATAGGATCACCGACCTTGGTGCCAGTTCCATGCGCCTCAAAGAAATTGGTCTTGTCAAAGCTCAGACCAGCTGAAGCGTATGTCGCACGAATGAGCTCCTCCTGGCGAGAAGCAGAAGGTTGGGTGATGCCGAGGGTTCGACCGTCTTGGTTGCTACCCGTGCTTCGGAGGACTGCACGGATAGTGTCGCCGTCTGCAAGTGCTTTGTCAAGACGCTTGAGGACGACGAAGCCGCCGCCTTCGGCACGGGCGTAGCCGTTGGCTGAGGCGTCGAAGGAGTGGCATTTGTTGTCGGCGCTGAGGAAGGACATGGATGACATGAAGACGCCGAAGTTGGGGAGGAGATGAAGACCGAGACCTCCGACGAGAGCCTGTCAAGTTAGAACTGACTGTCAATGATGGTTAGGAGAAGACTTACAGAGTCGCTTTCTCCGTTTCGGATGCTCTGAGCAGCGAGGTGCAGGGCAGTCAATGTGGAAGAGCAAGCAGTGTCAATTGTGACACTAGGTCCCTTGAGGTTGAAGAACCACGAGATACGATTTGAGAGAAGTGCTGGTCCGGTACCGGTAGCAGTGTACTTGGGTGCGCTGTCCATGTCGTAGGCTTGAAGATCCCAGTAATCATGCTGGCATGCTCCGATGTAGCAAGACATGTGTTGATTGGCGACCTCGTCGATCTTGAGACCAGCTACAAACTGTAAGCATCAACTTCACAAACCAAAGAAAAATGACATACCATTCTCGAGACCCTCGTAGGCCAACTCGAGCAGAATCCTCTGCGTAGGATCCATACCCCTCGCCTCTTCAGGCGTAATAGAGAAAAAGCCCGCATCAAACTTATCAACATCGCTCTTCAAAAAATACCCCTGCTTGGTATTCAACGTCCCCGCCCTTCCACCATCAGGATGATAAAACCCATCAATGTTGAAACGGCTCTCAGGAACATCACTCAGCGCATTCCTCCCCTCCTTGAGAAGATCCCAAAGATGACGAGGCGAAGTTCCATCACCGGGAAATCTACCAGAGACACCGATGACAGCGATAGCAGACGAGACATCACCGTCTACTTGAGGGAGGCTAGCATCGCGTTGAACGCCACCATTGGCAGTGCCATTGTCAGCACTCCCGTTAGTAGCGTTGTGAAAGCCATTAGCGCTAGGATGAGCTCCATGGCCGTTGCTAGTGCCGTTTGCGCCGTTGGAGCCATTGGAGAGAGTCATGGTGAGAAAGAAAGAGTCAGAAACAAAGGTTGTGTGATAGGCGCTGGCTTGCTTTGGATTTGACTCTGAAGAAAGGATGATGAACACGGAAACACTAACATGGAAAACGAGTTGGGATCAGATATATGAATCGAAGCATTGTAATGATATGATGGTCACTGGCTCGGAGCTAGCTAGACAGGGTTAAAAGAGCCTGAGTCTCATCTACCGAGTATTTCTTGCATCCGACTAAGCTCATGCATGTATTCGGAAGATATTGACCCTAAATCGGAGGTTGCGTCAGCGTCGGCGCCGAGAAAATGACCCACTGTACCCTTGTCAGACCGGGCCCAGAAAGTCCGCGACCAATGATATCGAGCCGGGGATAACAGATTTTGAGTTGCCGTATTATTCTTGCGTGATATTCGAGACTCAAAAGGATCCGTATTTGCCTCAATGGAATGAAATTGCAATCAAGTCAAGCTGAGACTTCTCCAGTGTAGCCGATACGTTATCGGAATCCACAATTCGCCTTCAAGCATCATAGCTTTGACGAGAGGATTTCGCCGTTGATGCTTTCACATTCTATACCAATACGCTTGTCGACAAAATTCGTAATATATTAAGAAGGAATAAGCAAAAGGCCGAATACACCAAGACTGGTTTTTGCAACCGCCCCTTTGTCTACAGCGCTTCTTACAGCATATTCTGCTATGCCCATAGTGTCAATATCCTCAGATGGGCATTTATCTGCGGACAAACTGTTGTTTATTTATAGGCAAGGGCTAGCCATTTGTCATGAAGTGGATATATCTTATTTAAAGTTTAGGGCAAATTGTCTGCTTGGAGGACGTTGACAGCTGAGGTAGAGATAGGGCTATTGTTACATACTGGCTTACCAGTTTGGGAATATCCATATTAAGTATTCCAGCTTTATCACACTAAGTTTAGGGTTAGAATTGTCATAATATAAGTCCAGCTTTAGCTCGGTTAAATTATCTCAGCTTATTTGCAGCCTCAGCTTGTAGCCTACTCCTTATTTCAAGCTCTTATCTTCGGTCCCAACCTCCAAGATTAACATTAAGCCCAGCTAAGTTAATTGGGAAAGATACAAGCTGAGTTTATTAGCAGAACTCAAGTTTACACAAAACTTAATTATATGCCGAGATGAACATTAGCTAATATCACAGTTTCTAAACAAGCCTAACTCCTGGCTTCTATATCATACTGTTAGTATTTAAGTATAGTAATTATACTCTTTGTCTTTATACGAGATTTATATTTTTAGTGTTTAATTGCCTTTATGTTAAGATATAAGCTGAATAGCAAATTGCCTTTTGCGCCCGTTCTTCTGAACCTTAACAAGGAAAGCCAAACCTTATCCTGCTATTGTGTAACATAAGATCTACTTGCTAAAAGATCTTTGAGGCTGGATTTAAAATCATAATCGGGGTAATTTAATATTCCTTTAGGGATGCAGCTATATTATCCCTGATGCCCTTGTCCGAGGTTGTTGTACTGTCCGGCTGAGCGAAGGTTAAGTGACTTGCCCTCTGACAGAAGGAAAGTGCATTATTAAGATTTAAAGCTAATAGATTTGGGATCAATGCGAAAAGTTAAAGCAAAAGGAAATTAAGGTGAATGAATGCAACTGCCGTGTTTAGAACACGTGCTGCTTCTATTATTGTTATTATAAATACATAGTAACAGTCCTTCCGTACCATTATTCTCAATATCCTCTCATCCCTTGATTGATCAGTTTGCATGCAAACACAGCCCTGAATCTCATCGAAATCATGAAGCCTGTGGCCATTCTTCTCGCCCTTGCCAGTACAGCCTTTACAGTGTCGGCTGGTGGTCTGCCCCGTTTTGGTTCGTGATACTCATTGCGATAAAAGATGCTATTGTTCTGACTCTACCCCTCACGCAGCGAAATGTACCGCTCCTTCGCAGTGCATATCTAGCTTTTGCGCCAACATGCCTGGTGCAAACTGCGACGAAAACCCCAACTGCCATGGTGAATATTGAAACTAAAACTTACCTAAGAGAGACTCAGAACAAGGACTAACGACTTGAAGATAGGGTATGCTGGGGTGCTCCAGTGAACTGTAAGCTAACCATGTAGTCAATTCTTGCCTTTATCTTGCTCACTGATACTTAGCTTTGTGTTCGAATGACTGGGAATGCAACTCCAACCATTGCAAAGGTACAAACATTGGCCACTCCATATGAAATCTATGCTAACACATCACAGGAGGAAGATGCTATGACTGCCGTGATCCTCGCAACAACGCCAGGGCCGCACCCCCGTACCTCTCTATAGGCTGTATGTCACTCTTTTGAAGTTACTATCTTGTTTATTGAAGGCTAACTGAATTGCTTCAAAAGCTTCCTGTAGCGGATTCGCAGATCAATGCTGCGAGTCACAGTGTCGAGGTATGTTAGCGAAACCCGAATTTAGTCTGAATTGATCAAAGCTAACAAGTCTGCAGCAAACGTTCAGGGGAATATGCAATGCATTAATAATATGGTGATCTCGGAAATGGGCGGGAGTGGGCCGTTCCCAGTACAACAGTCACCTCCCAGGCATTAATTCGATATGTCAATAGTTGAGCTGTATAAGAATCCCTTGATGTGAGAGGCTTGATGTTTATGGAAGTTGAGATGTTATTATGCAGATTGATTGATAGATATCTGGCCCAAGTACACTACCTCCGCCGGTCAGTTTGTAAATGAAAGAAAGTTTCCAACGCGCTTGTTAAGGATGACTTCTGTTCTCAGCAGTACCAATACTGACGTGAATATATCTCTAAATTCAGAGCCTGAAAGATTTTAACTTACTAGAGATATATGAACTAGATGCTATTTTAGTAGCTATGGCATTACTTATCTCTTTATATCTAAAGAATATCACGTTTAATGATGCTTGCTGAATAGCTTACCATACTAACTTACCATGTGATATCTGTCTCTTGATCTTGTGGCTCTGCGCCTCATAGTAAGAAACATTTCACGGCAGTGATCAGCGCCAAGTTGCAAATTACCAGGAGCTACTCAAGGAGCATGCTTGCCAAGAGTAATGTAAAGGGCATTCGCATGTCTCCTTCAGCAGTCATGTCTAATGGCGACTTATAAGTAACGTGGAATAGCTCTTACAATACTAGGTTGTACATGTACACATGATTCGCGTATCTCATGTACAGAATGGTTTACAAAGCGACTTTGCTTTCGAATTTTGGTTTAGGCAAGATTGGGACTGACATAGCTTCACTGGTATCATCCATTCCACAAATGGCTTAAGCTTTTGAATCCCAATCTAAGTGGCATGGTGAGCACAATGTCGTTGACTGGTCGGGGTACGATGAGCTGGGGACGAGTTTATGACGATGCTAAGAATTTATCCTACCTTGGCTGTAGAAATACTCCCAAGTCTGAATCGAGCAGTTCAATCGTTGTCGATTAGGCCGAAGCCGAGGTAACCCATGTTCATAATGAGGGGAAAGATATCCACTCTCACAGAACCAAAGTCATCTTATTTTTAAGAATGGATATTGGTCTTGTTAGTGCAACCTTGTGGATAAACGGTTCCTGGCAGGAAAGCGATTGAGGCATATTATTTGCCGATCCTTCCCCGCAATCTTGCCTCTCCCCAGATTTCTCCGCGTATGACCGCGCTCGTAGCTCCACTACCCCAGATGAACCAAGCATGATTGATAAAGATTTATCCAATCCATGATGAAACGGGATCTCGGCACATAGTGCCATTTAACTATAGATGCAGATGCATATATACCTATCACTATATATAACGACGATTCAATGATAGAGCCAAGAAAGACATTGCAGTATCAACTCTCGGCAATATGAGGCCTTTCACATCATTCGTGGCAGTTGCTCTAGCTGCGTGCACCGTCACTGATGCTCGTGGACTGCACTACCAATCCGATGCCCCGCTAAACATCAAGACAACAAGCGGTCACCTCTCAGGCTTCATCAACAAGACCGCACCAGATGTTCGACAATTCCTTGGAGTTGCATATGCCGAACCTCCGCTCAAGTCCCTTCGTTTCCAACCTCCTAAGCGAAAACACAGCTCAGAGCACGTATCAGCCAACAAGTACGCGCCATCATGCAAGCAAATTATCAGCAAGAACCCGACTGTTTACACTGAGTACATGAGCCAATTTCTGATCAATGGTGGCGACTCTGAAGATTGCTTGTATCTCAACGTCTACGCTCCACTGAAGCCGACCTCAAAGAAGTTGCCCGTATTTATCTACATCCCTGGTGGTGGTTTTACAGGTGGTGGTGCAGACTCGCTTTACAAGATCCCCGATAAGTGGATCCAGAAGACTCAGTCTCACATCGTCGTTACCATGAACTACCGCGTCAATCTATTTGGTTTTCCCAACGCTGAAGCTGCTCAACAAAACGTCGGTCTGCTTGACCAGCGTATGGTTGTTGAATGGATACGCGACAACATCGCAGCCTTTGGCGGTGATCCCAACAAGATGACTCTTTGGGGCCAGTCCGCTGGTGCTGGCTCAGTTGGCATGTACGGATATGCTTACCCCAAGGATCTCATCGTCAAGGGTTTGATCTCCGACTCAGGCGCTCCGGCTATGCTGGCCAAGGTTTATGGTAACCACTCCAGCTTCGATACTCTTGCTGATAAGGTTGGCTGCAAGGGCTTGGAGGGCAAGAAGCAATTGAGCTGTATGCAAAAGGTTGATGCATCCAAACTGCAGAAGGTTTACTCTGAGACACCGACTATTTCGTTCACTCCTGTTGGTGACAACATCACTGCCTTTTCCAACACGACTGATCGACTTGCCAGAGGGTTGGTCACCAGAGTGGTAAGTAAAATTGATACCTCGCTACTAAATTTGAAGTTCTGACTCGTATCCTTTATAGCCCTGGATCTTTGGTAATAATGCCAATGAGGGTGCTGGTTTCGGCACATACGATCCCACCGGCGTAACGCCAGCTCAGACTGCCATTGGACTGCAGGCTATTGTCTGCCCTGTTGCTGCAGAGGTCAAGTAAGTATTCACAGTGACAATGTCCAAACCGTCACTAACGCGTGTTTGAAGGGCCCGTGCCAAATTCGGATACCCAACTTATAGATATTACTACACCGGAAACTTTTCCAACATTTCCCCTCTGCCTTGGATCGGAGCGACTCATAGCGGTAAGTCCATCATTTCAATTGTAGCTCTTGTACTAACATAAAACAGCCGAGCTTCCTCTGCTCTTCGGAACGCATTACGAGTACCGCGGCAACTCAACTGAGTACGAATGGGAGGTCGCCGAGGGTATGCAGAGTGAGTATCACTTCTCTATTTACTTGGATGTACACTAACAACTGAAAAGGTCTCTGGCTCTCTTTCGCTCACAACCCAAAGAAGAACCCTCAAGCTGGAAAGGTTACTTGGCCTCTGTATAAGCCTAATGAGAAGAAGATGGCTGTCTTTGCAGAGGCTGGAAAGAAGTGGTTCCAGTTGGCGGATGGTTCTCTGACTGAGAGCCAATGTAAGTAAGAGGAAGGTAGTGGCAGGAACGCAAGATAAATATCTTCAAGTATATAGTTCGAATCAAGTTCAACAGACGTTACCCTTAGGTCCATATTGTCTTCAATGTTCCTTTCGTACCCTTGGCTTTCAGTGCTGAGTGCTGGTATCATAAAACGGAAAGATTGTTAGCATGGCTTGGCAGCTGTCTGATATAACACGTCCAACGCTTGAAACCGAGAGAGGGGAGCTGAGAAGCCACAATAGGAAGCTGGCCTTGTATCATGTTACAGCGTCGGATTCTTTTGATAAAGATCGGTTCGACCTCCAATGCTGGGAACTTTTTATCGCCAGATTCGTAGGTGCCAATAGGCACCGTCTACAATGCTGCTAAGCAGACCTAAACTTGCTTCATGTAGGCAATGTAGACCTAGCTATCCTATGGGGTTACTCCTCTTATTGCGCCTATGGTAAATACTGGGAATACAACTGAGAAGTCATAAGGATATCTATCAACTAAAACCTCAGCCACTGTCCGTAACTATGAGTTTGCTAGGCGATTGCTGTTTTGAGTTTGTAGTTGCGGTGGAGCTCTCCTTCGTTCGTGCCACTTGACTACCTACTAGTAAAGAGCGGCTTGGCGTATATCGTTTGTGCCGGCGCTAATAATAGCGCTCATAGATAATGGGATAGTTAATCTAGAAATTATTGTTGCGTAAGAAGCGGAAGGAGTGTTTTCCAGACCATTATTCTGAAGCGTGGATACCTTCTCTTGGAGATTATGGATGATTACGGTCCTCATGAAAACACCTGGGTGGGCTGTCTAACAGCCAGGCCCTTTCAGAACTTATCTCGTTGCTATTGCCAAGTTACCCATGGACGTCGTTGCATTACTTGCCTACTAAGAGACGTGACAGTTTACACTTGCTCAGTATCACGCCCTATGTTATTTGCCAAAGTATGGACTAGATGGCCCCTTGGGAACCACAACGATCACATTACTCTAGGTTACAACTACGTACTGGCTTTATTGTATCCTATGACTTATGGACTAAGATAGCGCCTGCCCATAGAGACCCCGGATTGAGACGGTCAGGATAAACTTCCATCATGCGGGCATAAAGCTCTTCGGCTGTCTTTGTCTCAGCACTTAGTTTCTCAAAGATCTCCAAATATGTCTTAGTATCCCCAATTGCTTCAGGTCCGAAGGGGCGACTTGGGTCACTATGCCCGCCTATAACGTGTTTGGGCTTGAGTGCAGCGATGGTATCCAGAGCCTCAATCCACTCCTTTCGCTTGGCAGCCGTTCCGGACTCTCCCAGATACGGGTGAGTGTTTGCGTACACAGCATCGCCAGTCACGGCAAGTTTGATAGAGGGAACCCAGAGAGTTGTCGTATCATCGGTGTCCGTGTGACCCGTCCTGACAACCACCAACCTTTCACCTTCTAGCTCAAGGTAGTCTTGCTCAAGAGGCTCGGCAACCCTCAAGGCCGGCGGAATCTGGCCCGGAAATAGCTTTTCCCAAAGCCCGGCAAGACGCGCTGGTGCAGTCTCTAGCTTCATCCTGGCCACGACTTCAGGCGTTGCGACCAAGATGGCTCTGGGAAACCGCTCCAGAATGGGCACGCTGCCAAAGAAATGGTCACCGTGGGCATGTGTAACATATATATGAGTAATGTTTTTGCCACTTTTGACAACCCAGTCCAGGAGCTCGTTTGACGCTCGGGAAGTTAACTGGGCGTCAACTAAAACAGCATCCTTGTCGCCATATATCAGGGTGGACGAAGTGGGCACCCACTTGAGGTGATCGTGAAGGGCGGGCCCAGAGCGAGTGGCCGAATCGCGTTTACTGAAAAATACGCTGTACTGTAAAACCATTTTGAATCGGGATAATTGGCGAGGTGCTAAGGAGACTGAATTAGCACCTGCTTGACGAGAGAGATATATAAGCGAAAGTTCAAACTGTTCAAATGTCTGCCAGCACAAAGCTTAGTAATTACTTTTATCACCATATATAGTATAGTAATCAGCTCCGAGTTCCGAGAGCCCTTCACGGAGGAATTAATAAAGACAAGTGGGAGGGCCCCACAACTTTGGGTTTGCCCCTCATGGAAGGGAATTAAGTGAACAAGTAACGGTGAATAACAATCAGATTTGTAACAAGACCGCTTGAACCTCCCACCTCTAACGTAACATCAGTTTTAATGTACTATAAATCAATGCTGTGCTTAATGTATCCATTTCTTGATAGTTTGCAGAGTGCAACGAATCTCCATTACATATCCCATCTGTTTACAAATATTTCTTCGACACGTCGTACCTAGCATGCCTCGATATTCTAGCTCGGTTGATGGTGCCGAACTGTTTTATCGCTATTATGCGCCAGAAGGCAGAACCCCGGCGCTCACAACACAATTGCCTCAACCAACCAAGAGCCTGACTCTGGTTCTTCTTCACCAATGGCCTCTCTCATCCCGCATGTACGATTCGATCCTGCTGCAACTTTGCGAGACCCACGGATACCGTGTTATTGCCCCTGACAGGCGAGGTTTTGGTAAGAGCGACTGGGCTGGACAACAGCCCAAGGCTCCCATTAGCTACAAGGAGCTTGGGCAAGACTTGTCGGGTCTATTGGAGAGAATCCAGCCAGGGCCTTTTGTCTTTGTTGCCGCCAGCATGAGCACGGGCGAAGCGCTTCTGGCGTATCTTAATAGCTCGTATATACAGGAAAACTGCCAGGTAAGTTATATTGCAGGCCACCTTGATGAAGCCAACAACTCAACAATGTGTTAGGGCATGATATGGATAAGCACGTGCCTGCCGTACCCTACAGCCTCCCCCCAAAATCCAAGGGCTTTGCCACGGAGCGAATGGGATGCAACTCTCATGTCTCTGAGACAGGATAGGCCTAATTTCATCGCCAACGGCTTCAGGGGGCCTTTTGGAGTTGGAACATCCGGTTCGGTTACCGAGAAACAGATTGCGTTTTTCGAGAACATCTTCTTCGACGCCGATCCGATCGCTGTTGAACGCTGCCTACAAATCTATACTCGCGAGGACCTGTCTGAGGGTATCAAAAGGTTTGGGCAAATCTTTCACAGACCGTTTCTTCTTATTCACGGCGGAGGCGACGGTGGAGTGCCCGCTGAAGTGAGTGCGGAGCTTGTTCAGAAGTCGGTTCCTGGAGCGAAGCTGATTATATATGACGAAGGAGGACATGGTGAGTTCACAATTTTCGACGCCTGGTTATGCAGAGCTAACCTATATTACTTAGTGCTAGTCCTTGCTTATGCTGACCGTCTTGTAAACGACATTATACACTTTACAGAAGATATTGCGGGACGGAACTGATGTTTACTAGAGATATTGTTGGTCATGGGCATGGGACTAAGTGAGGAACCAGAACGAACGAAATACAAGGAGAATATGGACCTTAGCCTGTGTCATGGATTAAATTTCACATCTACCTTCGGCCTTTTGGTCACAATGGATGAGCTTGGTCACCAACACCGATGTCTAGGCTAAATTCGGCACATAATTCAGGACAATAAGAGAATCCCTACTCCTGAAACAAGTCCTTATTCCCCTTCAAGACATTCTCTGCCTTGAAAACTACAGCATCCGTAGGGAGATGAGGCAAAAGAAGGGCCGTGTCCCAGTAGAGCCAGACCTCCTTGAAATGCAGCCCCTCTGGAGTCTCGTCGCTTCCACTATTACCGATAATGGCAATCATTGTGACGGGGATGCTAACAGTCGGCTTGCTTCCTTTGTTTCCGCGTAGCCATAGGTTTCGAATATTCTGAGTGTATATCTGACTAGTCCCATCATCACGCTCAATCTCCACAAAATGGATCCAGTCGTGTTGGATCCGTTCAAACACTTCGAAAAGCTTCTTCATCCATGCCCACATTTCATCTCCTCCATGGTAGACGGCATTGTTCTGGTTATGGAAAACAACATCCTTGGAATAGAACTTGAGCCCAGAGCCGCTGTCGTAGCCCCTGGAATCAACGGCGTTGACATATTGCTTGAAGAACTTCTGGGTCGGTGACTGTGGGCCATCCTTCTCCCACTGTGCGCCGGAGACGTGACTGACAATTCGAGGCATTGTGCGCGTTGAGAAGTATGTGTGTGGATTAGATTAGGGCGGCAAAAATATGGCATAACTCGAAGCAATTGTAAGTTGGAGCGACTTTAGTGGCTTATGTTCTTAGCGGCCCGGGCTCCAAGTTGTCAACGCATAGTTGAACCCATGATCATTTATACATTGCGGTCATGTGGAGACTTATGGCAGTGCCGAGGCCTAAAATCATCCGCTCTACCCGTAATCTATAGGCTAGTTCTGTGCCGTAGATAGTCATTGTCACGTTCGGGAGGATTGGTAAGGCTTTCCCGGACAAGTAAACGTGGCCTACTCTGGTCATTTGGATTACTGATCAAGTTTCCCTTGCATCTCTTCCTCTTTTCACGAGCTTTAGAACCTGAATCGAGCCTAGAATATGGGGTGATTCTTAGGAGTGTGAAGCCAAAGACACTTAAAACCCGTTTTGGCACCCGCTTCGCTAATCTTTGTTGGAAGATAAAGGTTCTTATCCATGCAAACTTTCGTACCACTTCTCCATTGCGCTCGGAGACTTCCCTCCTCTATTATGAAAATCTGAGGCGTGTTTAGCACGTCGCCATATTGGTGCCTCTGCCTCTGTCAAGCCTCGGGCCTCCGTCCGTAAATGGAGCATCTACTAACCGTCAGTCTCATAATGAATCTCTTCACAAACACTCACATGGGATTATAAGCATGAATACAAGGATTATTCAGATCCTTTCTCACATCAACAAGAAACATGATAACTTCATCGCGCGACCATCCATGGGCCCTCGAGAACGACGCCATGGTCAATGACTCCAAAGCATTAGAAGCATTGTAGTTATTCCACGTTCCCAACTCTTTATACTTCTTGTCTCTAGGCCATGGATTGGTAGGCCACTTGAACCTTGTGTCGACTACATCAGTAAAGCCAACTTCTTGCATAATCGCTTTGATGCTGTCGAATTCGATGGAGGTACTCCCGAGCTTAGTAAAAGCTTCCCCGAGGAGGACGCACCATTGGGAAAGGGCGTGGTCCGGGGTAAGAGTCCTATCGTCGGAGAGAATTATACCACCAGTTTCTTGGATCTCGACATAGCCACCAGGCTTGAGATTACTAGATGGGTTAGTATTATGAATTAGAGTGGAAGTTTAATACATGCTTGAAGATCTTGCGGATATAGTTCTCCCAATTCTGTATACTAAAGACCATCATTCTGCTGTGTATGTAGTCAAATGGCTGACCATATTCCCAATCTTCGTCGATATCATCAATAATGAAACGGAGGTTTGGCGGGACACTGGAAATGTCAGTGGACGAAATATGACTGTTGGGGTTACTCACAAGGTTGGTTGAATTGGCGAGAGGTCAACCCCAATGACCTGTATAGTTAGTAGACGCTTTAGTAATATTTATAACTGACCTACCTCAGCTCCCGGATGCTCATCTGCGTAGTCAATAGCCCAAATTCCTGTTCCTGTTCCCACATCGAGTACGCGTCCAACCATTGTGCCGGGTTCATTGGGCGGAGAAAGACCCAGTTTATCCCCAAACGTCAGGAGGAAGAGGTTATGCTGAAGATCTGACGACGTTAGTCATGCACAGGGAGAGTCGCAATGCCATACCTAGACGTTCATTTTCGACCTGGTCATTTGGAAGATGATATTCTAGGTAAATTGTTAGACAACAGCAGTAGAGAATGGTAGCTTTGCTCATTTCCGTCTTTATAGCGATGGTACGTTCTCCCATTCTCTTACCGATAGTTCAAGATGGAACTCGAGATGCTCGCTGTTGATGAGGCGGCATCCTGTCACCTGTCAGTCGAGTCTTTGGAGGTGGATAATCGAGAAGCGCACAGCTTCAATCGACGAGTCAGCATCATCGTTGATCTAGTCTCATTCAGTATTTGACTTATGATAATTCAAGGTATGCTCTGACCTGCTCATCTAGATAAAGAACGGGATCTGCGTCTACAGTCGACATATTGATGTTGAACGATCTAAAAATCGCTCAATGCGGGACAAGTAAAGGATGAAGGAATCAGCAGGTTGAAATGACAGATGGTTGCGTAAGTTAGATGCATAATGCGTGTTAAGCCAAGTATTTAACGGCTGATTTGACTGGTTCTCTTGGATGGCAGCAACCAACATGCAGATACGTACGTAGCACAACATGGGTTAGTGGTCTGATATGGCCCATCATGAAATCTTGCCCCTCATCTCGGCTCCCGAGCGATCATCGATCTACCATGTCTGTGACAAGTACTCGACCGAGTAAACGGAATATCTCGTTCAGCAATTCGCATGCCTCATACTGTTTTCTCGCCACTTCCACCGACGTCAGAACGACATGTGTTATACCATTTGTGATGGCGAGGAGCTTTCTACATCTGGCAAAGCATCCGTCTGTGTGCTCAAACTATAATTCATAGACATACTGGCCTGGCCAATCAACATTTTCCCCTTCGCGTATAAACCTTATTGGTGAAAGGCAAAGCATCATCAACTTGATCTGACCTAATTATGTACTGGCCAAGAGACCTAAGCAATAGTGAACTCACTACTCCTACCCGTAAACGCATTAATCTTACCCGTAATAGGAGCCTTGCTATCTCCATAATAACTCAATCTGTATGTCCCAGCACCAATATCCTTAGCATCCTGCCATCCCGTCTCCCAAGTGATAGCCACCTCACTAGACCCAAGCAGACCATCAAGCCTCTTCCATTCAAAGACAAGATCCCAATCCTCATCAGTTCGAACCTGAACCCACTTCGAATCGACCTTTTTCTCCACTGCTGCATATGTAGACTCGAGGTGGAGATTGTTGCGTGGATTGGCTCCCACAAATGTAGCGTTGATGGTATCGCCGATAGCAAACTTTGACTTGCTCACGTCTTTGATAACGTCGCCAAACTTGGTGCCGACCTTGGGGTTATCGTAAACAACGCCTGTGGTGAGAGAGATGGAATTCTTTCGATTATCAGGCGCAGCTGGACCAGCAGGCGGCTTCGTGGCGCCCTTTTCCTGGAGGAGATACCCGAGATAAGTCGAAGTCAAGTTGATGTAAGCATCGAGGCTATGGCGTCCATGGACAGTTGAGCCACCTTCGTAGCGCTGGATATCATACTCTTCAGGTGTAGTGCAGTAGTGCGCGTAAGTATTGCCTGGCCCACCAGCCACAACAATAGGATCACTCCCAACACCACCCCTGTCTTTGATCTCATCACTTATGCTCTTGCGCCAACGTCGCGATGACATGGTCGTAAGCTCAGGTGCTGAAACAATGATGAAGAAATTACCGACACGTAGCATCTGAACATCAACAATATTGGGAGCCCAAGCATAAGGCAGTGTGATTTCACCAGCGTCGATGAGAATTGGCTTGGGTGACTGGCATGCCACTTGCTCCTTTGTAGGGTTGCGTAAGAACTTTGACACAAGAGCCCAAAAGGGACTGGCATCCGGAGTTCCAGAATCACCCTGCTTAAAGTCGAAGTAACCAGGCCCATCTGTAGTTCCAGCGGCGAATGAGTATCCAAATGCCGCTGCACATGTCTTTGCTGACGAACCGTTGGGTAGCTGAAAGGTGAAGTTGGAAAAGTCCTGGAATGAGTGATATCCAAGAACACTCCTCCCCGTAACCGCGACACCATCTCCGCCTTGCATCTGGCTGTACAATTTATCAGCCTGCTTGAAGACTCGACGACCGATTTCCCAGCACGACTTGGTACCTCCATCATTCAAGCCCCAGAAAGGACCTCTTCCGTGGCAAGTCTCTATCTTGCCACCGCATGTTGCGTCCTTGAAGTCGCACTGCTTTCCTGAACCATCTTCACACCAGGCTCCTTCGACATTTGGCGTAGTGTCAGCGACAGCAGCTTGAGAAAAGCCAGCCACGAAGTCATCAGTAGCTCCGTTGGTACCGCGAACAGCCTGCTCAAGAAGATAGGCACTCACACCCTTGTTGTCACCAGCGACAAGAGTGTTGTTCATGTAAAGACTTGTACCGTGGACTGAGAACCATGTTAAGACTCCGGTGACTTTGTTGTCTTGTTCGCGAGTGAACTTGAGCATAGTTAATTCCTTGTCGACCTCATCCTGGTACTTATCTCTCTCAGACTTTGGATTCGCTTGGTAGGCATAGAGACTTCGATTGATGTTGACGTCTTCGATGCGAATCTTGCCTACGCTCAGGCGTCCTTTGGCAAGATTCTCATGCGCCCGCTTCACTGAAAGAACAGCACCATCAACGATAGCCTGGTATGCCTGCTGATTGAATCCCAGAGCAGAGATCTGAGGCATGAGGTAGTTATTCCAACCTGCTGGTCCTGCGTGCGAATGTGTTCCGGTAACAGCGACATTATCAGACGTGTAGACTGAGTACTCCGACCCAAGAGCCGCGATGCCTTCGAGGATACCTCTGCGAATAGCCGTATCACCAGATTGGGTGTCTAAGACCAAGTAGACAAAGCGTTCTTTGGGTTCATCTGGACTACCCACGATGAAAGCCCGAGAGTAGAGTCGTTGGCGCAAGCCTGTTCCTATCTGCCCGAGGTCGGCATATCCCATGAGATTGAGCTCGACGACAGGTCCAGTAACGTCAGCCTTTCCAACACCGAGTAAGTAGATATCACCAGAGTCAGCTCGTTTGATGTTATCTCTCTGGCTATCGTTGGAGTCATCTTCAGGTGAACGGACGGCGAGGCATGATACTGTCTGGAATAGGAAGGTGGTGAAGCTCAGGTATAACAAGAGCACATATGAAAGATTGCGATAAGTTGCGGTGAACATCATGACCACGATAAAATTGGGTCGACGAATGTTTTCACTCTAAAATCACGTTCAATGAATAGGCGATGGCTCCTGGTATTTATAGTATTTGCTCATCACTCGATGGTGGCTTACAAGTGATGCGATGGGTGGCTTCCCAGAGCGGTCTGCATCAATTCAGTTGCATGCTCTCTTTCCAGCTATCACATTCAAAATCAAGAAATCGAGTCTATTTCAATTATTTACAGGTAGTTATATACAGCAGAACCGAGGCATTACCCAAATGAGCCAAGAATATGCACCTTGACCCTCTGACGGTATCTCGCATACGGAAATCCTACCGATTCGAGATATCAGCCATTTAACCGATCGAGTGTGGTTGCAATGCATGTTCTCTTTTGAGGAGATAGCCCGGCAGAAGCAATTCACGTGGCAACCATCAATACGAGAAACAAGGCATCCCCGCATCTTGAAGTACCGAATTCTTTGAGATTGTGGTCGAGATAGGAAGCTAGAACTTTTGTTGCGATGGTGGGTGAGTGCTACTATGAGTCACGCGAAGTTCTTATCGGGGTATAGACTGATAACAGCACATAGAGTACAAGTGTGTATACTAACCTATTTGAAGTATCTTGATTGATAGACAAACTATGCATTCTCCCCTTCTGCTATCCTAGCCATTTCCGCTCGTCCAATTGTCCCATACCGCTGAGAGTCAAACATCCACCGAATAATTGTCTCTGTAGCCTCAAACATCTCCCGCTGACTCTCATCCACTTCTGGTGCTTGTATCGCGCTCATACTTGATAGATCAACTGGACCTTGCTGAATGTTCATATTAGCCATCTGCGACTGCATAGCCAGGGTATCATTCCGCAGTCGCAAAATATCCTCATGCCGCTTTCTGAGAGTCTCTCCTCGACTGATTGCTTCCTCCGGATAGTCCGGGATAGACTCTAATTCGTTAATGACGCTTCGCATGTCTTCAAGCATAGTATCTGGCACTGTCTCACTCCAACCTTCCAGAGCAACTTCATAGCAACCTAGCGCTAGATTGACTGGTGACCCGTCGCCGAAGTATCTCTGTGCTGGTCCAAAGTTTTGACGGAATCTGATATTGGGATCAGCGCCGCTAAGGAGAAGCTTTCCAACTAGGAAGTGGTTTTGAAACAACGCGGCACGGCACAAGGCGGTGCCGAATTTTGGGTGATCAAAGTTTATGCACTCTTTGCTCGCGAAGGGTGAATTCTCTGAAAGCATGCATTGGACTTGAGCCATGTAGATTTCCGCTTCGACTACGTTCTTGCGTGCTGGTGGTGAAGTTGCAAGGATACTCCAAGCGCTTTGTTGTTCTTCAGGGTCACCGATGTGATCCACGATGAAGTCGAACTGCTCGTTGTGGTGTAGCAGAGGGCCGGGATCAGCTGCTATGTCGTTTGGTCTCAGCAGGGACTTGAGGATTGACAGCGACATCTCTGTTCTTTGTTCAAGCAACTCCTTGAAGATGGAAATTCGTGGAAGCTCAGGTCCCAGCTGGTATGGGCTGCCGATTTGCGCTCCATGCTGGATCAGAAGGTTCGCTAGGTCAAAGTACCCATGTAAGATAGCCTCGAGAACAGGCGGTCTAGTACCTGGTGGATGATCCTGAACAGAGACCCCGGAATCTATAAGCTCTTGCGCTATGACAGTTCCTGGGGGAGATGAAGCCTGTCTCGCAGCCAGGTCGTGAAGTAATGTACGCGGCCATTCAGGATAACTTTCGATCTCGCCGCCATGGTCTCTCAACAATCGAAACACTCTCTCATCATTGAGCAGGATCGCTTCGCGCATGGGTCGATGGTCAGGCGAGCCGGAGGGATTATGACCCATTTTTAGTAACGCCTCAACAATATCACGATTCCCAAGTCGAATCTGCATGCACAAGGCTTCACCAGAGTGTCCACTGCTTGAGGCGGTGTTACCAAGTAGTTCTCTCTGCTCCTTGAAAATGGCGAACGTTTCCTCGACATCAGAACGATACCTCGGGCCATTTCTAATGAGTCGGCTGAGTAACGAAAACGTATCTCGGTTGCCAACCTTTTGCTCTTGAATCATCTTCAAAAGAGTCAGATCGTCAAAACCATTGAACAAGCCCGAGACTCTCGATTCTGCATGATCTTGACTTAAGAATAGTCGGAGAAATTTGGGGAATGCTAGCATGGCGGCAAGCTGAATAGGCGACTTCCCATCGACTTGAACCATAGGATCAGCTCCCAGTCCTATGAGGACTTCAGCAGCATGGGTGCTCTGGAATAAAACACATCGACCCAAAGGTGTGGTGGAGATAGACATTGTACCCTCCCAGTCGGCGTACGCCTTAAGAACTTCAGCTCTCATACCGCCCGACGCGGCATCGATCAGAGCTCCAGCGTCCAGTAGACCTTTCGCCATTGGCATCATCTCGTCTTTTTCAAACCTCCATAGCCAGTGAAGAGGAGTATCTTGTCCCAAAGGATGCCCTTTTGGGTCCGCGCCATGTCTAAGGAGCGCCAGAGACGCCTCCAAGTGCGCATTACGACAAGCACATACTAACGGCGTTTCTTCACAGTCCTGGTTCGGAAGGTCGATATTCAGCTTGAACGTGTTGATGAGGTGGTCAATTGTCTTGGCTTGTCCGCGGGCTGCTGCCATGTGTAGGACTCCATGCCCGCGGCTGTTGACAAAGATTCTATCGAAATGATTCACTTGAACAATTTCAACTGCTGAGGCCGAGACCTTCAGAGACAGCTCATACGCTTCTCCAAGCTCCTCTTTGAGCTCTTGTTGAAGTTGCTCAGCATTGTCGATTTGAAAATCCTTTCTCAAATGTCGCGGCAAGAATGCAAGGGAGCCAGGAACGCCGCTGTAGTAATTGGCAAGCTTCCGTGCTGTCAAGTTTGCTTGGGTGGCGTTATCTCTCAATTCGTCACTCAATAGTGGCAGAGCATCCTGAAGATCTTGGCCAGCCTGCCAACCTCCCCGTAAAGTAGCCCATGTAAGACAAGAAGGTAAAGCTTCTAACAGTTCGGGTGGTGTCTGTCCCAAGGCCTGGCTCACGCGCCATAGACATGATGCAGCGAGATATTCGAAGCCGCTTGAATCATCTGATCCTGTCACTGCATCACTTGCCGCTCTTCGAAGAGCCGCGCACGCTTTCTCGGGGTCGAGGGAGGTTCCAAACTCGGCGATATGGCATCTGAAGAGAAACCAAGCTGCGAATAGCTTATGTAGCTCGACATCGCGACTTCGATCACCAGAATTTGAAATAGCTTGGAGGGCTTGGAGAATATGTTCTTGTTGTTGCCATGACAAGACCTTCTTGAGTTTCTCGGGCTCAAAGACGAACCCTGGGTTTACGGGAACCTTGACTATGGGCCGAAAGCCGGGGCTGTAACATGTATCAGCATAGGCAGCTCAACGTACATAACATCTCTTACGTGTTGTTTTGCGGATCATATGTAGCTCCTACAGTGCCTAAGAATAGTCCAGCGCCATCTGCACTCATGCCATGCTTTCCCTGCCAAAATGTTAGCCTGGTATTAATAGAGTGCAGACGGTGGGGAAGTTTCCGATTGGATGGCATCACTAACAGGAGGTTCGTTGTCTTCGACTTCTTTCCACTTCCGATTCATTTGCGCGACGTTGCTCAGGTAATCTTCAACCTCAGAAAGACTAAAGCAAGAGAAAATTAGCTCCATCGAAACTTAGGAAAGCGAACAGTTTTGACATACGGGATACCTCTCAGAGCAACCTGCGCCTTGGCCAAAGACCTATCTGCCAGGTTCTTTTGTATGGTCTGTTCAAGAACATATTGAACCATTTCCACACAAGTCTGATCAACTTCATGCATATCGAAATAATCCTGGATCATAGACGTCGCTCTGTGTAAAAGACGACCAGAATCCTTAAGTTGAGCCAATGTCACCGATGAACCCGACAACTCTCGCCTAGGATTAAACTCATAATGAAGACTGGTCAAGTCCCCATCTGCAAATGTTTCGCAGACAAGTAGACCGAAAGAATAGACATCGCATAGTTTTGCGGCCTCGGCTGTGACAATGCCGTCGGTTTCCGGTGCTGCGTATCTTGGTGTCTTGCAGATGAAGCGATAAGAGTCGTATTTTTCAGAGCCGTAGACAGCACCTCCGAAGTCGGCCAATTTGGCCATAAAAGGGCCATGACTAGATTTATCTGCGAAGATCAAGACATTTTGGCGCTTGATGTCGCCGTGAATAATGCTGCAAGCATGAATGATAGATAGGCCTTTCCCCGCATCGTACAGCAATTTCTGTTTGACAGCGAATGCAAGTGGTGATTTTGAGTTACTCTGCAGGTCCTCTAAAGTTCCGTGCTCTGCATGCTCGATAATAAGTTGAGGATATATATTTCCGGATGATCCGTTCGGGCCCCAGCATAGGCCGATAAGGCGCACAATATTCGGATGATAGCGAAGTGTCTCGTGGAGAAGAGCGCGGATTTCGAGCAATACATGGTCCCAACCTGCTTTGGGTAGCTCGTCGGACTGAGATTGAATTCGAACTGTTTTCAAAGCCACGACACGTTTTTGGCGGATGACTGCAGGCGCGGATCTGATTGTTTGAGGGTTTGGGATCGCGATGGCTCGTTCAACTGAGAAGGTTGCGCCGCGATCAATGAATGATCTCTCAGTGAATCCTTGGATATACTCGTCGATAAAAACAGTTTCTGTGTTCCGTCCCTTCTTTTCGAGAGATGAGACATGTGCCAGGAAAGTCGGGAACCTGTTTTCGTTCCGATCAAGTTGGTCCCTGACTTGTTCCTCGACAGGCAGGACCCTTTCTGACGGCAGTATTGAGGGATTTTGCCAGAGTATCTGGCTGAAAGGGTCTATGATAGTCTCCATGTTGTTTGTTTGAGGTGATGAAGCGTTCAACATGCGCAAGGCTCCAAGATGAAGACGAAATCTGCCTCGGCTCTGTTATGTCTCGGACGTCACGCCTACATAATATGATAACGCTGATGGAGTGTATCGTGGGGTCGTCTGATTGGCTGCACCAAGCCACCCAAGTTCAGCTCAGCCCAGCCCATTCAGTTCTAGGCCTTAAAGCTGCATATGCCGCGTAAGAACCTTGAAGCCAGATTGCACTGCTTATGCCTGGAATATGCCTCATCTGACTTGACGTTAATTGAACATACACCGAACACACCGGCTATAACGGCCGACGACACGAGAGGGAATTCTTCTCTAGGTTAGTTCATGCTATTAGTCCGGCCACTAAACGACAGCCAACTACAATGCTTGATCCGGGTTCAATCATCGCCCTCACGCAAATCACTTACGAAGGCGCCAAACGAGCTGTCGACCTTGTTCTCACAGCCATACACTTTCCCAAAGAGTGTGAGGAGTTATTTGTACAGCTGAAGCTTGAACAATTCCGTCTGCAGTGCTGGGGTCGAAGTGCGGGGTTAGAGCAGGGAAAGCTGATTGAGGCTCTACACCCGATCTTTCCAGAGATACGAAACGCGCTTGACTGCATCAGTGCGCTCTTTCAGGACTTGAACAAGTTACAGGCTAAGTTCGGAATCGTATCAACCACTGTGGAGGATGTAGGCCAAAGACAAAAAGAACTGGCGTACAAGTGGAACGAAGAGCTTCATAAACAAGGCCTGGCACTTTCCGGTAAACAAGGTGACGATGGGGCGCCATCGTTGATCTCAAAAGAACAGAAGACTTTCTTCCCGGTTGGTACCTTCAAGGTCAACCTACCGGCTCGCCTCCGATGGGCATTAGGAAACAAGTCCAAGTTCCGCGACTGCGTGGCCGAGCTCGAAAAGTACACCAACAAACTGAACCAACTCTTGCCGGAACGCCAGAGTCTTCAGTACAAACAAGACTGGACAAGAGTCAACATCATAATCGTTGGAAAAGCCGATGATGAGAACACGGTATCTTTACTACGACATGCCCTTGAGGGAAGTCCGACTATGGAAGCATCACTCCGCGGCTTGGTGGATAGGAAGTCAGTTGCTGCTGCTCCGAGTACGACAAACTTCCTCCGAGGCAATCCGCAGTTGGACAAGAGCGCTTTCGCTATGCCTATGGGGGCTCAGAACAAAGAACGATTTATCGCGACGAGAAAGACTACTGGAGAACAGGTTCTCTTTGAGAAAAAGTCATGGGACGATGAACGCTCCATGGCCAACCGGTCCAAGTTACAAATGCGCCTTAGTCGACTCGTTGCGATGTTGCGTCCAGGAAGAAGTAACTACCTCCTAAAAGCTATCGGCTTCGCAGAAGACGAAGTTGCTAAATGTTGGTGGATCGTCTATGAGATACCGTCATCTGTAGCCAACGCTGGTGGGAATCATGTCATTACACTTCACGAGCGCTTCGGACGCCAGTTTTTCTATATGGCACCACTCGAGGTCCGAGCGAAACTGGCCTTTGCCTTGGCCACAGCCTACTCAGAACTGTTTAGCAGTGGCTGGGTTCACAAGGCTATCAGTAGTCACAGCATCGTGTACTTTGGTCCTCATACTGGTCCTATAAGTCCTTCTGTTGTTGGTTTCGAGTTTTCCCGTCAAGACACTGAAGAGTCAAACGTTGATGCCGCCAAGACGCCAGCACAAGTTGAACGAAGTGTTTATCGGCATCCTGATTACATCGGCAGTGAGGCAAAGAGATACATGACACAATATGATATCTACTCGTTCGGTCTCGTCTTAATAGAGATTGCCTTTTGGCAGCCGCTCAAAGATGTTTGTCCCTATGCCAAGGGCGACGCATTCGGGAAAGAAGAAGCGAAGTCTGTACAGAAGTGGGCGGTTCAAGTTGCAGAGACACAATTTGCGTTCAGGGTTGGGACGGTGTATGCCAATGTTGTGAGCTGGTGTTTGAAGAACGGTGCAAGAGTCAGCAAAGACCAGGAAGACTGGCATCCAGCATTGGCGTTTAACGATAATGTTGTTGTCCCACTTTCTGGAGCGTAGCTTAATCCAATGAATGTTTAAACTTGGTATTTCTAGATAGAATACTGCAGGTTTTAATACGAAAACAGGGGGCGTATTAAGTAGCTTGGAGTCCCTTATTCCTTCATTGGCTACGAACAGGTTCTTTATTTTGTACTCAGTGGTCTTAAAGCTATAACCGTCATAGCGTCTGTACTGTGGGCTATCATATCGCGTTGGGAGATTCAATCAGGTCTATTTGAAAGCCAACGTAATACCGAATCTCTTCTGTATCCCACGGAATAGGGATGATACTAAGCAAGTTCAAGAATGGCTTGCCTCCTTTGCGATAGTTGATTAGGCTCATCTGGCTTTCTCTCCTCTCCCGTATGTTATTCTTGAGGCCGTGTATGGTACGATCATCCACAAATACCCTCTGCGAGCCTCTTTCGACTTTGCCGTCTGGCGCTTGTAAGAACCGACAGTTTCTACCAATGGCTTCGTTCCGACCATATCCCGTGAGTTTTTGGAAGTTATCGGAGACGTAAACTATGGGGCAGTCTTCAAGCGTAATATCGCAGACGACAAAGGAACATGACATGTCCACGGCGCCGATATTGATCTGGGGTGTTTTTCGGGTATGGATTAGCCAAAGCGCCTTGGCAGCGTCAAATCCACTCTTGTTATAGATGCTTTTCAATCCAAGTCTTCCCAAATCAGCAGAGGTAGTGGATATTTGAGGCTTGGCCTTATTATTGATGGACTCGGGGGAAGCTTTGGGGATTGGAGCATCATCCATAGGTGGCTGATCTACCTCGGTACCTCGATCAATGGCTGGATATGACATCTTAAATCCCTGTGATGATCCTGGTGGAATGGCTGAATATGACATCTTAATTCCCTGTGATGATCCTGGTGGATGCTGATTACCCGATAGGCTCTGGCTGTTAAGAGCAGAGGAGGCCGCAGGTTTTGATACCAAATTGGGGAGCTCTACAACCCGCGCGCCGAAGGCTTTTAGGTCACGCGCAGATGGGTAGACGAGATGAATTTGGGGGTGTGCGGTGCTAAAATGTAATCCTGGAGATTGCTTTCCAGTGAATGTCATTGTGCTGTTGATGTCATTCGGCTGGCATGATGATGCTGTATCTTGTGTCCCTTCTTGTGTATCAAGTCCATCGTATTCCTCAGACGGAGGTTGAGTTGGAGATCCAGGAAACGATGCTGGAGGCGAGTCACATAGCGACTCGGTATACTCGAGAAATCGTTTCATTGCAAAATCGGCCTCCGTTCCATACCAGTCGGAACCTTTGCACCCTGTCACACTGGCCAGCTCGACACGGTCGTTATCCAAGACTTTCAATCTTGATTTGATATCATTGAATTCCTCTTTGAAGTCTGTTTCGAACCTTTTGGTGCGTTCATCTAATGATGTGATGGTAGAACTGGAAGAGCAAGAAAATTAGAAAAAGGCCACTGTCGTCCCCTTTACGCTATGTGCACTCACAATGTCATCACGTTCAATGTCATGTCCAAAGACACCTTGTATGTCGTAATCGTGTCCCTAAACAGCTGAATCTCCTTGTCTTTGAATGCCCAGGCCATTTGCTTCCAGACTCGAACTTTAACGGTCCCGTCTCTTGAGATCTGAGTGAATCCCTGCAACAAAGTCGTGAAGTCATCGAATATGTGCAAGCAGTTCTCCAAGGGCGCTTTGAGGCTGACACAGAGGTTTGGATTACTAGACAATCTATCCTGGACATTTGTGATATGGGCGAGAATCTCATATAAGGCTCTCAAATCGGTGGAGAGCGCGGCAATGTCCTTGGGGGCATTCTGCAGGCTGTCGATAAATTCATACAGTCGCTTAGAGCCATGTAGCAGTGCGCCTACAATGCCGACGACACTCGCTGTTACGGAAAGCGGATCAGACATTGCAGATATGTTTGCTTGGGAAGACAATGCTGGGGGGTGGCGGGGAAGATTTAGTTATCGTTTGTTATTTCTTTTTTGAGCCTCAGATATGGATTATTAGGTATTTACCTTACTAGAATAATATGCGAAATGCCTTGTAATGGCTCTGCTTCCAATTGGCTCTGCTTCCAATTGGCTGTTGGCCATACACGTCTCGCAGTCTGCCTTGTTGGGGCCTAACATGCGGCCTGGGAGCCTCGCCGAGAGCCTTGTTGGGTATTTATGCATAAACGGCTGATTACAGGAATATCGTGATCTTACGTATAATTCCACTCTTCTTGTTCCCAAACTTGTCAAACTCCCACAAAATGGAAGTCACTGGCCTAGCCGTTGGAGTTGTCGGACTCGCAGGTCTTTTCAGTACTTGTTTAGACTCACTTTCCAGATTTCAGTCTTACCGCGAGTCGAATGCCGAGGCCCATGTATTGAATACGCGTTTCCAAGCCGCTAGAACTCGATTTGAGCAATGGGGAGTCAGCGTTGGATTCTCCCATGGGCGGCTACAGCCAAATCACCATCGTGGACTCGATAACAAAAAGACGGCAAATGTGATTGAGGACATTCTTCACATCATCGCAAAGGAAATCTGCGACGAGGCAACTCTTTACAGAACTCGCACCGGGCACCGGTTCCAGAATGGACAACTGGGAGGTCCAACACAGTCAAGAAGCAAGCGGTTGAAATGGGCCCTTTGGGGTAAAGGGAATCGCAACGGGCAGGTGGAAACCTTTGAGAAACTGGTACAGCAACTGCATAACCTGGTATCACTAGAGAACAAAGGGGAGCACTACGAAAAGCTCAAGACCGCAGCATGGGCAGATGATATTCGCCAGATGCTGAACAAGATCGAGGAAGGGATGAGATGTGAGGATTGTCACCTCAAACCGTTAAGTATGATTCAGCTAACATAAATAAGCTGAAATGCAGCGCGATATATATTCATGGCTCGGCAAATCACCTCCAAACGATAGATACGAAGATTCACTAAGTAAACGAGTTGACACAACATGCGAATGGATATTCGATAGACCTACGTTCAAGTCGTGGCTCTCACCAGAAGATCCGTCTAAGCCAAGCTTGCTCTGGATGAACGGGCCTGCAGGATTCGGAAAGACCGTTTTGTGTGCTCATATCGTTCATCATTTATCCGAAGCTCTGAATACACCCGTGGCACATTTCTTTTTCACGTCCGATCATGAAAGCCGAGAAGATCCATTTTTTGCTCTGCGATCATGGCAGTGTCAGGTTGCAGCCAAGAACAAAGATGCTTTCGAATGTATCCGTCGGGCCTGGGAAAATGACTCTTCTGAGAAGGCTTCTCGAAAAGTTCTTGTTGACTTATTCAAAGAAATAGTTACTGCAGTACCAGCTTGCGTATTCATTGCTGACGGGTTGGATGAATGTTCCCAGTTGGGGACTGGCGACTCGTCCGTTGCCAGGTTCTTACGAGACATCATGAATGCCATAACTAGCACTGACGTCAGACTTCTACTTGTTAGTCGGGACGAGCCAGAAATCAGAGAAGTCCTGGAACAGAACGAAGAGTTCTTTTCGGAGTATAGGATCGGTACGGGTGATGTTGGGGCCGATACAGCAGCCTTCTCGCAGTCCGTTGTTGATAGAAAGCTCTACAATAAGAGCGAGGACCTCCGGACAGCTATCTCAGAGGCCATGACAGCTCGGTGCGAAGGCCAGTTCCTGTGGATCAAGATGCAAGAGAAGTCTTTGCGGAATGGCATGAGCAAGAAACGACTCCATGAAGTGGTGGAGAATACACCTTCCGGCCTTGATCGCCTCTACGATCACAACTGGAAGAGAATCATAGATATGCCCGATTGGGATCGAGATCGAGCTTTTGCTCTTCTACGTTGGACTGCATTCACATTCCGGCCTCTTACTATCTACGCGGTGACCGAAGCTGTTCTAATCACTCAGTTTGAAGAACTTGATCCTGACGAGTACCCCGAGAATGTCAACGACGAGTATATCAGAACCGAGATAGTAGGACTCTGTGGTCCCCTCCTGGAAGTCCACAATCACCCTAAGTATTCATCACCTGGATATCGGACACTTCATATACCGCATTTCTCCGTCCGTCAATACCTTGCTGAAAATCTACCAGCACCTGCCTGGATGAAAGCAAACGACATACTGAACAGGCAATACGAAAAGGTACACCATACAGCCATATCACGAGCCTGTGTTCAATATCTGAGTTTGCCGCAAATTTGGGAAAAACATAGCCATCCTGATCTATGTGTTGCAGCATTCCTTGCCTATGCCGCTCACCTTTGGATGCGGCACGCCAAGTTAGGTTTCATGGATCCATCACTTCTTCAACTTTCGAAAGCCCTTCTACTAAAAGATAAGGTTCATTTCAAGTCCTTAGTTGACTACCTTGTGGAACATCAGGACACAAGCTTGACTGAGGTCTCAGTCTTCCAGCCGCAGCTTCGCCCTTTTGAATACGTGTTTTACGAAGGATGGATAAACATGGCAGATCATCTTATCGAAGATGCAGATGTCAATGAGATTGGTGCATTGGGGCGATCACCTATTTTTTCGGCGTGCCATTCCGGCTCAGCAGAATCAGTCAATATGCTTATTCGACACGGTGCTGACTTGAGCATCACTGATTCTCATGGCTTTACATGCCTTCAAGTAGCAGCCGCCCATGGTTTTGAAGACATTTTCAGGATCTTGGTGGAGTCGAAAGTCAAGTTGTCGCCACAGAGTCATTATGGCTCTACACCATTACATGTTGCCTCGAAAGGAGGCCACATCAAGTGTTACCAGTATTTACTGGAGCAAGGCGCCGATTTCACCATCAAAGATAGATCAGGTTGCAGTGTCGTGCACTACGCATGTTTTTACGCTGGCCGGGCTGAGCTACTAAGATTCATCCTTCAGAATGGGCCTGACACTTTTGCAACTGATCACCTTAACAACAGCATAATTTCACCACTCCTTGTTTTAAGTCTCTGTGGCGATATCGATATGGCCAAGGTTCTTTTTGAGTATGGGGCAGTATCTTCCCTGTTTGTTCCCAACTGTGATGGGGAGCTGCCGCTTCATGTCGCGGCATCAGAGGGTCATATCGAACTTGTGAAGCTGTTCCTAGAGCATGGTGCAGAAAAGACGCTGTCCTTTTCGAATACGGCTGGCTTTACGGCACTTCATGTTGCCTGCGGTGTGATAGGGCGCGATGAAATCATCAGTCTTCTTCTTCGCCCAGGAGTTGAACAGTCGCTACTAATGGAAAACGAAGTGGGGGACACGCCACTACATGTGGCGTCCGGAGCAGGATACTCCAGTTATGTGAAGTTGATACTTGAATACTCAGAGCCAGAGCACCAATGTCTCCTGGAAAAGAGAAACGGAAAACTCGAGACGCCTTTATATCTCGCATCTTCTTGTGGTCATGTAAATGTTGTCCGCGAATTGCTGAGCTACGGGGCTCAGACAACGCTCTCAATCTCAAATGAGATGAACAAGACGCCTTTGTTTATTGCATCATATAACGGACACACAGAGACCGTGAAGACACTACTAGAACATGGAGCAGAACCTAATCTCTGTGACAGCGACATTGGCATAATTAGTCCATTATATGCCGCATCTGTCAAGGGCTTTAGCGAAATTGTCAAAGAACTACTCTCCCACGGGGCAGGACAGACCATTTCAATTCCTGGTATATTGGGCGAAACACCATTACATGCCGCCGCGACTCACAACCGGGTTGAAGTATTGAAGCTCCTTCTAGAGGTTCCTGATGTCCTCGTTGATCAGAAGACCACGTATGGATTCACGCCCTTGTTCCACGCCTCAAGAAATGGAAATCACGATATTGTAAAACTACTTCTCTCCGCAGATTCGGTTGATAAAGACAGCGAGAGCTGGTTGGGACTGACTCCCTTATTCGCAGCCGTGGCGAATGGACATCTGGAGGTTACAAAACTGCTTCTCTTGAAAGGAGCCTATGTTCAACCCTGTATCAGTCTTGGACAGGACTTGCTCTGGTGGGCTAAACGTTCAAACAAGACGGACTTGACACATCTATTGGAAGCACATAAAGACCTCATCAGTACCTCCAGCGGGTCATACACCCCTCTACCTGGTCCATTCACCAATTTGGAGCCATTACCTCAGAATGCGGAGACTGTAGCCTGTGCGCCCGGGTTTTTCTGGTGTTGTGCTTGTACCTTAAGCGTACCGGAGGACCAATACTTCCATTGTGCCGAGTGCGACAATTCCTGCATGTTTCTTTGCTCGGAATGCTTTAGTCGAGGGTTTCAGTTGTGTCCGAGATTGCATGCTTTGGTTCCATACGAATCCGATGAATCGGACAGCTCGACGGCTCCGTAGATTCTGAGGAGTCATAGTTACTAAGTTCCATATTTTAATTATAAGCTCTCAGCTATAGATCTCAACTGTAAATAGCATATATAGGTCAAAATTTAGACTTTATACTATGATGCTTAAACAATTGCTACAGCATCAATAAACTTCGAAAATTCATATTTTACAATTTTACTAGGAATTCAAGATCTCCGCTAGTCACTTAGCAAGCATAAAACTCCAGGAGTGTTAATACCTAATCATCACAAGCATTAGCCCGAGCTATAAAGGGCCCAAGCTTGGAGGGATGCCTGAGGGCCAGATGGTCGAGTAGTACCTGTTACCCAGTTGAATCATTCATGAACCAATTCTCTAGTCAAGCGGTTATTTGCTCTCAAACAGCTTTGCTCCACTGATTTGTCAACCTCACCCATCCTAGCATCTTCATCCCAAACTCTGGCTCCTCCTCTAAATTCCAACCACTAGGATTATTAATGTTCTTCCCTCTCGCAAAGACTATTGCTACTTAGGCTACTCCTCAACACGAACGAACCTCTTTGCTATGAGTCTGACCGTACCTTGTGGTGACGTGGTTGATCGAGGTGATTTTGTCGGCTCGGATGACGAATATGAGGTCGAGGAAGTTGCCGAAGACCCCCAGCGTTACCTAGAGGGCCTTTACTAACCTATTTGCATCGGCGAAACCTTGGCCGACCAGTATCGAATTGAACAAAAGCTAGGCCACGGAGGGTTCTCAACCGTCTGGATGGCATACGACATGCTGGAGAAGAAAGATGTGGCGCTCAAGATTATGACGCCTGAAGAATCAAATGAGCATGAATATAATATTCAGAAGGAGATCATCAGGATCATTCAGGACACCTCCCATCTCGTACTTTGTCAAAACACGTTTCTCCTCCCTGGATCTCACGGGTTCTCGTCTTGCCCCTACAAGGCCCCAATCTTCGGGATCATCGCCGTCAGAAGCCAGTGCGCACCCAAATGTCAGCTGCAAAGCAACTATTACAAGCCATCAGCCACCTGCATGATAGTGGAATTGTGCACAGAGGCCAGTAAACTTATGGCCGCCCTCCCATACATCAAACGTCGATTCTCAGTAATGAATGAGCTAATTCAATTCGCAGACTTGAGCAGTGCAAACGTTATGTACAGTCTTCGACCCATCGACAACAGCAGTGTCACTGCAAAGTACCAATACATAGGACGCCCTAAGAAAATGCGTCTAGATCCCGACCTTTGGAATACAGGTGAACTAGTCATGCCAATGCTGGCCCATGAAAGCCTGATTGGAGACGACGTATCTCTCGGCGACTTTGGACTAGCACTCAAATCAGGTACTCCAGTCTCACAAAGCTGCAGTCACCTGCTATTTATTGCGCCCCAGAGAGAGTTCGTGACCAGGACCCGACCTTCGCCACTGATATGTGGAGTTACATATGTATTTTTGCCGAGCTATATATGGGCTATGCCCTCTTCTATGGCTTGGGGAACTCTTCAATAGTGTCTTATATAGTTCACACTTTAGGCCTTCTCCCTACTACATGGAGGGGGACTTACAAGGCCGGTGGCGCCGACAATGATTGGTGGTATGACCAGGGATATAAGCTAGATCCTTCGGCGTCACTTGAAGCCAAGGTATCACGGCTACGACCAGATATTGATGCAGTGGAGCGAGAGCTTGTGCTTTCCATGTGGCGGAAAGGGCTTTCATATCAGCCCCAGGATCGCCTAACTGCGAGTCAGTTGCTAGAGGATGTTTCTTTCAAGGCGCTTATGGAGATTTACGGAGTACAGGAACCTGCATAATAGTAGTCGAGATAATATACAGGTATTATCTGCACTATTTGTTTTTAATCTTTGCACTACCTACTTGTTATAGCGAGCTGTTTGCTTGGTTGTTGGTTAAGTATAGAGCAACTCTGCCTTGTCTGCTCCGTGCAACTTGTTACGGTTTCGCCATTATCATTTAGCGCTTTGATCCCTGCCATGACCCCCTGGTAGGGCCGATATGTTTTAAGGACGAACTTGTATTTAGAACCAACAGCCAAACTCGGCATTTACTTATTTGGGTAGTGACCAGCAGGCCAGTGAAAGGCCAACATTGTTTCAACCCAGTCACCCAAGGCAGAGCCAACAAGATGTCGCTAACCAATAGATTGTTATTTTCATGTAGATGGGACTCTCGGTGGCCCTCCCCTGATCCTTGCAAGGCCATGTGCAACAGTCCACTAACTCCCCTATTGCTTCATCGCCATAGACCTTGGCCTACCAGCTGTCATCGCTGCGGCGTCAGTTGGGTGGCATCACTCTCTATCGCTCTTTAGCATCCTGACCCAAAACATAAGCCGGGCCAACGTTTCTATGTACTCGCCGAGATAGCATATGAGAAAGGTCTCGGTCCTATTATGAGTGCATCTGGCGCGGAATCAACGACGTGGCAAAGTCTAGAGAAGGTGGTGTTTAAAAGAAAGAAACTGGAGGATAGCGGCTCAGAGGCAAGACTGAACCCTTTAATGATACCCACATCGCTGTATCTCCGTAGTAAATTTCAACTTCATGGACGAGATGGCATTCATCGTCCGGATTGACTCATTTTCCGAGATATGCATACTCGTAGGTACGCAATTGTGATCTATTCAGCTACCTGCGCCGTTGGGCAATCTCACCCTACACTACCTAGCGATTTACATACTCACGATGCTAACTCCATCCTATAGGGGTATTAAATTTACGCTGCATGGTGATTGATATGTTCACAGGGCGACTAGCCAGGCACCTTAGCATATAAGCAGTACTTATAAAGACGTTTATAGAGTAAAAATCATGAAAAAGATTAGAAAACATTCTATGTCTATTTTCAATTCTATACACATATTCTCTATTAAACACATAAAGACGTAGGCATTATTTGGCAAACACAAAGGAAATAACAGCCCCAAGAAACTCGCACCATATATCCGATATTAATAAAGCGACAGACATTAGGAGAAGTGTGTTATGCTGTTTATAATGAAAACATAAGAGAGATAGTTAGCGTTGAGGCATTAAGGTGCATTAAGGCAGCGGACAGAGTTGCCTCGAGGGATGGAAAGCTCAGAAGTCCCAGAGTGTGCCGAAAGCGTGCATTCCCTCTAAATCAATCATTAGCTATCAGCGAAACTCATGAAAAAATTAGGATAGAGTTGCACGAACCTTCACGGCATCCTTGCATCATCTCATCGTTACCCTTCATGTTAGACGTGATAAAGATCACCTCGGCACCAAAATTGTTCCAAGTGTCTCTTAGAAGCTGCATTGTATCCGGTCGACCGCCGCGCTCCTTGGTATCCCATAGTATCATTCGATCAGGCTCAATGTTATCGTGGATAAGACGCGAAATCGTCGATCCGAAGGTATTTCTCTGGTCAGAGCCTATCCAGATGAGGAACCTTGGATAGACTGTTAACAAAAGCCGGTATTGACTAGCATTATGGGCATGCGTACCAGTTTTTGCTTTGAATGCATGTTGACAGAGCGGCGCCAATACCTGTTCCAGTGCAGACGCGAATACCCCTGTTGAACATGGCAGAAGCGTGGCCGATTCCGGCTACACACTATTAGTACAGTTGATAGCATAGGCTACCTGGCAAGTAATTCATACCGAACTTCAACTCTCTTGTCCAGATCTTTGTAGGCGGATTCGCAACAAGACTCTTAGTGAAATCACCCTGGACACCGCAAACCATATAATGGTAAGGGGAATGGCGTCCTTCACTGATGATACCGAAAGCGTGATACTCCATCAATGCTGAACGGCCAATGCGTCCAAGAAGACCTTGCTGCATTCCCCTATTGAAACGAAGGACGGCAACCTTGGACGAGGGTATCTCTACTTCAACGGGGACCTGTCGGATTGTGACCCAAGGGAGCGCGATTCTGGAGGATGTAAGTGTCAGTAGTTACACTTTCGGAGGCTGGTAAATGTGGAATATCTCACAAGATCGTCATGAAAATGGTAAACCAGATGTTTTCCGTGGTTATCAAAGATTGTGCATTGGAACTATCTTTACCACTGTTGGCATCGTATGCGTTACTCAAGACAACGAAAGACCACGTCGCCTATACCCCAGTCAGCACGATCAACCTACAAAGATATTTGGATTATGACTTACAGCTAAGCCTAACCAACCAGCGAATCGGTGGTACCTCTCAAAGATATTGTGGTGGTTACTGAAGAAGGAGATGAGTACGGTTCGCTTGGCGAGGCAAGCTTTGACTCACTTTCGAACCCATGGGAATGCACTCAGCACGGATATTATGATGAAGACGACGGTGACGATCCCGCTGATGAGTACATCCGGGTGACGGATGCTGCGGTGACTGAGAATCTGTACAATGTAATACACCAGCCAACTACAACAAGTCAGCAACTAAATGAAAGCATGTATAGAAGGATTTCTTACGCAGTGCCAGAGAGTGCACAGCCCGAGTGTACTCCCCCAACATGTTGCAGAAACGATGCTGCCATCAACTTCATTCTTATCGGAGCCCACTGTGAGATGTTAGCAGAATCAAATCATCGTAGCTTATCTGACATACACTTCTCAGGCCGTAAATAAAAACCATATAGAGTATTCGGAAAAACAGCTCGTTCCGCATCAAGATAGCAAAGAGCAGGTTTCCAAGAACCATAGCACCAAGATGGTTCTGCGCATATTGGAACTGACCAACGCTGGTGAGGATAATACCAATCAGGTTAAGAGTGACAACGAAAGTGAACAGCCGCTTATATGTGTTGAACCACAGTACGAAAAGGGTACTTCTTCTGGGTTCCTGCTTCTTTGGCGGCGGCGGTGCGATCTTTTGTTTAGGCAGGATTGGCAACGAGGAGTCCGATTTGCAAGAGTTGTGAAAGGACGAAGTCGACTGGGTAGCGGACCACATGTTTCCCTCGTGAACTGGAGGAAAGGCGGTAAGGCGGCCATCCTCGACACCCGCTTTATCAGATGCATGCACTTTACTCAGTGGTGAAAGTCTTATTTCTGAGCTATCATGTTGACCCTTCTCTGCATCGTTAAACTCACGGTTGAAGCTGGTCTCCGACGGGGTCTCCTGATAAGGGAATCGGAAACTCATGGTGACGGGGGATAAGGGGGGGCTAAAGGTGAGCTAAGAAGTGATCAGGACGAGCTAAAACCCAGACAGAGATTTAAAAGACTCTGATTTATCAGTGATACAACTTATGGCCTTGTAACCATTCGGCCGGGATGCATGTTATATAACTATCCTGTTCAACCCATGAACCGAGGCTACTACCTCACTGTCAAGAAAGTAAAGTTTTATGCGTCATCTGTCTACGTGTAGGCTACGGACTGTGTGAAGCGTATTCTCTGATATGCTATTTAAAGTTGACTCTCGCTGAGAACCGAAGTTTATCGCGTGCCTTTCCCTCGTGTTTAATACAGGGCGCGGGCTGAGGCTCTGGGCGCATGCATACGCCGACAGGGGAGCAGAGCCGCCCCCACGGGACGGACTTATCATGACCAGTACAGGAATGGCTTATCCGTAAGGTACGCAGCTGAAAGTGTTGGACGGGTAGACAAGGCCGATAGACCAGGGTAACGGTTCCAAGCTGGCGGTACATCGTTGGATTTCTTCATGCGTCTTACATGCGGCGCTTATTATCGCCATATACGGCTATTTAAGCGAGAAACACTCCAATGACATTTTGACTGCACGTATAAATTGTTTATTTTGTAGCATTTAATTTAAACTGCCGATGTGGGATAACGGGCTCCGAGGACGGTAATATTACGATGTAGCATTTTGGAGGTCAAAGTAAGACTTTAGTTCTGCACTTTACTTATGATCCCGAATTCCGACAGCTCCACTATAGTAAATGCCGGATTACTATTCCATATTCAGGAACACGCAATGGAGAACCCCACCTAACGTTAAATAATGGATACATAAGATTTCGATCCGCACATATAAAATGCAAATTTCATTACAGACAAGAAGCAATAGGTCGTTTGTTGGAGAGCGGCTCTGAGAACAGAACTCTATATAATTACTGAGCTTCTTCTCTCTGCGTGGTACTCCCACGTCGGCAATTAGCTGAAGCCTGAACTTCAACCTGTTAGCTGTACAGAAGCTGAAGTCATATACTGACTTGGCCAATCCTACTCAGCGCACTTACCTTGACTGTTTCTATTTAACATCGATTCTTTAAAGTTAGCTGCTAGTTGAAACTTTTGGTTTGTTTATACATGTTTCATCCGGCGGCCCGTAGGAAGGGTAATGTCCCCTGCTAGGCTGAACTATCTATAGTTGCTATCGTATTATACCCGGAGACGGCAGATGTACCTTGGGTCGTCAGCTACCGACAGTATGCATGCAGATCGAAAAGGGGCCCGCTCAAGCTCGATGCCCCAGCCTAAGGCGCTGTCCTTCAACCTGCGCCTAGCCCTACAGTAGCTTCGTAAAGCACATCATTTAATACGCCAACGCAAGCCGTAGGACCCGAGGTACAATGCAACGGCAATCTACGTCATGCATCTTTGGGGAAAGCCACCGCCGCAAAAGCACTCAAGGCGGTCAGGGCGATGCTTTATAGAGGAGGAAGCTGCCTAATTCCGCGGTCTCCGGGAAAGCTTTCCACGACTTCACCCTAGCGGTAGTATACAGTGGTCTTGGGCAGGAAGAAACCGTTAATGCCTGTTTCTGTTACGAGAGGCAGCCAAGGCTCAAAACATAAATTTATTTGCAAACTGAGGATGTAGGTTGTATGGCACTGTAGCTTCTGAGCTGTAAAAGGTGCAGCGAGCAATTCGGGGCCCGCGCGTTGAGTCAAGGCACATAAAATGGCTCAGCAGCTGAAGACAAACCGACTAACCTTGGAGTTTCTATCTTGGCAACTACTCCAAAACATTCATGCCATAGGCCAACGAGTGCTCAATGAAGATGCGGCGATTCTTGCTAACGAGATCACCGAACTGCTTATCAGCACTTCCTCGCTGAGTTGCATTCGGGCTCTAAGGAGGTCTGTGCTAAAATACAAGGTGGATATCATCCTAGCGGCCGCTAAGTCCCAACGCTTTGGGTGCCAGGAACTGCCGTTGATCTGCACCATCGAACCTTCGTACCACGTAAGCCTTGCATCTCCTCGGATCTTTGATTCTCTATGAGGACGAGGACATATTCTTGCCGCTGCTTAGCAATTCCGTAATCTTGTTCAGGGCTTGTTCATCTCCTTCTTTTGTTTCAGCTAGCTCCTCGTCAACCCAGCCTCGTGTATACCCGCCCCCAAAATCAATCAGCCATGCATTGTCCTTCTCGTCAATGATAATATTGCTAGGTTTTCCGTCTCCCCAGATCAATCCGTGCTGATGAAGACTCTCTATGGTTTGGCGGATCTGGGAAGCCCATTTTTGCTTCTTCTGTGTCGTGGAAGAAGTGATAATATCGCTAAGTCTGTGCCCAGGTACCCACTGTCGAAGAAATCCCAAGATCTGTTTGGTATCCTTATGATGGATATATCCAAGGAGCCGAGGGACCTGTAATGTATTCGGTGGGAAGGTCTTGAGCACCTTGCGAAGACATTCAAACTCCCGTCCCTCACTGGTACTAAAGAGCCCGTTTGGTTCACCACTCGCCTTGCAGAACATGTCTCGTCCTTGCACTCGAACGGCAGCCGTAACAGTCCTTGCGCCACATAAAAACACCTCGGTCACCGTGACTTCCTCGGGTATATAGCGAGGCAAATCTTGGCAGATCTCCAACTCTTCTTGGTAGCCTTGGTCGATGGCAGGGTCGACAGTATGAATGGTGTGTGTTTCACTGGAGCTGATGGGTATAATGGAGACACTACCAGTAGGATTAGGAGCCGCCAAACGAAAGTAGAAGAATGGAGGGAATAAGAAGTGATGCAGAGATTTGTTGTTTTGAGCCGGTGCTTCATGCGAAGATATCAGCTTAGAGAAAACTGGTCTTCCAGCGTCAAGAATAACGGCGAAGACCTCATCCACAAGCTCCTCATACTCGTCGTTGTCCCGGCACGCGGTGGCCTTATCGATGAGATCAATAAGATGGTCCTGAAGTGGTCGGTCTTCTTGTCTTTGTGTGTCCTTTGTAGATGATCCGTTGCTAGGAAATATGGAGACAGAAATCAGGCTCCCATTGAAGGTAAATACCATATCTACACCATCTCCAACGCCACTATGAAGTTCGTTGACGGCGAGATGTTCCATTGCCTCTATTTCTGCTAGGTCGCCCATGCTTCGAGCCTATGAAATCAGAATGTGTACGTGAGGAGGTTATAGGGATGGTTAATAACTGCGGGGCGGGGTATAGACCTGAGGCATACGATAAGCATGCATCGTGAAGAATGTTGTGAAACCGTGATTCAAGTCAATTAGTAAGCGGCCCTACTACGGAAAAGCCACAAGGCCAAGGTCAATATGGCAAGACAGTTATTCCGTTGCAGCGTGGACTGCAAAGTGACAATCCAACGGAAATATCATAAAGGCTGACTTGTTATTATTAGCATTGAACTTTAGCTGATCCGATGCCAAGCAGTGTACAGCGATCGGTGAGAGATTGCCAAGAGATAATCTCCAATAGCGCATCTTTCAGCTGCGCCATTTCCTGCCACTGAGACAATGTTGGACATAGAAATACCAACTTTGGGATAAGGCGCATGTAAATGTGGAGTTGGTTTGGCTTTTAGTATCAGATCGCCATAGAAACCAGCCACTTCGATTCCCGTCCGAAACAGCCGTGTGTACTAAGTTTGTGCAGCAAACTCTAATAACTGCCGATACTTGCTTATAAACAACATGCGGCCGCCTTTCATCTTGTTAGGGTTCTTCTCTAGATTGATCATTTGACAATTGGCCTGTTTAGTTGGAGTTCTTGACGTGGATTCTGTCGTGAGCAGAATCTTACTATTTCAGTGATAATGGTCTCTGAAAACAATGCCGCTTTCCCTCCAAAAGGTTTGTAATTGTTTAGACAAGGGGCCAGGCTACTCTTTACATTACTTTACTGATAATCATTCAGTCTGGGCAACTCTGGTGACGAACGATGACTATCTCAAGGGCGTACTGACACTCAACTACCGTCTACGATGCGTCAAATCAAGATATCCACTGCTAGTTCTCTATACCAGTTCATTATCTCAAACCAGCGTCGACTCCCTCAAGCGCCGCAACATACCGACTCGCGAAGTTCCAAAACTCGCGCCAACCACTGCAAAGGATTACACAGATGACCCACGGTTCAATGAATGCTGGACGAAACTAATCGCCTTCTCACTCACGGACTACGCACGAATAGTTCTTCTTGACTCAGATATGCTACCACTTCAGAATATGGATGAACTCATGGATCTCCAGCTCGATTCACCCTCACTAAGCGGATCTGGAGATGCGGCTCGCAGTAAAAGGGTGTTTGCTGCTTGTCATGCGTGTACTTGCAATCCCTTACGAAAGCCGCACTATCCGCCAAACTGGAAACCTGAGAATTGCGCTTTTACATCACAGCATGCTGCACCAGAAATCGCTCAAACGACTGGGGCAGATATCTCCACAGGATTGGGCAAACTCAACAGCGGGCTCCTCGTCATCAATCCATCCAAGGCCATTTTCGATCAGATTATCGCCAAGATGGACGAGGCAGGCTTAGACTACCAGTTTCCGGACCAGGACCTCTTGGCAGATCTTTTCAAAGGTCGTTGGGTTGCATTACCATACATTTACAACGCCTTAAAGACGATGCGGGAACCAAGTGTGCACGGCGCCATATGGTGTGATGATAAGGTCAAGAATGTTCATTACATTCTCAGTCCTAAGCCTTGGGATGAGCTTGGGCCAGATGGGACGTGGAAGGAGGTCAAACCTATCCATAAGTGGTGGATTGACGCGTATAAGTCAATGCGTGCAGAGGAAAAGACACTAGGAATCTCTTGACTACAATATTCTCGTGTCCAGGGTTATGGTATAGCTAATTAAGCTCTCAGAATATTACTCATACCTTTGCAATTTCCGCGGTGGCACCTTTTATATCATAATCTCCTTCTAGTTGGCCACGAAAAGCTTCAACAGCTTCCATCATACGCTCCAGACCTAGGTGCAGATATCTCCCATCATGAGCAAACACAATTCGAAACCAGCCGGGTATATCACTTCCAAAATCGGCCCCGAGCGCCAAGAAGATCTTGTGCTTCAATAAAGTTTCTTGCAGACTGGCCTCGAGAGTCCTAAGAGCTTTTCCGGAGTCCTCCCTGTACTCCTCTTGGATCTGCAAAGTGGCGTCGACTGGTGCACGCAGGGGCTGGAATAGATCAGCCCAGACGAACAAACCCGCGTTAGACCCTTTCTTGTATGGAATCTGATGGCTTTCAAGGAACTTTGTTGTCAGTGTATAGTTCTCAGCTAGCCGCAATCGATTGGTTTTGACGTAACTCTCAATGAAAGCATCGTCGTCGAGTACACGTGCGGTAGCGAGGTCAGCTAGTGATGAAGGGCCAGAGAAGTAGGAGTTTGCTTCGCACGCACGAAGAAATGCCTCGTTCCGACTGATCAGGCAGCCTATTCTGATACCACAGGAGCCAAAGTCCTAGCAATCAGTTAGTACATCAAGTTTCGTGTTTATCTTGAAATCCTAACCTTGCCCATGCCCCAAAGCACGTGGATCAAGTCTCTATCGATCAACCCATCGGGATCAATTGCCAAAGCTGAAGTGAATCCTGGTGCATTAGGGGCTTCTGGGTTCTCCCAGACCGATAGAGCATATACCTCGTCACTGATGAGGTGCAGGCTATGTTTCTGACAGAATTGCATGTACGCTTTCAGAACCTCGGGAGTATAACAACGACCTAGTAGATAGTCAGATCGAGGCTTCACTACATATGAGTAAATACTTACCCAGTGGATTGTGAGGATTACACAACAGAAAGACTCTCACGCGAATCCCCTGTTTTTCAGCCTCCTCTAAAGCTTTCTCGTAAGCCGCAACAGTCTCGACGCTGAAGGGGTCTATGTCCCCAAACGAGACACCAACAATCTTTGCTCTATAGGAGGTCAGGATTTCTTAGCCAGTTATCATCAGTCATCTCAGGCTGGCACTTACTCTACTCGATAACCTAAATCGATAGGAAAGTTTCCATAATGAGGTCGCGCAAGCAACACACCATCGCCTTTGTCGCAGAGCGCGAAGCCACTGAGTTCGATTGCCTGACCTACACCCGAGGTGACGATAACTTGGTCTTTGATGACTTGTTCATATGGGCTAAAGTGGCGGCTGATGAAACTTGCGAGGGTATTTCGTAGGCGATGAGAGCCAGTGAAGCCGTCGCCTGCTGTTAAAGCATGACTATCAACGCTGAACTGCTGGAATCAGTATCACTACCTATTTAGCTGCAAGAGCGGGACCATTACATTTTCCGTGATATGCTGTGTCAATTCTTTATGCATGAGAGTCTGTGTCGTGTCAGTCATTGCACCATTGAGTTCCAGTTGGGGTTTTCTTTCACATTCTCAGCAACTCCGAGACTGATGTATCCGTCAGGGTTTGCTTCTGGATGCCATAGGTCGCTGACTACATCCAACATTGGCATCTTACTCGTCGGCGTCGCGAATACCTCGCCTCTCTTTGAGAGGTTTGCCTTTGAAGATGCCATGATCGTGTCAAGATACGTGTTTATAGTAGCGATAGTTTACGACAAACGCTTCGATTGTCTCTAGAGAAAGTCTCAGGTCCCAGTGTAGGAGGGGAATAGCGGCAAAGTTCGATCGCGCATTTATTTGAAGGAAGCCAACAACGGCGGAATGCCGCCCAGCCCATGTTCTCCAAAGGGCGTGGAATGACATCACGAGTAAGCAGCCAAGACTCAAATGGGATGAAATCTACAGAATTGTCATTCACGACCTCATTGCCAATCAATACGGTAATTGTTATTTAAAGAGATATTATATCCTTTCTTTCGGCCCAGATACGTAAATCGCCGGGCAAATATCACGAACTTGGCAAGTCAGCATTTCAAGACTGGGTTGTACGTCTAGGCGAACTACGATATGCAATCAGTAATATAATCTATCACTTTGCCGATCATCTTTACTGTCCGATCTTGTACTACCTACCTTGTCGGCCTTCTGCCAGTTTCAATGTAAGAGGTTGCATGCCGGTCACGTTTCAGAGCATCACACTTATCGACCGACGACTCATTGTCGGCCTAGTTCCGTCAACAAGAACCCTTTTTCCGTAATGCCCCTGTCGATGTCATTCAGGCAATTCTTGCCGAATATCCTGACTCAGCGGACACTTGGGATGCTCCCTGGTACCAGTACCTGAAAGTTTGGTTCGGCAGTTATTGAACTCTTTCTGTGCCACCGACCCCCATTAAATGCCAAGCATCAGCTGAAACTATAGTGCACCGGTTATTGACTCTCAATCATGCTAAACCTAATATTTGGCGTTCTCCCAATATCACAGCTTCCCCTCCCTCACTTCAGTCCTCAAGTACCGAGCCCTGTCCGACTCATTAGCGCTAATGGTGCGATGTCACATTGGCGGAAGTTCCGGAGTATTTCTTCCAACTTCTGATTCCATCACTAAAAGACACGATACTACCTTGATGCGTCTGATCGCCATCAGGGCATTGTTTCTTATTAGACATTGAGTTCTTTGGTCGCAGACGCAGGACTAAGCTGAGATGCACGTGGAAAAAGCAAAAAGTGAGGTTACTAGAGCAAGAACGGCGTTGGCTTTCCACTGTCATATCGACAGCCTCAGTTTATGGAGTTCTAGACTTGCACTAACGTCAGTGGAAAGTCAGTGCGTAGAATGACATTTATTGACATCCGCCGAAGCTTAAGCGGCCACGGACTGAGGTTTGCGGAACTTGAATGGGTCAATAGTCACGGATGCGTGGGGTCTAGAGATGAGACATGTCGCCAATAGTGGAGTTGGGTACGAAAACAGTTTCCTACTGTAGAATCTGCAACGGAATGATCCGTGACATTTCTTGAGTGGGTTTTGTTTGGGCTGTTGAAAACCTGCTTTGGCATCTTCCGTGAGACAACGCGGATCGTCGTAGAGTTCACGCTTGAGACGCAGGGGCCCATGCACTAATGTCACCAAAATCATCACGCCCACGTTGCGATTGGTTGAAATGGTTCCTACTATTTGGGTCCAAATGACTCGAGATCGCTATTAATTATTTTACTCTACAAGGTATATCCATAACATCGCTTTTCCATGACTCCAATTCGTGTTCCAGTTGGATCAGTGTTTAGAAACATGCACCGTCGTCTCATTCTTGACGAGAATGCCACCAAAGTTTGCTCCGAATTCACCAGTGCCTGGACTTTGACCCGTGACCGTAGATGTGTACTTGTTCCCCGCTGGTCTGAACCGGTCGATGGCGTGGCTCTCAAAGTCTGATACCGACCCTCGACCACCGCCGTCGTCGGATTCGGCGAGTTGGTGTGTTGAGCTGGATTCGTCGTTGGGGGTAGATTTGTTGATCGTGTCGAGGCGGATGGATTGCTTGGTTTGACTGCGGCCGTAGCTGTTGGGGTAACTTCCTGAGCTGGCGCCTGTTCGGGTTCGGGGATGGGTGCAGGTGAAGATGTATGTGCACGCGGGTCGAATCGTGGGTAGTGAAGCTGTAATTGTTAGACGTCGTTGGGTGCGTAATTTGAATTGATGCGTACCAGAAACGTTGATCAGATTGACCTCTACTGTTGCCCAGATGACAATGTCGCAAATGTTCCATGTCAAATCAGGTGACTTGTCGTCGAAAACTCGAGCGGCGACAATAAGTCGGATAGCGGCGGCGCAAATGCTGGGTCTGTCAGCGTGTTTGTCAATTGACCCAAGGCGCAGGTCACTTACAAGAAGCCAAAGGTAAACATGACCATGATACCAGCCTTCTGAATCATAGGCAGCTGCAATTTACCAATCTGCCACATCGGAAGGATCAAGATGGCGATATCAATGGCAGCATGCACCAGGGTTGTACCGAAGAAGAACTTCTTATCCTCAATTGCGCAATATCCGCCTGCATTCGAGTCCCAGAACGCATTAACAGGAACGCAGTGAAAGATGCCCATAAAGATCTACCGTCAATTAGCCTAAAAGCCTCGAGTGATCGCGATGTACATACTCGGAAGATGATCCAGACGATGGCGCATCCAAAGAGAATTTGAATCGGTAGTCGAATATTGCTGACTCGGAACATGCGCCAGTACAGGCTCAGAATTGACACCTTTGCGAAGAAGAGACCGAAGGCGTAGAAGAGCTCGGCGATGAAGAGCAGGAGTTTTCCTTCGTATAACGCATCCCCCAATGAAATTTTCCTGATTTCTACGACATCCATAATGTGTAGTCCAAGACCACGATTGACCCCTTGGCAATTGTTAGTATCGTTATCGGTCGTTGGTTGTTATGCGGGAGCCTACAGTAGGGAATAATAATGATCCAACCAACAGAGATGGCCTAGAAAATTAGCATTCGCCAGTTTGCATGTAGCAGAGTAAAAACTCACATATCCGCAAAGAGCAAAGTAATCATCCCATGATAATGGAATCCTCTTGAGTCGACGACTCAGCAACCGAAGGATGGTGATGATGGTAGCAGCAGCAAAAGTGACAAACAGCACGACCCAAAGGTCTGTCTGCTTAGACTCCAACTTTGCCATGTGAACAGCGTCACGGCTTCACCGGGTGAACAAAAACAGAAAACACCTCCGCGATTAAAGCCTTACTGCTTATGCTGCTCACTCAGTTCGTCAAGAACCAGAGGGGCAGCCAACCATACAAAGTTTGGAGCAAAAGGAAAAAGAGACGAGAGGAGCGAAGACCAACGCGAACCCGAGAGGATGGATACAATGCGAGAGATATGTATAATTACGCCAGGGGGGAGGGGAAAGGTTCCCCGAAAGGAAACATTTTTTAATTTATCTATTCCAAACGAACCGGTATGTGGACCTGGGAACTAAATGGGAGCGAAGTGCAAGCTACTGTGCCTGGCAGCTTGCGATGATCATGTCAAGGCCCCTCGTAAAAGTTAAAGCGCGCTTGTTACGCTGCCTTTTCTTCAACGGCCATGATCGTCGCTGGATGAACACGACAAGGTCTAAGGAGTTGAGCTAGCGACTAGTAGGTTCCACAATGTGACATTCGACGGGTCCACTGGCTTTTTTAGGAGAAGACTTCGTTCTGCTGTTATAGGTTTGGTACAACATTCAGACGCCATGGTCTTTGTTAGGCCTGCAGGGTTGCTGCGGGTAATCTCTGGGCGAAAGGATGAGGTGCATTGTCACATCGTGATTCCGAGTGTCAGGGCTAAACCTTGTTATTGTTTGACAGTTAATATCGATAGTGGACCATTTAGCAAAGTCAATCCATGGTATTACGAGTAGTCTTCACGTGGCATGTCAGCATCTTCTGACTCTCTTGAACTTTCTTTTGCTGAAGACAAGAATGAGACAGACGCATCTCTGCGCTGGCGCCGGCAAGAAGCTATAACCCGCGCTAACAATTGATAGAGGCAAACGGGTTCTATCCCGCTCAGCTCGTAAGGCTAACAAAATTACGAAGAGACCCAGAATCTGCCGCAATGGCCGCGCGGGGAGAGACGGTAGTTACGCGGGTGTCGTGCCGCACCAAGCTCCAGAGTACCCCTCAGTCCTGACTAGCTAACGGATACAAGACTACCGGGGGCGATGGGGCAAGTTAGCCTAGCTTCAGGCCCAACTGTAAGGTAGCAATGCGAGGTTTTCTTCGGTGAAGATCTCAGAACCCAAGCCCCGGTACGGATAAAGAAGAAAGAGATCGAGCGTAGGGGAAAAAGCAAAGACTGAACCCCTGTGAAAGTGTATCTTGCAATGCCTTGCTTTGGCTGTTGGTTCAGGGTCATTCTCACCGCGTCAGCGCGTCTAAACAAGGTATCCAATCCTTTTCCCAAATCGCTCCGAATCCTCCAATCAGTTATCACTTATAAGATGGATTTAATATCCCGAATATCCGGGCACGACACCAGCCTTGGCACATCGGTATTTTCCCTTATCTCAACAAAGCGCAACCTCCAACGTCGCAGCGGATCTGGGGTCATCTAGTTTTGGAATGGTTTAGAACAGTGGGTTATGGTCTAAAAATGATGCTACACTTTTACCGCTCCGCTCTAATTCTCTTACCGAACTTCCCTTCGGCAAACACCGTCTGTGGAGTTGCCTGAATCCTTCGTCTTGAAAAGGAAGAAAAATGTCAGGGGCACGGAAAAATAAATTGGGTCTGTGCTTGATGTTGCGAGATGAACCTTTATGCAGACATGGTCGTCACTTCAGGCAAAACCACAGTTTCGCCTTTCAAACTCTGCTGGTCGCCCTTTCTCACTAAGATATTATCAAGACCCCTAATGTCAAGAATTCAGAAGCCGTTGAGACTATGGGCGGTATGTGGGTGGGAGCGGGTGATTGTTCCCTCTAAGCAAAGCTATCGCGAGTCAGAGACAGTCTAAGACTCGAAATGGCGGTATGCCCCGAGACTAAAAGATTTACACCGCGGGCAACGCGTTTCGAATGCCCATAAGCGCAACCAATCGTCTCGCAATCAATAGTCATCTTGCCCCCTCATCGGCTCCGCTCATCATTCGCCTCAGGGTCTTGCAGTACAAAATTACATTAATAAATTCAGCCCAGGAACGGCCCGTAGTACAACTTGGCACTTTAACCTTCTTTCACAATCTATTACACTTTCATCACTACTGCACAGCATCTACGCCTCAAAAAGCATATCTACAATGGCTCCCTCCACTACAACCGCCGATCTCGTCCCCGAGCCCGTCTCCAAGCTTCCCGAGCGACCGAAGGAGGACGGATCCATCCTCAACGAGCACGAGCGATCTGAGCTTGCCTTTGTCGACAAGTACAGCGCCCCCGATGTCTACATCAACGAGAAGAACGACACGCTGTGGTTTCCGTGGATCGGCCCCATTGAGCTGAAGCCCATGCGCATGGAGAACAGGACGGGTACTTTCGTCGTCGGTCTTCGATCAAAGGTCGCTGCCAGCCTGGGCAAGCACCGACACCGTGGAACCGTTACAGCCATCACCATGTCAGGAGAATGGGGCTACAAGGAGTATGTTACCACCGCAAAAACCCTGTACAAGATTGGAATGCTAATCTATCGCGATCTAGATATGACTGGGTTGCACGACCTGGAGATTGGGTTTGCGAGAACCCCGGCGTTATCCACACTCTGTCCGTCGAGGATAATACTGATATCGTGTTTACCGTCTCTGGCAGCATTGAGTTCCTCAACGATGATGATAGCTTGAAGTTTACCCTTGATATCTTTAGCTTTGCCAAGATGTATTATGATCACTGCAAGGAGAAGGGCATCAAGCCCAATGATGCTCTCTGGCATTAAATGGAATGAATAACGGCTGGGTTGGTTACGGCATAGCTTTGCATGATTTCGCATGATAGTCTCCATGAATAACAAAAGAGATATGAACAATACAATTGATGATATGTGTATCCTGGTGCATTGTTCGGTAATGCCGTGTTGCTGGCTTGGCAGTGGCGGTGAACCCCCTCCTATATGCCCAGGTATATCACCAGACCACGTGATGTCTCATGATCCCTTCTCCTGTCTATGCCCCGGACTCAAACAGTCTTTAAGACACGGGTGATCATTTCATCAAAGGTCTCATCTTGAACCAGACCAAGCACTTTCATCCAATGGGCCGCCTTATCAGGGAAGTATGTAACGGGCGCATCGCTGTAGACCGTCGCTGTAGCCAGCTCGTAATATCCTCTGCCCCAATTGCCTTCTTCGATGTGTTTAGTCGCGCGAGCGTATAGGTCCTTGTTGTCCAAGTTCTCGAGCTTGAACTTAGTGCCTGAAATTCTCTCGAGGGCCTCGATGACTTGGTTCTGGGTAGTATTGTAAGATGCGACGTGAACATACTCATTCTTGGTCTTGTCAGAATGGAGTAGTGCAGCAGCTGTCGCTTCGCCGACTTGTGATGCGATCGTAGTGGTGAATTTTGGTTCGCCTGAGTTGACAAGCTCACCAGTCTTTGTCTTGATGTCTAAGCAAAGTAATCCTTTTCCTTCAATCAGCATCTAAGAATTTGTCAGAATATTCACCTCGCTCTGTCAGTTCATCATTAAAGGACTTACCCAGTCAATCCAAGGACCAGTGAAAATGGCTGTCCAGGATAGCCCTTCTGCCTTTTTAGACTTTACATAGTCCATAACTTCCTGCTTCCCCTTGAGAAAAGGCGCCATCTTCTCAAGTCCTTCAACAGAAGTGTCGCTCCCAAACTCGCTTGGCATAAATCGTTTGACCTTTGCAGCTGCAACAGCATCAATAACGATCTTCTGCTCTGCGATGTTGGCTGTAGAAAGGGTGGAAATCACAGCATCTTGACCATTGAAAACTTCGACCAGGGAAGAGAAAGTGTAGTCACTCTTGACAACCGTAGCATCCAAGAATGTTGAATCTGTGACGCTGGATGAGGTGCGGCTAAGAACGGAAACGTTGAAGCCTACTTTAATAAGTGCTCTAATGAGATATGGCCCAAGGTTTCCGCGGCCCTGTCATCTATATTAGTCCAAGAATCCAATGCATTCCTATATTTATAGAAGAGAAGACAACCTACCCCAAGGACCATGACGTTGTTGATTTCAGCAGACATGGTAAAGGTAAGTATAAAATGAGAGATGCAGGGTAAGTTGATTTCTTGAGTTGTAAATGCTGGTAAACTGCTCTTAATGATATCGTTACAAGACTGGAACGACCTTAAGTACTTATAGACACCCAAAGCGCCATGGAACTCACTCATTCACAACTGATTTATCAGCATCAAAGCATTTGATCTTTATCATTGCCTCAATTCAAGCTCATCTTGTCGTGAAGAAGGTGGAGTCTAAGCCTCTTTAAGCCAATAGGTGGAAACTAAGCCCTTTTCGGATGCATGGTGGAGGCTAGTCTGTTTTGGGAACACGCGTATGCCGTTGATAATTAGTCAAGCATCATTCGAGTATTCCCGCATTAAAGAAACACTCTCTTTTCATCAAAATCACACAGAAAGTGAGTGATATAATGGGCTTACTACAGAGATCGTGTCAAGCTTGCGTCAAGGCCCGACGCCGCTGCAATCTCGCCAGTCCCTGCTGCGAGAGATGCTCCACGAAGCGTATTCCCTGTCGGTACACCAACGAGCCAGCCCCTGCATCCATCGATACCCACGAAAGGGCATTCAAAAGTATTGTTAAATCTCGAAAGTTTGAGGAAGAACAGAGTCCTCAAAGCTTGTCGCGATTAGTGGCCCGTGGTGTTCTGGATACAAGGCTACAGATCTTTATTCGACAAGTACTCTGCGAGGGATACCAGGACTCTCGAACTCTTCCAGAATCAGATCTTTGGCGATTACATGATCTCGGAGTTAGGACATTGAATAACGGTCTCCAGATCTTTAACCCTAGGCATCTCGAAATTGTGCGGGTGTTTAACCAGGCGACGCTTCATCAGTTGTCGGACATTCTTCGAAGCTTCCCAGGCCAGTTCGCTGAGCATGGCACGACCTCGTTTATCCACTCTGGATTATACGACTACACACTTCCATCGTCGCTCAAAGAAGTGAGAGATATTTGCTATAGCTATCATATTGGCGGCGAATATCTTGCCAGCAATCGCCTCAATGCCCTTCGCTTCACAATTAGACGTCTACTCCGTTTTTCAAAACGTACGACCTGCTTCACAGACACATTAGCCTACGCACAAGCAATAAGTCTCGCACAAATAATCCGTCTTCTAGAATGCCACGACACGCACGAGGATGAAATCGAGCGAGACAACGAAGAAATGTGGGCTCTTACCCATCAACTGTGGCAACATGCACCGACTCAACTACCAAGCTCACTAAGTCCCTGGAAAGCATGGTTATTCTCTGAGAATGTTAGAAGGACTATAATGGTTTGTAATATCCTTTTAGCAGTGTACAGTTCGTTGAGGAGGGGATATACGATGCATTCACTTTGTGTCGAGGCTCTGCCGTTTGATGTGCGGACAAGGCTTTGGGATATGGAGAGTGAAAGTGCTTGGGTTGCTGCGGCTTCAATGATGCCAGGCTCGCATTTGGTGACGCTTAGTCAATTTACAGAGCTTCAACGGCCGGAAGTTGGTGGTTCACGGTTTGAAGATCTTCTTCTGCTGTCATTTAGAAGGTAAAGGACAGCCATGAGTGCACTGGCCCATAATATCTAGGTGGCGACAAGAGTTTAGAAGCTGGCCGTAGATATTGGCACTATGGGAGTTTTTCGATAGATATAAGACCGTTGAATCAACCAATATCCATTTTAGCTATTTCTTGTTCCCGTAACTAGTTAGGCATATATATCCTCATGATAAAGCACCCGCCTCGTCATTATCCTATCCTCGAAATCGTCAAGACATCTAGCAAGTGCACTTGGCCAAGCAGAGAAGAGGAACATTGGGATCAGTCTCGCAGGCGCCTTGGAAGGCGCAAGTTCCGCCAGGGCAGGCAGACTTGCAAGGCTCGAGAGTCTTTGGGTCGGAGTAGTACAAAGCGCCGTTGGTGCAGGAGCTTCAGAAGTGTTAGCTGCGAGGTCTGTTGCGTGTTAAAAAAGAAACATACGACTGAGGGGCCGCGATGACGACGGTGGCGATGGCCAGGATGCTGAAGATGGAGAACTGCATTTTGATGATTGTTTTGGTCAGGTTGTTGAAAAGATAGAGGTTGTTCGGGTCGTCGGTGTCTTATATATAATGATTATAGCTATATGACTTGTCAATTACTAGGATCGAATCCTTTAGCTGACCACATTCCTATTTCTATCTATCCAGCCGACGTTGCAAATGGGTTCATACAACCTAACTCTCACCACATGCATGAATTGGAGGATTTACCTGCCGATTGTGGCCTAGAGTCGCCTGAAGAGACCGTAACTCTGCATGAACACTGGGCACATATGCAGGTCTCTGACCACGACTACTACCCACCGTAGCTTATGGTTGAAGAGATACTATAAGGCTATGAGACTAGTGTATGGATAGTCCTCGGCCATAATGTTCCGATAGGATCCACATGGATTCGTGCCGCCGAAGGATCTACTCCCGTACCTCTTGGGTCATGATCCGGGACCCGTCCCGCTTTCTATACGAGATGCGCTTGAGCATACAGCGCTGAGTGAGATCTATTGGCCGAAGTCCGTAATTATATGAGAGGATCTTCCCCCGAATCCATCTGAGTCAGCAACATTGACCTGGTTCGCTTGTGCAGTGTCGTTCGAGGGCAGAAGCGAAAGTATCTCTTGATGACGTCATGGTTGAGATCTCCTCAACCACCATTTTGAGACAGCGATACTATATTCAGCGACTGCAACCAGAGTAGGCAATTGAGAATTAGTGCCAAACTACACTCATGAGTTGATTGACTCACACTGATTGCGATAAAGGCGCCATCATGCCGGTGACACTCCCGGTCTCTAGTCCAGACCGGCCCGTGTCTTCGGAACCGGCCCCTCGGAGCCGATGATGAAGCTTTAAACAGCGCCCTCTCAACTAATCTCACAATCTCCCCCTCATTGATACCATCATTCTCTCGCTTACAACCACCAACATGTCTTCAGCAACATATCATATCGAAAAACCAGTCCGCAGCGACTACGAAGAATGGTCCAAATTATTCCGCGCCTACATCGACTTCTACAAGTCCAAGATTGACGAGGATCAATACGCGCGAACTTTCGACCGCATTATCGAGGAGAAGAATGGATTGCAAGCGCTGGTAGTTCGACAAGCTCGTGGAGACGAGAAGAAGTTGGTTGGATTAGCGCATTTCTTTCCGGAGCAGACGCCCTGGAGTGAGAAGCAGATCCTTTTACTGAACGGTAAGCAAAGAGAGCCACATGAGTCGTGAGGAGTGGTGTTGACTTGATAGACTTGTTTATCGACCCTGAAGTTCGTGGGGAGGGTCTAGGTAGAAAGCTGACGCAGGCTGTTGCGGATATTGGGAAGGAGAAGGGTTTTATGAGGTTGCAGTGGGTTACCAAGCATGATAACACTGCGGCGCGCAAGCTTTATGATACTCTGGCCGAGAGTCAATTTGTCCAGTATAGAATGAGCTTGCAATAACTAAGTCCACTTAAGGACACTATGTTATCCGTCTAGTACAATAGAACATTAAGATCTACTCAGCTTCAGCCATCACCCTTGGTAAAATCTCTCGCATAATCCTCCCTCTCGTCTCAAACTTCTCCCCAACTTCCGCATCACGCCAGAATCCCGATTCAGTGATAGATCCACGCATGATATAGTGAGGAATATGTTCCAAATCATCTGGTTTGATGGATGATTGTCTGACAACATTGCCCTTCTTGTCACGAAACACGAGAAGCATTTCTTCATCTTCAAATGACTCTCGATCAAACACCAGTAACCAGCAGCCTGACACTGCAATATGGGCTATAGCGTCCTCATAGTCGTCCTCTTCAGGATCTCGTGAGGTGACAACGGCTGATACTTCTTCCTTGACCTCTGCTACATCTTCAGCGGTAAAGGTACGGCGAAGTTCTGCTGAAGCGAGTTCTGGAAATACTTTATATATGCTCTCCCAGACCTGATCACTAGTATCGAAGAGTGAAACGTCGTCAAGGATGCGCCACCAATGATCATTGGCATCTCCGAATAGATCGCCAAGGGGATTATCTTCCTCAAAAGCAGCTGATGCGTCGTAAATCCATCGACGAAACCTTGTGTCGTCACTGTCTCCGCCGTAATATGTGCGCAAGGCGACTAACTTCCCGTATAGAGAATTACCAGGAAGGTAATTCTCTGCCATGCGACGAAGCTTTTGTGCACGCCACGGAACAATGACTGTTTGAATCAATTCTTGTATGTCATTTGAGGTCACATCAAGAGTTGAAGATACAAAAGCCGAGATGTCATCCTCGTGGAGAAAGCCTTGAACCAAGTGATCTCGCTGCTGACATACAGATAGGGTTGAAGTTGAATCCCATTTCCTCTGATCAAGGTGGTAAGCACAGTCGAAGATCCTCAGGAGCGGACACTAACAAGAAGATACTGCTCAATAGGCAAAGACCCCCATGGGGGATAGATGTCCTCATCAGATTGACTCATAGCTTTGAAGTCGGTTGCGAGTTCCCGGACGATGTGACCGAGATTTCTGCTAGGCAGCACTTGGTGAGAATTTAGCTTCCATCGTTACGTGATCACATCTCAGTGGGGCAAGACAACATGTTATTGGGTGAGTTGGACAGAGGACACCCTATATGGGATGAAACCAATGGTATCAAGTGACACTTCTACCGGGAAAGGTTAAATCACAGTGTTACTGAAGCAATGTACCTACGAGGTTTAACCCTCATGCGTTGAAAATATCCATGACCTGCAGAAGCTCCTCCCATCGTCCATCTCGTTCAATGCCAATTGTCCCCTGCGCTTGCATGACTTTGTACTCTGTAGTCAGCTCAGTACCATACATATAACCTTCTTCATCATTAACGAAAGCCCTTAGGTCTCTAATCCATGTATCCATAAGGTCTCTCTCCGCGGGCGTTGGACCATGGGTGATGGAGTAGCTGAGCAGTTAGCATCTCTGCGAAGGGGCATGGAGAAGAGGGAAGATGACTTACTTCCATATAGGCCTATCCATAGCATGGCTCACACCAAACGAAGCTGGAGCAACTTCATTCGTTATGAACGACAAGCGGTATGCGATGAGATATCTCCAGACATTGTTGATGTCAACGCCATTGCGCACCAGATTGTCCACGAGATATCGCGATGGAGCTCTGACTTGGCCGTCGGCAATGATACGTCCAAAGATCTGCTGCCAAGCTTTGTTGTCTTTTGTCTGAGGAAGGGAATAGTGCTTAAGAAGACGGTCGGTGACATGAGGAGGGTAGTAATTGGATATTTGCATCTGCAACGACGATATGTTGGGATCAGGGGGATTGGTAACGGCGTAAAGGGTGTCTTCATCGCGAACCTCGCCAATGAACAGCTTGAGTCCACGTTTCTTGAACTCGCGGGCGAAGGAACCATCGCGATAGTAATCGAAGATGCCTGAGTGAATGAACAGGTCATCGGTGACGGGACGGAAGGTATGTTTCTTCAACTCCATGAGACCAGCAGAGAGATCATCAGCACTGATGCTTCGCAGATTTTGTAGTCTCCCCGCCCCATTTAGATCTGTAGGTATACCGAAGTATTCGCAGAGCTCATCGAACTGCTCCTCGCAGTCTTGAACAGTCTTGGGTTGTGTCGGAATGGCATTGGAGTACATGATCATTCTTGTAAAACGACCATGCGACTCTTTGCCTCGGAAGTCATAGAGTGCTTGCGCAAGAACTGAATAAGCTCCTGCACTTCGTCCCGCCAGGATGATGTTTTCAGGATCGCCTCCAAAGGCAGCAATGTTGTCGTACACCCAATCCATAGCGAGACGCTGATCCCAAAGACCATAGTTTCCTACAGACTCACCATCTGACTCTTCAAGAAGAGACCGACCAGCGAGAAAGCCAAAGACGTTGAGTCTGTAACCAACAGCTACAAACAGAGCTTGTAAACCGCCGGTTGAGATGAGCTCGGTAGGATCCATACTCTCTTCCTGACTCGGATCTCCAACCTGGAACCAACCACCATGGAACCAGACCATAACAGGCCATTTCTTATTCGGCTCGTTCGGATCAGGCACAGGAGTCCAGATATTTAACCTTAGACAGTCCTCGCTGTATGCATGTTTGGGGATATGCTCGCTAACGTTCTTGGAGTAATTCGCCTGCGGACAAACAGGTCCAAAATGCGTCGCATCAAAAGGTGAACCATCTGAAGATTCGTATTGATGTGTTTTTGGAAAAGGCTGAGGTTTTCGCCATCGTAGATTTCCAATGGGTGGTTGAGCGTATGGAACGCCTGCGAAGCGACGGGACTTGGAATCGAACTGAAGACCTTTGAGAGACCCAGAGTTGTGTAACAGGTTGACGTGACATTCTGAAGTGGTGTAAGAGATGGAATTGCCCATTTTGACGATAACGATTAGTGTAGAGATAGAAAAGAGGGAACTGCAGAGTCCAAGATAAGAAGGGAATTGAAGAGACTCAATAAATTGTTCGTTATGGCATTCCCATCTTGTCGTATCGCAGTTCGATTGTGACCTGTTGGTGATTGGCTGGTTTAATCGACGACATATCAGCTGCGAGAGGCGGGGACGATCGGGCGTCGCGTCCTTTCAGATTAACGACCGAAAAGAAAGGGTCAAAGCAATCAATGCCATTCAATTCCATTCACTTGATTTGACAAGGAGCTTCTTATCCGGTTCCCCAATAACCCACATCGTATCGGCTCCCAGTCAATGGAGAATGCATCCAGTTCATCCAGCCAACCTCAACCCCAGAAGCGCAAACGCGTAGAACGCGGCCGCTCTAAAAACGGTCAGTCTGCCCCCCGGAATTACCGGAAGTGGTCCCTACTGACCCGATCTAGGCTGCTTGACCTGTCTGACTAAAAAGGTCAAATGCGATGAGACAAGACCGCAGTGTAATCGCTGTGTGAGACTGCGGCTCGAGTGTAGATGGGCGACGCAGACGCAGCCGCTGGCGGAGAGGAGGAGAGGTCTGGGGCCGATTAAACAGAGGGAGAGATGGACGCCGCAGACCATTGTTCCAAAGACTGACGATGCTGTCAGTGAGGGCTCTCAGAGTGTGACACCGCCTGCTTTGACGCCTTCTGGAGAATTGCAATTGTCTGATGGTTTACCGGCTGATATGTCGTTTGATGTTCTGCCAGTGGAGAATGAAGCATCTGCATCGCCAACCAATTTCCCAGAGATACCACCAGAAGACATGATCAACTCCATCGCCCTCCCTCAATACCCCCAAGACGCCTCATCACAGCTCATTCTATATCCAACACCCTCCTTCGATCTCCTCTCCCTCTTCCCCTCATTCTCCTTCATAAACCCAACCGAGCCCGCCCCTTCAATCGGGAGTGACGATGTCCAAGCAATGACATTCCACTCTACCGTCCTCGCGCCCATGAAATCAACACGCAAAGCCGCTCTATCAGCGCACTCCATCTTCCTCAACTTTGCCGTTCAGAATCCCATGGCGTTGCATTTCCTTCTTGCTTTTTCACACAGCGAACTTGCTATTCATCATGGTTTCAGCCATAGACCGCCTTTGGAGTCGTATTTACATTTTCAGAACGGGTCGCAGCTTTTAAGCCAGGCGCTCGTTACGTTGTCGCCCACGAACCATATCGCGATGATGTTGTCGTTTTTGTATCTTTACATGTTCTGGATGAGGAGGGATCCGTTGGAGGTTGAGAGATTAAGGGAGTTGAGCATCTTGATTCTTGCGTATGTTACGACGTTTTCGCTGGATGAGGTTTGTGCCAGTTCGAGTGGGAGTACAGGGACGTCAGAACCTGTTACGCTATCACGGATCTTGACGTATATTTATGATCGAGATGTATTCTGTGGATTCTTTGGCTGCGGTGCTGCTTTTGCGGATTATGTTAGCGAGAAGCATGAGACGAGACAGCGAATATGGCTTTTGTCACGAATGCCGATATTACCAGATCAGACGGAGACGTGGTTTAGATCTGAGAGTTTGCCGGAGACGAGTCAAAGGAGGATCCTGGATGTTTACTTCAGTTTAATTACGATACAATACGAGATAAACGTGTATAGCCAGAGTAGCGAACTGGCTATACTTGGGAAGGGGCTGGAAATTAGGAGCAAGTTGGACAAGATACGAGAGGTAAGTCAAAAGCAATCCGTAAGACTGCCATGGACTGACATCGTGTAGGAGCAGAACTTTCTCTTCACCTTGTCAACAGACTGCGCCCGACAGTCTGCTCAACCGCCACTAATGGCCCTCGTAGCCGTAACTATCTTCCACGCCCTCGAAATCTACCTGCACCGCAGCCGCGACACATTCTTCGGCGAGACACCAGTCCCAGCTGATATCGAACGAGCCCTCCAGGAACTAGTCTCAGCAGCATACCACACCATCCCCGTTGGCCCAGTGCAGCTCCTAGAGCGGTTCCAATGGGCTCTTCTGATCGGAGGAATCGAAACACATGACCCCGTGTACCGAGATTGGATCTCGGCGAGTATTTCAGACCCCGTTATCAAGGGCGTTTACAATCTCGTGGTTTCGGCTAAGACACTGTCGGCTAAGGGAATATCGATGGAGGCGGTTCGTGAGTTAGTTAGCAAGCAGAGTATAGCGTGATGAATACATAAATTCAGCCTTTTGTCGATAAGTGATCAGCGGCTTATCTCGTCGATTAAACTGACCACCCATAGCCCGTGCCACAAATCTGGGGTAGAGAGGCAAGGGACCCCAGATTTTGGAGCCGAATTGATAACGACCTAAAAGAGAACAAGGCTAGCGTGGGTTTGATAAGGAGAGATATAACTGGGCCCTGTGCCCCGACACCGACTCAAAACCATCAACGCTTTGAGTTTCAACCTTCTTTTTTTACTCCTGCAACGTAACAACATTCATCATGGAGGGAAAAGAAACTAAGGAGTCGACGCCTTCTTACGAGATGGATGTTGATGCGCGTGGGACTGTTGATACGTTGTCGGTGGAGGAGGAGAAGAAGCTTGTGAGAAAGATTGACATGAGGTATGTGCATCGAAGAATTGACAGGTGTTCAAAGCTAATTTGATAGACTTATGCCTTTGCTTATTATTAGCTATGGACTGCAGTATTTGGATAGTAAGTTTATCGTGACAATTGATATGCGGGTATTGACTTTATACAGAGACGAGTTTGGCGTATAGCGCTATTCTCGGCCTGAGAGAGGATCTAGTAAGTAATCTCCACGCTGAAGAATATAGCTACTAACAAACGAAGAAACTGGTCGGCCAGCAATTCAGCTGGGCATCCAGTATCTTCTACATAGGCTACCTCGTAGCCTCATACCCCATCTCGCTCGGCTTCGTCAAATTTCCTCTCGGAAAGTATCTTAGCGTTCTCATGTTCATATGGGGCGTTATTCTCACTCTTCACTCTGTTGCGCACAACTATGCTAGTCTCATGGTTCTTCGCTTCTTTTTAGGTGTGTTTGAGAGTGCGATAAGTCCTGGCTTCTCGCTTATCACGGGAATGTGGTATACGCCTCATGAACATGTATCGCGCCATTCGTTCTGGTTTGCGGGGAATGCGTCGGCGAGTATGGTTGGCGCTATGATTGCCTATGGGATTCTGAGTTACCATGGGCCTATTGAGCAGTGGAAGGTAAGATAACCCTACAATGACAAGATATACCGCTAACTTGTTTAGATGCTCTTTCTCATCTTTGGCCTCATCACCATTGCTTGGTCTGTCGTCACATTCTTCTTCCTCCCTGATTCTCCTTCGACCGCTCGATTTTTGTCAACTTCTGAACGAGAGTTTGCTTCGCTTCGACCTAAGAAGTTTCAGCGAACTACTCAGACCAAGAAGTGGGATCGCGATCAGTTTATCGAGACGATGAAGGACGTCAAGGCCTGGTGGTTCTTTTTCTTCTCTTTCATCATCTGTATTCCCAACGGTGGAACCACAAGCGTTAGTCTTCCTTCTCCAATTCTGGTAACACAATACTGATTACTGTGACAACAGTTCAGCACCATTGTCATCAAGAGCTTCGGCTACGATGAGAAGCAGACTATCCTCATGGGCCTCCCTGCATCAGCCTTCCAACTCACAACCGTCATCCTCGTCGCTGTCTTCACAACATACGTCCGCAAGTCTCGACACATTGCTCTTGTTCTGACATACCTGATGGCCATTGCTGGTATTTTGATGATCAAACTCCTCCCTACGGCTGAGAAACTCTCCCGACTCGCAGGCTTCTGGCTCATCATGGCCGTTGCACCAGCATTCCCTCTCATGCTGTCTCTGTCTGCTAGTAACATCGCTGGCTTCACCAAGAAGTCTACCGTCATGGCTATGATCTTCTTGGGATACTGTGCCGGAAACCTGAGTGGACCTCAGTTCTTTATCAGCACTGAGGCACCGGGCTACCATGTGAGTAACACCACTGAACAGTATATGACACGTCGCTAACCTCTATAGACCGCTTACACCACTATAATGGTCTGTTATGCCATTACCATTGCTCTCGTGGTTGGAATTTACTTCTATCTCATCTGGGAGAACCGCCGTCGCGATAATGAGCAGGGTGTCAAGAGAGATCCTGAGGAGTCTCGACAGGTTGACCTCACTGAAGATGGAACGCTCCTTCAAGTCGATGAGACTGATAAGCAGAACAAGAACTTCAGGTATATCCTGTAAGAAGAAAGTGAATGTTGTGATTCTCTTTTGGCGGCTTTGTTTGCGTGTTATTGTGCTTGAGGACCGACAGCTAGTAGTTACAAATGGGAAACATATTGCTTACATTACTTCGCTTTCACATTGAGGCCCTCTACACCTATAATAAGGCAAAGTGGAGGAAGAGAATGGACAATGAGGCAATAAACTCCCGAAAGATGAGAGATTCCTTTGCATAAATGAACCATAACATACAGTCCATCCTGGTCTATGCAGTACAATAAAGAAACTCGCTGCGCTATGCAATATCCACAAACAAAAGCTTTCCAGCTAATCTACCCAAACACCTCCAAGATCAATCGCTCCTTGCCAACACCATCTCTCCAAGTCTTCCAATTACCAGCCCTAGTCGTACCCAATCTTCTATCCTCACCATGAAGAATAGGACCCAAAACATCAAGCACATCATCAGAAACCTTCTTCCCACTGCAGATGATAAAAATGGCACCCTGTCCCCAAAGCCGCGCCAAAGTATCAGCATGCTTAGCAACCAAATGCTGAACATACTTGTACGGTGAGTCCCAGTCTCGACTAAAGGCGCGATAGATTGATACAACGCCTGCGCGAGAGTACTCATCTAGTGTATCGCGACAAATGTCATCCATCTTTGCACCTCGACAGCCGAAGAAAAGAGTACAAGAGGTATTGGACAAATGACCTGAGTTCTGAGCCTGCAGGTATCGCTTCTGCATGAAACCCAAAAAGGGAGCAAGACCAGCGCCAACAGCAATCATGACAATAGGAACCTTGGGCTCAGTGGTCATAGCGGCTCGAAGTTCAGGTCTACAAGGTCGAGGCTCGACGAGAACAGAGTCGCCGGGTCGGAGCTGGGCCATGTAGTTGGTAGCTAGACCACCAGGGCGTGCAAGCGATGATCCACTGGCTTCAGTGGCTTCAACGACGGAGAAAAGAAGTGAGCCGTGACCGGGCTTCCACTCTGGTGTTGAGGCGAAGGAGTATGTGCGGGGACGCATCTGGGGAAGCATGGAGAGGAAGGTCGATAGAGGCATGTTGACGGAAGGATACTTGCGGAGGATGTCGAGGATGGACATGCGCTGTTGGTCAATCTTGATGTCGTATCTATCACCAGCGAGACTTTGGAGCTCACTCTTGGTCTCCTCATTGTCTACAAAGTCGGCTAGTCTCTTGAGACTCGTGCGACTAACTGTCTGGGACAGCTCAACAAGGGTGCTGAAGAGGTTCGAAGCAAGGATGGGAGTGCCAGTGGGAAGGAAAGTTGGTCATTGCGACGATACAGTAAAGACAGTATCATCATCAACACCAAAGCAAGTCATGGCCCGATCAACAAGCTGAGGAGGATTCTTGGGAAGAATCAAGACATGATCACCAGGAGTATACGTCATATCCTTCGGCAACTTCAAGAGTAGGCTGTGCTTGCGAGGAACACCAGGGCTGGTGAGAAGATTGTTCTCGACAACCTCAGCTCTCTTGAAGTTACCTCCAATATCACTCCGCTGAGATTGATTGATAGTGACACTCAGTTCTAGGGAGTCAGCCTCGTGGTCGAGAGTGATACCGTGTCGGCTGGCGAGTTCGGGGAAGAGCTTGCTGTGTGCCCAGTCATCAAAGTCGGGGTATAAGCGACCGGTGCTAGCATCGGTGAGACCAATGTCAACAAGGCGATCGCCACCGGCGTCTGCTAAACACTTGTCGAGGACCTTGGGGATGCGATACAAGGTTGATACCCAGTCTTTATGGCCTGCGGATGATCAGATGGAGGTGATGAATGAAGAGATGAATTACTTACCGCATCCGAAGACAGTGAACTGAATGCCCTCTAACTCCCCAGGCTGTAACGACTCAGCCCACTTCGTAAAGTCCGCAGCATTGTCAGAAGGCTTTCCATCATATGAAGCCGCCAAGATAATATTCGGTCCATCCTTTGACAGATTCTTCGTGGCTTCATCCAGCGGCAAAGGCTTAGAAGGCATGAATCCAAAAGTCGCACAGTCAGCCGAAAGTCGCTCCGCCAAAGCCTCGCATGTTCCAGTGTTGGATCCATAGAAGATAGAAATAGGCTTCAGGTCTTTTTGTGAAATGTGGAGGTTCTTTCGGCTGGAAAGACTGGGCTGCTTGGAGCTGGCGAGGCTGGGATTCTTGAAGAGGTTGGTCAAGTTGCGCCCCTCTCGGAGCTTGACGTTCATGTTGAAACCGTCGGGCTTGATGGTGAGCGACTGCTTGATCTTGAGCTTATAATTGGAATCGGCTTTGGAAAGGTCGAAGTTCTGGAGGAGCATGATGGTGACCTGCAAAGTATGTTAGCTAGTGATATACATATAGGAAGTGGTACTTACGACTTGGGCTTCCTGCCATGCGAACTCTCGACCGATGCAGCCTCGCATACCATTGCCGAAAGGCTTCCAGGCATTCTTGGGGAGTTTGTTGAAGTGCTCGTCTGCCATCCTCTCAGGTCTGAACTCTGCGGCATCGGGCACCAGACTTCAGGATCGCGATGGATCACGTGAAGAAAAAGGAACAAGGGATCGCCTGCGGAGACATTGTATTGCCCACCGATGACTTCGTCCTTGAAGGGTGTGACGTAGAAGCCTGGTGCAGTGGGCATTAGACGAAGAGTCTCTCGGAAGATCATGTTGATGTAGGGCATCTTGGGGAGATGATTAGCAGTAAGGTTCTCGTCGCCCAGGACCTCGTCAACTTCCTCACGAGCCTTCTGTAGCTTCTCGGGGTTCTCAAGAAGGTAGTAGAATGCAAACGACAAGAGTCCAGAAGTAGTCTCATGGCCTGCGATAAGGAAAGTGATGAGGTTATCAACAATATTCCCATCACTCATGCCCATTCCTGCTTACTATGCTGCGCCGAGAAGAGGCCATCGCCAGCGAGAGGCCGTAGCTTTTCGACGCCGCCGACGACAAGTTTGTGGAATCGTGTTTCGTCTGATAGTTCGTCCAAGAGTTAGCGGCTGCAGATCATGACTTCTGTGTTTCCCCCAACACCTAGTGCGAAGAGTTGTGCTGCGGTTGTAGTCGGGAATAGTAGCTGTTGGAGACGTACAATAACCTTTGGCCATATCGATTATTGATTGGAGGGAGTTTGTGACGTCGATATCGAGAAGGTTGCCGATGATTGGAAGGCCTGGGATGATTAGCTGGTGATTGTAATGGTGTTGAATGTGATGGCCTACCCTTTGGTCCGGGAATTCGACCTTTGTGCTTCTCATCATGATGTTTTGTCTCTTGCTTGACTGCCATTGTGAATTCCAGTGTCGAGGAATGCAGTGAGTAATTGGTTGTTTTCGGGGTTTGTTCGTGGTCGTTTGTCGTATAATATCAAGCCGCTTGCTGTATATGTAGAGTCTTGTTGTTGATGTTGATGAAATTGTCAGTCAAACATCATGAGGCTGAGCAATTCATCTCCACGTACGTCTTCAGGAAAACGCATTGATCTCATTACCCTAACTTTGGTGATAATACCCGGCTGTAACTCTGCATTGACGATCATTAACTCCCGCTTACTACTCCGCCCGCGCCAACCCCTCCAACGCCCGCGGGCCCGGAAGCCGGCACACAGCCTTATAAAACTCCCCCATAAAATATGCTCCGCGGGCCCGCCGGTCGGTACCCCGCGGGCGCCCGATAGTGTTGTACAACCCTAAAAATACGCGGTCAAACTCTGAATGTAACGAATCAGAGATGATCAATTATGTCAGGTTATCCGAAAAACAGTCCCCGTGTTTGAGTTTGGCTACCGCCGGTCAGCAATTTGGCGGCCCTGTATCTCAGCCTTGCCTTTGACAGTGATAACCCTGGAGAACAAGGACTCGTTGGGGGGGAATTATCATACGAGAAGGGTCTTCACGGTGTCCTTGAGGCCCGAAGCGAAAAACATCGTTAAAATTTCATCATTAAACTAAACTGAAAATGTCAAAAACTCTATATGTCCTAGAATGCTTGGCGTCCATAAGTATCACAGCACAGCCTCAGCTCCAATCCTGCCCCGACCGCAAGTTTCAGAGGTTTCAGAAGTCTCTGATGACGAACCCATTTCGTACGACTGCGTAGGCTCTGGAGATGGTTGACGACGACGACGGAAACGCACGAGCCTCCACATTCTGTTGTTGGTGTTGGCGACGCTTCCACCGCTTCCGGGTCTTGCTCGACGGACGAGGAACCATTGTGCTGTCATCAACACCATGGCACTATTCCATACAAACGCTGCGATCATACCGATAGATACTGCCCACGCGAGGGAGATCTGGATATAGCATAGGCCCATGACGGAAAGATCATCAAATCCATCGGTTAGGGCAAAGCCGGAGATCATGAGAATGACTTGGCAGACAAACATGTCAAAGTATTTGATGTTCTGAAGCCATCGCATTCCCATGGCTGTTCGTCTCATTCGTGAGTCGAAGAAGAAGCTGAAGAAGTAAAGTAACGATGCAAAGCCTGCAAACACTACAGTAACAAGACCAACAACCTGTTTGACGCGTTAGCCAGCTCGCCATCAATGTTCTATCGGAATAAATACCCCGTGCTCAGTTCTGAAATGATCTGATGTGCCCATTGCGATGATTGCCGCCACTAGTCCAGCGATGACGAGAGGTGTAAAGACAAAGGCTCGTAATACAGACTCCCATTTCTGAACAGTATGCTTTGCAACCGGTTTATTGATCAGGTCACAAAGCACAGTGCTCGACTCCATGAGTAGAATAATGGGATACACCAAGAAGAAAGCAATTATCATGCATAGTGCTGTAAATGGTCAATATACCGCATCTCATCATCTAGAAAGTGAACATACCGTGAACATAAGTCAATGTAACGAATGTATCTTGATCCACAGTATTGACATCAAAATGCTTCGTCGCAAGATCAACAGTGAATAAATTCCCCGTCGCGTTAAAGGTATACGGCCCACCAGAGACATAACTGCTATTCCACGATTTCGACTCTGAGAGGTTCGCACGCAATAGCGCTAGGAGACCGCCGACACCAGATTGATGCCAGCATGTTTCTCGCGTGTGAAGCTTCGATATCTCATGATGTAGAAACTGTTCCACGTAAGCTATCCTCGCGGTGCTATTCATGGCCTAGGAATGGTGTCGCGTCAAGCTAGTACTGGACCGGGGTGGTTGCCCGTTGAAACAAATTATTTTCAGGCGAGGAATCGTATGATGAAAAAGACGATAAGGTAGATCGAAGTCAGATCAGAAAGTTTACGGTAGGTAGATTCAGATATTTCACATTTGGGACAGGTTTTTACAGATTAAGCAAGGCCCCTTCAACCTTATGAATTCACCCGATACGTAAAACGCTAGTGGCTTCTCCGGAAGAACATCTCTAGCAATCGCCAATAAATTGCGGATGCTCGGGGCTGTTTAAGCTTTTACTACCCTGTTTCAGAGAAGAAAAATAGCAGACTTGGTCAGGGCGACGTCGAGCAAAGTTGACTGCCGAGTCAGCGGCCCCACTAAGATTAAAAAGAAATGTCACAGGGCGCAGTGTGAAATTGCGTAATAAGTGCCATTATGCCGGGTATCCGCTAAGGGAAGTGACAGGGATAGACCTGGTTTTTTACAGTGTAATTAATCAAGCGAGAGCGAGCTCTTCGGGTCGCCGATTAAGCGCGAGATGCTGGGCGGATTTTGAGTCCGCGGGTCCGATGGCACGGTTGACGTTGGGAATAGTATCATATTGAGGCTTGGAAAAAAGACTAAGCCGTCGACATTTTCGATATAAAGAGTCATATTGAGCTTGTTTGTGAGGCGTAAACTCAATCATCAAGTTTGCAAATCAACAACAACAAAACAAAACAAAAATGTCTCCAAGTCCAAAGCCAAAGTCCTACATTCGGCGTCTCGGCCAGCTGTAAGCATCCCGATAACACCGTTCTTATCTAGCTCTAACACCCGCAGCGAGCTGTACCAATCGGCGATGCATAACCTCGACCACTACTGCAGCACAGTCGTCACATGCCGCTACACCCTCCCTGCGTCTCTGCACGGCTTCGACAGCCAAGATAAGGTCTTCCGACGCTTCGACCAAGCTATTGCCCAGACCGTCGTTCAATATCCTCTCCTGCAAGTCGGTCTTGTTGGTGAGAGTACGAAAAAGCCAGCTTGGGTATCGCTTTCGTCTCTTGATCTCGCAGACCATGTGTCTTGGGATGTTCGACCGGAGTCGAGGGATTATGAGAGGGCGTTTGAAGCAAATCTTGCGTATCAGCTCGATGCAAAGTTTGAGAATCTTGAGGCTTGGCCTGGGTGGAGGTTGTGTCTGATGCGAACCAAGACTGACAACTTTGTTGATGTGATGTATGTCTGGAACCATGCTAACCACGATGGTATGGGTGCCAAGATCTTTCATCGCACGCTACTCCAGAGTCTTAACAGCCCATCTGCTTCATCACTTCTTCGACGCGGATCGAGAGTATTGGCAACTTCTATATGCAAGGATAGCTTTCCCCAACCTCAGGAGAAGCTGGCCAAGCACAACATCAGCTTAGGCTATGCTTGTTCAGAAATCTGGCACAGTCTTGGTCCGTCATGTTTTAACTCAACAGAAGCAAAAGCTCGCTGGGCGCCTATCCAGCCTGATCCTTACATCACACGTTGCAAGGCCATGGATATCGACGCCATCACATTGAAGAAGCTTCTTGGCCAATGCCGTGAGAATGATACTACACTTACTGGACTTTTGCACGGAATCGTCCTAGCCTGTCTGTCCGTCGGCATTAACGAGGGCAACACCGACGCTTTTCACGCAGCAACAGCAATCGACCATCGGAGATTCTTACGCAAGGATCTTAGACCTTCAAAGTACGCATCGTTTGATCTCGAGAACAGCATTCAGAACTGCGCTGCATCGCTCTGCCACACATTCGATCATCAAATCGTCAGCGATATTAGAGCTCAAGCACGCATCAACAACTGGCCCGCCCAACCCATCGACGATTTGGAGCCCATGATTTGGAAAGCAGCGCATCAGGTCCGCAGAGATATTGAGAAGCAGCTCGAGAGTGGAGTGAATGATAACATCGTTGGGTTGATGAAGGTGGTGTCTGATTGGCAGGATCACCTCAAGTCGATGGAGAAGAAGGCCCGTGACCTATCGTGGGAGGTTACTAATCTTGGTGTCATTGATGGCAAGACTGAGGATGATGGTTTTGCCGTGGCCAAGGCGAGGTTTACGCTGAGTGGAACTGTTGCTGGGCCGGCTATTCAGATTAGTACGGTTTCTGTCAAGGGAGGGGATTTGTCGATCGAGCTTTCTTGGCAGGATTTGCCGGAGATTCATGATGTTGCTGGGAGGTTGGTGCAGGACTTGCGAGCTTGGCTGTTGTATTTGGGTGCTTGAGAGTCGTATTTGATGTTTGATGAATCATAGCGTGTTGCAATTTGTTTAGATTCTGGAAATAGATAGAGCTTGCGGCACCACTTTGAACGATACCATAAATGTTAAATATCAGCTTATAACGTTGTAAGCATCAGGTCTCTTTAAGCATGATAGCCAACTAGGATGGGTTTCTTGGGTATCAGTAGCAAAGAATTGTTGTTGTCTTAACATCGCCCTAAACTCAGCTAATATCCTCTAGAAAGCGATCTGTTTAACACTCCATTGCCAAGCAACCTGCAAAGTCTACGATTTCGTACTCCGACAACTTGACTTGGTTTCAGAAATCAACGGAGCCATTCTTTTTGCCTCATGAGAAAACCACAACTCAGAAATGAATCACGATATTAGAAACCCTCAGGCTTAACTATCTGGCATTAAGCGTTTGTTAGTAGAGTCTCATATAACGTGAGGCCAAAGACAGATGCAAGAGGGGTCCCGAGCCCTGTTGCAACTGACCTGCCAAGTCCGGCTGAAGAGCAGGGCCCTGTCCTGACCGAGTTTAGCGCGGCAAGGGTAGCGCAACAAGCTTCGAGACACGTACGATTGCTAGCCAAAAGTGCCTCGCGTTTTCATCGCTGTCAACTTCCTTGATAGTTATTGATGGAATCTCACGGCGAGATATCTCTTATCTCGAAGCATACATGGTTAAATATTATGGGCATGACTCGCAGGCTAATCTCCAGCGTTGGAACAAAGATCAACTCCAAGTCAAGGCGTAAATGAGAGGCTTTCAGGACTGGGGTCAGCTAAAAATAGTGCACTCACCTACAGCTGCTAGGGGGACAAAAATAACTAATCTAAGGTCTACTAAATTAAGACTAAATTTACCTAAGTCTTTTTGACATTTAGGATAGAGGTCCTAAGTTTTCTTGCCTCCCCTAGCAGCTCAATTAAATGCTTGAATGGTGAGACACCAGATCTACTCAAGCTTATTATCCGATTCTATAAATACAAGACGCTCCCGATGAATCCCATTCTTTAAATCCTCTCGAATCTTATCAAACTTCTCCTTATTCCTCTCCACAATTTCCCTTTCCTCCCTTCTCTCCTCTTCCGTCAACGGCGGAGGAAGTATACCCTCAGGCGGATTATACCACTGCTCTTCAGGCACTTTCGTTCCATCGACGCCACGCCAGAACTTTTCGACTTCTGGGTCATAAGGTAGACGATCAATAAGAGCTTTTATGAGTGCAGGCCGCAGAGGGACGGCGTAGTGGATGTTGCGATCAGCATCGAGAAAGCGGAAAACTCCGTCTTTGCCGAGGTCTGCTAGGCCCATTAGGTCAGGGTCGCGATCCATGTTGCGTAGAATGTCGCTTATTTCTTTCTGCTCGGGGGAGAGGTCTTTGTAGGCGATGCCTTCGCTGCTGCAGCATGTTGCTTCTGGCTCTTGGGCATCTGTTTTGGGTTGAGACATGACTTCTGGAGATTATTGCGAGGGAAAGAAGATGGAGGAAAGGGCTTGAGCTTGAGCTTCTAGATGCGCCTGGTGGGGTCGGTCTTATCAATCATAACGGCCATGCAGCATCATTCAGGTCGACATGTGATAACTGTCTTCTAATCCTTGCTATAGGATCAACCAACAGTCACCTAACCGACAACTGGAAGAACATGGCACGATCTAATAACGTAATGTTCTCAGTAGCGTGGGCCATTCTCAAAAGTTCCCTTATTGAAAATCCTGAATCTATCTATTCTCAGGCAAATAGCCCCAAAATGGTTCTTTGTGCAGCCATAAAGTCGCAAGACTTTTGATGCCTCTGCTGACCCCCAACTTAATAAATGTCAAGTTCAAATGCACCTGCCTCTTTTGAAAACCACGCCAGTGAGTCCAGAACAGACATGGCAATGAGAGTACTGAGAGCAAAGCCCGGGACCAAAGCAGGGAGGATGAGAGCATTTATTTCTAAGACCTCGAACCTCTGCATCCCGCTTATTGGGAGTTTGCTGCTCTCCTTCAGGCTCCGAGTCATTCTTCTCCAAGTCCGTGAGTAGGTCGAACACTTCCTTGCTCATTTGTTCATCCGTAGCTAGGACAATCTTTTCGTCAACTTCAATAACGAAACCTCCGTACTTGGGGAGTAGGACCCCTTCAAATCGAGGGGCAGCATGTAGTTCGTCCCAGTTGGTGACCCAGACAGCATCTTCGGGAATTTCGACGGTGTACTTGGCGCTCACCACGTTACCAGCGAGCAAGGTGGTGAAGAGGGATGAAACTATAGTACATCGGTCAGTACTCGTTGATTTCTCTACACCAGGGAGTCATAGTCGTACTCAGCTTCATCTTAATAGCTTGATGACAAGTCCGGTCTATGATTCTGTAATGAAAGGGCTGCAAAGTAGTTGGGAGGCTGTAGTGATATTTTGATGAGTTTAGGTCCATCAACCAGTATTTTATAAACCAAGAAGAGCCACTATCACATGATGGGTAAACTGTCTCTCCAACCAAACGAATGATAAAGCTTACGGCAATGCTAGCCATGAAAGCAACTTCCATAAGAGAGTTAGTCAGTTACATCAATGACCTTTTTTCTCTGCATGTTGGTTACATAGAAACTAAGATTGATCCAAATACCCGGTCATTTGAAGAGAAAACATCAAGTCTCAGTTGATAAGCATGGTTTCACCAAAGCCCTCTCTACTGTGCCACGCTCGGACAGATGGAATACCCTGGCTAACCGAGTTACGAGCCCCTACATAGGAAGGAACTCTACAGGATCAGTATTGCTAGATCCATTCATGTCTGTGCCCTTGTAAATTTCTTCTCTTCCTGCAAGAATGACATGTCGAAATCTCCACAGTGGCGATGGTGAAGGGCCAACAAAAGCCACATATCAATCGCCCTTGAGGTTTTCAGAGAACATGCAAAGCCGAAAGTGAGTTGCTGGTTATATCGAAATAAAGAGACAGAGTTTGTATGTATTTTATCATTTTATCACCGACAGAGAAGGGGGAAAATGTTATAAATAAGTGTATAGACAAAAGATGACATCTATCAAGAGTTGAACGCTGTACCAGTAGTACATAATATATTACCCCTTCAATCTATAAATACATCCTTCTGTAGAGTAACACTGGCAAGATCTTGAAGGAAACAAGCTTCTCTATCGGATTGCCTAGCTTTCCGCTTCAGCTCCTCCTAGAACCAACTCGTGTGACTCTTCAAAGCAATGCGCGCCAAGTTTCAAACATGTTGAACATATATCAAAGTCCCCGCCATTACAGATTCCGCAATGCATATGCCCTTGATCAGAGATGTATAACCAACATATGTCGCAGTATGTTCCCTTCTCTTCAACCCCATCTTCCTTTGTAGCCGCCTCCACATTAATTCCCAGATCCCGATGACCATCCGTTCCAGCTAGTAGCCTCGCAACTGTATCGTGACTACGAGTTGTGGCCCACCAGATCGTTGTCCTACCGAACCTATCGCTAGATTGGACATCTACAGCGCCTGTATCAATAAGAGCATTAACGATGTCAAAATGACCAAATCTTGCTGCAATGGATACAGGTGTTGAGCCCCAGCGGTCTGGCTCGTCGATCTGTGTCGATGCACCCATAATACAATCGACAACCTCAAGGCGCCCTGACCTGCAGGCATGATGCAAAGGAATCCGGCCCGAATTGTCTTTAGAGGCGACATCAGCGCCACGTTGGAGGAGAAGTTGCGTTACTCGAAAATGCCCCCACGCAGAGGAACAATGAAGTGGTGTCTGTCCAGCAATTAATTTGACATCCAGGCCAGCGCCTTTCTGGATCAGAATTTCAACTACATCGACAAGGTCACTATATGAAGCCAGGTGGAGGGGCGTAAAACCGTCCATATCAGTGGTGTTCACATCAGCGCCGCTTTCGAGCAGGAGTTCTAGTACGTTGTGATAGCCTGAGCGAGGGAAATCAGGCGATGTGGTATCCGCTTCTTCGTCGACATCACTTATGAATCCATTATAATGACCATAAGAGGCAGCTAGAAGTAATGCCTGGGGTTCTGTTGGTGCAACACCCTTGCTGATCAGAGCCTTCGCCGCGTTGAGGTGCCCGCGACCAGCCGCTACATCAAGCAATGAGAACATGTGATCTTGTAGTTGGATCCCAGTGAGTCCTGCACCTTCGTCTATGAGCAACTCAACGAGTTCTGAGTAGTCATACCACACAGCCAGCAACAGCGGCGCGTGGCCATTGGACGCCACCTGATTGACATCAGCACCCCTTTTAATAAGAAGCTTGACCAAGTCGACGTTTCCGACGCTAGAGGCCATCGAAAGTGGCGTGAACCCCTCATTCGTTGGATTTGAAATATCGGCTCCCCTATCGAGAAGCTGTTGAGCTGTCTTGACATTGCCAGCCGTTGAAGCTACGTTGAGTGCTGTATGTCCCGTATCATCAACTACTGAGACGTCAGCGCCCCTTGATAGAAGGAGTTCTGTTATCTCATTGTCTTCATCTTCCGCACTGATATGAAGTGGTGTTCGGCCTTCGTGACATATTGCATTGATGTCTGCGCCATTATCAAGGAGTAGTTCCACGACGTCTTTGCTTTCAGTAACGCAAGCCCAGAACAAGGGCGTCGAATTGCCAAATGATCGATCGTCCATATCGAAGTTCCCTTCTTGTATCAGATGCGCCACAGTGACTGTAAGTCCACTGCAGACTGCAAATACAAATGGGCTTATCGATCTTTCTTGAACATCGGGTTCATCACCTAAGATCTTCGTCTCCACGAACTCCCTGACAAAGGGCCAATTCTGATTTTTATCGTTTAAGAAGGCATTGATGGCTCTTTGTAAATCTGGGTCAATTGCCTTAACGTCGCGGCAATGCTGAAACCATTTATCCACAGCGTAGAGCATGAAGTGAATTGTTGGCTTCTCGTTTTCGTTCGTCTTTAAGCTTTCCCATGCCCCAGGGAAGCTCACGAAACGAAGGCAGTGTTTCGCTAGAGTGGCATTATGGAAGTTTTCGTTAGTGACACGAAGCTTCTCGTTCGACAGTATAGTAGCGTTGCCGGGAAAGCTCTTGAGGAGAAGGTATTCCTTGACGGAGAAATGTGACAGGTGAACTTCCTGTAAGCCGATAGAGTCCTCTTCCGAACTTTGAATGCGTTCGGGACTTCCGGTACTCTCAGACGACGAAACATGCCGGACTTCAATGAGCGATCCACAAAGTTCGAGGATCATACTATCAACATAATCTTGATCGACACAATCTGGCATCTCTTCCATGGGCAACTCGTCCATGTCTTCTGTCAAGAGTACGGCTTCCGTAATCTCATACACTGTCAACGGCCTCAGTGCAAACGCAGTCCATTGCAGTAGTGACAGAGCCCTTTCTTTGTCGGAGTCTCCCATTGCGTTGATTCTGTTCCATTCTCGGTCATAGAGACTGTCAAGCCCAGAAGGAGTCTCATCGATCTCTCGCTCCAATTGCTTTCTGCTTCGACCCTTTCTCAGAGATCCTTCTTGAAGTTTCACCCATTGGAATTGACCCTCACTTCTGTCCTTCATCTTCCGTGCAATAGATGCTCTTGTCGGTTCGTCCTTATTTGGTAGCTTCGCTTTGACGAGTTTAGATGAGTATGCCATGAGGTCAGGTCCGACGTCGTCTGGAACAATGGTATATTCGCTATATCCAGTGAACTCAGAAAGACCTTGCTGAATGATGGGGTCGCCGCGGCTTGAAATGAGAATCTTGGTCGCAGTATTGGAGGTAGCTTTATGTAATTCCTGGAGGAAATGCGGGACAGATTTCGTATCTGTACTTGTCATCCCTGCGCACTCATCCAAACCATCCAGAACAAGGACGCAGCCCGGAACACCCACGACAACATCTCGGAAAACTTGCATGATAGTCGCTTGAGTTGCCAGTGGCTCATGTTGTGAAAGACGGACTCTTGCCACAATATCCCGAGCGGTCAAGTTTCGTTGCACGAGCATGATCAGCCACGCTCGAATTGTTGAGAAAGGATCATCACGGCCTTCATATCTTGATGATAAGAAGAAGTGCGCGACGGGTCCCTGTGCTGTCCTCTCGAGCTCTTGAACTATTTTGGCACAGAGGACCGTTTTCCCAAACCCAGCTGGACCTTTTATCCAGAGCAATTTACCTGAAGAAGAGGGTGTTTGCCACTCAATGAACTCGTCGCGATGGAGAATCCATTCACATGTTTCTTCAAGACGCTTGTCGTTAGAGTCGCTGAACACATCGTTTGGCGGCGGAGCACCGAGCCACAGGTTTAAGTCTCGCATTCTCTCAGCTATTAATGTTAGGCTGCCGAGCGATTCTACAGTAGGCGAAGAACTTACCTTCCATCTCCTCCTCAACCTTCTGTAGCAGCTCCCGAATCTCTACAGCATATGGCTGCTCGCCTGCACTTATCGATAAATCATTGAAGCTTGGGTTTCGTGTCAAGGCTGTAGAGCTCTGAGTGTCGGGGGAAACAACACTATAGAGGTCTGATACGAGACTTGCAAGTGCTTGGACGTGGCTCGTCTGCTTCAGCTTTCCACGCAGTGCCCATGTTGTCTTTTGCCACCTTGAAATCTTGGCACCATGCGAGGATATCTCGCTTGATAGTGGGAATGACGGGGTTTTCTGAAGACCCTTGGGGCTTGGAGGTTCATTTGACGTTGCCGAGAAATCCTTGATGCTGTTCAGCAAACCCTGGACCACTGCATACGTACGCGGGTTATCGAGGTCTGGGTGATGGTTGTCTGAGAGCTTGCCCTTACTTATACCGACACCGTCACCCCATCTTTCGAAGAGATGCATAGCGGTATTGAGTTGAGCGTCAAGCTGTCGTGAGTCGCGACCAGCTGTTCTGTACGAGTCAATCCTTTGCACAACGTCCATGCAAGTGCTGAAGAGCCCGACAAGGCCAACCGCCAGCCCGACTGGCTCCATTATGCCTTTCTGCTCTCACCAAGCAAGTCGAAGGAGTTGAACGAATATTTAAGTTCTGATGTTACCGCGCGTCATTTCCTTATCCTCGTGCTTACGGCGGGGTATACATGATGAGGCTGAGACAGAGTAAGCCCACTTCAGCTGCAACGCTAAGAGGTTGAAAATCGATGGGACAGCCAATGAGATCAAGAGCTTCATGCAGGTTCTCGCCGCGTGATACATTTGCAGCAATCATCACCAGGTTACCTGCCGAATGGTGAACGCTTAATACTTCGAGCATTGTTAGATATCAGCAATATGCACCGCGCTCTACGCCAAACCTCCCATCTTAAGCCAGCCACTATTCTTTTGGCAAGCATGCCACCACTCTATGGAAATTCTCAAATTCAATGTCGGGTAGTCAGTGGCGATCCCGTCCATATAGCAATAGTAATCAGTGATCAATTTAGGCACATGGCAAAACATGCAACAGACTATCTTCGACCTCAAAGCAGCTATTCAACAAGTGCCACGGTATCCAGCACCAATCTGTTCACGAGTATATCCATTCGCTACTCCAGCATCCTGGCACTTGGACATAAAGTCACCCCCACCGATAGCCCCATTGTGGTTTTCGTTGCAATTCTGTCCGTTCCATGTGGCCTGAGAGCTGTGTTAACCATATCAATCTGGACAAAAGATCCTATCAGATAGGTACTCACTGCACTGGGATAGCGATCGCATGCGATGTGCGTGAGTGCCCAGTTGACGCCCCATCCATTATATCCGCTGCCTGGTACTTTAGCCCAGTTGATGCAGCAGTTGTGCGAGCTATGGTCCTTGCTATTGGTGGAGTATTAGTCTTGGTCTTCGTATAAAGAGGACAGTTTCTGTTTACGCTTGGACAGTCCCGATGAGGAGACAGGAATGATGATAGACTTGGTAGCGGACATCTTCGTTTTAGGTGTTATTACTCGGGGAGCTTGCTGTTGCTTCTTGTTGAAGGAGGGATTATGTTTCTCTGGTGAGGAACGTGTCTGTGTATTTATATTCTGTTTTCTCTTTAATCTTCTTAACTGTTCATAGTTTGCAAGGGCTAAGAATTAGATTTCATCTTACGATATTCTACACCACTTTTACTAAATGAAGTGGATAACATCATATATTTTACTGGACCTCGCACAGACATTACGTAAATACCGACTTTCGGATGGCTTCAATTCATCACATAGCTTTCTAATAACACTTCTCTAATTCACTATATTACTATCAGTTTACTAAAACTAAGTAATGCTTAATTGAGTTTTACAAACCGGCTGTTACTCTTATGGGGTTGTATCTAGATACTATTATGTAACCCATTACGGTGAACAATGTTTATATGGCTTGACATAATGGACCGTGGCATGGCATTAGTTCAAGAATTCAAGGTTTCGGCTATGCCTGGCAGCTGCAAGTGGTCGTAAGGTAGCCAATGCATTATCTCACACAGAGATTACGGGATGTCTTAAAAATTTCATTCTTCGTATTTTGACAGTCCGTGACTCGAGCCGTGCTGCGCATCTTTTCCGGGATAGCTATTGAGCTCGTATAGAATGGTTTGACCAGCACCGTCTAGCTTATATGAAACTCACCTTCCACATTGGCCTGAACTTTATCTCAGGTTATGACTCGTTGGTCTAAATTGACGAGAAGTTGCCCAGTGCTAAGACGTCTTGAACCGTTGTACGAGTAATTGAAAGTTAACGGGTTGACGTTCATTTGCGAGAGGATATTAGGAGTCGGCACTCTTATTACAGATGAACTCCCAAGTTGACGCCACACATATGGCCTCGGAAGTTGTTTACAAGGTTGCGTGACCTCCAAGCCATTACCAGTTGTCCCATGCCAATACTCCAGACTGCATAATATAATATAATCCAGAGAGCCAATAATCAACTGTAGATAGCTAATCCCTCTCTCTGTTTCTCAATGTGCCAAGTTTACCCCGCAACAGCATGTCGTACGCCGAGCCGCTTTCCCCCAGACATGCCGAGTCTCGACATCCGAATAATGACGTTGTTTTCCCAGCCACAGCCAGTTTGATAAGAACTTCAGATAACAGCGATTGGTAAGCATGTTTCTGGGCCGACGCGTTTATTCCTGGGTATATTCTTGTGAGCACGCGACCAAGGCTTTGGGATTGTTAAAGAAGCAACAAAAGCCCCCAAGTTCACTGCTTTCAATTCATGTCCCGTTCTTCTTATTATATAATAAGTTTACCGTTTATACAATCTCCTCGCAACAATGAACGTCTTGCGCAAAATCGGAAACTTGATAGCCTCACCTCCTCAAAAAGCAGAAGATGGTCGTGATCAATGGCCTTCACGAACAGCCTACCTCCTCGCCTCGTGCGGTGGCGCAGTAGGAATGGGAAACATGCTACGATATCCATCGCAAGTCTACAACGATAACGGGCTGCAGTGGTTCGTTCCCTTTCTAATGGCCGTCTTCTTCCTCGCCATTCCCGCCATGGCTCTTGAGATTGCCGCAGGGAACGCTTACCGTGGTGGAACCGTGGTGGCGTACAACTCAATCAGTCGACGGATGAAGGGAATCGGCTTTTCGCTCAATTATGTCGGGTTTGTTGTTGTTATTTACTTCTTGCCGATTCTGTCTTGGGCTATGGTTTACTTCCAGAAGACTTTTACGAACAATCTGCCTTGGGCGGGTAATACTGAGAATCGGTTCATGTACGAGGCTGTTGGTGCTGTTAACCCTGATACATCTGGTCGGTGGGTTGTATATCCTGGTGTTTCACTTGACGGTCGTCTTGTGGGCTGGAACGCCTTTACGTGGTTCACTGTCTGGCCCTGCATGCTTCGGGGTGTTGGTCTTACCGGACGCGTTGTCTACTTCACCATGGGTCTCCCCGTCATAATGGGTATCATCCGTATCGGCCGTGGTGTATCACTACCTAACGCCAGCGAGGGTATCAAGCTCTATTTCGCCAGTTGGCACAGCTCAAAGCTTGCCGGAACCAGGATCTGGCGTGATGCTGTTAGCCAAGTCTTCTTTTCGACTGGAGTCGTCCCTGGGTTGCCACCACCATGGTCACTATTTGCTTCCTCCTTTCGCTTCCTCACTGCACCCAGTTCGGTTACTTCTTCATGGATGGAATCGACCGATGGATCAACAACATCGGCCTCGTTTTCGTCGTTTGGGCCGAATGCGTTGGTGCGACTACTCTATATCGTTTTGAGGATGTTGTTGGTCAAGTCGGAATGCCTTCATTTCCTTGTACAATGTTGGCTTTCTGGGTGGTCAGCTACTGGGTATCATCGTCGGTCACACTGGGGCTCCTTGGGCTGGCGCTGTAGCTGGCTTCGGTCTTTACTTTATTTGCCTTACTGCTTCGTTGATCCTCGGAAAAGCACCAGATGCACATGGTGCACCAAGATTAATGTCCAAGAACAAGTTGATCTCTGCTTTTTACTACGTTGCCTTGTACTCGGTATGTTCACGTCATCTATTGTTGAGAACCCAACTAATCTATTCACTATAGGGAAACCAGCTAAGACACAATCTCAACTCAGTCATCGGCAACGGTAAGAACTGGTCCCTCCCATTTCTCTGGGCACCAATGCTACGATACGTCTCGGGGCCTGTCCTAGCTATCATTTTTAGCTTGGCCTACCCCAGCTTCGAGGAAGTCAAGAACGATCCCCTGTACATTCTTGGCTTCATCATCGCGCATCTTTTGCTTGTCTGGCGTGTGATTGGCTTCGTCTTCCCCAGGTGGTTCAACGTCTTTATTATCCCTGAGCGTCGTGATAATTGGAAGCAGCCGTATGCTCCTAATGTGCTTCGAGGTACAACTGAGGGTGAGGAGGCTACAAAAGCAGATGCTGGTATGTCTAGTGGTGATACCAGTATGTCGAACAAAGGGGTGAAGATCTGATGTGAACTAGATATATTATATTTAACGGTATCATGAGCGATAACTGGGCTTTAGAATATATTATAGAGCTTGGTTGATAACCTAGTCTTGTGTTCCTCGATCGGCTTTTACCAGTTGGCCAAAAGCCAGTCCGACCTGTGAGCTCTCCAAGATATCGGATAATCATCTCCCTGAAGTCTTACTTATTGCATTATCTGAAGCGATGCTCCGAAACTTGGAGACGAAGCCCCCACCATCCCTATACCCCTGTCCCTGAATCTTCGCAGACGAATCGGAGCAATGGACAGAACTGATAAGCGGCCGAGTTCGGGAATATCCTTTCCCATTCGAGCTACACTTCTCAACGGCATCCCTCTTATCTCAAGACTACAGACATCATGCATTGCGCTAACAATAAGCTTGTTTATGCTTCAACTCTAATTAACATTTATCCAGAAAAATGGTATAAATGCAGTTAACTCAAGGCTTGGCAGCGAGTCGGCCACGATTAGAAGGAGAGGGATTTCATTCCATATTACCAAGCATCGTCGGCAAGAATAACCCCGACAGGGAGTCGGGATCAATTAGTAGATCCGAGCCACAAGATAAGAATGGCAGCCCATGAAGCCATTTAAGCACGATCATGTCCCCGTAACAGTGGTTTTACTGCCATTTGGCAAGATTACCTCTTTCTGCATTGAATATGAGAAGTTCTGCCTTTCTTTGGACTCTTGCAAGCAGCGTCGGGTTACTCGAAGCAGTACCCCTCAACTCCCCTTCTATCACGTTTATATTTCCCTCAAAAGTCAGTCCCGGCAGCGCACAAAATGTTATTGTAGAATACACCGGTGATGTTAACGGGCACTTGACTTTGACTTATGGGGCATGCAGTGATAATGCAACTCTCGCACAGGCCAAACACCATATCGGGTCAACGCACGTTGGCGAGCATCCTCTGGCTAAGCGCCATCTGGATCACCAGGACAAGCGGCCAACGCGGTTTGTCTGGTTGACACCGGAGGGGCTGTCTAGTGGTTGTCTCAGTGCCTTCTTGGACGACGAACTTATCGGCCAGTCTGACGAGCTCGACATTGTCAAGCGCCTTGCACGTCGAAGCGAAAAGAAGAAGTCATTTGCGGACGTTGCCGGTGATGACAGTTTGTGGTTTGACGGTGTTTCGTATTTCAAACAGAAACAGCCTGATGAAGTGTTTGTTACCGCAACGAAGAACAAGACCTTTGGCATCTTGGGTGCCGGCATGTCTGGACTTTTATCCTCGGTAAGTGAGAATTTGTCCAACACTGAATGTGAAGCTAACCGTTCGCTCTCAAGCTCATTCTTGACTCTGTCGGCATCCATAACTGGAAGATTCTCGAGTCTTCTGAGCGCATTGGAGGGCGTATTAGGACTGTTTACTTGAACGGCACCTCGCCAGAAGACGGCCAATACCATGAGCTAGGACCCATGAGGTTCCCGTACGAGATCACAGATTCGGAGACAAACGAGACATTTCCTTTCATGGGTCAGCGAATGATCTTCCAGCTCGCTGATGTTCTCAACGAAATGAACGCAGGCAACAAATCACTTCAAGTCGAGTTCTGGGACTGGATCCAAAGTTCACCAAATACACCTGTCGATACACCTTTCCGACGTCCAGATGGTACATGGCCTACCAAGGCTGAAGTAGCGAATGACCCGGCATATTACAATGCGCCTGTCTACCATAATGCTACAGCAGCTGAGGAAGCTATAGAGGCTTTGGATGACTTCAAAGGCCTTACTCGGGAGCGTATCCGTATGTATGCCTCAAATATCTTCAAAGCGTATAAGCAAGCGAAGGAAGATGGCTCATTCGACTATTCTGAGGTATCTTACCTTCGCGACGTGATCAAGACAGACCTCAACACCACAGATGAAGTCTCTCCCTCTCATATCTATTGGCCTATGTGGGAGTACGAAACCATTTACTTCCTCGCTAGCAAATGGGTCACTATCAAAGGCGGTCTGAGCCGATTACCTGCTGCGTTTGAGCCGCACGTGAAAGACCGAGTTCAGTACAACGCCAAAGTGAACGGTCTGCACTATAACAAGAATAACACTCTGTCCGTGTCTTGGAAACCTACTGGCTCTGAACCTTTCAGTAAGCCGAATAATGTTGAGAACTTCGATTATATACTCAACAGCATACCGCTCAACTTGATGAAGTTTTGGAAGATGCCACGATACTCAAGTCTTCTCAAGCGTGCCATTGATAGAACGCTGTATGCCAATGCTTGCAAGGTTGTTGTTCAGTTCAAGACACGATTCTGGGAACATCTCGATCAGCCTATCATTGGCGGTTGTACTCGCCTGACCAGCCCTCAACTAGGCCAGGTCTGCTATCCCTCATGGCACATCAACTCCACAGGTCCCGGAACAATGCTAGCATCTTATCTCTCTGACTACGAAGCAACAGCTGCCTGCGCCATGTCTGAAGAAGAACACCTAGCCTACATCAAGAACTCTCTCATCGAAGTTCATGGTGATACTGTTGAAGAGAATTGGACAGGTAATTGGGCGCGTCAATGCTGGGTTAAAATTGTCAAAGATTGGATGTCGACAAACTCTAGTGTTGACATCTTCCAGAACTCTAAGCAGCAACCATACTGCAAAAGTAAATTATGCCCTGCGTATATATCAGTTAGCAGCTTAAAAAGCCAATTTAGATTTCACGGAATGAAACAAAGGCCGCAGTCTCTGTTTATTCCTACTTATACAATTGATTGTTATGGTAAAGCTGTCTCGTGCTATTGTTGGTCAATAACTTTATAGTAACTTTGGCCTTGGGCGTAATAAACCCTTATGCAACCTTAGGAGAAGGATAAATAATACATGGCAATAAGTATGAGTTACTTAGTTTAAAATAAGTTCTAAAGTTAAATGCTACTGGTCTCCAGAATACTGTAAACTCTTGCTTGTTAAAATTCAAGTTCAGTATTGTGGGTTTAGAATTTTAAAAACATTAAATGTCTATGGCTTAAAATTTATAATATTAATGAGAAAACTGGGCAGATAAAATTATTATAATAAAGAAGCAATGCAATATGAATATAATGAAATGAAATGTAAGTTATTAGTTAAATGGGGGAAGAACAAGAGGCAGTGTGAAGCTGTCTTCTGAACGATTGCCAGGTTACTGAGACTGGTAAAGTACATACTTCAAAGGAAGATCAAGTTAGTTCAACTCTCAGCAAGATCAACTAAGTTTAAATCTTAAATGAAACTTAAGTTCCCAGTATCAATAGCTAGAGGAGGTTGCTTCCGTTGCTGTAAGACTCAAGCATCCCGCATCGGAAACAGATCAACAGTTAAAGGAAGGGGAGTAGTAGTGATAGTAACTCAGACAAACGAAATAACGAATGAGACACAGACAGCTTTAATCGGGAGTGTGAGTTTAGAGCACAACAGATCAGTACATGATCAACAGTGAGTTAAGAAATAATCTACAAAGGCTCTGAAAATGAAGCTATCACGATCACCATTTAGGAAGTGTCCAGATCAAGTATTCCAGTTTTGCCCCACCACCTTTAGGGTCATTTTAATTCCAGTCTCAGCTCAGTTCTAACCTTAGTAAAATTACAGTCTCAGATCTATTACTTATTGAGTATATTAAACAGCCTGTTCCTCCTCTCTCAGCTCTCACCTCCTGTCCTGGCTCCTGACATTATCTAATGAACTATCAATTGTCAAGCTATAATATCTCCATCTGCCAACTTAACATGCCAGTCCTGATGCTTACCTCAGTGTGTATCCACACTTAGCACAGCTTTGTCTTAGTCTGAGTTTAAAGTCAGCTTATAGAGTCTCAATTAAGAGACAAACCTAACTCCTAGCTTATATTATAGATCCCGTCTAGTAAGTAATTTCTGTGTCTATTGTTTATGTATTGTTCTTTTTACTGCTGCACGTGGTGAACATAGTTTTGGTCAATGACAGCTTGTTTACTGTAGAGTTTCTGTAGAGATGAGAAGTAAATAAGTTAAGGACAACAAGCGGACAATGAGGTTTCATTTTTACTTAAAGTTTCTGCAGAGATAATAAACAAATGAGTTACAGACAATATATCAACAGTGAGGTTTCATGGCAGCACTGTAACAGCAAAGTGAGAGGCAGTTTGTCGACAGCGACAAGGCTTACTGTCTTTGATCTCCAAAAAAGATACTAATTGTAGGTATAAGTATAGACACTATATTAATAACCGCTTAGCAAAGTTAGTCTCTGTTAAACCACCAAGATATAAAGTTCTATCTCAGTTAACTCCTAGATTAGATCTTTTCTATAGAATGTGGCAGAATGATTTCTTTAATTGCTATCATATTTTGAGCAAAACTCACCAGAGTACAGAACCCGCCCAAAGAGTTGACGCATTCAATTGTTGTTGTTCATACTTCCAGTAGAACTCACTGGAGTACAGAGTCTGGCCAATAGCTGATCCATTTAATTGTGGTTCATATTTTCATTAGAACTCAATACAGTAATTACACGGTCCGTCTACGAGCTAATGCAGATGCGCCATTGCAGGAACTGGCGTGATGGAATTGTTTCAATTAATTAGTATTAATATTTTCAACAGAATTCACCAGAGTAAAGAGCTTTGCCAAGAGCTGCTGCGAAGAACTCTGAACTAAATACTTGATTTTTATTCTGTAGTTAAGCCGGTGTTGGAGTTGCATACTGACAGCAGTCTTATCCCTTTGAGCGGTACAGCCCTTCAGCGGGGTCACGACAGGGGTATAGGACCAATTAAAATAAATTAAACTAACGGTACTTCTCTCTAAGACTAATTTGTATGATGGTAAAAGTCCCAGCAGTTTTGATTGTTACAAAGAGGTACCTTACAGACTTGGCAAATATCTTACGAACTTCCGGTACCCCGCACGTACTAACCTTGTGACTAAGCAAAGTGGGGCGAGTGACCTCCTGAAGGGCTGTACCGCTCAAAGGGATAAGTTTATCCTAAGACCCACATAACCAGTTTCTCCTGGTTTCTACTATTATAACACCAAATAAATTTTCTTCCATCTCTATCTCTCAGCTGTTCTGCTCCTCTCTGACTTTACTTTCTTAGCCTTGACTATATAGACATATTTAATACCCTGTAACTCATTGACAACACTCACTCTACTACATATAAAAAAAACAACTCATGATTGCAGACAAAAGATAATTACTAAGTGACTTACTGCTTGCTGTCTTTCTATCCATCTTCTCGTGTTGCAGATTGAATGCTAAATCCTGCACTGGGCGCTCCCAACCTTTTAACTCTGTACAATCTGGCTGTTGAACACAACGTCGTAAATTACTTAGGTTTACCTCTAAAGTATGGTTGCTGCTTAGAGTGCTGGAAGATGTCGACGCTGGAGTTTGTCGACGCTGGAGTTTGTCGACGCTGGAGTTTGTCGACGCTGGAGTTTGTCGACGCTGGAGTTTGTCGACGCTGGAGTTTGTCGACGCTGGAGTTTGTCGACGCTGGAGTTTGTCGACACTGGAGTTTGTCGACATCCAATCTTTGACAATTTGTGCTGGTGCTTTTACGACGCAGATTTTCGGACAGCAGCATTTATATCTCCCTGCATTCTACCAGACGGAGTTCAATACTGTTTTTATTGGAGAGGCGGCGACGTTTACGCACACTTGGATTTTTAGTGCGCTTGAGAGTGCGGTGAGGGGAAGTGTGCAGTTGTTGTTGGATTTGGGGCTTGTTGACGAGGCGAAGCAGGTTACGCAGACGTGGATGGCTCGTTGGATAGATGTGTAGATAGAAGTCAAGCGTTGGCTGTTTTAACCAGATTATCGTATCCTCGCCGACCTTGGATGCTGCTCTCGTGGTCGTTTGCTATCTCGAGGGAGTCTTATCTCGCAGATCGACCCCGAAACTCCACCATGTACCCTGATGGATAATGAAAGTTCCCGGGCAGCCAATGGGCTATTTCACCGAATTTTGGTCCGCTCACTGCATCGTGCAGCGTTAGGCGCTGAGACAACGCGTAAGTTTCCGACGATCTGCACGAACTGACAGTGTTGGAATGGCACATGGTTATTGTCACAATTCTGTTGGAGCAAGACACATCAAATGATAAAATGCAAACAGTCTCTATAAAACGGTGTGTATTCATGCTAGACTACTAGAGTCATGGGAGTATCTAAAAGTTCATAGCTACAATTGTAGCTTCTATAGATGCGTCAAATCATGATAATAAGCAAAGTCAAGTTCCAGCAAGCTAGAACAAAATGTCGAAAGCCAGTTCGACCTTAGACAGCAGAGTCAGTCATGACTCCGTTCTCGCGCTCAGACTCAGAGTGAGACACCTTGACATCGTCGTCACTGGCAAAGCCATACTCGCGAGCCTTCTCGTGAACCTCGTGGTCCTCCATGCGGGGAAGCTGCTTAGCAGCAGTCACGTAGCTCATCTTCTCAGTGTAGCCCTTGGCGAAGATCAGATCAATCTCCTCGAGAGATCGACCAGAAGTCTCAGGGTAGAAGAAGTAAATGATGGGGAAGAAGCAGGCGTTCATGGCAGCGAAGAAAGCGTAGGTGCCCCAGCCGTTGGTGCCAGTGCCATGAATCATGACAGGGGTGATCATGACGATGAAGAAGTTCCAGAGCCAGTTGGAGACGGTGGAGGTGGCGTTAGCCTTCGCTCGGGTCTTGAGAGGGTTGATCTCAGCGGGGTAGAGCCAAGGGAGGGGCAGCCAAGTGGCACCGAAGAAGGCGATGTAAGTGAAGAGACCGACGGCAGCACCCTTGGAAGCGGAAGCAGTACCGGGGATAAGAGCGCCGAAAGAGAGAATCATGGACAAGCACTGGCCGACGGTTCCAATGAGGAAGAGCTTGCGGCGACCGACGCGCTCAACGGCAAACCAAGAAGTTGTAGCGAAGATGGAGTAAATGATCATGTTGACACCACCGAGGAGGAGAGCCAGGTTGTGATCGGTACCGATGGACTTCTGGAAGAGAATGGGGAAGTAGTAGATGACGGCGTTGCAACCGGAGAGCTGCTGCATCATCTGAGAAGAGGCGCCGAGGATGAGACGTCGGAAGTGCTGAGTCTTGCCGCCAGTGAAGAGAGCAGAGAAGGGAGTCTTGCCGCCCTTGTGACCAGCAGCAGCGATAGCCTTCTCAATGGTAGCCATCTGAGTGGTGACATCATGAGAATCACGAGGCTGACCGTTGAGACCTGCTAGAATCGTCGATGCTTCTTCGCGACGTCCATGGGTGAGGAGCCAGCGAGGAGACTCGGGAAGCTTCATCATCATAACGAGGACGATAGTGGCGAAGACAACCTGGAAAGCGATGGGGAATCGCCAGACGAAGGGAGCGGGACCATAGGTACAGCCGTAGTCGATCCAGTAGGCGATCAACGTTCCGATGGCGACGTTACCGCCTTCAATGCAGATGAGCTTGCCTCGGTTGTGAGACTCACTGCACTCGGCCTGGTAGGTAGGGATAGTCGATGTGTTGACTGAGAGGTTAGCATCCATGCACTCAGAACCGAGAATGAGGGTGTAACTTACTTCCGTTTCCAATACCAGTGATACATCTTCCAATGATGAATTGCGCCGTAGCACCACCGCTAGGAGGAACAGCAGCGATCTGGATGATGACACCAATGATCATGACAATAGCACCGAGGAAGATAGACTTGCGACGACCAAGACGGTCACCAAAGTTGAGAATGAAGAGAGCACCGAGGAAGCAACCGACAGCGTAGATGGAGACGACGAAACCTTCGTATGTCTCATCAAGAACCTGGGGGAAATCGTCTGTGAAAGCGGGCGCTGAGATGATACCGGACATGACACCTTGATCTACAGGAAGCATAGCCGTTAGTCTTTACTCAAAGGCACAGATACCCTGAAAAACATACCATAACCGAAGAGAAGAAAGTCTGTGGTAGCGACTATAGTGATGAGTCTCTGAAGACCCTTGCCGGTCTTGCCCCAGTAGTGCGGCACACCATGCTCGTTGTCGACGTGAACCATGATGACTGATGTTTTTTAAAAAAGACCAGCTCTTAGGTTTCTCTGATGTTGATACAACTTCAAACTCAACTCAAGTCTGGGAGATTCACAATCCTTATAAGGACAATCAGCAACAACAGTGCCAAGTAAACTCTGGAGTCTACGTGGATCACTTTAACAAAGAGTAACCCACAGTTCCCCAATGTTTTTCGTTATGTCACAGCATACGGTGGAGAAATTAAGGATGTAACTTGATAAGCCGAGAATGACTCGGAGAAAAAAACTTGGCACAGTGAGAAAACTTGGAGTACGATGGGGAGAAATTGGTCCCTTGAACCGATAACCTTAGATAAACACATGTGAAGGGTCGCCTCCAAAACATGAAGAGATTTTTAGTTTTAGCCAGTTAGATTCATCGTGAATAACGTCACTTGGCACCCAAGACGGGAGCTACGCTAATTCAGGGGCCCCGCTGACGTACAAACACTGGGTCTAGTAACAAAAGAGTGAGAATTATCGTTGGTGATAGAGGGAGCAGAGACACTAGAGAATAAGTTGAAAATTTTTAAATATGGGTAAAATGACGTTGAAGGGGTCGCCGGAATGGATACGTCATAGGCGTTGGTGATCTTCATAATTTCCTAAAAGAGACAAGGACCCTTGAATCAATTTGGCTCCATTCTCGGCTCTTTATCCCTGTATGTGTGCATGCCATTACATGACTAGATTATCCTCATACGAGTTGGAGAATGAGGATTGTTAATGTGTTTGTACACCGCATTAATATGTTTTGAGAAAAGATTGTTCTGATCAAAGATAGAGTTGACCATCACTAAGGGATCGTCAAGATATGATCGGCGTCGGCGACAGAAGAACATAACCGAAATGAGCACGGAGTAAGATCTTGCGGAGTATCATCTCATCTCCAGAAAACCTCCGAGAATAACCATAACATACTCCATACGGAGTAAAATCATATCACCGCAGTCTCCCCTTTTCTCCAAGTTTTTTTGTTGTCGTGATTTCTTTCTCCCCCTCACCCGTGCCGAGAATAATTGGGGAATAGAGCCGAGGTGTGTGGGGATTTAGTGGATAAGGTTTGGATAAGATTTCTGCACTAAAATTCTCGCGGCAACGTCATAATTCCTTGGGCGGTCTCTTCCAATGGGGGACATTCCGTCGCTCGTGGCAAAAAAGGGTATCGGGTAGGCTAGGTTAGGACGTTCTTCAATACGTCAAATCGCCTTGTGAGGCTATTGCCACTGACTATCTGGAAGGAATAAAAAATTCTAGAAGATTTTTAACTTCTACTGTTTTCTTGTGGCTTAGTTTGAACGGTCGTGGTAAGGATGTAAGGTGTTGTTCTCAGTGCATTCTCAGGCAGCAGAATTTGTGAGACTCTGCATGTTGCAAAACAATCCAGGATCGAATCACAGCAAAGTAAAGACCAAATACCGCTCAAAGCACAAATAGAGTGAAATTAACTCAACAATAAGCACGCTGATCTCATGCTTCATCCCAGTAATGCCCAGAGAGATTGTCATCACGAGGTATTGACAGGACCCTCATCGGTTGTACAAATTAGGTCTTCCGTGGATATCTTGGCCTTTTTGATCTTCAATCTTCTCCAGTGTTTTGTGTGATGAAAAGTGGTCAGCAAGGACATATTACTACAGCTGTATAAGCATTGCTTGGCATGAGGGATGTTGCGGAGGTTTGTCCATCGCCTTATTGTGACGATGGAAATTTCCCCGTAACTTGGCAAGCGAAGGATGGAGAAAAGCTGGATCCGTAGGGGGAGTTAATGCTGGCATAGGGTAGTCCTCGCGCATTTTGAGACAGGCGAGGTGCGCATAACGCGTCATGTTATGGTCCGTCCAAATCAAGCTAGCGGTTGACAGGGTCGTTGCATCACAATCCTGACATGTCAGGAATCACTGCACATCCCAAGATAAGCTTAAGAAGTAAACCCTTGATACCCTGTTTCATCAATTCACTTATGCGCGTTTATCGAGCTTTAAAAACAACTTTGATCTGCTGATCCGTCTCTTCTCAAGATCAACGTGTCTTATTGCCCTATATGGGAAATTCCCCTTGTTCACGGGTAGAGATAAGGGTTTATAATTGGACCGGAGCGTATGAGAGGATTATTGCTGTTGGTTGGAGTAAAAGCAGACGATGTTTAGTACTTTCTATATTATAAGGTATTAAAATTACCAAGAGCAAGAACGTAACATTAATACGAAAAAACAACAACATCATCTATTTAGACCTATGCTATAACAGCAAGCTTAGACTATTGCATCCTTCTAAACCTCTCCAGTAACTGTAACACGCTGAACATCCTTGCTCTTAGAAATCTTTCCCGTGGCATCAATACACATCATATCAACACTATCACGCTCCTCGCCTCCCTTCCCGCCCGAGATCTTAGAGAACACCCAAACTCTTCCGCCTGCCCCGCCAGCGTCAACTTCAGCAACCATATCGATAATCTCCATATCAAATTTCGGCATGAACTGCTTTGCCTTGGCCCAGCCGCTGAGGAAGGCCCCAATGCCGTTTGTGGACGGGTAGCTGTCGTGTGTGACTGATACATCGTCGGTGGCAAGGTTTCGAGCCTTTTCGAAACCAAGATTGACCTGCTTAGGGTCGTTGAGGGAGCGTAAGAAGTCTCTGGCGATCTGCTTCAACGCATCACATGTGGTAGGAGATGTCATTTTATTTGTAGAAGGGGAGATTGTTGTGTGATTTGTGAAGGAAAGATGATGCTTATTGCTGAAGGTGCTGTTCTGGGCTGGAAACATCCGAGTTTTTATGAACCCTGACCTCTGTAGTCACCTTTCTCATGCTGTAAGGTATTGGGACATTGAATTGTAGGTTATCGGCGTTTGCGACATCTCCGCTGCCTGACTATGACTTGAAAGCAACTCAGCACTGGCATCCGGCATTCGCGACTCCGTATTTACTGTTGTACGCGGACATACGATGAAAATTGACGCCGGACCGGCTGTCTCGTTGACCTCCATGAGCCGGTGTACACCGAGTCTTGATGCCATTTAAAGTGAAGATTAGCTACGGCCGTAATACCGAGCCAAGTTTAACAAAGCGCTAACCTATATTGCAATCCATTTCATCCACTCTTTAGCACTTGCGACGGCCCAGACCAGAGCTACCGACGCTAAGCTGCAATGCTATAAAGTCAATTGCTCGACGGATTTTGCTTGCTCGGAGAAGGCATATTTCGAAATCCGAGCTATACAAAGCCGGACTTTTTGAAACTCGTTATAATGTGCAAATGTGTAAATACTAGTCTAAGCGAAAATTACATACAAGTCTTGGAAATTAGGATGGAGTAAAATAGAGTATCTTTATAACCTTTAACTTGTAGCCTCATTGAAACACTACTTCAATCAAACAACACAATCAAGATGGGTGAATGGGTTTTGGGAAAGAAATTCAACACAGTCTATCCGCACTATGGATCTATTCAATCCTTATGGGAGCAAAAGTGGAAGCCTTGTGTAAGTTTTGCTGCCCCAAACTCAAGTTGGTGGACTCAACAAACTAACGCTTAGTTCTTCTCACTGTAAAGTGTGAAAAATCCATCTACCCTTTTCATGGCGGCGCCTTTGAGGATTTTGACCCAATTTTCGAATCGTTGATACAGGTATGTCAATCTCAGATATCGTCCAAGCGCAAGACTAAATCAGCACAAAGCATGATGTCAAGGACTTTACAGTGATGATTACACCGAGGTATTCCTTTACACTGCTGAAAACCTGTCCTCTGAAGCAGCATTGGTCGAGCAGAGAGGTGACATCGAAGCTGCCGTTCGCCTTGGTCTCCGAAGTGCTTGCGTCTCTCGCATTTCCCGTTTCCCTTACCTAGGACCACAAGATACTGGGCTCAAGAGACATGCGTTTGAACGGCAAAATGATGTATATCTACGAGCTGGTGCATTGATGAGATGCCCCATCTACCCGAAATCCATCCACTTCTCGCATAGACTGGAGCACGAAGGGATGGAGATCTCGGTCCTCCAACGACTACCCCTCGGACACGGCGATAGACCGCACCCTGTGATTCTGATCATGACGGGCCTCGACGGATACCGACTGGATAACACTGCTCTCACTGATCGTCTGATAGAGAGAGGCTGGGCTGTCGTGCTCTGCGAAATTCCTGGGACAGCTGACTGCCCCGCAGATCCCAAGGACGCATCGTCACCCGATCGTTTGTGGTCTTCTGTCATTGAATGGATCATGAAGCAGGCTTGTTTCGACCCAGACAAGATAGTTGCGGGACTTAGCGCTGGAGGATTCTATGCTGCGCGGATTGCTTTTACCCACGCAGACCAACTTCTCGGAGGATATTCCGAATTGACACTAACTAACATAGGGCGAGGATGATGGGCTTTGTCCAATCGAAGATTTGATGGAACTGGCGGATCAAGCGGCTGGAAGAGACTTGATGTATGTATAGTCAGAATTTCGATGTAACTTTACTAATCTCCTCCTAGAATTGTTAAGAACCGAATGCATATGGGAAACCCAGATGCTCAGCCACAGGTTATTAAATGGCTAACATAATTGCTGCACTAGCTAGCATTATGCAGGATTTAGAGTGACAGTTGGCGCTAGAAGTTTCACGATTGTTGTTATCGAATCTAAAATTGATGGGAGGTGGCACTTTGAGAGATAGGCAGCTGACCGAAGGATGATCAAGAATTTGATGCTAGTGGTAGATGTCAATGTCAATAACAAGACGTTGGTTCGTCTTAGAAGATCAACCTGTCTTATGCCCATAATAGGAAACCCTCCTTGTTCATATTCGCGCATGGAGAGTCATAGTTCATGATTGGACGTGCATCCTGACGGTATTGACTCAGTTGATCCACCAACGCCAAGAGCAAGTCAGGAAAGATGCCTCCGCCAGACAAAAGGCCCCGTACATAAACTGGGTATTTATGCAACGGAGCATTGGCAATTCTGCTCGATCCCACGTGCCTTCTTGGCTTTGTCGGGCCAAGACTTGTTCCGTCCCTCCTGATCCACAATCCCGCGGTTGGTCTCGTTGCTTATCTTTCTTGGCTGGCTTGGAGGGAGTTTGAAAATGGTAAGCCGACGTTGCCAATCCTTTATGCAAATCCGCAATACGACCCCGCGAAAAGCGACAGAGTTTATTCTTGATGCGGGAGCTGTGAAGATCAATAATTCTGCAGGGAACGGACCTCCGACCGCAAGTCTTTGTCTTGGCGATTGAAGTTGGTATGGATTGACATTGAGAGTATATCTTGGCGGCGCAGTATCGAACATGACCGAAAACAACTCAGCAGTCGTGCGGGAGAAAGGAATACCCCGACGTGGTGGAGATCCGGTCAACTCGAAACTCAAATTTGACGACAGTCATGGACAGAGCTCTGAGTAATCTGGTCAAAGAAACTAACGGTCGCATACATTTATCACTCGCGATGACCAGACCGAGGCTTTTGCGTTTAAAAAAGACAGATACAGCGCACGATTATGATGAACAGCAGCTGCGAGAACTGAGATTGGGCGCGCCGATCGCGCGTCCTAGTTATATCTCTTGCGTATTTGACCCGAATGGAGTGCATGGCACTATACTCACTAACACGACATGCCCTCATTCCTTCTTCGCAGCCCAAATAACAGCTCTGCGCAAGCTTCCCATGAACCACGTATCTTTATATGCCTCATCAAAATGGCCCAGAGCAGTGTAATACACCCTTCCCTTTCCGACCGTATGAGTCCACGACAACGGAAAGCCAGATGTTTCAGCACTTTCCTCGTTATCCCCCTGCACCGAAAGCAAGACAGTGCGGCCTTCAATACGTGGGTGCGATTTGAAGGTATACACCTCGTCAAACCAGGGAAAATGCTTCGCTGGAAGAGACTCTGTCTTGACGGGGCAGGCAGGAGCTGACTCTGGCGCCGAGTCCGGACCAGGAAGAGAATCGTACCCGTTGATGTAGTGGTCGGGGTTTTCGACCGCAAGAGTCATCCATTCTGGCGGCGGGTGACCATTAAACACCTCGCCCAAAATCTTGGTATACCTGGCGTTTGTCTTCAAGCCGGATGTAGCAGCATGAATGCCTACAACGCCACCGCCATTCTCGACAAAATTCAACAAAGAGCTGACCTCCTCTTCAGTTAGATAATCGCCGGTGTTATGCCCGAGAGCCACAACGTCGAAGTCCGAAAGAGAGAGTAAGTGACTCGAATCTTCGGTAGCTTTTACATCGAACAGGAGCGAGTTGAAGGCTGAGATCAGGGCGGGAATGCAGTCATGACGGTAACCACAAGTTTTGGTGACTAGTAATACTTTGATCGAGTTAAATGCTGTCGATGCCATCTTTGCCAGCAGTTTTTGGTAGATCTGATGATAATTAACAGAACTTCATTTCACCATGATTGAACGATGCTGGCTGACGAATTAAATGATGCAATTATGCAGTGAGTCATGCGCCGAGGCGCTGTGATTGGCGGATGAATTACACTCCGTACATGCAGTGATGACACCGTCAGCATTCTCAAGTCTTGTCGCTCATTGTGACAACATGCGAAGAATGATAATCTCGTTTTCGACTTGAAAAATTGCAGTAGTCGGTATGCTCGATGTGAATATATTCTAAAGTAAAAGAAGACACCAAGAATGAGCATATGCTGTGAGTAAACTTGAGCTTAAATAGTTCTATATATCAACCCTCCATAGCCAGTCTTCCACCGCAATACTTCAGCAGCGATGTGGTTTCTCGAGTCAGAACCAGGAGAAAGCATGTGAGAAGTACGAGGCTCGGTGAGGGTATAACCGGGAGATAGTCCTGATATTCAGATTGGATGGGAGCGGCAGGTTAGATAGTTAAAGAATAAAAGAAGAAAGTCTATTGCAAAATCATCCAAGCCTATACACTATATCTAAATGCGAATCAACTCTAATCTCAGTGTCTCCAATCAAGTTCCGATATCCATCTACAGGCGGCTGGTGAATGGGTTGGCCTTGACAGTAACTCCCTGACCAAAGATTTCGGGATGGTCGGCCTTGATCATGTCGGTGCCCTGGTAAATAGGTCAGCCGAGTTATTAAAAATAGTCAATGAGATCTTACCTTCTCTCCAATCATGTAGACAGAGTTTTGAATGCGGCAGTCAGGAATGACAGGGATGACGGAGGCATCAGCAATGCGAAGGTTCTTGATTCCGTGAACACGTAGGCGGGAGTCAACAACACCCTGCTGGATGTTCTTAGAGAGACGTGCAGTACCGCAAGGATCTGAGACAGTTGTTAGTATATAATCTCCAGATAGTAGATTTGACTTACGGAAACCAGTCTGGCTGCGATCAAGAACAGCCCTCTTCATTTCCTCATCAGACTCAAGGGGCATTCTCCAAGGATACTCGCCTATGACAATATCCTTGAAACCCTTACCAGTGGTAAGAACATCATAAGTCCACCGGACGCCCTCGCGCATAGCAAGAATATCAAGGTCGTTGCCAAAGAAGTTGAGGTTGATGTTAGGCTGGACAAGTGGATCGTTGCTGTTGAGAGTGACTTGACCTTCAGAAAGTGGGCGTAGAAGATCAACGATGACAGTCATGTAGTTACCCTTCTCGGGAACGGGGTAGTGCCATTGGAAAGCAGTGCTGAACATGCCGACGAAATCGAGTTCAAAGTGAGGCTGTCCCTTGGGACCGAAGGGGTCTAGACCACCGTTTGCAGCCTTGGCTTCACGGTAGGATTGGTGCTGTTCGAGACGTTCGTCGATGCGGGGAAAACCGACGAGTTCGAGAAGGCCAGAGCTGACGGGGCCAGTCTTGTCGCGCTTGTACTGAGCAATAGCAGCACTATTGGCAGCACCATCTCGAAGGATGTAGTCCTCCAGGCCGAAGCCATCCTTGACTTGAAGGACGAAAGGCACAATAGGGTGATCAAGGAGATGCTGACCAACGTGAGGAGAGTCAAGCTTGACATTTATGCCGTTCTTCTTGAGTTCCTCAGCGGGACCGACACCAGAAAGCATGAGAAGCTTGGGAGTCTCGAAAACGCCCTGAGATAGGATGACTTCCTTGCTGGCGAAGACACTGAGTTCTCCCTTGGTAGCAGGGTTGATGACTGTGACACCAAGACAAGTGTTGGTGCGAGGATCAATGATCAGTTCCTTGGACTGAACGCCATAGAGGATGTTGACATTGGGCTTGTTCTTGAGATACAAGAAACTTCCCTGTCGCTGTCCCCCATGAATAGTATCAACACAATGCGTAAGACCCCTCATCTCACCATCGTAAATATTCTCCGTGAGGACCTCTCCCTTGGAAACCCAAGCTTCAGTCAAAGCGTCACGCCAAGGCTGCATCTCAGGAACAAGATCAGCATGCGCAATCTGAATAGGACCCCCCGTGCCAATCTTCCCAAGCTCAGAGGGATAAAGACCCTCCTCATCATGATAAGTAGCACACTTGCGAAGATACTCAACACAGCCATCCCAATTCCAATCTTCACCTCCAAAAGCCTCCCAGTCGTCAAAAGTAGGCTTGGAACCGGGGATCCAGGTGAAGTAGTTGGCGCAGGACGAACCACCGAGGACTTTTCCGCGGGTGTTGGGCTTTTCGATGCGCTCGTAGTCGTCGCGCTTGATCATGGTGGACTTGTAGGCCCAGTCGTGCTTGCTGCCACGCAGGTTGAAGGCTTTGGAGGGCGTGGTGATTTCGGGGATTTGGTGAGGATTGGGAATGCCGGCTTCGATGATGAGGATGCGGACGTGAGGGTTTTCGGCGAGACGGCCGGCTACAGTGTTTCCTGCTGTGCCACCGCCGACGATAATGAAGTCGTACTCATTTCCGTTTGCGACGAAAGCCATTTTGTTGAGGATGAGGTTGTTGTGAGGTAGAAGAGATGAGGCAGATTAAGGAATTGATGCTGGAAGTAGACGAGTTTTGTAGTAGTTGAGATGTAAGTGAAGTCTGAGTGATTGCTGGAGTGCAAAACAACAAGACCCTTCAAGAGCCATGATATTTATATCTCCCATCTTGCAATGTCGTCACTGATCAAGTTCTTCATGTTCAAGATGATCATTCTCGACATACGCGTCTTGCGGCATCGAAATGCCGAATAATTGTGATGCAACATTCCTGTTTGCTCCTATACGGATATCTCGGTATTCAACAAGTGACGTATTCCCCATACGAAAACTCCAGCACATTCGAGGCACAGTCAAGCCTCAAAGCCCATCATACCGCAAAACACACAAATCCCGCACAAATCCCGTATTATCAACAATCTGACAAAGATGCCGAGTCAGCTCCGGTGTCCATTTCGGAAATAGTCTAGAACTTTTTCGCTCGGGCTCCAGTTTTAGCGGCTCTTCGGCAGCGTGTGCACTAACTGTAAGCAGTAATACTACCGGGAATACCGAGTCCACTTTCAAGATTGTAGCTTTGAAAAGCACTTGTTGTGATTGGGCTTTTAGTGGTACTCTTGACGATAACCTCTATCTTATCGAAATCTTGGAACAAAGGCCCGCAGAGATGAGATCCATTCTTATCTGTCGGAGCTGGCTCGGCATTGACGATGTCGTAATGAGAAGTGGAAAATTTATCTTAAGGCTGGGGAATTTCCTCGTTTCTTTCTCGTCATTGAAACTATTGTTCTTCTTCTTTACGTTCTATTCCAAGCTTTCAAGATGTCTAATCCTGTGTACACTTTGACCGAGGGTAAGGATGGTACTCGCATCTCCACTGTCACGTTCTAACTTGCGCAGGTCAGCCTGTTCGCGATCCCTCCGTGAGCACTACGTTGCCTGTCTTTGGGGGCGGCGGTCTCACAACACTTGGTGATACTCTTCTCCTTGAGACTCTGGCTCATTTCAGCCGCGAGCGCATTCCTGAGCGGCAAGTCAGCCATTTAATCTCACAACAATTCAACTAACAAACATTGCAGAGTCGTCCATGCCAAGGCCGCTGGTGCTTGGGGTGAATTCGAAGTTACAAACCCCGAGATCGCTCAATTGACTTGCGCCAAGTTCCTTGATACCGCTGGCAAGAAGACCCAAGTTCTCTTCCGTCTCAGCACCACTGGTGGTGAGAAGGGCAGCGCCGATACCGTTCGCGATGTCCGAGGATTCTCTGTCAAGTTCTTCACAGAGGAAGGAAACTACGACATCGTAGGGAACCACGTTGTGAGTATTTCTCTTATGATTAATGGCAGTTATTGTGTTGACCTGCTTAGCCTGTCTTCTTTGTCCGTGATCCCATGCGATTCCCTTCGTTGAACCGAAGCCACAAGAGACATCCCGCTACCAACCGACCTGATGCAACTATGGTAAGTTGCCGGCTCTTCTATCAATGACTGCGTAATCTAACAATCCTAGTTCTGGGACTTTCACGTTAATCAACCCGAGAGTGTCCACACCCTAATGCATCTCTTCGGCAGCCGCGGTCTTCCAGACTCCATCCGCCGCGTCACCGGTTTCGGCGTTCACACCTTCAAGCTCATCGACAGCTCTGGCCGTCCCCGATACTGCAAATTCCACTTCCGTCCCGAGACTGGCCACACCAGCTTTGCCTCTGCTGAAGAAGCTGAGAAGAAGGCCGGTGCCAATGCTGATTATCATACTGAGGATCTCTGGGATGCTATTGCTCGTGGCGCGTACCCTGTCTGGAAGTTGTATGTTCAGATCATGGAGCCTGAGAGGGCCGAGACTTTTGGTCGGGCTTTGTTCGACATTACCAAGATTTGGTCTCATAAGGAATTTCCTTTGATTGAGGTTGGAAAGATGACCTTGAACAAGAACGTAAGTTTTTCAACTGGAACCACAAAATGAGCCGAGTATTGACAGAGTATAGCCTGAGAACTACTTCGCCGAGATTGAGCAGGCTGCCTTCTCACCATCGAACTTGGTCCCTGGTATCGCTGCAACGCCTGATCCCAGTAAGCCACCCTAACGTGACCCCCCATCCAGTCCCTAACGATATCCAGTGCTCCAAGCTCGCATGTTTGCCTACCCCGACGCCCAGCGATACCGCCTCGGCTCCAACTACGCCCAACTCCCTCCCAACCGTCCCATTGCCCCTGTCTACGCCCCCTTCGTCCGCGACGGCATCACCACCACCAAGAACTATGGCGGCGACCCCAACTACGTCCGAAGCACTCTCAGCCCCGGCGTCACCACTCAATCCATCACTCAGATCACACACCATGAGCGCATTGCTGCAAATGCCCTGCTGGGTCTAAATGAGATCCCCGTCGATGATGAGGACTTTGTTCAGCCTCGAGATTTGTGGAGGAGAGTCTTTGATGATGCTGAGAAGGAGAAGTTTGTTGGAAATGTCGTTGGAAGCTTGGCCGGTACACCTGCGCCTTTGAGGGAGGCTGTCGTTGCTATGTTTAGCAAGGTTGATGGTGAGATTGGCCAGCGAATGATGGCCAAGATCAAGGAGGATGCTACCCACCTTTAGACCTCGATCAGGATGAATTTATGGTTTAGAATTAATTAGATAGATCAGCGATAGACGTATAGACTGCTTAGAAAAGAACTCTTCGTTTTCGAAATATTCATGCTGGCAATCGGGGTGATGCGTAACAGTTCAATTGAGCCTTGAACACCATCATCTGTTAACGTATACCTCTCCAAGAGTCATTACGAGCCAATAGTAAAAGTCTCAAAAAAGATTTCTGCCATTGATCTTTTGAGATTTTGGAGCCTCTGAGGTATTAACAGTCAGATGATGTCAGTGGTAATACTTGGCATAATGCTGACTGCTGATCACCAACAACCATTTATATAGGTGGGTCACTGGCTATCAAGTTTATTACAGCCCTCTTCTGAAACTGCAAAGCCTGCTGCACAGAGCCCCCTTATAATCATGACATCAACAAATCCTGATATCGATTGCAAAGTCCAGAAAGCACTCGAGGGCACCAAGTTCGGGGTTTCAAAACTTGAGAACATCACGGGTGGATCTGTCAATTGGATCTATAAGGCGAAGCTTGTGAGGCCCCTGGACAATGGAGAGGAGGAGGTTCTGGTCAAGCATGGAGAGCCGTATATGGCGTCCAAGCCAGAGTTTGCGCTCCCCCCACTACGTTGCGTAAGACCTCCATGAACAATCTCGGCTCAAATAACTAATACGATGTAGACTATTGAGATAGAGAGTCTCAAGATCTTGTCAAGCGTCTCATCATTCGGCAATCAACCGAACGACACACATAATTTCGTCGTACGAACGCCAGAATTCTATTATTTTGATGAATACAGCTCAACTCAGGTATTGGAGTTCTTGTCGGGTGGTATTCATTTGAAGGACTATGCCATTCAAAACTATGGCTCTCCGACTCCCGAATCATTCAAGCCCCAGTGCAAGGAACTCGGAAAGGCACTTGGCAGGTGGCTACGGGACTTTGTCGCATGGAGTGCTCAGCAAGTCAAACACCGAGAGCTTGTAGCCCAGAACGAGTTTGGTCAAGCTGTGAGGCACATGGTGAACTACGTATGGCTTCATGAGCGGATCAAGGAATATCCAAGTATTCTCGAAGGCGTGAAGGATATCCTTGCTCGAGTTGAGCAGATGGCCGCAGCAGAGAAGGATAACACGACCAAGCTCCAGATTATCCATGGAGACTTCTGGACCGGAAAGTAAGTTCACCGCCCTTGTGTATATTTCAGAAATTGACTTGGGCAGTATTGTTCTCCCCAATGCCGCCATCAAAGAGGGTAACAAGATTCCATTATTTGTCGTTGACTGGGAACTCACTCAACTCGGCCTGCCAAGCGTAGACTTTGGACAAATGATGGCCGAAATGTACGCGTTATGGCTATACAAGTCCGTCGATGCAGGACTATGGATGATGGAGGGATTCATCGAAGGATACGGAGATGTCAGCGAAGAGTTCGCTTTTCGGACTGCTATACACGCTGGTACGCATCTTCTTTGCGTGACTACTGACTTCCCAGCGTGGGGCCATGAGAATTACGATAGAGTGGTTGCTGTAGGAAGAGACATTATTGTCCATGCTTGGGAGAAGGACCGCGACTGGTTCCAAAAGGGAGACTTGGCAGGGTTATTTAAGGCTTAGAATGGGGTCTGTATCTTGGAATATCTACCATGCTGTTTATATTCTTTTGCCACTGCTGCCGCGGAGTCTCAAAGTTTATCGGATTGGCTTATTCCGAATCCCACGTTGATATGATATTAGCTAATATCTTTAATACGAGGTCAACGACTGGTACGAAAGGGGCCACCCTAGGTATAACGGCCGTAAGGCGAAGTAATAGAGACGGAAAGATTTAGACTTTGGAAGCGGTAAATCATAGAGTACGAGCAGCTGCTACCGTTACATGTAGCCGCAAGCATGTACCCAACCAGTTGGCATGGCTCACGTGCGCATTGACATCAAATGATCCGATGTTTTACTCCCATTGAAAGTCTGCAGAGACTATCAGTATGACATCTTACAAGACAATTATCAGATAATTTACAATGCTTGACTTGCATATTACGTATAATTGAAGAAATAAATTATCGCCACTGTTGGGCGAAACAGTAGTTGATATACACACGTAGTGGATGTAGATATAGACCAACGATCAATTCAAAACCGGCCTGCCGTAGTGCCGGAAGCCGGCTGAAGAAATTAATATATCATGCACTTTATTACATTCGGGTGGTATTCGGCACGTTACTTAGCGTTGATGGTGCCTGAGAGCCGGCAGTTAATATCCCGCCTTACCTGTCTACGTGGTATGACTTGTAAACTGTAATGACCCCTGCGAAGTGTAGACAGGGTACTTGGAATAAGGGTGAAAATATTTAATTCTCATCTTATAAATAAAGATACCAATTCCTTGCTAAAAAAACGAGTCATCTCTAATAACCAAATCCAGCCCTGACTTGCTAAAAAACAACCCACCAAGAACAGCAATGGCAGGAATCAAGTCCATTATCCTGTCATGTCTCCTGTTTGGAGCGGTCCAAGCGTAAGTGAATACCCTCTCCCTTCTTGATATCAAAGAAGCCCAGACTAATAATCCACGATTGACAAGGGCCACTGATCACAATCAAAATAAACCAAGTGATCCCAAGAATGATAAGCCAGCTAATCACCTACAACTGGCAAAGCGTTCGATGACAGGGCATGATAAGCCAACTGATCACCCGAAACTGGCAAGACGTACTATCGATAAGCCTAACAAGCCAACTATTCACCCGAAGCTGGTAAAGCGTTCGATGCATGAGCCGTTCGATAGTGAATCGCTCGCTTAGCATATGATCGATGATTTCGCGCCGTGAGTACATATCTGATAAGATGTTGAGTTTGGTATGACTAATAAGACTACAAGGATATATTAAAGGTTATATATAGAATGGGACTTATAGTCGTGCTACTGGGGGTGGACGCAATGTTAATATGCAAGGATATACCTGTGATCAGATTGGTGATGGATACCGTGCACTTGCTCAACAGCGGTTGCGAAGTGAGGGACGGTCTGTGTGTCTTCGATGAGCATGGTTATTTGACCTTGTACATTTTGACCAAGCCTCTGTTGTAAAATAGCATTCATAGTTGGCATTTTCTTTGTGGAGAAAGTGACCAAGTTTCTCTATCTGGCTAGGCATTAATTACATTCACTTGTAAACCGACTTATAGTGAACAGTTGCGATGTGATTATGTCTCGCCTCTCAAACGCTATAAGGAGATCTATGAAGTAGATTCTAGACGTTGATAATCACCTAACGCCTTGAAACCAAGTGACCTTGACCCGAACCCATGACCAAATCCTGAGACGCAAGGAAATAAGAAAAGCCAGCCTTCTTCGCCCTACCGAACCATTCTAAGATTGAAATACTAGGAAGTTTGCTCAGGCTGTCGTCAGCACGTACAACAGCTGCAAAATCCTCCACGAACGCTCGTTGTTGTGCTTCATGTTGGACAATGTTGTATCCTTCTCCACCAGAACTCGAGCTCAAGACGACGTCCTGGATGGTATTGACAATATCGTCGACTGGCAGGACATCCACTGACCCGGTGACTCCTTCAAAGGATGGCTGGACGCCGAGGGACTTGACGATGTTGACAAGCTCGTTGACGATTGAAGCTTGGTCCGCGTTGGCTTGTGATGGTGTACTGCTCACCAAAGGACGATGAGTATACACTGGAAGGCGAATTGAACCGGTAGCATTTCTCAAGAAAGTCTCGGAAGCCCACTTGGTAGCCACGTAACCGTCACTGCCGTCAGTCGGCGGTGTCACTCCCTCACCATCATACTGTGTCACGGCTCCAGATGATAAAAAGTGTACCGGAATAGACCGACCAGAAGCAGCGGCGAACTTGACTAGCTCCTTCACAGAGTCCACATTATCCGGTCTGAGAACTTCGTATCTATCCCAGAAAGACCGGTTGGCTGCGCAGTGGATGATGACATCTGTTTCCTCAGCAAGACGAGAGTATGTCGAGTCGGAAAGGCTGAGATTGAGCTTAGAGACGTCGCTTTCGATGACTCTGACTTTGGTGCTGGAGCTGGTACTCAGGTTTTCGTCGTTCACGGAACGGACTAGACAGTTGACTCGAGCGACTCGAGGGTCCTTGGCGAGCGCTGGCAGGATATGACGACCGAGGTAACCGGCCGAGCCAGTAAGAAGCACAGTGATGTCTTTGGTCTTGTTCACTGGGTGCAGAGCCGTGGCGCCTCGGAGATCGTCTGGCAGTGCAGTCTCTCTGTCCCAATCGATGACACCAACAGATCCACAGTTCTCAAGCAGAATAGCCATAGCGCCGAGCGTACTAGCACCCATGAGCGCAACAAGCTTTGGCGCTGTCTCAAAGGTCTGCCTCAACAACGCCTGGAGCTTCACCAAAAGAATGGAGTTTCCTCCAATGAGGAAGAAGTCAGACTCCGGAACGAGAGAGCCAGGATCGAGAGGTAATACTCGGCGCCAAAGTTCACTCAGTCTTTGCTCCGCAGTAGTCAAAGTGCCAGAGTCGTGGGAGTCAGAGATCTGGACCGGCATTTCTTGAATAGCCTTTCTGTCGATCTTGAGATGTGCTGTTCGCGGAATGTCGGCGAGGATCTGGAAGACGGAGGGGCGCATGTATGGAGGGAGAGGGAGGGTTTGACGGAGAGCTTTCATGATGCTTTCTCGGTTGTGCTCTGGGAAGTCGGGAGCAAAGACAACATGAGCTGCTAGGTAGCGACCTTCCTCACTGCCTCGTAGCGTGACGACTGCGTGAGAGAGTGCACCGGCGGAATGACTGATGATCGTTTTTTCCACTTCATCCAGCTCGACACGGAAACCTCGAAGCTTGATCATGGTGCTGCCTTCGAGACGACCATCGCAAAAGAGCAAACCGTCGTGACATAGACGACCACGATCTCCACTGCGGTATACCTTACCAGAGGTTCCAAAGAAAGTATCTGGGAGGAACTTGTCTCTTGTGGAGTCAGGCATGTTGAGATAACCAGAGACGATGCATGGACCACCGAGGACAATCTCGCCCTGTACACCAAGAGGAACAGGTCGCATCTTCTCATCGACAATGCAGACCGAGAAACCAGGCATGGGGTATCCTGCGGGGAGAGAGTCTGGAAGAGCAGGATCCGTGTACTTGAGGTCGATGCGATGAGAGAGGATTGTCGTCTCAGCTGGTCCATAACCGTTGAAGATGTGAAGGTTCGCCAAGTTCAATGTTCCGAACTCTCGGGCAAGTTTGTGGCTCATCGCTTCACCACCAGAGAAAGCGTACTTCCACGACGTGCATTGGCGTAGAGTGCTAGTACTGTATCGCAGCCACAAATCATACTCAGAGGGTGTAGCAGTAGTGTAAGTGACCCGCTCGTTGACCATGATCTTGCTGATCTCGTCGGGATCACCTCGCTTACTCGCTGGTACAATGCAAAGACATCCACTGTTCGCCAAGGCAGCCATGGTTTGATCAAGAGAAAAATCAAAACTGAAAGGGCTCTGCTGCAACACCACGAGACTTTCATCAGGCTTGGAGAAAGTCTTGCTTGATACCTCGGCGTAGGAGAGGAGGTTGGTATGTGTCATCATGAGACCCTTTGGTTCACCAGTCGAACCACTAGTGAAGAGAATGACAGCAAGAGATCCAGTCCTAGCGCGATTAGGCTCCCGGAATTCCTGATCGACGAGCTTGGATAGTTGAAGCTTGGTAATAAACTTGGCACCAATGAGGTCAACCTTATCATCAGTCGTGTGATCCGTGATTATGAGAGAAGGTCGAGAAGCTTTGACGATGCTAGTCAAGCGAGGAATGGAGTTGCGCAGATCGAGAGGAACGTAGACTGCTCCAGCTTTGAAGATGGCTAGAAGCGAGCAGATCCAATCGGAAGAGGGCTCTTGGAAGACTCCAACTACTGTGCCTTGTGTTGTCCCAGCATCGATGAGTGCTTGGGCGATGGAGTTGACTCGCTTGCCCATTTGTTCATATGTGAGCACGTTGCCGTTACCGTCTTTGAGAGCGATTTTGGCAGAGTTGTTCTGGATGATCTGATCGATGTGATGACTGATGGTTGACTGCCACTTTGGTTGGAACTCGGGAGCTATCAAAGTCAGATGTCTGTCTGTTATCTCACAAGAGAGGGTCTTACCTTTGCCCGCATCAAGAGCAACCTTGAGATCATGCTTCGACCACGCCGGCGCAGTATCAGCAGCCTTGTTAGTACCCTGAACCATGTAGTCCAGCACACTCATGTACGATCGAAGTAAAAGGCCAGTGTGCTCCTCAGAGTAAAGCTGCTTCTGCAGTCTCATACTCAAAAGAGTATCCGTGGTGATGTTCTCCGTAACCTCCAAAGCAATGTCATATCCCGTACCAGCGTTGATCCACTTCTCCCCATTGAGCTTACACCCGCCCCAAGATGACCGCTCCTGAACAACCTGTCTATAGTCCATGAAGACCTGGAAGATAGGCGTGTACTTGTCAGATCTTGGAACGTTCAACTCTCGAAGAAGAACATCGAATGGCAACTGTGAGTGCTGCAGTGCACTGTATGCTGTGTCACGGGCAGTCTGGATGATAGAACTGAGCTGAGTACCTCGTCTCTTTCGCTGAAAGCGCAGAGGGAGGAGGTTCAAGAAGAAGCCGAGACTACCCATGAACTTCTTGTCACCACGGTTGGCGTCAGCAATACCGATGAAGACTTCTTCTGCGTTGGGGAGGAGTGTGAGGAGAAGAAGTTCCAGGGCGGCGAGATAAACATGGAACGAAGTAGAGCGATTGACGCGTGCGAGTTGTCGAACCTTGGTAGCTAGTTCTGGTTCAATACTCATCTTTGCTTCATGTTGAGAATAGTCGTTCGCAAATTGTCTCGCAGGCGTAAGAGCGAAGGGGAAAAGTCCAATAGGCGTGAACTCCTTGGGAAAGCTTCGTCGATAGTACTCAATGGACTTGGTGAGATCGCCATTCTCATACATCTGTCGTTGCTGAAGAGCAAAAGAGCGATACTGGGACTCAACAGGGAGGGAAGGGAGTGAATGTTTCGTGTAAGCAACTTCGAGGTCCTTGAAGAACACGCTGAAGCTGTATCCGTCGATGTAAATGTGATGCATACCCAACAAAAGAAAATGGACATTATCCGATAATGACAGTAAAGTGATCTTGACTCCTTCACCACCACTTAAATCCCAATCCTCATCATGAAGCTTCTTCAACTCAATCTCAGCTTCTCCTTCATCAACAACCTTCTTCGTCGTCAACTTCAGATCTGGCGGGTTGATACCCTGCATAGGCGTCCTCTCATCGCCATCATCGCCCCAAAAGAACCTCGTCCTCAAAATCTCATGACGTTCCGCAACAAGATTCACAGCTTTCTCCAAAGCCTGCACCCGAATCTGGCCAGTGAGCTTCAACATGACGGCCATGTTGAACGCCTTCTTGTTAACCAGGTAATCGTTTAGAAACCAGAATCCTGCTTGACCGTAGGACATGATGCTGGACAGCTCGTTAGGAAAGGTCTTTAGGGGAGTGGAGTTGTCCGTACTGTCAGCAATGTCTTCCACCTTGGCAGGTTCTTGGTTCTCCATCGATGTCAAGGGCGTGTCGATTGGTGAGCGGGACGAGTCGGAGCCAGTCTGGGGTTTGCTCTCGTCGCTTGTGCCGTGGGAGCTTTCGGGTGGACTGACGCGGGTTGTTTCGAGAGCGGGCTTTGGGGGTTGAGTGGTTGGTGCACTGCCGGCTTCGAGGGATGATACGTCGAGGATGGAGTCGGAAATGAGATCGAGGGATTCTTCGACGAGGTCGGGAACGGACATTCCGCCGAGGATCTTGAGGACGGGTATGTCGACGTCGAGTTCTTTGATGAACCATGAGCGGACTTCAACAGCCATCAAGGAGTCAACACCTTGTTCAACGAGGGTGACCTTTTCGTTGATGACTTCGTCAGGGCCAACGGCCAAGACACGTCGAAGTCGAACAATGAAGGAATCTTGTCGGCGTTAGCAATCGTTACTCGAGTCAGTGGAGGGAAATATACCTTTGATGATAGCGACTGCGTCAGCCCTGGTCTTGACATCAGCCAACTGTACCCTAACAGGCACAGTAGATGTCTTCCCAGTATAAGCCTGCGTATCCAAGCGCTCCATAAGGAAGTGACCAAACTTGACATCCTTCAAGTACTGGTCACTAGCCTGAGCATCCGTGTAGATAGGTGTAACACCGGTCACAAGCTCACAAACCTCATCGCACTCTGGTCTTCCAAGAACAATAGCTTCAGCAAACAGCTTCTGCAGATCCTGTTCCGACATAGGCTTGTAACCCATCTTGATAAAAGTATCCTCACTTAGATCCTCAGCTCTCTCGACATAGCCAAGACCAATAATGGAACTGATGTCGATGGATGACGCGGCAACACCGCGCTTCTTGCGCTGTGCTGCGAGGGCGTTCATGAACATATTGCCTGCAATGTAATTGCTCTGACCACTGTTGCCCATGACGGCGGTGGTGGATGAGAAGAAGATGAAGAAGTCGAGGGGAGTGTCGTAGAACATCTCATCAAGGAGCTGAGAGCCGAGGACCTTGGGGCTAAGAACCTTCATGAAATCGTCGTAGGGCATGTTCTCGAAGAGAGCGTCTCGAAGAACCATGGCGCCGTTGACGACACCTGCGATGGGAGGAAGGGTCTTCTTGATGGTATCGACACATGCGTAGAGTGAGTCACGATCAGTGACGTCCCTAAAAAGATCAGTATAATTCACACTCGCCGAAACGTGTACTTACATCGGAAGAGCCTTGACTGTCGCACCCATAGTCGCCATTTCGTCAAGGAATTGTTGAGAAACATTCGGTCGACGACTGGTAAGAACAATGTTTCGAGCTCCTTGCTCTACCATCCACTTGCAAAGAGACTGACCAAGTTCACCGGATAGACCGATGAGAAGGAATGTCTTGTCAGCTTGGAAAATTCTTCCGTCATCAATAGGGTGGATCGAGGCTTTGATGGAAGAGTCTGTGCAGTCAACAACAGCAAACCGGACTTCAGCTGCGCTGACACCAGAGATGTCCTTCAAGGAGATCAAGCTCGCGTCAATTGCTGTGCTTGACTGCGACTTGGCTTCATAGAAGGCTCGGTTGAACACAATTGAGACGTCTTCCTTGGACACGGACTGGCGGATTTCCTTGCCTGACTCGAAGAGTCGCTCCGAGTTGATGGTTTCACAGTAGCGAGGAAGGCATGCAGAGATTGCGCAGTCAGTTTCCTTCGCATAGACATCCTGCGATAGGCTGATGAACTTGCTGGCTGACTTGGGGATGGATGCCTTGATGACTCGCTCAGGCAGGTGGCTGTCGATATACTGCCATCCTTTCGTGTTGGCCTTATCGGAAGTAGTGAAGAAGACAGTGACAGATGATTCCTTAGCGTGACCTTCTATGGCGGAAGCAAGGTGAGAAGGAGCATCATGAACGACAAGAGTCTCCTCAGTGGACACGTGCTTGAGGATGCTAGATGCAATAAGGAAAGCCGAAACGTTGGCTAGCGTATCAACTGCGTCAAGCTCTCCGAGAGGAATGCACCAATCTGCTGGGACAGAAACAGGAGACTCAGCAATGTGAGTGACAGCGAGAACTCGCTCATTGGAAGCGGTGTCAACTCCAACGCAAGCCGTGAGACTGACGCCAGGAGTAATATTGACAGTAGCAGGCGAGAAATGCGTGATGCGAATAGTCTTCATCTGAGCAGCGAACGGCAACTCTTGGGGAATATGAAGAGGCGAAGCATGCTGAACCTCCCACTTGCCCTCACTCTCAGTAAACAGAACCTTGTCAGTCTCAAGGTTCGCGTCCTTGATGACATTGCGACGATCAGCGTTGTATCGCGCATTTCCAGACTCATAAGGATACAGTCGTGGAACGATGCTGGTGTCATCGTCAATGTAGATCTCAGGCTCCAGAGACCAGAGCAACTCCTCTGAGCGAAGCTCCTTGGACCACTTGTCCAATAGCTCCAGTCTCAGAAGATGGTCCACTATGAGCTCTGGAGTGCGGTCGGACATGGTCTTGATGTCGAGAGCTTGGAGGGTGATGTTGGGGTACTCGAAGCGCATGCAACGACCGACTCCGGTGGTCATGTAAGAGTGAGGATTCTCAGCTCTGGCACCGGAGGTAACCCAAAGGATACTGCCGCCCTGCTTCCACAAGGTCTTCAGAGCCTCCAGCTTGCCGGACGTCATGTTTGCAAACAGCGGCTCATCGAGTTCCGTGAGAGACAAGACAGTGCAAGATTCTGCAAGACCGCTGGTGTTGAGCTCCTCGATAGAATTGAAGCGAGCGATGTTGGTGTACTTTGGCTTGAGACGTCGAGAAATTTGCTCGCACATCCTGTGAACCTTGAGTGTCTCTCCGCCAACGATAGCAAGCTTTGTAGACTTGGTTTCAGGAAGACTAGTAAGATGGTTCAAAGGCGATCGCAGAATCTCAACACGCTCATCAAGAGCCTGAGCACAAAAGACATGCCCAGGGAGGATCTTGTGAACAGGCGGCGTAGTAGTATCAATACCACCAAACCCACACTTCCAAAGCAAAGAATCCCACTGCGGCAATGTCAACGTGGGACCCCATCGTCGACCATGTTCTGCACCGAGCCACCAACCAGGAAGACTACCCATAGGTAGTCCAACTCGTAAACAGTCGTTGTTAACAGTCTCAAGAATGATGAGGAAACCACCGGGCTTGAGGAAACTTCTAACATGCTTCATCATGTCCTCTAGCTCGAGGGTTGCGTGGAGGACGTTGGAGGCGATGACGAGATCGTATGTCCCTTCGGTGAAGCCTTGGGAGCCGGGACTGATGTTCATGTCGAAGGTCTTGAAGATCATGCGGTCGGCGAAGTCTTTGAAGCGGTCTTGGGCTGTGTCGAAGAAACCACCCGAGACGTCGGTGTAGGTGTAGGTTGAGAAGGCTGAGCCGAGACGGGGGAGGATTTCTCGGGTTGAACCACCAGTTCCGGCACCTTAGTCATGTTAGCATGATTGAACACAGTGGGTATAGGAGGGTTTGAACGTACCGATTTCGAGAATGTTCATGCGAGGATAGCGATGTGCGATCTGAGCTGTCATGTGCGCGATGTACTTGTTCACAAGATCAAGACCGAAGCCTTCCTCGTAAACATCGTCGAGCATACCATCCTTTGTCATGTGCTCAAGGATGTTGCCGCTGTCGCGAATGACCTGAGGTAGGTTCTCGCCGACTGATTCGAGAAGACGGACATCAACACGTTCATAGTGCCTGGTAATCAGTTAGTCATGCCTCTTGCGACATCGGCTGGTAAACTTACTTCTTCAAGATGTTTTGAATGTCTTCATGGGTATCCTTCTGAGCATTGGAGGGGATATGAGGATTGCGCCCGTTGATTACCTGAGGGACAACGTGTGCTGCCCACTCCACAAGATGTCGGTAGTGAGGAAGCGTGTTAGCCTTCTCCTCAGGCGTGATAGTCTCGACCAGACGACGAAGGTAGTAGAACGCAATTCGCTCAGAGTCAAGAGCCATCTTGTAATCCTCGTCTCTGAAGGAATACTCAGCAGCCGTAAGCTCACCATCTGGGTTGGCAAGCCTATAGTCAAAGCGAGAGAACAAAACAGCGTCGTTCTCCGGAGTAGCGGGCGAGAAAGGAACAAGCTCCATTCCCTCAATCTGAAGGAATGTATCGCCAGTCTCTTCAGAGAGCAAATTCAGCTCAACGATGACCTTGGAAGCCTTCCTCTCCTCAATAGCGACAGATTGGTACTGGAAGCTCTTCTGCTTTCCGATACCAGCGGAGGTGAAGTAGGGATTGATCACGATAGAGCGGAAGCTCGTAGGCAAGTGAAGAGCCCACATGCGCTCATCACCTGGACAGCAGAACGCGGCGAAAGTCGTCTGGAGAGAGGTATCCAGCATGCCAGGATGAACGAGGAGTTGATCCTCCCACTCTGAACCAGACTGATCCTCGAGAGTACCCGTGGCAAAGTTCGCCTTGCGGCGGATGCTGGTGGTGCCGTGGAAGGGCCAGGAGTAATTGTATCCGAGACGACCGAGGAAGTCGTAGAATCTGTCGACTTCGACCTCACGAAGGTTGAAGTCATCGACTTTAATGTTCGGGAGTTCGTGAGGGGTTGGTGCAGAGAGAGAAGCTTTGACGCGAGCAGTTGCGTTCAACACCATGCTTGTCGTGTGATTCTGGGGAAGACCAGAGTAGCATGAGAACTCAGCCTCAATCTCCTTGTCAGAACGGCTGATGATTCGTAGATCAAACATCGACTCAACGCTCGAGTCATCATCGCTGAAAGCAAGAGCTCGGCCGATGCGAAGATCCTCAATAGTAACAAGGCCGAGATTTGACTCTGAGATGATGTTCACAGCCTCAACAGCCATAGAGATATACCCAGTGGCAGGGAAGATAATCTGTCCCTGGATCTGATGACCATGCAGCCAAGGAATCTCCTTGGGGTTCAGCACGTTGCGCCACTGAACTGTCTGCGATGTCTCGCGATCATGGCATCTTCTTCCCAGAATGGGATGGGGAGCTTCCTGCATGCTGTTATACCAACCTGATACCCTCGACATCGACATGAACTGTCTTGCGTGGTCAAAGGGATAATTGGGAAGGTCATGGATGAAAGATGGAACGGTCTTGGAGTCGGATGCGACCTTCTCGAAGCGCTCGAAAGTAACTGATCCGGCGCCGAGTTGAGTCCAGATGAAGCCAAGACCGTTGGAGAACTGCTGAATGTCATCCTTGCCGCGACCCAGGACACCGGAGTAAGGAGGACGGTCTCCGATCATGTCTTCCAGAGTGTCAAGGCAGGGAGTCTTGAGTACTGGATGAGGACCAACTTCGATGACCAGATCGTAAGGGCCACCTTCTTGCCAAGCATGCTCAACAGCAGGAGAGAACAAGACTGCGCTGGTCATGTTGTCGACCCAATACTGAGGAGTAAGTAGCTCAGCTGTCATGACCTGGCCATCATGAACACTGGAGTACCACTTGGTCGCGGTAGGACTGGCGCTCTCAATCTGACACTTCTCCATGGCCTCGAGGTATGGCTTGGCGCATGGAAGGACGTGAGAGGAGTGGTAAGCTGTGTCGACCTTCAATTGACGAGCAAACTTGCCCTCGTCCTTGAAGGTCTCAATGGCCTCGACGATAGCATCTTCATCGCCGGAGAGAGTGATGCTTGAGGAGGAGTTTCTGGCGGCAACTTGGATTCTACCCTGGAAAGCGTCGAGTTCACAAAACTCTGATGCGTCGTCGAAGGTAGTTCCAACAGCCATCACTGAGTGGTCATGTTAGTGGCAATCTTGGGGAGATTGTGTAGCTACTTACTAGCGCCCTTGCGACCGTTAGGGGATTGAGCGAGCTTGGCGTAGAGGCCTCTGTAGTAAGCGACTCGGATGGCGTCTCGTGCTGTGAGAAGACCAGCCGCGTAAGCAGCTCCAATCTCGCCTAGCCTCCATGTTAGTACTTAACATCGCAATTAAGAAGGGCTCACGAACCAGAAGAATGACCGACAACACCGGAGAGTTCAACACCAGCCTGTCGAAGCAGGTCAACCAAGACAACCTGGACAGCCGTGCACAGAGGCTGAGAAATAGCTGCCTCTGCAATTCTCGAGGACTTGGCGTCTGCAAGAATCATCTCCCGAAGAGTCCAAGATGGACGGTCCTCAGTAAGAAGACTCGACAGTGCCTCATCAAGTTCAGACAGTCGCTTTGACGCGAAGGCAGACTCCTCGAGAAGTCTAGCACCCATGCGTGGCCATTGAGCTCCTTGACCAGTAAAGACACCCATGATCTTGGGAGAAGCCTTGCTGACCTGGCGCACACTGATTGTGCTGGCTTGCTCACCGTTTTCGATCGCGTCGAGCTGGGTGTAAACATCCTCGACGTCTGAGACAGTGATGGCTACGCGGTAGGCGAGAGTCGAGCGCCTTGTTTGCAGAGTGTATGCGAGGTCTTTCAGTGATAGCTCTGGGTTGGACTTGAGATACTCTGAGTAAGAGGAGAGCAGAGATCGGAGAGAGGACTCAGATGATGCAGAAAAGGTCAACGGGCTGAACAGTTGACCAGGGGCACTGTCCGTAGTGCTGGGCTCGTAGGCCTCGATGATGGCATGAGCATTAGTACCGCCAAAACCTATAATCACTTCAGTAATGATACCAAGTATTGGATGAAGAATGCTCACCAAAGCTGTTAATACTAGCCCGTCGAGGTTGTCCCTTTTGTGTCTCAGGCCAAGCAATAGCTTGAGTCGGAACCTCCAAGTTGTCATAAAACGGCTTGATCTTGGGATTCAAAACATTAAAATGCATATTCGGGGGAATAGTCTTATTTTGAATCGCAAGCGCCGTTCCGATCAAACTCGCAAGACCAGCCGTACCCTCCGTATGACCCAGCACAGTCTTGATCGACCCAACATAAAGCTTATCATCCTTAACGTCTGAGTAAAACGCACGATAGATAGCTTCAGCTTCACGGGGATCACCAGCAGGTGTTCCTGTACCGTGGGCGTGGAAGAATTGAGGGCGGTCTTCGGGCTTGTTGATGTCGAGACCGGCGCGGGCGTATGTGCTGCGGATGAGGTCTGCTTGGGCTGTGGCGCTGGGCATGGTGAGACCCGGGGTGCGACCGTCTTGGTTGACGCCTGTGGCGCGTATGATGCAGTCTATGTGGTCGTTGTCGCGAATTGCGGCGCTGAGGGGCTTTAGGACGATGGCAGCGATGCCTTCGCCTCGGGCGTAGCCGTTTACGTCTTGATCCCACATTTTGGACCTACCTGATGGGGAAAGCATAGACAGCTTGCTCTCAGCGACATACATACCTATTTGGTCAGTTACTTTTCATGGCGTTATCTGAGGGTTGAGGACTCTTACCTGGGGTGAGGATCAGATTCGCTCCAGCCGCAATAGCAACTTCAGACTCTCCACTTCTCAACGTCTGAATAGCTTGATGAACAGCAACCAAACTCGACGAACAAGCAGTATCAATCGTCATAGACGGCCCATGCCAATCGAAAAAGTACGAAATACGATTCGACATAATACTCCTCGCCATACCCGTAGCGCCATACTGCGGAAACACCTCCAAATCACGGGTGATGATACCACTCCAATCATCACACATAACACCAACATAAACAGCAGTAGGCGACCCACGAAGCCCCTCAATAGTCTGTCCAGAAGCGCAAAGGCCCTGATACACAACTTCCATCAGCAGTCTCTGCTGGGGATCAATAGCTTCAGCCTCACCGGGCTGGATATTGAAGAAGTTGTTGTCGAAGCTGGCGGGGTCCTCGTTGAGGAAGTACGAGTGGCGCACGTTGGTGGTGCCGTGGTGCTTGGAGTCAGCGTGGTAGAATGCATCGGCGTTGTAGCGGTTGGAGGGGACTTTGGTCAGTAGGTCGCGGGGGGCTTTGAGGAGATCCCAGAGTTTGGAGGGGGAGGAGGAATCTCCCGGGAAGCGGCATGCGCTGCCGATGACGGCAATTGGCTCGTTGTCAGACATGATTGAAGGGATTGGAAAGATGGTGAGAGACGATGATAGTCTCTTTGTGCAATGTTGAGATTGATCGAGCAATTGACCAGTTGAGTTTGAGTTTTTAGTTGGATAGAGCAAAGTGCTGTTCCTTATATCAGAGACACAGAGACTGACGATGCCGATGCCGGTGTTATTCGGTTCAGCTGCTTGGCCATTAGACACAGAGATTCAGCCTCATGATAACGACATATTCTTTGATTGGTGGTACAATTATTCCGAATCAATATAATTTCTCTGTTTAATAATTCCAACGAATCCTTCTCGGATAATTTCGGTGGCGGAATAACAGAAGAATATGGGATGTAAGCATGTTATGTTGACCGGACTTTTTCGGTTGGTTTGAGAGGAGGCCGAATCCAGACATATCTGACCAATATTGCTTAGCAATTGATCCGGAGGGTAGATGAAGTATACAGAGTGGCGAGAGCCCGGCCTTGTTCTAAGTTATTGCCTTCATAGTGGTTTGACCTCGACTCTTCACATCTGTCATCTTCGCCAGTCTTGAACCGCACATTTCGTTCACAATACACTTCCTTCTTTTTCGCCAAAATGGCAGAGAAGACTTTGTCTCACCTCAATATCGAGACATCGATATCCCCAGAAACAATCCCCGCCTCACCCTACATTCCTGGCTCAGGCAATGTCTTCCCCAAGTTCGTTGATGCAATCTCACAAACGGGTTGGGAACTCTGGTACTTCGATGGTGTTTCCAAAGATGACCAGTCAGCCATCTCTATTGGCATCAACAGAAGTGCTGAAGGTCTGAAGCACGGCGGTTTCAAAGTCCAGATCTTTACGATTTGGCCTGATGGACATACCTGGCACCGTGATTTGTACTTCCCAGAGTCAATTGCCACTTCTGAAAATGGACACGTCACTGGTCTATGGGAGAATACCGCTACTGGAGGCAAAGTCTCATTCTCTGTGACTAGAGACTGCTCCTTGACTGTCTTGGCCTTTTCTGTGCCTGGTGTTGTTGATGGAACCATGCAATTGGAGGCTCTACCTGGAGACACAGGCCTCGACACCAACCCAGAGCTAGGCCCTTCTGTTCATTACGTCCGTCCCATGGGAAGGGCCTCTGTCAAAGCAGAGCTATCGCTCTTCTCCCAAGACAGTTCAACATCTGAGCAATTCGTCCTTGGTCCATCAGCAAACGGCGGCATGGATCGTGTCTGGACACTATACACCTGGCCACAAATCATGACAGAGTCATATTATCTCCGGGCCCAAGTCGGCCCCTACGCAATGCAAATAATGCGCATCTTCTCCGAACCAGAAACCGGAGGCAAACCATACACAATGGCAAGACTCTACCGCGACGACAAGCTCGTCTGCGCAGCAAATCAAGTTCTCACCTACGAGGAACAAGATTTCTCCCAAGACTCTTTGATTCTCAGCAAGCGCTACGACGCGTCTTCTGAGGATGTAGTTGCAGGTGCGTATCGCGACAAGAACATTGGCTATATAGTTGAGTTCGTTGCCAAGGGAACGGGTGGACAACGATGGATGTTTCAGGTTGATCATGAGCGTATTTTCTGGAATTATCCTACGAGTGCGCCTGGGCCTGAAGGAACGGGTAACACGGGGTTTGTTGAGTCGGTCATTGGGGGCGCGGATGAGGAGGCGTATTTTGGGGTTGGGACGGGGGGCCAATGCCAGTTGAGCTAGAGATTTGAGTTGCGCTATTTCTAGTGGGAAGAGACAGGGTCTAGGGGATGGCAGAAAACTTAAGCCAGATCATAAGGAATAAAAAATACTTGCATAACTTTAGGATAATTTAGGATAAGTTTAGTAGAGTCTTTAACTAGCTAGTCTAAGTATTTTTGGCGCCCCCAGTCTAAGGTCCTAAGTCTTCTGACACCCCGAGGGTTGAATGCATTGTGGATCACTTTAGCCGTCGGAGAGGAGTCATTTACCCGTGCTTAATTGACTTGGATGACTCGTGCGAGAACTTGGCGAGACAGACCAAACAGTGTACAGTCCAGGGTAGGATATTACTATGTTGTTGGCATAGTGGATTATGGCCTCAATAAATCCATATCTTCCTTCTGATACAACCGTTTCTCAGTGGATGTTTGTGATATTCAACGAATCTTGCTATTGATCTTTACAGTTGTTTACATTATTCATCTCAATCAAAGGTCAAGTGACTTTATTCCACGATAAGAAGACCGCACTTTGTAATCCGCTGGGTTGATATGCGTCCGAACAAACAAGCATCCAGTTTCAATCCCTATGAGTAATCCGAATGTGGCGATTAAACACTTTGTGAGCTCACATCATGTCATCCTCTTCTCCAAAACATGAAAATTCCGACTTTGTTGAACTTGTTGACCAATGTCTCGTCGGACTTTTTCGGTATGCGATGATAACGCGGGACTTGCCGAACCGTTTCGGGGTCCAACTTGCGACATCGTTTCAGTCGCTGGATATGACAAATACATGTCTTTTGATGTCCTCGTCCTGTAAAGTGAAGCAAATTTTATTGACACACAGTTTTGCACTTCATCATTCCCTCTTGTCACCTCATTCATCACCATGGTCCAACGTCTCCAAACCGCCCTGGTTGGCACTCCAGAGGGAGGCATTCGTCTCTCCAAGACAGAGCCCATTCCCGACATCACAGGCGATTCCGTCCTGATCAAAACAAAAGCTGTGTCAGTAAATCCCGTCGACACGAAAATGATCGGTCCCTACGTCACGCCAGGTGCAGTCGCAGGCTTCGACTTTGCAGGTGTCGTGGAAAGAGTCGGCCCTGATGCGACAAAGTGCGATATCCATGTTGGAGATCGTGTTTGTACTGCGATCATGGGGATGAACCCTCTTGATCCTCATGTTGGTGCTTTTTCTGAGTACACGGCTGCCGTGGAGTGGATTCTGTTGAAGATCCCGCCCCATCTTAGCTTTGAAGAGGGTGCTTCTCTGGGCATCAGCTTCATGACCACTGGTCTGGCTTTGTTTAAGAGTCTGGGTTTGCCCGGCAATCCTATTGAACCGACCAATGAGCCGATACCAATCTTGGTATATGGTGGTTCATCAGCTACTGGAACTGCAGCAGTTCAGCTAGTCAAACTTGCTGGCTTTGAGCCCATTGCAACATGTTCACCCCGCAATTTTGACCTTGTCAAGTCATACGGCGCCAGCGCTGTCTTTGACTACCAACACCCCAACTGCACCGCAGACATCAGAAAGCATACCAAGAACAAGATCAAGTATGCTCTAGACTGCATCTCCACCACGTCAAGCATGCAGTTCTGCTACCAGGCCATCGGTCGTGCTGGCGGCAAATACACTGCTCTGGAGCCATACTCAGAAGCTGTGGCGCGAACGCGCAAGGTGGTCAAGCCAGACTGGATCATGGGGCCACAAATGCTAGGAAAGGAGATTCGTTGGCCGGAGCCTCACTGGCGGCAGGCCAATGCTGAGATGGGTGATTTTGGTGTTTACTGGACGGCTGTTCTACGGAAGCTTCTTGATAATGGGTTGATTAGACCTCATCCCATTGTTGTTAAGCAAGGTGGACTCCCAGAGGTTCTTGGTGGCATTGAAGATATTAGGGAGAAGAGGATTTCTGGAAAGAAACTTGTCTTCCAAATGGAGAGTTGAATTACATGAGATAGCTCTAGCTTTAACTTCATCCTTTCGATCATCTTATCCCTATGTATGCGTAACCTTTTTCTCGTTGTCGTAAGCACTCGACCGCCAACAGTACCAAGTCGAGGGGATCATGGAGAAGAGCTTCCAACTCCACGGACGTAAGGGACTCTGAAACGCCAATACTTTTCCTCTCACTCGTTTTGCAATGGCCAGCGTGGCATCGGCGTGCTGATCGGGCTTTTTCGGTGATTTTGGTAGGGCTGTATGTCAGACGTGGCGTCGGAGGCCGAAGTCCACGGGGGTTGGAGAGTGTTTTCTTGGCAGCGGAAACATCCGCCTTGGTGACGCAAGCCTACCCGTCATCTATTCTCCGAGCGTAAGAAGTGGCTGCGGGAGGTGAGAGACTAACGATGTGAGTGAGCCGGCAGTGAGAGGTAAGCGACTGGTGGCCCTTCAGCCTTAGGACGTCTAATCTGGACGAGGCTGAGATTTAACGTAAAGAAAGCATATTGCAAATTGTTGCATTGGGGAAATCAAGAATATCTTTCTCGTTATCGACTGATCCTTGGTATGGTCGTCTCTGGACCAGAATAACGCTTTCAGCATTCAGTTGATACAGTTAGGTTGCGGCCGCTTCATCGAAGGGCACAGATTTTAGTAAATGACCACTCGTGATACGATTAAAAAGAAGCTTCTTCGTTTACAGGACCATGAGCAAAGAGTATGGATACCGACTTGGGTAATTCTCCACGTGACGGGAAATGAAACTCTCAGGTTGCTTCTTATGGAGATTTTACATTGCATCTATACTTGGTATCATCAAATCGCGAGACATGCCACCTTTATAATGAGTATCTTAGGCTGATTCTGTGAGAGCTTTATCTAGTATGTCGGTGAGATAGATAGAGGCAACTATAAGATCATGACCCACGATCAAACATTTTGTCAATGGTGCCTCGCGAAAATATCTGAATTTACAGTGTGTAGTGTGCAACCTAGATATCTACTTTATGAAAGCCCTTCTATCTTTAGCATATCATTCTCCGATGTTCAGTTTATTTGTCCTGTTAAAGATTCATCTTTTCCCTGATCAACGCCTTGAGCGATCTAACCTTCATTGACAGCTCCCTCATCTCCTCACACTCCTCAGTATCAGCCCCAATCATGTTCGACCTAAATACAAAATGAACCATATAGTCCGTCCAAAGCGACGTCCTCCCCAACTCAGCACTAAAATCCATCCCGTCAATATCACATGTCCTCTGCTTCACAGCGCTGATGGACCGCGGAAGACCAACGACATCTTCCACGGACTGGAACGCATTGAGGAGAAATTGAACGGCCGTGCAAATCTTGGTGCAGGTTTCGTCCGCGGAGGGCAGTTCTCCGAGCTGCAAGCCCCACCTATGAGAGGCCAGCGCTGTCTGGGAAGGGTACGGAGACGGAGTTTCAGGGAGATGAGATAGATGGTTCTGGAAATGGGCAAATACCAGGCTGTACAGCTTGATGAGGGACGTGTAGCAGCTCAGAACCAGTAGCATCGTCGGCATGTCGACCGAAGCGGCCATGGAGGAGCTTGTTGTTGGATCTTGTGTCATTTTGATAGATGATAGTACCTCGGCATAATTAAGCATCTCTGCCGAAGGGGTTGGAGAACTTCCGTTTCCTGACGAATGACCGTCGGAGGAGATGGAACTTTTGCCCCAGATACAACTGAGTATGGAGCAGAAATCCTGAGATAGGCTCAATACGCGGCCAATTGGGTAGTTTTGCAGCTGTTTTGAGTCGGGAACATTGGACCACGGACTTTCTTCGAGAGATTTTGAGGTCTCGTGGATCTTTGTTACAAGATTTGACAGCTGCACAATGGCATGTGGAGGAGCATGCTCCAAAGACTCCGATATGTCCATCAAGTGCCCAGCCTCGCTGTTGGAGGTCACAGTTGGTGCAATGTGATCAAAAGCGGTCGGGTACTGCGCGTGATAAGTGTTGGTCGGCACAGTAGACGGCGTAAGGTCCAACATATTTAACCCTTGGCTCATCCCCAAATCCGCCCAGAAATCTCCATCACTCAGACTCGAGCCGTCACCAGCCGTGCTGATGTCAATAGCAAGAGGCTCTTCTGTTTCCTGACATGCAAGTTCGTCGATCCATGGAGTCCAAGCACCAGGCGAACCTAGGTTCATCCCAGCAAGAGACGATGAGCAAACAGGCGGTGAACTCTTCTGCGGAGGCTCAGGTTTGGGCTTCTCTGTCTTGCTTTTATTATTGGAACTCCGCTTTGATTGGCTTCGCGGACCAAAAACACATGTCACTTGTGCCCTGATGCATCTCGTGCATTTATGGGGCACCGAGCGTGAGTTTTCTGGAGAAACAGTGCATTTGAGCTTGTGAGAGCGACATCGGTCGCAACTGGACCGGATAGATTGGCTGTTTCGTGTTGACATTATGCTTAACCAAAGTGTCGGTAATCGTGGAGAAAAGTATTATATGCTGTCAAACTTGAAAACTTAACGTTGCACGAACCCAGTACGGACCAAGAGGAGAATCGTTGCGGTGAAAACGTCACTGGTACCAATCAGGCCATGGCGGTGTGACAGCAGCGCTTTTGTGCCCGGCCATCAGGTATATGGGAACTCCCTATATAATTGTTCAGAGGGCAACAGCAAAGGCCTTTTGCCTGTATGTCTCAATTAATCCTTGCTCTTTGCTGAGAACTGCTCAGAGTTGACGATTTTCCTTCTTGAGAAGGATGCGAGGCAAGGTTTATGCATGCAGTCATGCTGCAAAAAGGTGGTCAGCATTCTAAAGACCTCAGACCACTCTCTATGACGGCAGAACGAGGATGTCAATCCTTGAGGGAAAGGGTGCAGTAACCGGGCGCTAGAATTTATGTATACATACAAGCTTAATTTTAGGGTAGCATAAGCCTTGCATTTGCAAGCTGACAGTTTAGAGAGGGTTACAGTCGTTGGGCTGACATATAGGAATACATAATTGCCGCCGAGTGTTATGTAAGGATACAACGTTGGGCTGATATCATATTTACAAAGAAGGATGAAACAATATGTACGTTGGTTTGTCTAATCTTTCAGCTCGTCTATTCGCAGCCGTTGCTCAGACCTCTTTCAGAAGGTTAATATATGCTTTGAGTTATATCCTGGTAATCATCCACTGTCAGTACACCACCGGTTAATATGCCGTCGTGTACACAACCAACCAATCCAAAATGTGCCGTTTGGCATTTTTTCTGATTCAAGGCGAAGGCTGCACTCGATTAATATGTCTTGACACGTTAAGAAAAAACTGACGCTTAGACCCTGGATGGCCACTATAACCTTGTTTACTGGAAGCACAGTGCCCTGCCCCGGTCCAATAGGATAACCCACGGGTAATCCGGGACTGCCGAGTCGCATCTAAGATGGCGCTATGCGCTCTTCATCGGCGTGTCTTCAGTATTATCCCGCAATGCACGCCAAGAAGCTTACGGCAGCCGCACTCTTTCGTCGAGGGGTGCCAGGACAACCAGTGACGCGAGGTGTACCCCTGTGGGATTTATGGCTTAGGTCTTACGGGTACCTAGATCTGCCGCCGCTAATGGGAAGTTGGTCTAGTTCCGTCTGACTCTCACAAGCAAAAGCCGGAGCACTCTCTTCTCGAAATCTTCTCAGTACTCCATAGAACAGAAACCAGAAACTCTGACACATGAATGACTTCGGCTCCGGAATCTCCTGTCGTCGCTTACAATCACAATAGAACTGCGCCGCAGATAAGAAGATCCATTTTGATAGGCCCTTGTCCACGCATCAAGGGCTGTGCTCTACATTTCATCACCTGCAGGCGGGTCTCTTTTATTTTCGTAATATTTCGGTAAATAACTCATTACATCATGAACCTGTCTCTCTTATGTCCCCGCTTACCCCTAATGTTAATCCATGGCTCATCACTTCCTTACTCGGTGAGCAATGCGTGGGGTGACAAGACGCTTTTCCGCTGACGGCCCGGGACTTTCGTCATCGTCCGTTTCGGGACGGCCCGCATTCACGAGTTTCAGTGTTCAGCCAGAGGAGAAATACAGGGGTTGAATTCGCTATTAATTTTCGTATACGAACCAGGCGTCTACAAGCTACCACTGTAACTCTCGAGTCGCAGTGATTGGTCTCAAATGTTGCCATCCTTTCAACGTAATTGCGGAATGTTACAGTCATATCACGGAATTAACCGTTTCCACCTCTTTCCAGCCAAATTACTCCTCTTTGTCACCCTCGTTCTAGATTCTCATTATCCACTTTTCCCCCCAATGCATGTCATTGCAAGTTCCACGGCCATGTCAAAGACCCCATTGTATCCACCGTCTCTACAGCTCTAATTATTAAACCCTGAAAGTACATGGGACCCTCAAGGTTGACTTACCATCCATTGCTTGCCACTCAGAATTCGGGGTAGCCATCGGCGCAGCCAGTAAATCATCCGCAAACGTAGCCCAGTTCGGCATCATCGTGCCATCAAGCACTGGAAACTGTGAGCCGAGACCTGCTGGAATCTCTATCACCCCGCATGTCAGCTTCACACTGTTTTCTTTCTCCCTCTTTGGTGAGTACCTTATTAACGTACCTGGGTGATAATCGTTGACGCTGGATGATGCATATGCCGAGGGAACACCGAACGACATGCTCGAGTCAAACCCTGAATCTGTACCTGAAGTGTTGCTGACTCCGAGAACTACCGTCAATGCTTTTACAACCTTTCGCGCCTCTTTGGACGAATTACTAGACTGTAACCATATATCGTATGATTTTCTGAGGGACACCAGAATGGTTTCATCCATCGATGATGACTCAGAAAGCTGCATGCCCTCGCGTTTCGTGTTCTGCAGATAGTAACACAAAATGCTTGTCGCGAGCAAAAAGTCATGGTTGACTAATGAGGAAACTCTCCACCTTTCCTGGTACAGCTGACAGAATGGCTGCGTTTCTTCTTGCAGCATGTGTTGGTAGTCTAGAAGCTTGAGCGCTGATTCTAAGACGATGCGCTTGGAATCAGCGGAGTTTGCTGGTGGACCGAACATGAACTTTCGGTGGAGAACAATCTTAGCTCGGTAGAATAGGGTTTCTAGAACGACCTTTTGCATGATGTTCTGGGGTGAATCTGTGATGCAGCGAGCGAAGGAATGCCACTTGAGACAGTCTGGGATTGACTTGCGTGCTTCATCCAGTTTGTTGTCCATTCTTTCGACCTCAGTGTATGTGTACGGTCGGACATCGGCGGCAAAGTCCCAGATATATCCAACCGTCGTCATCAATCTTGCTTTGACAAGGCGATAAAGAATGGGCGTCAAGTCTGTGTCTGGCCTCGACGGGGGCATCTCAACCGTGGTCTTGTCAAAATCATTATCCTGAAGATTCGAAGGCTCTTGCGTATCAGTCTGCCACTGCTTGATCATCCTCGGCAATCCCATTTGAGCCGAGAGTCCAAGGTCCATCTCAACAAGAGTCGCCCAGACCCTTCTCCGCATCTCCGCAGCAAAAGACGACATGCCCTTGAAATGCTTCGGATCTCGATGATAGCCCTGGAAAAGGTTAGAGATCACACCTCACTTGACAGTAGGTACTCACCATATGCAGGGCAATCTGGACCGTGCTCCCTGTCAGGATCCATATGTCGATCTCCGCATCAGTGCTCGAAAACAGCTCAGCGGCAATGTACAGCATAAGCGTCTCCAACACGTATGGACCCCCTTTGGTATAGTTGCCAAGAACAAGGCATTGACCAATTCTTAGCCTGTACGTATCCGCCATCTTCTGGAGATCTCTCTCCATGGACAGAGCCGCGGGGGACTGCACGCCAGGGTCGAGGCGGAACTTTTCGAATTGGGTTGCCAAGCACATTATGGTGAACAAAAGGCCCAACCAGAGGGGTGACACTGCAGTTGGGTCATCCCAAAATTCTTCATACTAAGATTGTAATGGTTAGTCAGTCTGAATAAGGCGATAGGCTTGTGCTTCTGTACCTCCTTGAGGAATTGCACGCTGTGCAGTACGGCTGGGGCGTAGGCGTCAGCATGGTGGTTACACGATAAAGTTGGATGACAAGACTAACCCGGTGACATTTCGAAGGAATTAAAATAGCGTGAGACCAATCGGTCTACTACCGGGCGGGCAGGGATCGACGCAAGTATCTCGTCCTTGCTAGCGGGCTTCGGACAGCCGTATAGCAACTGCGGGCCAGCCATGTCCACACTAGGCGATTCAACGCCCTGAACATCAGGATGCGATGCCTCCTCATTGTCGAAATGATCTTTGAGCTCGGCAATCCCGTCGAGAACAGCAGCCCAGTGCGAACTCCCCACGTAATTCGCTCCTCCGCCCGTGGACTGCATGCTCCCGTAATCGGCGGGTGGAGTAGCAGTGACGGCAGTGTCTACGGGGGAGGAGGAATGGGTGTTGCCGACGGGGGAACAAGGTGTCGCTCCTCCGTGCTGGTTCTGGTTGACGGAAGATTGCTGCATCAGATCGAATACAAGACTCTCGAGGTGGCGGATGCGGTCCTGTGTGGTTACACGAGGCTGGTGTGCCGCATCGCTACCTGTGACTCTGTCAGAAGCGTAGGTGCACGACAGACCGAGCTCTCGTTGTACACAGCTACTGCAGGGTCTTTGACGGTCACATCGTAGTCTTACAACAGGGCAACGTCAGCACGTGGGGGGCCGCTTGTAATAGAGTCAAAGCGGAAGACGGAACAGAGAGACGGCAAAGTGGATTGCATAGACGTACTTTCTCCTTCTACACAGGTTGCATGACAGCTGTGGCTTTTCCCGTGGTCTGCTTGAGGGTAGGCGAGCTCTGCCCTGGGGTGTTTTGCCAGGACCCCACTCAGTAGGACGCGATTCCTGGTCCGCCATGGATTTAGGACAGAATGATAGACAAATAAGTTTGGTAAGGCCCGGATGAGAAATGTAAACAAACGGAGTCAAGTGGCCGTGGAGGTCGGAGAAAAAAGAACAAGTTAATTTTACGTTGAGAGATAATGTGCTGACAGAGTAAGATTCTAACCAAGAGCGAACAAGCCAAGGTACGGTATTTGTCCTGCATCGGACGCACAATCCCTGTTATTCCCCGGATCTGTTCATCATCCGCTCCGATCCTCCGCTCCGATCCTCCGTTGGTAGCCATGTCCGGCCCGATGCTCCAGCCCTGTAGACTACTCAGCTTACTATGTACCCCACTCACATCGCCCATGCCATATAACAAACCACCTCAATTGTTCATGAGAAGGTTTTGTTTGTTTGCTGGTTGCAGATCCACTCTTGAAAACCAAGTTCACGTCGCATGCAGCATGCACGTATCAACTGTTGCGTTATCACCCCAGTAAACAAATCACATTTTATCGACAGATTGGTCCAGAACGGAAATACTCCATTGTTTTTATCACAACAACCATGTCAGCAATGCCCCAGATGTCACAATCAGGCTTTCAGAATGATCAGTTGGAGGCAGGTAATCGGGAGGATGTTAGGAATGAGGCTCAAGAGAAGCCTTTGTCGTCTACTGGAACAATGGTCGACGAGCCTCAATCGAATCCCAATGTTGTTGATTGGGATGGACCGAATGATCCTGAACACCCTCTCAATTGGTCAAAGGCCCAGAAGAATTTACATTTGGCCATCGTGAGTCTGTTCACACTCGCAGCGTAAGTGTTTCCCACCATATTGTTCACAACTATCTTGAAGAAATGTCGCTGACTCTCAAACAGAAATCTGGCTGCGACAATGTTTGCTCCAGGAGCTGCAGAACTAGCCGATGAATTCAACATCACCAACTCCACAGTCACAGCCATGACAGTCAGTCTATACGTCTTGGGCTTCGCACTTGGTCCTCTTCTCCTTGCGCCTCTGTCAGAATTATATGGACGTCTCATTGTCTATTACTTTTGCAACTTGGTATACATCGCCTTCACATTCGGCTGTGCTTTCAGCACCAACGTTGCTATGTTCCTCGTCTTTCGAATCATTGCTGGGTGCGCTGCCTCGGGTCCCATGAGTATTGGTGGAGGTACCGTCGCAGACCTGTTTATCCAGGAGGAGCGAGGAAAGGCTATGGCTCTTTTCACTGTTGGGCCGCTTCTTGGACCTGTGAGTATCTCCCTAATCACTCTCTGTTCATGCGCTAACTTGATGTCAGGTCATTGGCCCCATTATCGGAGGATTCGTTTCTGAGAACGTTGGATGGCGATGGACATTCCGCATTCTCCTCATTTTGGTAAAGTCACTGCTCAATCCGTGTTCAGTTCTTAGGACTAATACTTATCACAGTCTGGCGTTATCGCTATTGTAACCTTTGCTCTCATGAAGGAGACAAACTACACAGTCATTTTGCAAAAGAAGGCCCTTAAAATGCGCAAACAAACTGGAAACGAGAAACTTGTCCCAAAGTTGAGTAGAAATGAGACTCCAAGACAAATGCTGGCGCGTGCTATCGTCCGACCACTGAAGCTGCTCATATTCTCACCGATTGTCCTGTTGGTGTCGCTCTACACTGGTATCCTTTTTGGTTTGATCTTCCTCCTTTTCACGACCTTCCCCTCTGTATTCCAGGATGTCTACGGCTTTAATCCCGGTGTCGCCGGATTGGCCTACCTTGGTCTTGGAATCGGTATGAGTCTAGGTCTGGTCATGTTCTCTGTTCTTAGCGACAAGCTTCTTGGTCGAAAGAAGGGCAACGAACATGCCGCCCCTAGACCAGAGGACCGTCTTCTTCTCATGAAATGGCTGGGCCCTATTACTCCCCTTGGTCTTTTCATCTATGGCTGGACAGCAGAGAATGGCGTTCACTGGATCGTACCTATTATCGGTACCTTTGTTGTTGGCTTCGGTTCCCTCTTCGTGGTCATCCCTGGTCAGATTTACCTGGTTGATGCCTTCGGAGCCGAGGCAGCTGCTTCTGCTTTGGCGGCCAACATGCTGGTCCGTTCACCATTCGGAGCGTTCCTTGATCTTACAGCCGAGCCTCTCTACTCGACGCTTGGACTAGGTTGGGGTAACAGCGTGCTTGGTTTTATCTGCCTTGCTTTTACTCCTGTTCCGTGGATCTTCTACACTTATGGCGAGAGACTCCGGACTCACTTCCAGGTTGATCTGTAACCTCAAGCGCCGTTTTCTTGTTTAACTCAACATGATAGAGGTATATCTTGGACTTGAAACCAGATAAAATACACGGTGGACATAATTGACATACACGTATTTCGGATAGAATAGGTTGTTTGGGAAGGCTTACTGTCGTTAACTTGGTTCAACTCTTCCGAAGCTCACAGGAAGGGTGAGTCGGATTTCTTTATTACTTACGTACTTTGAAGACAAATAGACTAATGCATTCGCGGTTCGATCATCAATAAAACATAGTATTTACAGTTTCTTAAACTAGCTCCGACTCTTATGTAACTCTCGAATTTGATCGTGGAAAACCGTGATGAAAGAGCATTACAGGCTCCAAAAGAAGTTTTCCCATCAAACAAACGGACAATGTTGAAAGTCTAATAATTGATCATGCCTGCAATAAGACCTACATACTCAGTAGTGGTAACTCCCCAAGCTCTCATCAACATCATAATGAATAAGAGCTCCATCCTCAATCTTTCCCTTGATCCGGTCGGAAGGTCAACAAAATATTCTAGCCACTATCTCAATCTCTCGCTATTGACTTCATCTGCTCTTCAGGGTGCACAGTTGAGCGTTTGAGCGAACGCAGAACCTACGACAAAGAAATTTCACATGGGTATAAGCTCTTCGAACCGAACATCGCGAGTTATGCAAGATTATGATGAACAATCAATGGACTTTGCGCGTATACTGCCTAATGGATGACTATAACCTTTGTTCTAAGGTAACGTTACTTGATAGCCTTTCATGCGGTCAATCGCTCGACCTACGTCACGGTCACTGATTTCGAACATATTATCTTGACCAACGTTCCTTCTAATATGTAACTAGTGTGGCAAAGGAGATAACTGTGAAGGATCATGCTCGTGTCTTCTTGTACTACAGGGATAACAGTTTGAGTTACCATATACGGATTACGGTCTTCACCGACATCATGAAACCGGCCTCGTTACAAAGGGATCGCTTAAACGGCACCGAGATTGTGGAAACAGATGGTACCTACTATAACCGTCTACACACTGCACAGTCGCCGATCAATCATTTCAACTGCTGTGCCATGTCCTTAGCGCCAGCACCGTGTTCACTTGAGCGATCCATAAGTGTCTGCCTCAATAAACACTATCCTATCTGTTCTTGCAATACCGAAGGGAAATGCATAATGTAGAGTCTGTAATGCAAAAGGCCTTGTTGAGTTTGAGAGCCAGGCCTCACTTTATAGCGGACCTCAGCATTAATAACAACCATGTATTACATTGATTGACATTGAACTATCTTCGATAACCCAGTTATGAAGTTTGGTAGGCGAGATGCCAATATACTCTGATATGTTATTTCAGTCTTTCGTCACTAGTCTATTTGCCGAAATAAGACCGCTAGAGCAGCTGGGTATCTAGCTAAGACCTGCTGCCACTGGCAACTCACCCTGGCAATTTATACTTTCGAAGGATCTTAGAACAATCCTCTCACCACTCGGTAAAGCGTTTATGTTTTTATTGCTAGAAGATCTACAAATTTTGGCCCACTGCGTTGTCTCCAACGATACCTGATTGGTGAGCTCGCCATCCAGTCGGATTTAGAAGTCTTGTATTCCATAAAGCCGAAGGATCTCCAGAGTTTGTAGGATCTATGAGCGGAAAGCACGGCTAGTGTTCATCTACCGTGGAGCATCAATGCCGCATAAGGCTTATCACTCGAGTATCCACCGTCTTTGTGCATTTACGTGTATCACCGTGAAATAACATCGATGGCGGGAGTTGAGCAGGCGAGCGGGTCCAGCAGCAAATGTAAAGCCCACGAGTTTTAATAGCTATATAAGGGCCGGCTTGCGCATCTCCAAGACGAAAAAACTAATACAATATTCAACTTATCCCAAGCCCAAGCTACTCGGCCACGTTCCAAAGACACAATGCGCTTGTCTCTTACCATCCTCACCGGCCTGGCCGCTCTTTCTCAAGGCTACGTCTGTAAGTCACCATATACACAACAGAAATAGCCGTCTCCTTACTAACAACCTGACTTAGTGACTGCTTATAAAAATGTCGATGACTGCAAAGCAGAGGGCGACACCAACTACCGCATTTACGAGGGCGACTACGACGGATGCCAGAAGTTCGGTGGTCAGTCAGGCTCTACCTGTACAGAGTACTCCAATGGCGGTACCATTGGGCCCAATGCTTATTCAAACGACGTCTGGGAGGTGCACTCTGTTGCTCTCAATGGAAAGACGCAAATCAGTGGCGCTGATCTGTGTTACACGTGTACTTACTACACTGACGATCATTGTTCGTCTCTGAACCAGAGTCCTCAGTGGTACTGTGATGGATGGGAGGCGGGGCCAAAGTCTTTCAGATTCGTAAGTGTTCTTGGGAATCCCATATAGATTACAAGATGTCGTAGTGCTGACACGAGACGAAGGAACTCGCTCAATCTCCTAGCGACTGCTAGAAGAAAGCTGAAACTTGAGACAGCTCTCGGCGCGCCTTACTTCGAAGACTTAGGGGTATGACTATTCGATCAGGTGAGGGCTTCTCTGGACATTTCTTATGCGAGTGTATGATTGATATGCGGGGTCCGAAAGCCTGGGTTGATAGGACACCTGTTAGAGTCTAGTCCTAACCCTATGGAGGAGGGCGACATTTAAACTACTTTTCGTTACTATCAACTCGGTTGTGTGCTGTGGCATAGTCACTAGCACTGACAGGGCTGATAATTATGCTACTCAATTTATCGGAGCACCTCTGTGTTACAGATGCTCCAGTTTTGATAACTTGGGATGCGCCTAAATTCTCCTTGTCTTTCGAACGTCAAGGCAATGACTTCAAAGCATGCTCATAACACGACGACATTTAATGCCACAGAAACATATAGCTGCTGGCTCCAAAAGCTCCCAGATCCACGTTACACACGCGTTCCTGTCGAGTCATCATCTGATCCAGTAGCCAAGATTTGTAGTGGCCGATAATGATGATCCTCCGGGTATCACTTGTTATCTGCCCGAGAAATCGTATTGTGTAGCCTGTGCTCCCTGATGAAGCTCGCTGCGACCAACCCCAAGACAGCTACGCCGAGTCCAGTCAGAAATACCCCTCGCAATGAAATCTCGTATGTCTCATAAACGCCACTACTCCATCCATCAGGGAGCCGCTTCAGCTCATCTAAAGAGTCAAGAATACGCTTTATTATCTCAGAAGATCCTTCGTAGCCGTCGAAGCGTTGACGTAGACCATGTTGCAGTAAGTTCTGGTACACTACCGATGCGATCGTTATACCAATCGTGGAACCCATTGATCGGAATGCGTAGTTGGCAGAGGTTGCGACGGCTTGATCATCATGGGATACAGCTGCAACTGTTGCGAGCAGTGACACGGATAACATTCCACCATACCCCACTCCAATAAGGAAGACATATAGTAATACAAGAGGAGTTGGTGTTTGGATAGTCATGGTACTCAGGCCGATGAAGCCTAAAGCAGAACACACTATGACGGTCATGCCCAAAGTTCTGTATCTTCCGGTACGTTTCATGATGAAGCCACAGGTAAGAGAACTTAGCGCGGTTCCTATACTCTGAGGTAAGAGACGTAGACCGGCGGCTGTTGTGGAGTAGCCATTGACCTGAAAGAAGATGGGAACGTAATATGTAGCCATGAATAGTATCATAGTTACTAGACAGTTCATAAGACAAGCGGCAAGAACCGTCTGATCGAGGAGCAGATGCATAGGGATGATGGGCTCCTTAGCCCATTTGGACTCGACAAGAACAAAGGCCCCAGCGGCTACAACCGACAGTGACACGGAGACCAAAACCAGTGGATGGGTCCATGGGACAAGATTCCCCCCAGAATTGAGACCTAGCAGTAAGAGGATAAGATTCAAGGATAGTGTGAAGGCACCCAAGAAGTCCACCCTCGATAATCTTGACTTGTCATTGTGCTTGGTGGGGGTATTCTTGAGGGTAATAGAGACGAGAATGGTGGAGATAGCAATCAACGGCACGCGACTCAGGAAAGCAGTCCTCCAGCCCCAGAGGTCATTAATCCAGCCTCCAAAGAGTCCACCGAGACCAGCGCCAACACCATAACAAATATGGACGAAGCCTTGGATAACGCCTCGTCTTCTAAGAGGCACGAGATCACTGGCCACGAACGCCGTTATGGCATTGAGGCCTCCGCCACCCATGCCCGCCACGACTCGACCAGCAAGAAGTGTCCATTTCGACGTTGCAGCTCCACACATCAAAGTTCCAACACCGAAGAGTATATTGCAGAGCACGAGGCCGGAGCGACGGGAGAAGATATCGGTTAGGCGGCCGGAGAGAGGCTGGCAAGCAGCATTGGCAATGAGGTAAGATGATCCAAGCCATGAGACGAGGCTCAGTGACCCGAAGGTATTGGAGATGGGGACAGAGAGGGTAGCGACTATAGTGGTGTCGAGGGCAGCGAGGAAGACTCCAATGAAGACACTGCCGAAAACAGCGATGAGATATCTAGTCGATGGCCCATCTTCAGTAGATGCACTCTCAGTGTCTTGGGGTTGCTGAGGAGGTTGGAGTTTTGCACGGTTGTGCGCGAGAAGAGGTGATTGTTCATTGACAAGTCCACGAGAGGCATTCCCCTTGTCTGTAGAATTTGAGTTCTGGCCTTTCATGATGCAATACCCCAGAGAGGTAGAAGGAAACTTCGAATGTGTAATTAGCATGATAAACGGTATTGAAGAAGATGGTTTCTGAGATGATGAAAGAGACAGGAAGGATTTCTCGAGGGATAGGGAGAGTATTCGAGGCGAGAGGGCGGGTAAGGCGGTTGGACACGTCTTACTCGGCAGATATTGCAACTGAGACATGGGAACGGAGCAAAACGTTTGTGTCACCACAACTATGACGCTGGTTGAGGAGTCGCCGGGTATGTCGGTGAGCAGGAAAAGGAACGCCTTATCTTGAGAGGTGATAATACCGCTGGGTTGGGGTCGATCACTGTGCGCCTGTTGTGAGGCCAGTTCTGGCGTAATTTTTGGTGGGAACACAAACGCATAGTGGCAGATCTAAGAACAAGAGGCAATATCCAGGTCGCTTGTAGCCGTACGTAGCATGCAATATGCAACAGACTTCGGATGTCTTACTGTCACCCGCTATAAAAGGATATATCATCACTTATAAAGCCAGTCGGGATTGATGTTAGAGAGTACTGATCTAGCGACGGGTTTAATTATGATCTGTACCATGTTGGCTCATTCTTGTTTGTAGCTGCTAGTGAAACCCCCGCCCTCGTTCATCTTCAAGTACCTGTACCCCAGAAGTCTCAACTACCTCAAACCTGCAACCCAAGGTCCTTATCCATCCCGCCAGTAGCTACAGAATCAACCCTCTGCTCCTCCATCGTCTTATTAAAACTACTATACTTGCTAAGAAACCACTGCTCCGCCGTAACTTCTTCCCCATTCATCCCCTTGAAAACAGCACTATCACTAGCGCGCAGAAAGTAAGCAGCCGAGTATCTGTCCTCTACCATCTTACCCCCCGGAGGTAGCACTCTATGCATAGCAGACCTAAAGCGTCGTTTAGAAATGAAGCGAAGTGTATCAGCGACGTTTATGATCGCATGACCTGGTTTCGCAGCGACGTATTCCCATTTATTAGTCGTAGGTGACATTACTTGTAAGCCTGGTTGTTCAGTGAAGAGAAGGGTAAATGATCCAACGTCTGTGTGGGCGTTGTGGCCGCGGGCTGTTTTGTCATTGAGCGCGTCGCTGAGGGGATGGTGGATGAAGAACATTGTGCTCTTGGAGGGGAGATCGTCCGGGTGACAGCTCTCAAAGCGGTCATCTTTCTCGAGCCCTGCGGCGTCGGAAAGGCAGGATAGAAGGGTCTTTAGGAGGAAATGGGCTGAGAGCTGGAACGTTTCAAAGAGTTGGAGGTTTTCGTGCACTACGGCGGGGAGATGGGAGCGGTTGAGAAGACCAACGCGGCTGATCTGAAGTTTGTCAGTTGTGCGACCGAAGATGGTGGTTGGTGCTATGACTTACTCTCAGAGCTTCGAATCCATCCCGAGTGTTCTCATTGACACCAGACTGCACGCCCGGCGGCTTGAACCTTGAAACGATCAATAATTCTAGCAGCTCTCACCAGATTCCAAGATCACTTACCCGTGAGCGTCAGAGATAGTCTCGGTCTTCATCTTTTCTTCGAGGGGTTGGCCAAACCACTGCTTCATGATTACCCAAGTAGCCTCTAGCGCTTTCAGCATCTTGCCAGATTCCCAATCACGAAGATCCAGGTAAAAGAAGCCATGATCTTCGCAGGCAGAGAGCAGGTTCGCCCGCTCGGCTACATCTCCGTTGAGCAACGAACAGAAGTTCAAGGTATGGAGGTTAGCTTGCTCAGGGGTAGTGGTTGTAGACATGGTTACTGATGATATGTTGAACGTGATTGAAAAGGCCCCTGAATGCGATATGACAGAGAGAAAGTTGGAGACTATGTGTTGAAGGATGATAAGCTATAAGCCCTATGTCAGTGATTTGTTCAACGAAAGGTTATGATCATACTTAGAAAACAGGTATAAGCGTACAAAACAAGACGGCGGTAAAAGCGGTAAGCTGATAGGGCTCAGTTACGAAAATGAACAAGTGGAATATTTCAATCTCATGATCTACCGAAAAACGCATAGCTGCAGATACGGCACCTTGGCATGGCAGAACACCCTCGGTTTCCGGACCCCGGGTTTTGATCCATCGTGCGGGCGTTTGGGTTATTTACGGGCATCAAAGAGCTGGGCCAGACAGGCAAGCTCCCGAGACATGCCTATAGATCATCGTATTGTCCAGGCAGCAAGCAGCCACATTCTTCCTTTTACCATACGTAGCTTGGCAAGAACAATGTGTTGAGTGCACCTGATGCCTGTAATTATTCCGAACAGAGAGGTGTCTCAATTCCGACCTAAGATCCGGCGGGGCAGTTGTCTAAGGCAGAGTCATAGATTAGTCCCCGGCGATAGATGTATCACGGTAAAAAGCTAGATTGCGATTGTGGGTAGCAAATGCATCGCTACTGATAATAAACTATTTATTCAGGCTGTATTTAAGCTTTTATCTAAATCTAGTAGCTACCTCCATCGCATCCGAAACCACACAGAATATCAACATGGTCGTCCTCCCAGAGCCGTTCGCCTCCTTCGAGCGCACCCCTCTCCTCTTCAACCATCCATCTCCCCTCCACCCTCTGCCCAATCTAACGCGTCACATCAACTCAACCACTTCCACCAAAGCCCAGATCTGGGCCAAGCGCGAGGACTGTTCTTCAGGTCTCGGTCTGGGTGGCAATAAGATCCGTAAGCTGGAGTATGTCATTCCATCGGCTCTAGCTCAAGGCTGCGACACTCTTATCTCCACTGGCGGTACACAGAGCAACCACATGCGTCAAGTGGCTGCTGTAGGAAGCCATCTTGGGTTCAAGACCGTCCTCGTGCCGCAGGTCCATGGGGATGCTAGCCTTGAGGCTTATCGTCAGGCTGGGAATGTGCAAGTCAATGGCATACTGGGCGCTGACTACGAGAGGCCCAATACTTCGTTGGAGGATGTTGCAGCAGATGTTGAGAAACAAGGTGGACGTCCGTATATCATCGCATCGGGTGCATCAGCCCACGTGCACGGAGGACTCGGTTTCGCTCGCTGGGCATTCGAGGTTGTTGAACAGGAAACGGCTCATGGCATATTCTTCGACACCATCGTTGTCCCAGTGGCTTCCGGGGGTACGATTGGCGGTATGATCGCCGGCTTCAAGTTTACCGACCGTTCTACAGACGGTCAGTCTCGTTCCATAATCGGCATCGACACGTACAACAAGCCTCCAGGTGTTCTCGAAGCCACAATCCTCCAGATCACCAAAAGAACAGCGAATCTCATCGGACTAGGCGAAGATGCAGTCCAGCCTCATGACGTGATCCTCGATACGAGGTTCAATACCGGTACGCACACGGCTTGGGACGATAATACAGCCAGAGGTGTAAAGTTACTTGGGAAGCTTGAAGGTATTGTCACGGATCCGATTTACTCGGGTAGAACTGCGGGTGCTATTCTGCACAAAGCCGAGAATGGAGAGTTGGATGGGAGTCGTTATGTGTTGTTTGTGCATACGGGGGGACAGGCAGCGCTGAGTGCGTTTCCCGACATGAGATGAGATGCGGGGGACTCGGGTTACCCTGAGAGATGCTGTGCTACAGTGCCAGTTGGGAATATTATGACCGCTCTTGTTTAACGGATCCCGAGATTTGAGCCTCGTAGGACTTTTAATCCGAAATTCATCGGCGGGAGAAAAAGATCAACCCGACAACTAACTGCATGCCATTCTCGCTGTTATGCATATGCTGTGTGACCATGTCATAATTATCTTAATACGCATGCATCTGCTTCTGTCATTATATTTGAACAGTGAAATACGAACAAAGAGGTTGTTCAGTGGCTTCGGGAATGGAACATATTGTTTTAGAACTGTCATTCGCTATGGCAAGTTCGTGCAGGTCGGATCAGCTAGCAAAGCGTGCGGGAGCCGTAAGTGACACCGCTACCAGGTCGAAATGTCACAGTGGCTACACTGGCAAGGAGCGCCTCCATCTGCAGAGAATCGGATGCATCTAAGCCTACATACTGTTGAATGAATTCACGACCGCAACACATTAACGTAACCCGTCAAAGGTCCCGTCCTACTTAAAAGCGAAGCCATAACATCAACAAACAACACATCATCTCACGAATCCAGCGCATGATCCAATCCGTTACCAAACTCTTACTCCATCATTTATCATGTTGTCCCAGCCAAACCCCTACGACAGTGTCGACACCGCTAATCTCTATACGGTAGTGTTCAAAAATCTCTTCGATAAAGACTCGAAAGAACTGGAGACTCTTCTGAAAGCATGTGAAAGGGATGGCTTCTTCTATCTCGATCTTCAGGATTCGAGCTCTGCGAAGCTGTGGAGGGATTTGGAAAGGGCGAGCGAGATCGCTAAGCGCTGGTTCTCGCAACCTGTTGAGGTCAAGCTGAAAACCCCAACAGTATCGTTGGCACATGGGTTTGTTCATCATGCTGGATGGCGTATTAAGTCAACTGATGGGGTGATCCAATTAGATTCAAGGCTACTGGTAATCAATCCGGGGCAGTGAAGTCGCTGAAAGATGGGTTTGAAGCGTTAAAGGTACCGTCACCAATGTCCCTTCCTGAGTATTCTCTAATAGTGAAAGATTGGGAGAAGCGAACTCCTCGGCCGCTGGGCTCTGCCATCAGTCGTCGAAGAGAATCTACAGCTATTCGATCAATTCAATGCCTCATGCCACTTCATTCTAAAATTACTTCTGGACTGCCTGTCAGACGGCCTAAACCTCCGAGGAGCAGCCCGCCTAGACACCCACCACCGCGATGACGCACGCTCCAAAAGTACCCTCTACTTCCTGCACTACCCCCCAGGAACGCAGAACCTAAACGAAGTAGGTCAAAACATGCACACTGACATCGGCACACTCACCCTCCTCTTCGCACCGCAATGGGGTCTTCAAGTCGTATCACCAGTGACGGGAGCATGGGAGTACGTACGACCTCGCGATGGCCACGCAATCATCAATGTTGCGGATACGTTGAGATTTCTATCTAACAAGCGGTTTCGCTCGGCTTTACATCGTGTTCTTCCTATTGGGGGCGTGCAGAAGGAAGATCGGTATGCTGTTTCGTATTTTCTTAGAGCGGCGGACGATACGGAGTTTAAGGATAGTAATGATGAGGAGTCAAATGCTAAGAGTTGGTATTTGACAAAGTATCATACGTATGAGTTGCCGCATGATGTTCAGGGAGAACAGACTGTGCTATCGGGGGGTATGGCGCAGGAGTTACAGGTGACATTCTGATGCATCTCGCAGTCAAGCATTGACAATCATTCGATGAAATCAAATCTGAGTCATTAGTCTTCTAGAAATACATCAACATACATTATTTGACAATACAGTAATGATTTAAGTGACAGTATGCAGGGCAGTTAGCGTGATCGATCCCTCCAAGCCGAGGCTCTAAAGATTTCTCGGGCCCTCGCTCGCAAACTAGTCCGAACAGGGAATCATTGGGAAGACCCTTAATCCACTAACGGCATCGTCACGATCCAGAAACAGTTTCGCGTGGAACCTTCTAACAAGTTGGAGAAGCCCAAAATGTTGGGGATGATCGACAGATCTAAAATTACGTCACATTCTTTCGTCATAAAGTTCCATTCAAGGCAAGTTTGCGACAATGTCAATAGCTGAGGACATGTGAAGATTCCCACGAGATGATCTGATACCAAGCAGCACTTTGCAGCTCAAAAGCTTGTCTCGGCAGTGGTGTCCAGGAAAGGCTAAGGTACTCCAGGGTATCCATTTCAGCCCAAGCAGGCGCCAAATAACCTATACCAATCGAAGTGTTGGTGCCGCCGCCTTTGCTGAGAGTGGGTAAGTGTGTAAAGGGCTAAGTTTGCGAATTGCGGGATGATGCTATAGTGCACATGATCATGAAACTTTTATCGCATTCCCTTTTTCCATGTGTGTCCCTCTTGAAACTTGCCTCGGCTTTTGATTCAAGATCGATAAGTATTAAAGGGTGAGATCTCCGATGATTGATCATATCTGATAACATGCATTGACTTGAATCCAAAGTCAAACCATCACAACAACAAGCAACTTCATATCTGATCTTTACAACGAAATACACGATACGCATTACGATGACGACGACTCAGTCGATGAAGTCAACCTGGCCACTCGCCGACAAGTCAGAGTGGAACGTCCACCAACAAATAATCCACGTCTTAAACGCCTACCCAATCTCTCCAGGCAAAGAAGTCCCCGTGCACGCCAAATCCGAACGCATTCCTCACTTCTCCCAATGGCAAGGCCACGTCTGGATTCTCTTACATGCCTTTGCTCCGATAATCATACACCAATCATGGCTCTCGTACACAGGCCAAGCACTACATCCCTTCATCGTCTTTATGCTCTACTTCGCCACGTTCAGCTGGACGGTTGTACGTTCTGTTAAAGCTACGGCGAAACTCGGACATGAATATGGATTTTTAGATGGAGATGCTCATCAGAGAGATGGAATTCCTGATATTGGTGTTGATAAAGTCGTTTCGTCGCTTTGGAAAACAACGGGGTCGAGGATCTTTCTGGCGACGCATCTTACCTACAGAGCGACACAATCGCCTGCTGATGTGATGAGTGACCCGAAATGGTGGGCATGGCTGTGGCTTCAGATCGGTCTTTACGGTATCGTTCTTGACTTTTGGTTCTACGTTTATCATCGCGCCATGCATGACATCGACTGGCTATGGAAGTATCACCGCACTCATCATCTGACCAAGCACCCCAACTCTCTCCTCGCCGCTTTCGCCGACCACGAGCAGGAATTCTTTGACATGGTTGGCATTCCCTTCCTCACTTGGGCGACCTTCCAAGTCTTCGGTCTTCCTCTGGGCTTTTATGAATGGTGGATCTGCCATCAGTACATCGCATTTACTGAGGTTCTTGGTCACAGTGGTCTTCGAATTTACGGCATGCCGCCATCGACCTTGGCTTGGCTCTTGAAGGGTGTTGGTATGGAGCTTGTTATTGAGGACCATGATCTTCATCATCGCAAGGGATATAGAAAGAGTCATAACTACGGAAAGCAAACCCGGGTTTGGGATACACTCTTTGGAACATGTCACGAACGAATTGAGGCCAAGAACCAGAACGTTGACTGGGATAGGGCAGTTTGGTTCCCAATTTTGTAAACAGCAAGTAAAAATAGCATCACATTCGTTTTAGTTATCAGACTAGTTTCCTTTAAATAAACACACAATTGTTCAACAAGGATATCACATAGTGAGTTAACTCAATTCCGTTATGCCGTAGTCATCCTGCGTTCCTTGAACCTCACACTCACAAGGATGTTGTCCAGTTTCTCGAGCAAGTGCTACGGCCTACTCATAAGAAACTCAGCACCCATTTTGCCAGGACTGTTAAAGGCATTGTTGAGATTTTTGACAATTTTAATAACAATGAATAATAACTCCCAAAGAAAAGAAATGTCAATTTAGTTAACTAAGCAAAACGCGAACAGTCTACCAGCGTGAACTTCCTAGACGGGACCAACCTGTAGTACTTCGCTCCCAATTTCCTCAGTCAACAATGCTTCGAGGTCTCCTCAAAAAGAACTCAGCTCAGCCTGCTACTCTCTGTTTCTCTTTACTCACCGGCCTTCACCCACAAGAATGACTTAGTTGCCTCCATTACCAGCACCCTGGTTGGCACCACCTTGAGCACGACCGGTACCGGGTCGATTAGCATTCGCAGGCACAATTTCTGCAGCCACCTGTCTCAACTGCAGCTCCCACTGATACCGCGCTGGGTCAATAGTCCAGATAGCATGCTGAATTCTACGGTTCTCAGCCTCTGTAATCTCCTTGAGCCGTGTAAGAACATTCACCACCATTTGCTCCTCGCCATTAGTGGCATGATCACGTAGATAGCGCACGGATTCATCGACAGCCCATCGATAGCGTCGAAGCTCCTCCATCTGCTCCAGAACTGGAAGGGGTGGAGGAAGGAAAGTTGGCTCACGGGGAGGTGCATCGCGGCAAACAAGGGGATAAGTGTCCTTGATTCCGTCCATGGATGTCTGCCAAAAGCCGATCTGGCCAACAGTAGCGACGGTGATGGTACCGAAATTGGGCATGTTTTCTTTCGGTTCGGATCTGTTGTTTATTGATCCACTTTAAGAGTGAGTTGAGTTGAGCTGTTGGTGTTGATGTTGCTGTTAGGCATGGAGTGGTGATTGATGAAGAGAATGGAGAAAGCAATAGAGATATCCGGTTTCAATCTTATACTCCTCCAAGCTTTGGAATGGCAGTTTCAATGTTCCCATGTTTTGCAGTGTCAGTTCTACTTGTGAGGTGTTCTTGGTTCGTGCCAGTGTCAGGCCTTGGGACATGAGCAGTGGCAGACACAGATGGCACTGGAACATATTAACTGCGACTGAGCAACCACAGTGTCGGAAACATATCATACCAGAACCGTTCAGAATTCAATGACTATTGTTCTCAATATCTCGGTAAAAAAGCCTAGAGAGTCACTATAGGCATCATTTTCCGCTTCCATGTAGCAAGTGAAACTGCCCTGGTATGTCTTTCAAGCTACTGGAGGAACATTTGATATAGTCTCGTTGATTCATACGACTCAAGTCAAGCTTGTGTCTTCATTTCATCGAGGTGAGTCGGGGTGCAGGCACTATTGAAGTTAGGAGTCTCTAATCCTATGAGCACCACCATAGAACTAAAAACTGTTACTACCAGTCTTAACTTGGTCATAGTCGCTATTCATAACTTGTAGTCTCTTGCAAAGGCAGAGGTACACGAAATGCTGGTTCCTAGGTTTTGACCTTTATGCTTTACGCTATCATTTCTTCAATTTTTAAGGGTCAAGGTCACGTTTTTCACCAGTCCAGCCACGTTCAGTCAGTGTTCATCGAACTGTCTAACCGCCACAGCTCGGTCTAGCAGGCCCACAAGTCTGAGGGATAGATAACACAATGTTCACTAAGGAAACAGAAGTTGATTGAGTAGTCACTCTACACCTTGTTTCATACGAACGAAGCGGAACAGTGCAAATCAGCACTTGTTCATCCTGTTTCCCCGGTAGAACATGGAAAGACAATTGTAAACAACGTTTATCTTTGAGATCTTCCTCTGTGTCGTGATAGGTTCAAGGTATTCCACAAAAGGTACAACAGTAGGATTTCAGGCTTGCTGTCGACCGGCAATAGAAGAGCAGATCATTTTGAATGAAATATGGAAGAAGAGGTATTGGAAACCGGGGCAGACGGCAGTCTACTCGCGGAACGTTGTTGGCGTGATAGCTAGAACCACCTTGACATAGAATAGTTGATCCGTCACTAACGTTCCATAAACGAAGGCATCAAGCCAGTTTATCCATAAGTGGCTGAACATGTCTCAATGGACAAGGAACCCCTGTGGCGATCTTTCCGAAGGATCCTGGACTTGAAGCATGTTCTGCGCCCTGTTCGATACCGACAGTAAGTCTCCAGCGATTGACTATCCCTTGTACAGCTTCAAATCGAGCAGTTACAGTGAGCCGGAAAGGGGGACCTAGTCAACTGTGCTTGGGTACTGTTCCCTTGGATCCCCTGTTCATAATTTAAGCAAGCTACAGCACCAAGTCTGGTCTGATTCAAGCTGACTGCCACTGTTCTTTGAGCAGCTGTACGGCACTGACCCCCACTTGTCTACACCAAGAAGTTGTCCACCATCTCTTCCCCTCCATATCTCTTCCACCCTCTACAACTTCTCCCCTACACATTTCAGGGAAAGCAAGGCGTTCATTGTCATCATGCCTGACTCAACTTTCAGATCTTTTCACAGCCTCAGTGTTAAGCATCCAGGCTTTGCAATTCATCCGAGGCTTTGGACCTCACATCATCTTTCCATCGTAAACTGCACATTCCAGCAGGTCGAAACTGGCGACGCATACGTCCCTGTGGGTTTTTATACCCAAACTGCCGAACGCCTCGCTGAGTCGGCCAAGAAGCTCGCTCGTGGAGACACCCCCGACACGAAGTTTCTCTGGGTAGAGAGTCTCCTTCTTCGGGAGGGAACAAGCCCCATTGCCTTTATCACGTATGCCAAGTCTCATTTAAGTGAGATAGAACAAACCTGATTAATCTGTCTAGGACACCACTCTCTTTCTACTATGGCAAACGTCGAGTCCGCCTGGCAGATTCGCATGTCCACATCTTCTGCATCAAAGAAGAGATTTCTATCCCGCATGTTGATCCTGTAATGGGCTACTACAGGTACAACGCAGACGAGCAGCGCCAGAAGAGGTTTCGCGCGCCGCGTGCCCCAAGCGGCCTGAACAACAACCCTGTTCAACGCAAGTATGATACTAGATATCGCAAGGTGACCCCTGAAGATTTGCGAAAGGACCCGTACCTTGTTTGCATCCTGCTGAGCTTGGCACAGCTGCAGCATCGTAAGTCCTATGGTCCCCGAGGGCTGTTCTTGGTGAGCACCTCTCCCGTTTCCGCAATATCTGCCAGATTTACTAACTTGATATCCTCTAGGCACGCCTTCTTGTTACACACTTGGCGGACCATACCGACGCGTACGTCTACAAGGCGGATATTCCGCATCAGCTCCTCGAGAGCCTAGATCATCCTACCCGTAGCATCGAAGACTTCGACTTTCCCACGGTCCGCTACGTAAAGGTCCCGTTCAAACCTTACTCCACCTTTGCGGAACGTGTCCAGATTCATCTGGCCGGCGCTGAGTACTCCCCACGTCCTGAACCAGGTCGTTCTGATCAGGTGGCATCTTCGGAACCACGAGGCAAGAAGCGAAAGCGTGATGAGTAGAAAAGTTCCGGAAAGAAAGCTTCAACGGTGGCTTGGTCATGGAGGATCAGTGATGCGCTTGCCGCAGAGATTGCGAAGCAAGATGCAAGAGAGCAATCTTTCAAGACAATGGAACACCCACCAAGCGGGTTAGTTTGTACTGATCAGGATGTGCAGGGAATTATGATGGTAGGTCTAATCACACCTACTCTCAAGGCACAGCTAGCTAATTGCCAAACAGTGAGATTGACAATCCATTTGCGAGTTGGTGGCTGGACTGGTGTAGGAGTAATACCTCTGTTGGGTATCTGGAATAATCTTGGTATTTGTGTTTCCGAGACAATGGGATTAGGACGGATTAGGACCAGGAATATCTCGGCAGCTCTTGGAGCAGTTTTACTAGTTCTATCTCATGTTAAGCAGTAACTAAACCCAATATTGGAGTCCCCGTTAGGAGAATCTGTCCCTGTCGACGCAGTGATCAACTTGTGGCTTTTCACTTCTGAGCTCGCAAGACGTTGTTGTGGCCATCATAAACTCTGCTATGTACAACTTCCCGAGTAATAGTCGATCGTTTTGCGGATCTACACTCGGGATGATAGCGGTGTAGATGATGGGGAGGGATAGAAAATGCCTCGGAAAGACAAAGCTCCCCAACTACAAGACCACTTACTCTGAGCTTCCTCTATAAGTTAAAGATGAGTTCTTTGTCACAAGGAACTGCAAAGTTTCGTTACTAAAGACCTGTATTAATAACCGTTCGTCGTTCACTTGGGGTTGCGCTGATGGCTTGCCGTCAGACTTCGCAGTATGGAGCATGCCCCACAACACTGCGCCATAAGGAACAAGTCATCAACTTGTCGGGGAACACTTCCCGATGATCCCGACAACAACTAAACTATATCTCACAGCCAAATTGGACTCATTTTCGCATGTAATTGAAGGACACAGAAAAGAATAACTTCGACAATGGATAACGTACTCGCAAAGCCAGCAGACCTCTGCTGTCTCAAAGGCGCTTTTCACTCCGGAGAAGCTACTGGTTCTACGATCCAGATTGACGGCATCGACACTTACATGGCCAAGCCTCATCCAGACAGGTCTAATGGGAATGTTCTTCTTTTCTTTCCTGATGCATTCGGACTGCATATCAACAGCTTTCTCATGATGGATGCTTTCGCCGAGTGCGGATATCTTACTCTCGGTGTCGATTACTTCCTCGGGGTAAGAATTATTTGCTTTTTTTCAGAGAATATTACTAATGGGTATTGTAGGATCCCGTGACGAAGCACTCGTTGACGCCGTTGAGTGACCCAAACTTTGACTTTGAGTCTTGGAAGAACAAGCATCTCAAAGCGTCTGAAGAAGCTGCTGCAAGATGGATCAAAGCCGTCAAGACTCAATATGGCACTAGTGAGGCCGTCAAGTTTGCTTGCGTTGGCTACTGGTAAGAATTTTCCATCACCTGAGTCTGGGCAAACTGACTCATCATGTGTTAGTTGGGGTGCACGCTTTGTTTGCCAGCAACTGTCTGCAGATGGCATCTGTAGAGTCGGCGCCATCGCCCATCCTTCATTCCTGAAGGAAAGCGATGTCTTCTATGTGCAAGGCAAGTACCCATCCCATTTATTTGCAAATAAGCTAACCGATACTAGAACCCATATTCTTCTCAGTGCCCAGTACAGATAAACTCTTCGAGCCTGCGCAGAGAAGCAGGACAATTGAGATACTGACAGAGAATAAGAAACAATTCAACATGCAAGTATTTGCCAATGTTGGGCATGGTTTTGCCGTAAGTTTCTTGAATAAGCTATAGATTGCAGATATGCTGACATCTTGACCAAGTCACGAGCCCGTTTGACTGATCCTTATGAGAAGTGGGCTAAAGAGGCTAGCTTTAAGAGCTTTGTTGACTGGTTCGACTTCTGGATGGATAAAAAGTAAATAGACGACAGTAACATGATGGGAAATGGATTCTTGACAATATGCACTTAGACAAATTCAAAAAATGAGATATGTTAGTTCACTGTAATCAATATCATAAGCCTCGTACGTCAGTTGAAAGATGAGCAGACGGTACATGAGGTGGAACGAGTGGATTGGCTTTAGCAGATATCCTAAATGAACCAAAATCTTATGTTTTAATGCTATTCCTTTCTGCTTGAGGCTTATTCCGCTATCGAAAAACACCCAGATTCCCATTTGGTACGAGACGCCGATAACTCGCGTCGGCAAAAGCGTGTGTTTCAGACCCTTCTCTTTTCCACATTGAACATCTGGGACGGGTTGATATCGATTCTCTTGGACCTGTCTCAAGGTCTATAAGATACCATATGTAGGGATACTGTATAAAAACACCTCTATGTGCTTCTACCCATCGACGTTGTCTTCTCCTTCGCGGCCAGGAGTTGGAGGAGTACCAAGTCTCGTTCTTCGACCATTCTATTCCAGTCAACAGACCCCAAACTCTTGTTTACACTCTCCTGAAGAGCCAATGTGCTGTCTTGACTCCAATTAAACCTATGCTCCAGAATATCATCCTCCCAGCTTCGAATCGCTGGTCCTAGCCTTTCCATGCGCTGTGCAAAACCGTCAGGTCCCCCTCCACCACCCAGAGCATTCGTAGCAATTGGCCCCGTGAGAGCCCAGCGAAGTCCAGGCCCAGATGAAACAGCTGCATCTAAATCTTCTGCCGAGACGATACCCCTACTAATGAGACTATATGCTTCATTGTTGATTGCGGCTTGAAGGCGGTTCGATACGAATCCTGGGACTTCGTGATGAAGCAGGATGGGTCTTTTCCCAACAGACTTATAAAAGCCTAATGTGGTATTGACAGATTGACTGCTTGTTTTCGGGTGGGGAACTACTTCGACTAGGGGAATTAGATGCGGTGGGTTGAAGGGATGCCCGATCAGGATACGGGTAGGATCCTGGTTGCACTGCTGGATAAATTCCGAAGACGGTAGACCTGACGAAGACGAAGCGATCACAACGCCTGGTCGAGCGTGTTTGTCCAATGTCTCGATAAGGTCTCTCTTGAACTGCAGCCTCTCAGGTCCATTCTGTAAGAGAATAGTTAGCTTCATGAGTATGCTTGATGCTTCTATGCACAATGCGTGAATACTTACCTCTTGAATAAAATCCGCTTCAGCTAGCCTTGGAACGATATCATGAACAAACTCATAGTTGGAGATAAGCTTATCATAGTCTCCATAACCTTCCAGGTAGGACCGTGACTGCTCGAAATATCGCTTCAGGGCATCTTCCGCTCCTTCAGCGGGATCAGAGATGATGACCTTCAAACCTCTTGAAAGGAATAGAACTGCCCATCCCATACCAATCACGCCACAGCCTACAATGGCCACAATACGTATCTCTTGTGTCATTTTAAAAGTCCAGAATTAGCAAGGTGTTGTGAATTTCACATTAACCGAACGGGACAGTCATAGTTCTGGCCATGTGGTGAATATACTATCATTATAATACTCTACCCAGTACTTGAATACACATTCCCATGTATCCTTTGCTCCAGTTTAGGTCGGCGTCCGACCCGGGGCAAATCCGGGGAGGTGATGCCGGCTCCAGATTTACGGACCGACCACGGCCGAGAAACGCGATGAATGCCATTTGGGAGCTTGAATACCCGTGGAAGACGGATGGCACAATCATATTGTACTGATCGTTCAGCAAAGCTGTTCTGTTGAAAGATTATTTGGAGCGATAAAGGTGGCCGTACGTCGAGGCATAGCCAGAGCTTGACTTTCACCCGCTAGAGATTCACTAGAGCGTCCACTCCAACTCACCATCATGACTACCGAAGGTTCCAGAGAGACATACGGTGCAGGAGCCACTGTCGACCAAAAATTCATTCCACTTCCAGCAGAGTGTGAAAGAATACTACGCATCTTTGCCGCAAGAACACCCGGGTTCACCAACGATGAAGCTCTCCTCAGAGGGGTAAACTTCCACGGCGATGCTCTTCCCTGCATCCCGGGACCAATAAAATCCCAAGCACTCACAGCAGTGCTACACGCAATGGTGGGTATAGTCGGTCTCGAGATCCTTCACCTACGCGGAATCACTGCCAGCACCAAAACAAGCATCGACGTCAACCATGCTGGCCTCTACCCCGCTACTGCAGCGCTTGTCAATATTGACGGCGTCACAGGCCCAGAGGTCATCAAGTTGCCGACTGTACCTCAGTGGGACAAGGACCGTGCCTCTAACTCGCCGCTTGTGTACCGTGCAACGGCTATCTATGAGACTGCCGATAAAAGCACATGGTTCCAACTCCACGGCTCGCTTGATTCGTGGAAAATGCTGGCTGTTATTGGTATCAGTAAAGATCTCGATAGTGAGATTCGTACCAACGATGCTGCATATGAGCTTATTCAGGAGCGTGTTCGTACTTATCGCGCCCGAGAGATTGAGCAGCTCATGGTTGAGAAAGGGCTCTCAGGCTCTATTGTCTATTCGCCTGAAGAATGGCGTCAAACTGAGATGGGCAAGTCTCTCTCACGACATCCCCTCATCAATTACAAGCAACAGACCCAGTGTGCAGCGCTGCCGCCTGTATGTTTGCCCGTGCTGGAGGATAAGAGACCTCTTGCTGGTATCAAAGTTGTCGAGTTGACACGCATCATAGCCGGTGCAGCTGCTGGAGCTGCCCTCGCATCTCTAGGCGCTGAGGTAATTCGCGTCAACTCGTCCAAACTCAAAGATTACACACCAGCTCAACCTTCTTCCTTGATGGCTGGCAAGGCAACCATCGACCTTGATCTTGAAGACCCAGCTGACCATGAGAAGCTGATGCAACTATTCGAACAAGCCGATGTTATCTTGCAGGGCTACCGTTTAGGTTCCTTGGGTCGTCGAGGCTTCGGTCTTAAAACTGCCCTTGAACTGGCAAACAAACGAGGAAAAGGAATCGTCTACGTTGATGAGAACTGTTATGGTCCTGATGGTTACTATGCTGAACGACCTGGGTGGCAACAAGTTGCAGATGCCGCAGCCGGAAGCTCATATGTCATGGGTCAGTCATTTGGCTGTCCCAAAGGCCAAGGTGTTCTCCCTAGTCTGCCCATCTCAGACATGTCAACGGGAATCCTAACTGCCCTAACCATTATATGTGGTATCCGAGACCGAACCAAGTTTGGGGGATCATATCATGGCCATGCCTCACTCACAGCTTATAACATGGCGACTCTGGATCCTGAAGTGCGGCTGTATCAAAGGGAGGTAGTTCAGAAGATCAACGACAAGTATCAATTTCCAACTTGGTCGAGTGATGTGCACGTTGCACCTCTGTACTATTCCATCTTAGATGCTTGGGGGAAGAATAGCGAGCTTATCAAGGATGAGAAGTACTATGTCCACTTCTTGGATTCCGTCTTCGGGTCTGACTTGCGCGTTCTTGGACCGGTGGTGCGGTATGATAAGGAGGACTACTCGCCAAAGTGGAACAGTCCGCCTGTGCCATTCTGTCATCATGAGTTCAGATCTTTCTCAGATGATTGAGTGTCGATACATGAGAGTGGCCTCTAGCTTAGCACGATGAAGTAGAAAGTTAAAGTTTATCCTATTCACAATTCTGACCATGCCATATATCTTGTCCATGAGATGGATTATTAGTGTTGCTAGCCGAGAATGTCTCCAGTAGTAGTTTCAACTTGATAAGCGGCTCCTATTGACTCAATCGCAATCATGTATAGGTGGCCAAGACGATCGGTTGCTCGCTTTGGAATAGGCATGTCCGAGGCAATTTACTAGAATAGTTTGAGACCTCCCAAGTGCTTGAAATTCTGAAGATCTAGGCGACTTCATCTTGATAGTAATCCATGTATCACTGCCCAATAAAGAACATTGGAACTGAACCAAACATCATGGCGATTGATCGAAGGCACAAAGCTCTCTGTTATCTTGCTCTAGTCAAAAGTCTCCCTCACTAAAATAACATACATCATATCCTAGCAACAGAAGGGCCACCTACACTGATGTGCTTATGCATCCTCTTGACAGCTTCCTGCGCATCGTCATTCATATCATGAAACCACAACCAGTTAAACCTTCCCTGCTGCAGCCTAGGCAGAATCTTATCCATATCGGCACCAGCCTCTTCATGCTGAAAGAAGATCATATGACCAACTTCAGCAGCCTGCTCCAGCTGCTTCTGCGCACGAGGGCGCCTAACAGAGTCGTACGCAGAAAGTCCTGCTTTTATATAAGGCGCCAGATCTGCGCCGTGTTCTGACATCTTAGCGACTTCTGCGAGAACGTTAGATAGAACCAGGGCGTCTTCTAGACCTTGTGCTGCTCCCGCGGCTTGGAAGGGTAAGGAGGCGTGAGCGCTGTCTCCGACTAGAGCTACTCGATCACGGAAGTATGATGCTGTGCGGAAATGGTGGAAGAAACCCCATTTCACGGGTTTGGCTTTGGCGAGGAGTTGTCGGAAGCGATTGTCAACGCCTGGGCCTTCAAAGTCGGCCATCATGGCTTCGTGTGAGATCGTCTCCGTAACAGCGCCCTTCAGCTTCCAACCATCAGGGGAATCGGCGACGCAGAGAAGATAATTGAACTCCTGTGGCAAGGAATGGTTAGCAATGTTACAACATGTCAGAGAATGGTAGACTCACATCACCTCCTGTGATACGATAGGTAATAGCGCTGCGCTTTGGTCCGAAATAGAACTTGGCAACGTCGGTTAGATCACCGAGGATCTCGTAGGCTTCCGACATGGGAATGACAGCACGATAGCAATAAGCACCTGCATACACAGGTGCGATCTGGCTGGGATATTGTTCCAGAACATGCGCTCTGACTGTACTCTTGATTCCATCTGCGCCAGCAAGAACTGAGCACTCAGCTGTTGTGCCATCTAGGAACGACAAAGTAACCCCATCAGGCCGCTGCTGGATATTCGTGAGACGTTTGTTGAACTTGACGTTTTCGATGGGGATAAAGCTGGTCATGATGTCGAGAAGTGTCTTTCGATGCGCCTAAATTGTATCAGCACTAGTTTTCCTGTTATTTCTGTCAACAGTACTTACAGATTTACGGATGTAATCGGGGTGGCCCCATCCAGAATGGCCGTACCAAGGCTTATCACGACCTTGTCTAGTCAGCGCAAAAGGTTCAGCTTTACAAGAGATTTCATGACTTACCGAGACCCTCTTCGAGTAGCATACCCTCGAAAAAGATATCCTGTGCTTTCTCACCCTTGTTTCCTACACAAATAGCCTCGTAGAGAGGTCGGAAACCAGGCTCAATGAGGTCCATCGTGCGCATGCCATTAGGGGCGAATCCAATGCCAGCGCTGGATCATGGTCAGCGATAGTTCAACAAACAACACTCCTTGCAACTTGCCCCACTGCCGAATACTCCTTTGCGTCTTCGTAGAGAGTAAATGAGATGCCCTTTTTGTGCAGAGCCATGGCCAAGGCGAGGCCACCAATGCCGGCACCTTCAAAGTCAGCTCATTTGGCATGAATGGGATATACGATGCAGGCTTACCAATGATGGCGACATGGATATCATTGCGGGAAGGCTTTGCCATTGCGTCCTGATTGTCCAAACTTGCGATAGTTGATGGTGAGGTTGTCTGATGTCGTGGTATCTTGTCGTGAGTAACAGGTTTGCAGTGGTTCAACGAACTGGTATATGAATATCGTCATCTACGTCCTTAGCCTCCAACCAAGCAAGACCTCTCTCACGTTGCGCAGCACGATTGAGCGCGGGGCAAGACCGGCACCGGCTCTCGGAGATTTCGCCCCAGAATCAGGTCACTACGATAAGAGTCAACAGAATGGAGAGATGGGGTTAAAGTTGCGGAGGGGAGTGTGAAAAATGTATCCCCGGATCTTTCCCCGGTCGTCGCATCCTCCACTTTCACCATGTCGTTGCGTGACTCGATCCTGAATAGGTCAAGACTTGTGAGACAGTGCAAGTCACAAAAGGTACACTGATCCGCTCTAGACGGGGCGTATTGATACGTTTCGGCTGAGCCGGCTCTGTTCCGCTATCTCCGCGTGTGACACCAAGACACGTACCAGCAGCTACAGACTAGTCCACCGAGACAGCAGTGAGTGCAAGGCCCGAAAGGCAAATGCATGAGCATTTTCGAGAAGTGAGAGGAACAATTGTAATCATTTCAAGATGACTTCAAGCAAGTATACAGCCAAGGTGCATAGGCCTTGGAGAGAAATCGTCACAGAAAAGCGAGCGATTCAAGATGCGCAAATTGAGAAACACTCAACAGCAGGCACGAACACCAGTTTGAATCATATCGTGTCTAAAAAGGTCGATATCGATATCTTAACAAGTCTCTTACGCGATGGGAAAGTTTCAGCCGTCGAAGTCATCCATGCTTACATCAGGAGGGAGGTTAAGATTCACAATTACAGATGTCTTCATGCTAACCGTCACTATAGAGCCTGTGAAGCGCAGAAGAAGGTAGCTCACTTCCTGTAATACTTCGAGGTCTGTCTCTAACATCTGTCATCAACAGACCAATTGCCTGACAGAAGTCTGCTTTGATGATGCGCTCGCGCAAGCTAGAAAGCTTGACGAGTTCCAACGAGAATATGGTCGACTAATAGGTCCATTACACGGTGTTCCAATCACTGTAAAAGACCAGTTCAATATCAAGGGTTTAGACACCACGTTAGGCTACGTCGGGAAGGCTTTAGCGCCAGCAGGGGACGATGCACCGCTCGTACAAACGTTAAAGAAACTTGGGGCTGTCATAATCGCAAAAACGAATCTTCCTCAGAGTATTATGGTAAGGTGGGATGCAAATGCCTAGACTTCACCATCTGACGAGACTTCTAGTGGTGTGAGACTGATAACCCTCTCTGGGGGCTGACAACTCATCCAGATGATCCGAAACTCACCCCTGGAGGCTCTTCTGGTGGAGAAGCAGCTGTCTTAGCATTGGGAGGCTCTATGATCGGTTGGGGAACAGACATTGGTGGCTCTATACGAATTCCATGCCACATGAACGGCCTTTGGGGTTTGAAGCCAAGTGTAAGTACACCTGATTACCTGGCTTACGGGAGGAATGCTAACAAACTTCAGAGTGGTCGGTTGTCTTATCGCGGTGTTGAGGTAACACTTGAGGGGCAACAGCATATTCCATCAGCGATAGGGCCAATGGCGAGGTCTTTAAGCTCTCTCAAACTCGTGACCAAGCTCGCGATTGAGGCTGAACCGTGGGCCATAGACCCTCAGCTACCGCCAGTTCCCTGGAGGGAGGATGTTTTCCAAAACCTTGCGACAAGACGGCTTGTCATTGGAGCAATGCTAGATGACGGCTTGGTAAAGGTGCATCCGCCTATCGAGCGGATATTCAGAGACCTGGTGGCAAAGTTGGAAGCTGCTGGACACGAAGTGATAGAGTGGGATTCGAGCTTGAACTCCAGCATTATTGACATCATGGTGAGAGAGGCTCCTCTACAAAAATGTGACAGGGACTGACTTGGAACAGGGTGGCTACTATTCCGCCGACGGAGGTGATGATATCCGAAGGGCCGTCGCAGCAGGCGGTGAACCATTCATTCCACAGATCAAAGCCTTCGTTAACCGCGGCACGCCAATCTCCGTCTTCGAATACTGGCAACTCAACAAGCGAAAGGTCGCCATCCAAGAGGCCTACCACGATATGTGGGACAACAAGCGATCGCCTTCTGGTCGCTCAGTTGATGTACTACTAGTACCTACCATGCCTCACACAGCGGTCCCCCATGGGTCATGTCGTTGGACTGGATATACCAAGATCTTCAACTTTTTGGATTACACTGCGTTGACATTCCCAGCTGGGAGGGCGTCTAAGGATGGGGATGATGCCTATTTCTGGGAGCATGTTCCGCGGAATGAGAGCGATGCTTGGAATCAACAGTTGTATGATCCTGTGGCGATGGATGGGCGTTACGTTGGGTTGCAGATTGTCGGACGGAGGTTTGAAGAAGAGAAGGTCTTGGGCGCGGCTCAGCAGATTCACAGCTTGTTATAGAAGGATAAGAAGATATCTGCCATGTATCATGCCCATATCTCCACCATATTGTAGTAAGCTCTGCTCCAAGCCTCAACTGTAGAACCATACCCAGCTTTCTTTATCATCTGTGTTGGTGGTCCCTGCACTTATTCCTCGTGGCATTCCTCCGTACGAACCCTGCTTTACATACACTCAGGCAATGTCCAGCTATGGGACCTTGACATAGATGAAAGTTTATATAAGTGCAATGCTGAATGTTTGACCAGTCTTCTTCAATACATAGTGCCTAAGCCTAGACGATTCAACCACGATGGCCATTCATAACAGGGCGTCTGGTTTGCAGATCAATACTCCTTCTCCTAATCTTCTCAACCGCTCCAAAAACACTAGCCACCAATTCCTTCTTATTCACCTTTCCCATAGCATTCCGCGGCAACCCTTCAACAATCTCCATATCCTGCGGAATCTTATATGCCGTGATTCTCGGCTTCAGCGCGCTCCTCAGATTCTGCAGACTCATCGATTCACCAGTCTTGTTGCTGAGAACAATCACAGCTGCGACTTTCTGACCCCAAGCTTCAGATGGTAGACCAACGACCGCGCACTCGTCGACTTCGGGGAGGGCAAGAATCTCGCGCTCGACTTCGAGGGCTGAGACTTTCTCACCACCTGTCTTGATTATATCTGCACTTCGACGGCCTTGGATGAAGTACGCTGGTCCTTTTGCCCAGGAGCCTGATTTTCCGAGACCAGATTCTGTCACTTCTCGTCGAATGGCGATATCGCCTGTCTTGAACCATCCATCGGTAGTAAACTCCTTCGCAGTAGCTTCAGGGTTGCGCCAATATCCCTTGAACACAGTAGGGCCACGAAGTTGAATCTCTCCAATACGCTCCTTTCCAGAGTGAGTATCGATCTCGGCACCATGTTCAATTACGGTTTGAACTCCAGTTTCGTCATCAGTTTCCATGAGACGCGCTTTAACGGATGGAAGTGGCCAGCCTACAGAGCCGTCAACGCGGTCAGTAGTCTCAAGACCACACGAGAGCGCCATTCCGACTTCAGTCATTCCGTAACGCTCGAGAAGTACATTTCCGCCCGTGAGTTGCATCCAGCCATCGCGGATTGGTTTTGGTAGAGCTGCTGAGCCGGAGATGTTAAGTCGTAGATTCTTTGGGGATACGGCTATTTTACCGGCCGCTTGCATGTCGTGTGATAAAGACTCATGGGCCTTTAGCATTCGCGACCAGATCGTAGGGACTGCGGTGAAGAATGTGATGGGCGTTTTTGTCTCATCTTTATGAACACCATTCGTCTTCCCAACGTGGCCATTTACTTGTTCGGTTGGTAGGAATGGTGCAGCCAGTCGCGTCCAGACAGAGTTCACGTTGAACGGGTACATGAACTCAATGCTGCTACCAGCCAGCAGCGGTGTGAGAAGAGCGTTGACGGTACCGTGGATGTGATGAAGTGGCAAGACATGCAAGAGCCTGTCATTGGGAGTATATTTCCATGCTTCCAGAAGACACTTTGCTTGGGCTGTGAGGTTTGTCTGAGACAGAACGACACCTTTGGGTCGTGCAGTTGTTCCCGAGGTGAACAGCATCATACCGCCGCGAGGTTCATCTGAGAAGTCACGCAATTTGACTTCTTCCTCAATCGTGGAGATGTTTCGTGTTCCCTCAAGTCCATAGAATAAGGGGGTTCTGTCCAAGCCTTCCATGAGTACTTCCTCAGCCTTGGGAGCATACTTGGCTGAGGAGATGAGAACAAGGGCCTCGCTGTTATTCATGATGTATCTTAGTTCCGGCGCAGGGAAAGAAGGGGCTAGTGGCACAGCAATGGCATTGCATGCGAGGATGGCCAAGAGTGTCACTAAGGGAATATTCATCGGGTTAGTGCTGAGAACAAAATAATGTGGTGGCGAAGTTGGAGTTTAGAGACGCACCAACATATTCATAACCACTTTCCACCATGAAAGCAATTCTCTCGCCCGAAATACTAGTATCGCATTTCCCAGTCTTGATGAGTAGCTGCTCTTTGGCGTGCGCCACGCTATTAAGCAATGAACTGTAGGAGAAGCTTGCGCCAGATTCGTTCTCCACTACAGCGACCGAGGACCCCTCGTGCTTCAGGATAGCCTCGAAGAAGGCTGTACGATGGAGACTGATAGTCATTGTCGATGAATTAGTCAAGTGAGAATATCTTCCTGAACATGCTAAGACAGAGCCTGCGACGTCTTTTGAATTGCTTTAACTTGAAGCTAAGAAACGCTACCCCAAACGTTGAGGAGGGTGATCGGGGAATCAGCGGGGACCGAGCGGGTCATTTTGTCAAATGTCAACTTGTGATTCATCTGACGTTAAATTAGCTAACCCGGGAGATCGGATATGCAAGATCGGCCTCTAAAAGTAGTTCCGATGAACCCGGCATCTGATCCGCCTGGGAACGAACGAGGGTATTAACTGGTCGATTTGTTATTCGACGTACAAGTGAAACCCCAACAATGATTAGATAGGTGAAACGAGACCGTCAGTCGTGCATGCATTTGTCTTCTTGTGATATTGCGTTCCACTTTGAGCACCATGTTCGACGACTACACCCGAGAGGGCTACATCTTCAATGCAGGGCCATTAGGACATATTGAAGGTTTAACCATCACTTCTCGTGGTATTCCAGCTGTGCACTACTTTGGCGGCCTTCCATACGCTCTCCCCCCGACCGGACAGTTGCGTTTCCATGTCCCTCGGCGCCTCCCCATAGACTACCAATACGGCACAGCGACTGAGCCAGGGAAATTCACAAGTGGTGCAGGAATTTGTCCCCAGCCTCTCAGTAGCAATACACCAGACCCTTCTATCGTCAGCGAAGATTGTCTGCAACTAAACATCTGGGTACCAGCTGGTCCTCGTCCCAAAGATGGCTGGCCAGTATGTTTCTATATCCACGGAGGTTTCCTTCAAGTCGGGACAAGCAACGCCAAGCCAGAAGACCTGGTGCCGCTTCTGAGCGAGTCTGCTTTTCGGGCAATCATGGTCCTGCCATCATATAGACTCAACGTGTTTGGCTTCCTCTCGAGCAGGGAATTAGCCGCCGAAGCGAGCTCTCACGGAAAACCTACAGGAAACTACGGTCTATGGGATCAAAGAATGGCTTTAGAATGGACGCACGAGAACATATCCTCCTTCGGCGGCAACCCCGCAAACGTCACAGTCTCCGGTTACTCCGCCGGCGCATACTCAAGTTTTCAACAACTAGCTCATGAGCTATTCCGCGTTCCTGAAGAAAAGGCGATCATAAGACGAGTGGCAATGTTCTCCAACAGCACAGGTGTCAGGCCCAAATCTCTACAGGATCAACAGCTACAATTTGATGAGCTACTAGGCAGACTCAGCATCGATCTGGATCTTCCGGACGAGGAGAAACTTAGCAGACTACGAGACGTTCACCATGAGAAACTCGTCCAAGTTCAAAGCGAAATGAGAATATCAGAGTTTCGCGTCTTAGCAGATAACGCTTTCTATCCAGCTGACCTCATGGATAAAATCAACAATGGAGAATTTGCCAAGAAAATGAAGAACCGCGGTATCACGCTTATGAATGGCGAGTGCGAGAATGAGCATATCATGTATCGTCGCTGGCGCACTCCTCAAGAGTCTTATTCCGCCATGTATCAACGCCTCTCAGCAGAATTCGCCCCAGAAGTTACCCAGAAGATCATGGACCACTACTGTGGACCCTCGAAGAAATTGCCAACAGGGTACACAAACTGGGAGGATTTCTTCGGTCGCGTGTACGCCAATATCCAAGTCCACTATCTTCAGCGCGGCTTCCATAACGCCTTATTCGCAGGGGGTTTTGAAGCCGGTAAAGACGTTTTTCGTTATCGGTTCGAGAGGAGACTTGATTGTGTAGCGGAGAGGATTCCATCTGAGTGGGGAGTTACGCATCTCACTGACATCCCTATTTGGTTATGGGGAGGTGGATACGAAGGGGGTCTGAGCGCTCGGGAGAAAGAGTGGTTGAAGGGTTGGAATGAGGGTTTTGCGGCGTTTGTTAAGGGAGATGAAGTCAATTGGGGAACTACGAAACCTACAGATGTGAGAAGATGGAGGAGTGATGGTGAAACCGATGTTTGGGAGGATTGTTTGTGGGAGGATGGTCTTGAGTTTTGGAGGCTCGTTAATTCAGGGCCTGCAAAGAAAGAGGGAGACACGGAGTACCAAGAACATGACAGTCAACTCTAAGAACAGACCAGGATTTACTCACATAAATAATCATCTCTATTACTATAGATCCCGTATCTCAAGAATATTAAACAACTCCCATTCCACGACGGGTAATGAAAGTGATGCTCCGTCTGAAGACAACTCCACTACCCTATACAGCCGGGTTTTAATTTTTGACTTGGTGATCGGACGTAAGGCAAAGATTGATAGCTGAATATAGTACTGATCTTGCTACTCACTTCAGTATTCTTAATCCAGTGCGTATGTATTGTTGAGTCCATTTCGTATCTCTAATGTCTTGTCACTGTTTTCTGTTCCTGTACAGGCTGAGAATCACCCTGGCCCTGGGAGCAAGAAAACTGCTGATATTAAGCCAGGGTGCTAAAATTAACTGATCTAAAGGTCTATCAAGATATACTAAGCTTACCTTAATCTTTTTATTCCTCAGGATAAGGGTCCTAAGTTTTCTTGCCTCCCCTAGCCTGGTCATGGGTCTGCACTGTACAAACGCGTTATACCAATCATCTTGCCTGTAATTGAAGCCACAAGCCATAATGGCGGGGTCAAGAGCCCAGACTCCACTGAACCCGATAACACTTCGCTGATAAGACCGGGCTCTGGGCCGAGATACCCCGCTAGTTCCCAGAGACCTTTCTATAACACTGTCCAAGTTCTCGCTCGCTTCCCCGAAGGACCCGGCATCTTCGGCTCCCTTTCCCTTCCCATTCTCCAACCCCACATTTTGTATTCTCACGTTAGCTCGTAATGCCAGAACAGTCCAGGAAACCCTCAGACCAGGAGCAGGATCAATCAGAGACGGGTCCACCGACAAACAAGCGAAGACGTATTGGTTTGGCATGCAATGCCTGTCGGTCACGCAAGTCTAGGTATACTACCTTTTACTATCGAATAGTGCCTCAATGGAGCTGACATAATGGTAGATGCGATGGGCAACGCCCTTCATGCTCGTCCTGCCTGTCCCTTGGCTTCGACTGTATGTACGAACCTGGTGATTCTGCCACGAATGTCATTGTTCGCAAAGACTATGTCTCGGATCTCGAACAGCGTGTCAGCTCTGTTGAGCATAATCTTCAACGGTTGAACGATGTTCTCAAGGGCCACCTCTCGCCCTGCAGCAACACAAATACTTCACCATGTCACCACGGAACCATCAACGTCAGTCACTCTATGCCTTCACCTGCACCGACTGCTCCGACCAAAGCGTCAGCGCCATCGGGAGCAGGCACGGGGACATGTGCTACAAGTCTGGAAGAGCCTCAAGATGAGGAAGGTATTCCCAATGGAATGGCCATGACGTTTGTGGAAGAAAAGACCTCTGCGTTCTATGGCGAAGCCTCCAACATTAACTTCACGCAACTTCTTCTTCGCGCCATCGCTGCTGTGCATCACTCACCAGGCGCACCGTCTGCGTTGGACAGAGCCTCTGTGTTGGGAGAAAGTGTTATTGCGAGTGTTTCCCAAAGTAAAAGCTCTCTCGGAGGCTCAGCGACACCACTGGACTCGCTGCCCACTGCCTTACCATCCGTTGAAGAGATGGACACTCTACTCGATCTCTACTTCGATACAGCTGGTGTTGTCTTCCCCTTCATCCATGAGGGGACCATGAGGAGTACATACAACGAATGCAGGCTCAATGGTTTTACAAGAGCTCGCAGAACCTGGCTTGGAACTCTGAACATGGTATTCGCCATGGCGAGTAACTTTGACAGGGACTACACTACATCATCCAAGAAGCGCTTCGAGAGGTCCAACGCATTCTACAAAAGAGCACTGGGTCTTTGCGGCGAACTATCGAAGCGTGTTATAAGTCTCGAGATAGTTCATTACCTGATCTTGGTCGTTCTTCACTGCCAGGGAACTTCGCGCTCTGTGCAAGCCTGGAACAACTACGGCCTTGTTATCCGATCAGCTATGGCACTAGGACTTCACACCGAGTCCACTGAGAGGGCGCTTGATCCTGTACAGAAAGAATATCGTCGCCGGACTTGGGTGGTCATATACTGCCTTGACAAGGTGCTCAGCACTGCTGTGGGTAGACCCGCGAGTATCCCAGATGAGCAGATGACGCGGCGAGAGCCAGCATCTGGATGGTCGCCATCAACTTCTGGCGACGCCGCCGATCTACCCGGTGATTTCTTGGCTGTGTCATTCAAGATGTATCAGGTGATGAGCAAGTCTCTCGTCATTCAGTACGGCGCAAATCTTGATCACGACTCGGACCCTGATGAGATGGCCCATCTCAAAGCCTCAGGTGAACTCCGGAAACAACTTCGGCTCTGGGCGGCGAATCTACCGCCACACCTTCAACTATGCGACGCTGAGTCGGATGTTCTCTCTCAGAACACAAAAGCGAACAGACTCCGTGTTATTCTTACCATGAGATATCATAATCTAAGTATTCTCATACATAAACCACTGCTCAGCGCTACAATACGACATTTATTCCGACAGGATGGCACGGCGAATAAAACTTCATCGTATTTAATACAACTCGCTATGGCGGAAGCGCATGAATGTATCAGGTCGGCACAACTTACAATTGATATTGTTCATTCCGTCATCAGTGTAGATTCCACGAGTAAGAACAACCTTGGAGTATGGTATTTCACGCTCTACTATGGTGAGTTTACCGTGTTAGGGATGAGGCAGTATGCTGATTCTTTCCTTTAGTCTTCACTGCATCACTGGTTATCTGCGGGCGATTACTCTGGGCACAACATGGAGAAACTGCAGTTGACGAAGCATCCGTCAGTCACATGAAGTTCCTCCTCAGCAAAGCAGAAACAATATTCTTGAATCTGGATCACGAAAACAGTCTTGTGCTGAGTTGTCTGGAATATATTCGTAGACTCTCGAGAATGTGCGGGATCAAAGGTTCGTTCCCGATACCCCATGCTTTGAAGTTATCTTGTTAACACAGCTTTAGAAATTGCCCCCGATGCTACATCGGCTATGGTTCATGATAATGGATCGAGTTCTACGGGTTCTGCGGACGCTATGTCTTTCAATCTCGATAACATGGATCCTTTTCAGCTTTTTGCGTCGGAAATGTTTGATCCGGCTATTTTTGAACATTTTCATCAATCGCCTGTTGATGGTATGAGTTTTGTGAATGGTTTATGGGAAGGGTTTCCGTGTGGAGGATGAGACGGCTACCATAAGAATATAGCAAATCTGGACAGCTCATGATGTTATGTTCAATTGATTACAGCCTTCGCAATGAGTGCTGGTGTAACTTCACTTGCAACGACGCTGAACCTATCTGAAGAACTCTTAAATCTTTTCCATAAGAACCGTATATAAAATATTACTCAAGATCCTGACTGTTTGATGCTAAATTTCTCTTTCATTTTAAGACCATCTCCTGATGATGAACAAAAGTTGATTACCCTTGAAGACGGTCTGGACTTCACTAGGCTGTCAGTATGTCTCAGCCGGAATGGGCCGATCTAACTCCCCGGCTTACCCCACGTTACCATGAGTCATGCGGCCCTTGCGGGCTTGACAAGGTCTTACCTGATGATAACTAATTCCTATCTACCGGATCGTAATTGCGGAGCTTCGGTCCGATTGTTAGATAGCCTCTTGTATAATAATTCAATGTTGTTATGCACAAGTTGGACACATCGAATTATATCAATTAATTGGTATCAGCCAGCCCATCAAGTCAGAATAATTCCCCGCTTCTTAGTCCACTCCTCATACCATGGCGCGTCTCGAAGATCCCACTGCTCTTACTCAACTTCCACTGGAAGAGACCGCCCGAGTGCGATACAGCTCCTCTGAGCTGCAAGATTACTTCAAAACTATCAAACTTCCACAGAGATTTCTAGACCTTGGCAATAGCGTGCTGAAAGACCCCTCACTCGCCCGCACAAAAGAACATGGTCTCCCGCTCTTGCAAGCCATAACACGCTATCACACATGCAATGTTCCTTTCGAGAATCTCGTCCTTCACTATGATCCTCATAAAATCGTCACTCTGGACCCCGCAGAACTATACACCAAGATTGTAACACGACGTCGAGGAGGGAGGTGTATGGAGAACAACATCTTTCTCGGCACTGCTCTTCGCTCGCTTGGCTATGAAGTGCGTAACTGTGGTGGTCGTGTCTCACGCGCAATGAGTCCCTACCCAGAAGTCCGTAAGAACCAAAGCGCCACTTACGATGGGTGGAACCATATGCTTCTTCTTGCACTGCTGGGCGATGAATGGTATGGCGTCGATGTAGGCATGGGTTCCATGGGACCTAACCTCCCTTTCCCGCTACAAGACGGCTTCGAGAGTCTCAGCATTGCACCGCGCATGATCCGTATTCAAAAACGCTCTATCCCAGAGACATATGCTACAGTCCCTTCTCACGGGACTAAAACGTGGTGTTATGACGTCTGCTATAATCCAGCGGAGAATGAAAAGACATGGACACCTGTGTATTGTTTCACTGAGACGGAATTCTTACCCCAGGACTATGAGGTCATGTCTTGGTTCACATCGACAAATCCGAGATCATTCTTCACCAGGTACATCACTTGCACCAAGATGATTATGGATGAGGACAAAAAGGTGATTATTGGAAACCTCACCCTGTTCAAGGACACTGTCAGGGAGACGATTGGTAGTGACCGCAAGGTTGTTAAGAAATTCGAGACGGAAGAAGAGCGTATCCAGGGTTTGGTTGAGATTTTTGATGTCAATTTGACAGAGGAGGAGAGAATCAGTCTTCCTCAGGAAAAGAGACTTGGCCAGAGCAAGGAATAAGAGGAGCATGCTTATTCAGATCGGGAGACCATTTAGGGCAGTACATCATGAATTCTGGCAGTGTTTATAAGCACCTTTTGTACCTCAAACTGGTGAAAATACGTAGTGAATTTATCCAGGTAAGAATCGTGCCGTGAACAAGATGTTTGGCCATAATTATGACTTCCTGTCACGCCGTCGACATGGCCTGCGACCAACCCCCATATCTTCACATATGCTCTTTAACAATGGCTATACCCTCGTTCTAAATTTTAGGAATCTCCGACTTCTGTTTCGCTTACCACACGCATCTAGTCATACTTGAGCCAACTCATTAAATATCACAGGATGATTCCATATCAGATATGTCCATATCTTTAGTATCGTTGCTACCGCCGGCCGATACGATGGATGATACAGCAGAGATCTCATTATCCGATGTGTCCGTTTCTTCCCCGCATCTTAGAGATACCAGAACTTCAATGTCGGGCCAGTGTACCCGATCCAGACTCCTTTGAACTACCGACTAAGATGATCATGGGAAACCTACTAAGCTAGCTTCTTTACCCCGCAAATAGTTGACCCATCACTGGGAACCAACGCTAGCAAGGCCCTGGCATGGCAAAGATAAGTATGCCGATTTCGGCTTCTTACCCGGATAAGCCATCGACTCGGCCACTTGAATAAGTAACAGATCAATGTAGGATAGCAAGACTCGAGATCATCTGGGCTCTCAAAGTCATCGATATTTTCTACAAACAATTCTGAAAAGCATAGCGAAATTGAGCTGCTCTTGAAACGCAAATATGACTCCCTGCCGATTACCCCCACCAGTCGATATCCCCAACTCGCCAAACACCGTTCAAGTCTACATCATCGACACAACGAGCTTCATGAGCGGGTTCCCCGCCTCAACGTTCGTGGAACCTCTTGTACCTGGTTTCGACACCATCAACGTCGGATCATACTCGTTCCTCATCAAACACCCCGGCTCCAACACGAATTATGATACCATGGTATTTGACCTCGGCGTGCGAAAGGACTGGGAGAATCTCCCAGAGACTTTTGTCGCCGGCATCAAGTCAAGCGGATGCAAGATTGAAGTGCAAACAGACGTCGCCTCAATTCTGCGCGAGAATGGACAGGATCTAGATGACGTTGGGGCTATCATCTGGTCTCATTGGCATTTTGATCATGCTGGTGACCCACAGACCTTCCCGAGGACAACGGATCTCATTGTTGGCCCAGGGTTCAAGAAGAATATGATACCTGCTTATCCCACTGTGAGGGACTCGCATGTCAATGAAACAGCATGGGAGGGTCGTGAGTTGATAGAGATCGACTTCAAAGGGGAAAAGAGTCTGAAAATTGGCAAATTTGAGGCCTATGACTTCTACGGAGATGGGAGCTTTTATCTCTTGAGTTCGCCAGGCCATGCAGTCGGGCATATATCTGCTCTAGCTCGCACAACTGCTGATCCCCCTTCCTTTATGCTTCTAGGCGGAGACATTGCTCATCACTGTGGCGAGTTCAGACCATCACCATATACCCCCCTACCCGAGATGATTTCTCCAAATCCTCTCGGCCGAAACCTCTCTGCGTGCCCTGGAAGACTCTTCCTCAACATTCACCCCTGGAAAGACCCAGAGAGACCTTTCTTTGACCCAACAACTGAGCCGGGATGGCATCTTGAAGCAGTAGAGGCAAAGGAGAGTATTGACAAGTTGATTGAGGCAGATGCTTATGATAACATCTTTCCTGTCATGGCTCACGATATGACCTTGGGCGAGACCGTGGAATTGTATCCTAAGAAGGCTAATGACTGGATGGCGAGAGGTTGGAAGGAGGCGACACGGTGGGGTTTCTGTGGAGAGTTTACGCCCATGGAGGCGCTGGATGCTAACGGACAGCCTGCGCAGATTACAGGGTCTCATGAGATTCACGAATCGACGGAGGCTGGTTCAAAGATTGTGTCAATTGTGCATCTTGAGTATAAGGGGGAGGAGAAGAAAGTAGAACTTCATAATCTACCGCTATGATGAAAGCTGGTTACGTTTAAATTCAAGTCCTTTTCCTAATGCAAAGAAGTGAATGCATTGCTGTAGTGCGAGGAGCTGTTGAATGTCGCGCAAGTTTGGACGCGACCTAGCCACTGATATGTGAGTTATGGGTCATAATGAATGTGATTCGTAGTAGTTTGCTATGCATAGTTATTCGTACTCTTCTCACAAACCAAATCACTTCGCTGCGATGCGCGTTCGTTCATGATCTCAAGCCAGCTGAGCACCTTGTCTATTCTGATAGTATATGCAAATAGGTCTACTATCTATTTACCAATATTCCTCATCGCGACTTCATTATACCGATCTCCCTGCGGTTTCAAAGCATCAACCAACTTCCTCATATCCTTGACCTCCTGCTCCGTAAGCTCTATATCTCTAGACGCAAAGTTCTCTACCAAACGCTCCGGCTTCGTCGTACCTGGTATCGAAATCATGCCCTGCGCCGCTACCCAAGCAAGAGCAACCTGAGGCAATGTACACTTCTTACGCTTGGCGAGCTCTCTGAAACCATCGGCGATTCTCTTGTTAGCGTAAAAGTTCTCGCCCTGCCATTTAGGAACTGTGGAATGTGTTAGTAGGTATGCATGAACTGGGGGCGGGAAGACTGACTCTGGCGTCTGTAATCTTCGGGGGCAAAGTCTTCGGGCGTTTGGTAGGGGAAGTTCTCTACGAGCCATCCGTGGCCGAGGGGACCGTACGCTATGAATTCGATGTCGAGCTCACGAGCTGCATCGATTAGACCGTCTGTCTCGTGGATTGTTTCGAAGGCGGAATATTCTGCTTGCACCGCGTCGATTCTGGCGACTTGTCAAGTTAGTAATGTGAGTCTTGGTAACTCTATAGATTCGCCGAGATCCCTACTTGAGTTTGCCTTCCGCAGCGTTTCAGCAGAGCATTCAGACAAGCCGATATACTTTGTTTTGCCTTGTTGACGGAGGGAGTCGAGGGCGGGGATGGATTCTTCGAGTGGTGTATCTAGGGACTTCTGTCAGCATATACTTAGCTAGAAAGCATTTTGGAAAGTCGCTGACTCGGATCCATGCGGTGGATATAGTATAAGTCGGGAGTGAACCCAAGTCTTTCGATTGTTCCCTCGATATATGTCTTGATGTGTTCAGCCGAATTCGTCACTGAGCCGTCTTCAAAAGCAGCAATGCCGCACTTTGATGCTACTATTAAAATGGTTAGTCATAAAATACATAGCGCCGCAAGAAGTCAGGGCCGTACTGAAAAGCTTATCGCGACAGTTATGTTTTCTGATGAAGTCGCCCAGGATCTTCTCATTCTTTCCAGGGCCGTAAGAAACCTTGAATCAATTGGTTAGTCGCTATTGGTCAGGGGGCAACGGGACGTACAGCAGTATCCCAAAATGTACAACCCTGCTCCAATGCTTTAAGCAACACGGGCTCGGCCTCATGGTAGCTGAGGTCGTTGCCGAGTGCGAAGCTGATGCCCATGGCACCAAAGCCCGGCGTAGGGACTTGCAAGTCTCGGAAACGCATTGACTTGACCATTGCTGAGGCTGTCTGTTTGCAGGGGACGTGGTGTCGTGTGAGACTGATGAAATTACAGCGGTTTGGTTGGTAAGTGGTGATACAATGCGACGAGATTAGCGTGTCTTTACAAGGAATAAGGGTGTTGAAGACCGTAAAGAAAGGTTTACCGGGTTGCCATTCCGGTTACGCGACATGAGGAGTGCTGATACAGTGTTTCGGCAAGCACCGGGGAACATATCCTGTCGGGGAGCATTCGGCTATGGCGGAATGGGTTATCTAAGCCTGACAACAAGACCTCAGCGATAAGGTTTACAAAATCTGGGGTAAGATCCTTGCTAGCCAAATATGATTATCAGCGTCTCACACAGTATCGCTGGAAACCAAGACGAAAGGCACTGAAATGCCAATTTTTGCAAGCGATGGAACTCGTAGTCTGTTAGCGGTATGGTAACGACAGCATATCCAGTCTCTTGAACAGTTGAATCCTCACATCGGGAACAGCTGAGAGATAGTAGTCTCCGATCTGTATCCATTGCCTTCGGATCTTTCTTCATTGGGTACCAACAAGTATTTGTATCTCTTGTTCAACCTTTAGCATACTCCCTCTCTTGCAAGTTGATTTGAGTCACTAAGGGAGGCGTTCAATATGAGTCTGTATTCTAGCAGAAGGCTCAGTGGTTTGTAAAATAGGCGCTATTGCATGAGTTCGTGGTCTTAATGCCCTATGCTTTCTAAGTACTGTAATTGCTATCTTATTCAGCTACCTGCGCCTTTGGGCGATCTCACCTTACACTATCTAGAGGTCTAGCACTACTCATTTCAACTGATTTCCAAGTGCCTTTGTCCAACAGGCTCAATCCCCTAGCAGACAAATCATGCTAAAGCCGGAAATATCCTTCTTAATCTCAGTGCTGCCAATTCTAATACTGCTTGAGCAGTAGGTCCGTTCCGTAACACCTTCACGAGGCAGAAGGCGTGCATCTGTCCTTCAGCCTTGATGACAGATGCATCAACCCCGAGGCCCTGTAGCCTTTGGCCAAATGCGACGCCTTCATCAACCAGGGGGTCAACCGTTGATAGAAATATACTGGTTGGAGGAAACTTGGACAAGATATCATCCGGGAGATGTGTCAGGGGAGAAGCCAGTGCTGTTTTTCTGTCGCTCTCGCTCGGGATGAACGTATCAATCATCCAATCCATTGTAGCCTCTGGTAGGAAAGGCCCGCCCTTGAATGTGCTGTATGATGGATATTTCTTGTGTGTCACAGTAACAGGAGCCCAGAGAACGATCTGACCGATTTTGGCGGGTAATTGTCGCTGCAAAGACATTTGCATCATGGCAATGGCCATGTGTCCTACAGATGATCAGCACTTAGTCGAAGCTGGCCTATTACACACAACATACCTCCAACACTATCACCAGCCAGAGCAATCGTTTCAACCAAAAGATAATACTCCGTTCCATGACGGATCATATACTCCAGAACTTCATAGCTCTGCTCAAATGGGAACGGAAACGTTCTATGTGGTGCAAGCGTGTAGTCCGGAAAGACTATGGCAGCTCCAGTTCGCCGAGCCAAGTCCTCGACTAACACGGCAAACGATTTGGCACTTGGACATATCAGCTTGATTGACAAAAGTAATATACAAGTAAGGAGTCATGCTTACCTTCCCATGACCCAGCCGCCACCATGGGTGTAAAAGATCATTGGAAGTGGCTTGTTAACCAGAGCCTTTGGTCTAAACAGTGTCACAGATGTCGGGCCATATTTCCCCCCAACTTTAATTACCTGTGTGGCAATATCATCCGCTGGCTCATGGCGCTGTAACTCCTCCAGATTCTCAAATGCCTTGTCTGGACCTCCAAGCTGATGAGGAGCAGGCAGGCCATCAATTGCGGCCGCAAACTTAGCGTTGATGGGGTCGAGATTAACCATGGCGACTGAATGGACCAATGAAAGAGTCTATGAGGGTTGTATCTTCGTCAACGATGAACGGTCATACCTCCAAACACCAAACAGACTTGAGACTATAAGCTTCTCATCTTTCCCGGCTGGGGCGCGGTACTGCTGGATTTCATGAATTTTGGTTCGGAGGTTCGATCTACTTGCCGGAGGTTCCCCAGTTCCCCGGTATCTCTACACCTTTACGCCTTTGCGTGGAGTCTTCCCCGCATCCGCGATGTACGCTAAAGGAAATGGCCCCTACTTAGCTTGGCCATTATCTTGATATAGTTTGGCCTGTCACTTGGGGAGTGTGAGTAAGGGCAAGCTAGCTGTTGCTTGGCGGTACGGTCCCTGGTCGGATGCTGTGGAGATGAGAGGATCTCATTTCGGTACTGGTGTTAGGTGTTGCCTTTGGTCACTGGATTCCGGTGAGGCCTTACAGAGACTGTTTCGACAGTGACTAGAATGCAAAAATGAACTTTTAGTCGTATTATTCTCGCTATCAAGCCGTAAACATATTCCTCGCAAAGCTTGAATGGATGTCTTGCTCGGCGGTCTATCAATACAGGGCTTCTGTATATCTGGCAACATGCCAACTTGAAGTTCCAAAGATGGCGAGTTAGGATATCCCTAGCACCAAGCTCCTGATTTACCGCCTTTGGGTCCCAACCTTCCAGGCGGTCCTTACCTTGTGCAACTCTCGACAGTACGACCTGGACTAGCACAGACCTAGAATGGCCACATCTACCAGCCCATAGGTCTTCTATTCTGGGTATACAAACAGATACAAGCCGCCCGGACTGATGAGAGCCATATCTTCGAGAATTGTCCGCTTAACTTGAGCGGTAGCCGATGAAGCCGAACATATGCTTAGGTTAAGATAGAGTCAATGATACAATATATCAAGCTTTATCAGGTAGCCATAAGTAACTGCAATACGCCAAGATTTCTACGTGGAGTTACATCTAAACGAGATTCTGGGGTCCTCTAACCGAGACCCACGGACCAGATACCGGGTTCGTGGTCGGATATCCCGAGATACCAAACTTGACCCCGGTAACGAGTCTACTGTGCACTATAACGTCCCATTACGAGTAATTCTTATCATGATATACAGTTAGAAGATAGAGTTTATCTTGCATACCTGGTACTTTGGTCGTGGAGCTGCTGTAAGATGAGATACTTATCAGATTCCTTGAAACTGGATACGGACAAATATGTATTACATATCTGTAACTCCAGCGCGGTAATTGGTCGGGGAGATGTGCTTTTTCTCGCTTATACGCTGTAGGCTACTTATATTCTCACCCCCTAATCTGAGTTAGTGGCTTATCCGATCGGTCGAGACTCGTCAGCTTGGAGTTATCTCTCCCTAGCTACAGTGCTAAGACTTTCCCCCGCTTTACCCCAGCATTGCAACTGTGCATACGGAGCACACGGGACCCCTAGCCTAGCCAGGTATATATACCACTATTCACTTCATCCCATCATCTCCAAGCTGCACTCATCTTTCAACAATGGCATCTCCAACAATTTCCTCCATGGACCAGTATACATCTCCCTCCAAAGACGAGAAGATCTCACCTCACCATGGTGAGGCTGGTGGCTCTGATACCGAGAAGGGGGAGTCACGGGAGGTCTTTCAGGAGAACGTTGATGGTGTTGAGTTCAGAACCGTCAGTTGGCAGCGCGCCACTGTGGTCTTTCTCAAGATCAACTTTGCGATGAGTATCCTTGCTATCCCTGGTGCTCTTGGTGCGCTAGGCTCTGTTGGAGGATCTCTGTGCATCGTCGGATACACTTCGCTCAATGTTTGTGAGTACATGTATCAATCTTTTGAGCTTGGAGCTAATGGCTTTGCGTGTAGATACCGCCCTTGTTCTTGGCGATTTCAAGCACAATCATACCGAATGCCACAGTAAGCAGCGAAGCTCCGACCGAGAATGAACAGCCACTTATATGTCTTTAGCACTAGCTGATATGATGGGCCTCATCTGGGGTCGTTGGGGTCGTGAACTTGTCGGTATACAGATCATCGTCGCCCAAGTCCTCATCTCAGCAGGCGGTATAGTCACATCAGCCATTGGTCTCAACGCACTATCCGATCACGGAGCATGCACCGTCGTATTCGCCCTCGTCTCAGCCATTCTTATCACGCTCTTCTCGTCGATACGCACATTCGCCCGCCTGGGTTGGCTAACCTGGTTCGGCTTCATCACATTCGTCCTCGGAGTGTTTATCTTCGTCGTCGCTGTGACGCAAGTCGACAGACCAGCTGCAGCGCCTCAGACCGGTGACTTTGAGCTCGGCTGGGCACCGATTGCGTATCCGAGCTTTGTTGTCGGTATGATCAACGCGACAAATATCTTCATTAGCACCTGCGGCTCTTCCATGTTCTTACCTGTTATATCTGAGATGAAGAGACCGCATGATTATCGCAAGGCTTGTCTTGTGGCTGGCTTCATTGTTGGAGCTATGTATCTCTCTTTCAGCCTTGTCATTTACAGATGGTGCGGGACTTGGCTCTCGACACCCGCCTTCGGCAGCGCTGGTCCCCTCATAAAGAAGATCGCTTACGGCGTCTCTTTGCCCGGACTTATCCTTGGCGTTGGTATCTATCAACATGTCGCTGCTAAATATGCCTTTGTCCGCATCTTGCGAGATTCTGAGCACTTGCAAGCCAATACCTTCACTCACTGGAGCACCTGGCTTGGTATCAACCTGGCCCTGGGGACTGCAGCCTTTGTCGTGGCTGAGGCTGTGCCAATCTTGAACTATCTTCTCGGTTTAGCTGGCTCTCTGTGCTTTGCGCCCTTTAGCCTGGTATTTCCGGCGCTACTTTGGATGTATGACTTCAAGAGTTACAAGACTGGGACTCTGGATCAGAAAGTGAAGTACGCCTTGCATGTGCTCATTATGATTCTTGGATTTTATATGATCGTGGCTGGCACGTAAGTACTCACTTATTCTCCATCTCCTCCCATGCGATGTACTAACCAGATATTCCAGTTACTCTGTTGGTGTTTTGATCAAAGAGGCATTTGACACTGGGGCTATTGCCAAGGTCTTTGACTGTGCCGACAATTCGGGTTTCGTGCAGTAAGATCGCACTGATTGTACGGGTCACATGCGGAGTTATGTGTCGGAGGCTCGTGGTGTTCCAGTTTACGATCTGGTGTTATGTTAAGAAATGGGCGACAGATAAAAGATGAGCAGAGGGGTTAACCTTTGCATTTTCTCGCATGGAACGCGTAGCTTAGACGAAGTCGCCATTTGCTAATTAAACATCTGCATCAACTTCATATGTACTGCCTGGTCAATTGCCCTTGACTGATTTTCTCGTCCTCACATATGGTCCCGGTGACATGAATCGTCAGCATACTGTGATGTAGTCTCTCAAAGCGCTCTTTATCTAAAATAGTTCGAATCTCGTGCCAGCTCCATCCTCATTAAATGACACCCGGAAACACCAGACACAGAATGAAGTTCAGCTTTAGCAAACAATCTCTCTTTGAGCTTGGAAAATACTGTTCTTCGAACGAATGTGCATTATGACCTAATCGATCTCTATCTTGAGCCTCCCAATACCACGGTCAACACAAGCCTGTAGAGCCCGTCCCTTTTCCTTCTCAAGCAGCGCTGTGCTCTTGTAATCAACCTTCCCCTCACAGACTGTGACTTTACAAGCACCGCAAGCTCCAGATTTACACGAGTATAATACATCAAAGCCCGCGTCATTGAGTACGTCTAGTAGTGTCTTGTTTGGAGGAATCGTCATCGTTTCGTGTCTGTTCGAGTCCGGCTCATCGACTTGGACCTCGAAGGCTTCACCAAACTCACCACCTCCACCGTTACCGAAATCCTCAAAATGAAGCATGTGTTCTGGATATCCAAGTTCATTGGCAATATTTGCACATTCTTTCATCATGCCTGAAGATCCGCACGAGAATATGCGTGCGTTGTATGTCCCATTGTGGCTGGGCTTCGGTATGACGTTTCTAATATCGAGTCGTTCACTCTCTGATCGACAATAAAAAGTGGTTTTGTCTTTCGGAAGTTGATCAAGAAAGGCGGCCTCTCCAATACTTCGAACGGCATAATGAAGATGGTATGGCAGGCCTTTGCTCTCCCAGTCACGCATCGATGGGAGAAAGGCCGTTATTCCGATCCCTCCGACGATCAGAATACGTGTCAAGCTCTCGGTGCATTTTTCGTCATTTTCTTGCGCACCAGGGTTTATTCCAGGATACATTTCAATCTCGTCGCCAATATTCAGCTCGTTGTGTAAATAGGCCGAACCTCCTCGTGATTGTCGATCGAGAGACACGCCCAGGCTAAACTTGTATATATCGCCGTCGACAATCGAGTACGATCGCTCAAATTTGGTTTCGCGTCCGAATATGATCTGAGCAAAAGCGTAAGGTTCGAATGCTGGGTTGGCAAGAGTTAGAGGCTCCTTCAAGGCAAATGTGAGCATCCTCACACGCTCAGCGACGAGGCGAGCGTCAACCAGAGTGTATGTCTTTGGAGCACTCCTCAATCTCTCTTTAGCAATATCCAGAAAGAGATCTGTCATAGGAAGTTGCGTGCATTCCGCCAACAGATGAAGGGAGACATTTCTCGCTCTGATGACGCGCTGGACGTTCAAGACAGACCATTCAGGATACGGTCGATCTAGTAAAGAGATCGTGTCTCCCTTACAGATATTGCCTGTTTTCAAGACCCGCATGTTCCAGCCTGCTCGTCCTGTTCGTATCGTCCGTTTTAGAGCCCTCGGCCATTTGAATCGGGAGTTGAGTTTGAAGCACGGATGACGTGGTTCGCTAACCTCGAGAAGAACGTCTTTGCCAAGTTGGTATATGTCGCCGATACAAACATTGTCGTCGTTCATGTTCGTGGTGACAAGATTCTCGCCGTATGCTCCGACATCGTACAGATCTGGCTCTGGTGGGTTCTCGGCTCGCCAGTCTGGGTAGTGGTCTGGGTTATACTGATGCACTGCGCGCTCTGTGCCGCCGTGTCTGCTGGAAGCGTGTTCGTCCCCCAGCACGCCTGTCGCACTGCAGAATATAGGTCCATCATGTTGCTGTTTGTAGATAGCAGATGTGATTTCACCTCCAAGGGCGCCTTTCTTGACTCTTCCTGCTCTGACTTGCAAAAGAGCTCCGGGACTAGGAATAGGGGCAGGATCCAGATGGGACACAGTCTCCTTCGGGATATTTTTTGTTGACGGAACACCCATTGTACCCTAACTTATCCAAAAAGAATGGCTGTCTGTATTACTCAATCGACACATCCTCTTGTCATATGAAGTCTTATCGACAAAACCGCTGTACTAAAATGTATGGCTCTCTCCATTTTTTTTATTACCCGACCGTTACGCGGAAGTTCCGATGACACCGGGTAACTTACGGAAACTTCCGCGATGCTTGACCGCAGTGATCGTGGTTAGACCAGTGCTCTTGTCCAATCAATCTCGGAATAAAGTGCGATGACTAATATTACATGCGGCCCTCGAGATAGTTGGGGAAGCGGATACGGCATTCGGAGAGGCAACTCTTACGGAGAGCAAATATTCCGCTAGCTACAGGGTAGGTCACCCTCGAAACAACGCTCTCATTACGGCCAAACAGTCGAATGAAGGTACCACGATCAACGCAAAGGAATATAAATACCACGAAACCCATGATAAATCATGACTAACAGGAGCCTTGGCGGTAGTAGTATGAGTGAGCGTGCAAGCAACATTAAACATATTAAGGGAAAGATATCGTGAAAGTTTACTGCAACAGAATGGTTATAGTCGGTTAAATCATGTGGCATAACAGCAATGTCCCAGTCGAGTGCAATCCTTACATGCGGAAAAGGGTTTTCATTGGCCAGTGAAGGTTCGCATACTTAAATACGAATATCCACTGGTGTAATATAATATACTTCCGCGATTTCCGTATTGGATCCATTCTTAAACTTTCTTTCGAAAGGACATAGTAATGTGACCGCCAGACAAACTTTAGCTCTCGGTCAAATTCTACTTGGAAAGGACGCATGTTCACCTATAGACTTCTCAATTGCGAGGGCGAAATGAGAGAAAAGATCTGCCATGGCAAGCGAATCTGCCTATCGATTAATACATACTGTTTCAACATCCAGCTCTATGACTGTCCACTAGCCATAAATCCTGTGTTAGGCACAAATCTTGTCAAACTGGCAGATATATACAAGGCTTAGTAAAGCTATAGATCATGAGGAGCCGTAATCAAAAGCACGGCAGTTCGAAGTGTCAGTTCATTCCTGTCAAGTGGGGGGAGTAAACGAAAGGTAATTCCGTGGAGACAAGGCTAGAGCAACGCAACTACCATAGATGGAGTGGATCGATTCATCTCCTGGTTTCACAATACCGCCTTGTCACCCTTGTAATACATGACGAGAGAGTCAGATCATATGGTAGTTGGCTCATGCTTTAAGGGGCGGTGACGAAGTGGTGATTGAAGATTGAAGATAAAAAGGGATGCTCTTCCTCCTTGAAATCGATCCTGGCTATCATCAAGCAGCCTTCTTCGGTTTATATCCTCTTTGAAACAAATAATCACAATGGCAGCTACTATCAAATCACTCGTTCTTAGCTTCTTTCTCGTCCAAGCTGTACAAGGGTACATATTCTATCTGCGATTCCCTTGTATTCACATCCATACTAACACAACAGATAAGTTCAAAGGACCATAGCAGTCACAACTGCTGCCTGCACACTCCTGAAGGATGGATCCCCCGAAACGATTGGACCAAGGCTGTCTGTGCTATGCGCTGGGGTTCTGTCGTAAGTACCTAATTTCAGTATTAGAATGATGTGTTGACGATATTATCAGGCGACCTTTGATGGTGTTAAGTGCATCCAAAAGCCAGGAAATGTTATCAGCGGTGATGACTTCTATACTGCGTGCAAGCTGTATGGTGCTACAAATGGCTATGGAGATGACTGGGAGAAGGGTGCAGGATATCGTGGCACTTGCTCTTAGGTCTGGATGTCTGCGGTGAATATGGGCTTTTCATCGGACACTCCGGTTTTCTCACTTGCCTCACCAGAGTTATTATTTCTAGTACTAGATATAAACGCGAGGTTTGATAAAAATAGATGGATTGCTTTCAGATTGTAGTCTTTCTCAACAAATCAAGGTGGTGTGTACTTGCGAATCCCTCTATCTGAGAATGTGACAGGGGCGATCAGGCATGTTGGTTCTGTTATGTTGGAAGCCTAATAATTCATGCCACCATGTCCTTTCCCCTCTTTCGTTTTTATGTCTCTTTCTTACCCAAGATAATCATCAGCCAGCTCATTCTACCGGAAGTAACGACACAAGTAGATATGGAGTCGACAGAATACGATGTACTACCGTACGGAGGATCAGTCGCAGAACTATACGACACCGCTGCTGACACCAAATGACATAGAGAGCGGGAGCCCATACCAAATAGGGAATGGGGTGCCAGCATTGTCATATTTCAGCAGAGACTCATCATGAAGTTTGGTAGAAAGGTCCGACCCGTCGAAGCCCATAACATGCTTTACGTGGCAAGGTATACTACCATACCAGTACCCAAGGTCTACGCCATCTATCAGAGAAACGTGAAAGAGAAAACCATCACATATATTCTCATGGAATATATACTAGGAAAGTCGCTAGTAGATTTGAGGGACGAAATTGATCAGACACGCAAGACATCAATTGCCCGTACACTTCGCTCATATTTCGATCAGCTCCCACAATTGTAGCACCCCGGATACTTTGGCACAATCCACGGTGGTCCACCAATGCAAGACGACGTTACAGAGCCATTCCAAACCGAAAAAGAGTTCGTCGATGCTATCATTCGATGATACGCAAATGAGCTTGGCCCAAGAGGAGCTCACAAGGTTCGGTACTACCAACGGGTTTTCCCAACCATCTTCGACGGTGATGATAGTCCCGTATTCTCACATAGCGACCTCCAAAGGAAGAACATTATGGTATCGGACGATGTTTATTCCCATTAATTTCACAGTAACCTATGGTGGACATGTCGGCCTGTCAAATAAGATGGCTGGGTACCTGGTCTCAATCTCTAATGCATCAAGGTGAGTCTTATCCACCTGCCATGGAGGTATTGGCTTCAAATGTCTATCAACACGAAGTTGACTGCAATAGTGGAATCGGGCGTATCCTGCCGGGATGTATAGCAGATAAATTTGGCAGCTTCAACGTGTCAATAGCAGCCGCAACTCTTTCAACGATCTTCATGCTGGCATTGTGGCTGCCGGGCATAGCCATGAGTCAGCTATCGCTTTTGCCGCCTTGTTCGCATTTAGTTCCGGCACGTACACAGCTATCAGCCCTGCATTGGTAGCGCACTTTTCGGACCTCAAAGAGATAGGCACCCGTTCTGGGACCATGTACGCGTTCATGTATGTGGCTGCCCTCACTGTCCGCCCAATTGGGGGGGGGGGGGGCTTTGATCTCGAGCGCAGACGGGAGCTATTGGAAGCTCCAAGTTTTTTGCTGGCCGTATGCTTGGTGCTGGGACAGCGTTTTATGCCGCTGTCCGGCTGTACCTAACGAAAGGCAGGCTATGGGAGAAAGTCTGATGTCTCCTCTACTATAGTGTGATGTTGATAGAAAGCAAGTAGGGGCGGAGGTTATCGCCACTACCAATTGGCACCTCGATGTCATTGATAACACCAGTCAATGTAAGCATCCATAAATAAATAGAAGTTCGGTCCTTTCGTTCTACGCTAGAACCCTCTAAGCTTGGGGTAGAGTGCCCGTGACAACGTTGCGTTGCGATTGGGGAGGCTACACATAGAAACGTTGCAGCTAATACTTTCTTAGGCAAGAGCCAATCAAGAAGTAGTAATGTCAGCCTCCAGGGGAGCGCCACTCGGTAAATGCCATTTCCTAACCTACGCTACTGCTAGCAGTACCAATTCCCAAGAATCCAAATCTTCCTAGATGATCAGCATCATGGATGTTGGAGCTGTAGCTCTTGTGTATACAGAAAAGACATTGAGCAAGGCGATTAACATCAGTGCGTGAGTTGAGTTCTATGGGTTTGATATTCTCGTGTCTACTCATACTCAAGGCCAGCTAAACTTGTCTCGCGTCATTGGCTGCGGCAACGCTTCCAACACCGACTTCATCACACAACCCAAGCAAATGGCCCCAATGTTACACTATAATACACAGCCACTAGCCAGTATATTACACAATGGCAACTCGTCAGATAGTTGTGATCTTGCGAAACTTTCCATTATATCCTCTTATAGCCTTTTGTAGCTAATTTGGGCTCTGGTTAATCTCATTCAGATATTCGGTCCTTTACCTTGGAGCATTTACGGTTGATGCCGATTGTCGTATTGCAGACCTTTAATGCCCGCTGTCGCGAGGGTCTCGCAATTTGGATATTGCCATTCCCGACTATAAATATCAGTTGATTAATTCCCAGGACCAAATGGATCAACTCGACAGCTCCCAATCACACAAACACAACAGTCCAAGACATCTTTATTTCTTCTTCCCTGCCGCACCATCGTCCCTACGACAACGATTACACAACTCTTCATCATGCTCTTCAACAACCTCATTGTCGGCTTTGCTCTCAGCGTCGCTGCCAGCGCCCTTCCCCAGGCATACCCCAATAAGTGTGGCGACCAAGTCTGCCCTGCGGACAAGCCCAAATGCTGTGAGGTCATTGTCAACGGCGTCGCTGAAATCGGATGCTTTGAGGAATGCCCTGCTCCGCCCTCAGCCCAAGCAAAACTTCGGCCCCGCGAGCAGCCCGCGGCCACTACGGCAGCATCCCCGTCCATTCCCACCTTTGGTCCCAAGTGCGGAGACTCTTTTTTCTGCCCCGTGGGCCAAGTCTGCTGCCCTGATGCCCTCTACCACTGTGCAGACCCTGACAAGGTCAGCCAAGAGTGCCCTCAGTAGTTAGCGAAGGATGGCAAATTCGCAAGCTTTCTGAGCCAGTAATAAGACAGTTTGTTCTGAAACTAGACTGGGCTGCTCTTGCAACATCAAGGGGGACTGGGTTATTTTTGGCCTTTTTCTTCTCTACTTCGTTACATCTCTTGTGTCACTATATGAAAATCGGGGTATACAATGGGGTTGCCATGACTGTAATTAGACTTTTTGCTTGCGGAGCGGCAAGGGTATGGTTTGGTTACAAGATAATTTCTTCAATAGAACTCATTGTATTTTCCATGATGCCATTACAAATTTGCAGTAATCTGATGTCAGACACAACTCTCAACCCTCAATGCCATCGCCCTCACCTTCGCTGCCTCCAGAACCCCGGAAGCGAGCTACAGCTTGCGTTTTCATCATAAACAAATAGGGGGTTGCTGTAGCCCTTGGACGGTCCAAAGGGAATGAACTAAAGGAGAGACTATGGCTAATTAGACCAGCCTCAGGAAGGGACCGACCGCGTCGAACTCGGGTATTTCGAATGATAGAAAATGGGCGGTTGATTGAAGGTGGAAGAGGCATAGGTTAACTTCAATACCATAATTAAGGCTGCAGTGATATGCTATTTTAAGAAAAGTCTTCAATCGTTTACATGTTCCTCTAATGTTTAAAGCGCCAAAACCTAAAGCGGTGAGAGACTGATCTTTGATTTAGGCCTGCCAGTTCCTGTAGATCCTCGCTTGCCTTATTCTCGATATGCTTTTGTCCTACTTCGGTTTCATTGATTACTGCTGGTATAGTTGTGGTATATACCTCCGTCACTCTCTCCTGTACAGAGTCTGTCGCGCTTCTCTGGGCCTAACCGAGCGAATCAAATTAGCACCAGGGGTTCTGTTGATAGAGGAAATGACTTCAAATGAGAAATGCTTACCTCACGATGTAGTTTGTTGAGTTCAACCTCGCCAAACTCTGCTACCCTCTTTCAAGGTTATTGAAGCAGCTTTGGAATTCTCCTCTAGCGGTGTTGGTTTCATAGCATCTGCCGACTCTTATAATTTTGTTTCGTGAAAATGGAAGTCATAACACTTTCTTCACTTGGATGGTTGTGTCTCATAAGCTTGGTGTGCGGGATTACCTGCGCGCTAATGATTCCGGATGTCAAGGTGAAGGAAAAGTTTCAAGCTGGTATTACCATTCTCACATTATCTGGCTCTTGGGTCAGACACAGCAAGGTGGCGAAGCTACTGGTATTGTCTGGTAGTAATGATTGGATAAATGAGAGGGCTGATGGTCCACAGACCCTGGAGAAGTTCAAATATCCAGGAGTTATCTCACACGCAAAGACCTTTGCGGCGCGAGAGCTGGCCGCTATATATGGTCATGAAAACGCAGTATTTGCCTTCCCGTCCACCAAGAAAGACGACCTTCTCCACGCCATGTGGTGCGCATGTGCATTGGGAAACCAAAGCATGGCCGAGACGATATGGCGCCATCACAAGCAGAGATCATATTTCAAGAGACATGCAAACCCAACAAAGATGGTCAGCACGTTCCACGCACCGCCACTTCACTTAGCTGTCACTTCCGGAAATCCTGCACTTGTCGCATATCTGCTTGAGCGTGGTTTTGTTGTCAATGATAAGCGAACTGCCGACCGCTCGCCGTATAGCTCTCCTGCGCACTATGCCGCTATAACTGGCTCTGCAGAGATTCTTTATCTCTTGAAGAGTAGCGGAGGTGCAATGACGAGCTTGGACTTCCGGAACCGGACTCCGCTTTCCTATGCCGTTGAGTATGAGCATTCAGAGGCAGCTCTGTTTTTGGTGAAGCACGCGCCTATATACCAAAGCACTAGCAAAGATGCCGTGACGTTCCACCTCGGTTCAGGTCATCGAAAATATGTAAAAGGTTGGAATGTGATAAGTAAAGAGATAAAGGATATTCTCAAACAGATGGGGATATAAACAAGGTTAAATACTAACATCTTAAGTTATAAAGAATATAAAGATGTTATTGATTACCTGTGAAGCTATAATCCTTACAGTTGCCAAATAAACAGCAAAGCTTATCTATATTGAGAGAATGACTTAAGATGCTAGACCAGGTTGGTAAATCAATACAGTACGCAATTATTAGATCGTCTGAGATTGTTCATAGACGTTGACAAACATTATAAGCGTAGTTATATGCCGTTCTGATTGGCAGTAAGTTGCCGCGCCAGCAGCTAAAAAATAGTAAGCAGGGTCTAAAGGGCCCGAAAAGTCTCCGCAGCTGATTATATCAGCCTCGTCGTATCCCGATAAACGAAAATATTACAATGCACAAGAACTACACTTTTCATAGCGACGACTAAGATGACACGGAATATTCTCATCGTCGGTGCTACTGGCCAGCAAGGCAAAGCCACCATCCACGCGTTATACAAAGCTCTCAACGAACCATCTCAACAGCAAGACATCAGGATTCTTGCTTTGACGAGGTCCATCGCATCTCCAAAGGCCCAGGCACTTCAAACAGAGTACCCATCAATCACCCTTGTGCAAGGAGACATCCAAAAACCGCAATCCATTTTCGAACTGCACCCTAACATCTCATCAATCTTTATCGTCACAGTCCCACCAAACGATGAGGCGCAAGCACTGCCTCTCATTGAAGCAGCAACAGCGCATCTATCAGTTGATCACATCGTCTTCTCCAGTGTCGATCGTGGAGGCGACGAAGTTAGCTGGAGCCAACCAACTGAGATTCCTCACTTTGCCGCCAAGCACCGCATTGAGCTCCGACTACGGGAATTATGTGAAGAGAATAACAAACAATGGACGATTCTGAGACCGACTGGATTTATGGATAGCTATAACCCTGGTTTCTTTGGTCAGATGATGGCATCCCTTTGGGCTAAAGGTATGCCAAGAGATCGCAAGATGCAACTGGTTAGCACTCATGATATCGGCGTTTTTGCAGCAAAGGCGCTTTTGAACCCGGAGGCTTGGGCGGGAAAGGCACTAGCATTGGCGGGTGATGAGTTGAGCTTCTCTGAACTTCAGGAGATATTCCGGGAAGTGGTTGGAGAGGAACTACCACAGACTTATAAGGTTGTAGCATACCCTGTCCTATGGATGGTCAAAGACGCGTCTAAGAGCTTCGAGTGGTTCAGGGATGCGGGCTGGAAGGCGGACATCACTGCCTTGCGAGAACAAGAACCAGGTCTTCAAAGTTTTGCGGCTTGGCTCCGAGAGTCGAGTAAATGGAAGTGTGTTTAAATCCAAGGTTTTGGGGTTTTCGGGTAACAATAGATCTGTAGCAGGTGCAATTTGCCTTTTATATCGATAAAGATAGTGAAGAATTCCACCATTTTAGTACCAGGAGTTTTAGCTGAACCTCAAAGAGGCTTCCGTCCCCATACAACCTTCTGCCTAAAATACGAGTGAATCTTGGGCGATCGGATTTCACGTCTGAAGTGTGAGATAAACACAATGACCTCTTCCTCAGTCCAGCCAAGCGCAGTAGCCATATGAAGCACAGTTCCCTGTGCGTCTTGTTCAAAAGCAGCCTGCATAAACTGCCCAACACTTCGTTGCTTTGGATCCTTTGGCCAGCCTCCAACTGGGTTCTATGATAACATTAGTCTGTCCTGACGCTGACCCTAGGTTGAAGACCTACCTTGAAATCCCTCTCTTCTATGTCCACAAACCCCGCTTCTCTCATACCTTCTCTCTGGATGTTTTCTTCGAATATCGTAAAAGGTCGACCGATCTTGCGTCCACCTTCGACGAAGAACTTCTCCCACTGGCTTAACGCACTGCCTGGTAGAACTGTACCGTCATCGCTTTCGACACGCGAGGAAGGCTCGTAGCTCTCGATATAGCCCCCTGGTTTGAGGCATTTATAGGCTTCCTTAAAGAGTGCCTTCCAATCTGCGATGCTTCCCACGAGCCAGCGCATATGAATGTAGTCGAAGGAGTTGGGCTGGAGAGTCCATTCTTCGGTACAGTCTTCAATTTGGCTGGGATAAAATGGTATTATCAGTACGAGTTAGACGAAGATCTCATTCTTGGTTCGCGAGTGCTTACAACTCTAGATTTGGTGGGATCCAACCAGGTTGGATCGGCGCAAGATCAGTCCCGATGACGGAAGCATTCGGGAACCTGTCAGCGAACTCCCTTTGTATCATGTGAGCCTGAGTTACTCTTCAGTTCCATGGGTTAGCGTGAGCTTACATGGCCCAGATACCTATCAGATTGTCAATTACCCAGTCCAGTATTCGTGTAATTTACTTACCCGTTCCCGTTCCAATGTCCAGAGCTGTCTGCAATGCCATGTTAATCAGCACAAATCACGTTCGTACTGGGTCCACCTACCTGAATATCATCCGATATTGGCGCCAGGTACAGCTTGTCATTCATTAAGAGAGTGAGTACATGGTGGCTACACGTGAAAGTCGTCAGCTAGGATCAAAGCCATCCTAATCAGACTAACTTGATATCCATGGCTTCTTGGCCAGTATCGTCGATAGGACCCCTTGTCGCAGTCAGTCATAACAACCATGCTTCATCACTATAACGCACCAGTATTCGGGATTTCCCCGCTCACTCTGGTATGCTCTCCCATTGATTGTCCTATACTGAAGGATGCTGGATGTCAATGAGGCTGTTGAGCTCGCATTGTCAAGCACACCTGAGTCGTCATCCTCTGGCGCGTTTTCCTCCTTTGGCACAACCCAAGTAAGCAATAGCATTTCAACCACATTGTGAAGCTCACCCCTGGCAATTGAGACCAATGCTCTGGTGGGAGAAGACCGCTTTCCGCGGTGTCTGCAAGTGGCGGCGTTGACCCAGCTGAACCCGAATCCGCAGGCTTCTTGCGCGTAGGCGACGACATCTTTTGGTGTGGAATATCGAAGAGTGAAGAGAATTGAGAGCGACCTAGTGGACTGAGTAAATGATCATGATATTTGAACTGAAACTGCGGAGTCAAAAGTCCGATAATCCATGCATACTGATGTATCAATATGCGTTCAACCAACAACAGTGGATTGCTAGCCAATTGTATGTCTTGGAAACCCTTGCAACATGCATGCACATGCCGGAGAACTGGTCCGATATACATAAAATACATCATGTTATATGCTACTGAGTTATTTTTCTTGCGCAGATGTAACATGTGAGGAATGCTATTTGCTACAGAGGCGTTTAATGGTGTATTTACTGGTGCGCTACCCGGATTCGTTGTAATCAATGTGGCTGGCAGGAATAGCCTACAGGTGCGCCATGATTAGAGCAATCACAATGTCAAGTTTTATGTTCGTTATCATATCAGGATGTTCGTCAATGCACCACCGAACAGTGCCGAATGGCGAAGGTTGGTGAAGAGATAGAGGGCCACCTGTGACAGTGGCTACGACGTGGCGTGATGCCGTGTCAATCTTCGTTTCGCGGGCCGGGAAATTCTCCCCCGAGATGCAAGATTCGTCATCGATGAGCTTCTAGTTCCTTTTTATAGGAATTGGCTCCCTGGTGTTGAAGAGCGAGAAGATGCATGATACCTCCGAACAGAGAGGGGTGAGAGTATAGTATAGCGGTGAGGGTTGGAGACGACCTTGAGAAGGTTCTTCCTCACCACTCTCTTAGTATTGGCAATGAGAAAATGGCTTGAGGCTTTGTCAGCGAGATAAAGACTGGAAAGGGCGAGAAGATGAAAACAACTCAGGTATTGGTTGTAAGGAATGTGACACAGCGTGTTCGGCAGGATGCCAGAGGTAATGTATACTTCTCCTAGGTTCTAGCCTCAAATAACACAATGATATCAAGCTGAAAATCGGGGTCTTCTCACCTTGATAGACCCGGAACCTGAAGTTACTGGCCATACACTAAGATCTGCGTCGTTTCCTCGGTAGGGCCTCGGCAAGGCCCTGGCAGGTCCGAAGTCCTATCCCTGTACTTATCATAGAAAAGAAAACGCATCATCCAAGAACATTGACTCGTCATCGGTCGGACTTCTTACAACCCCTAGTCCGAAAAGAATTGTGATGCTTGTCTTCATGCGTGGATGGCTTTGCGAAACGTTAAGAGATACTACATCATTTATTAGAATTGGAAAAGGGAATGTGCATAACATCAATATATAAGAATGGACTGCATTTTGGAATTTCTAGATTGATTGTAGTAAATATATAGAAAAGTTGTATTGAACTCTGCAAATGACTATGCTAGGGGTTGTTTTATAGAAATCTTGGAAAATCCTCCGCCGTGTTTAACGAAACGCTTAATCTCTTCCAACGCAACCTCAGCAGTATCTTCCACTACACGGACCGGGGGTAAACGAAATCGCGTTCCGTAGTTCTCAATAGCCCAGTTCAAAGCTTTCCAAGCCTTATCATGGTCCGCAGGCCGTGCAGGAATAGAAATAGGATGAGGAGCTTCTGTAGGATGAATCACAAAGTCAACTTTGCTCACGGCAACGGGCATCGCGAAGCGTTTGCTTTCCCGGATGACTGTAGAAACAACCATGGTATCTTCCGATACAGCTTGTAGCATCTGATCGCCTGAGTTAGGAGCTCCCGCTGCGTCAAATGCGTATAAGAACTTGTCAAAGCGGAAGTCCCGCAGAGTTTTGGCGATAGACTCGTGGACGTTCTCATCTTTATAGTCAAATAAGTGTTCGACTCCAAGAGATCGGAGATGTTCAAATTGCGCTGGATTTGCTGTGACAAAGATGGGGGAGACACCACTTGCGATGGCGAATTGAAGGGCGCAGTATCCAACGGAACCTGTTGCCCCCCAGAGCAGAAACGGAGTCTTGTAGGCAGATCTTTCCTCCTGCATAGGGAGAGGAAATTTGAAGTGGTTGTATAGAGCGTCAGCTGCTGTCATGGCAACAACTGTCAAACTCGCTGCATCGGGTAATGGCAAGTTATCAGGGACTTTGAACAGCATATCTTCCGGGCATGTGATGTAAGCTTGATGAGCTCCATAATTGATAGATTGATGAAGACCTGCGGGCGTGTATCCGGCCACAATATCTCCAGGCTTATAGAGAGAGTTTGGCTTTGTAGTCTCAATGACTTGACCGCTAAAGTCATGACCCATAACGGTATTGTTCATTCCTAGGAAGGTCGCATGCTTGATGTCGGCAGGATTGACGCCCGAGTATAAGACTTTGATAAGTAATTCTCCGTTGCTTGGTGTTGGAAGGCCTTGTCGTTCGATGACTTTGGGATTGTTCTCCGAATCAATGAACAGTGCTTTGGTAATACTCGCGGCAGTCATTTTGATTGAATGTGGATAAAGTTTGAAAGGCAGATAAGGCTTTGGCTGAGAAGTAATTGGAGTTTTGTGAATTGAGTTTATGCGTGAAGACATCGTTTATAAAGCAAAGCTGAGATACATGACCTCGGTGTTTGAAGATTTCCATCTGCCGATTACATAATCCTGGTAAGTAACCGGACCAGCAGAAATATTCAGTGCGAGGGTCTAGTTTACAGCTCAAACACCAAGCTGATGGGGTGATTTGCGGAACTGGAAGTTGGTCTGAACGCTAGTGTTGATGCTTGTGGCGCATTTGAAGCGGATTGGGGACTGATTGGAGACAATGCAGAGGACAACGCCAAGAACAGCCTCCATTGGCATATATGCCTTGATCAACTGATTCAATCCCTCGATGATCTGACGTTTGTTGGTTGTATTGGTCGGCAGCTGGAGGCTAAATTCGGGAGGTCGCGGCGCTAGCAAGACATGGATGGTGACAGGATCAACATGGTGCTCGAGTCCGCGCACCTGAATATGGTGGCCTATCTGTGACAGGGTACGATAACTTAGGTATTACTCTCTGAACCTAAATCTGCAATGTGCCGTTTACGCCTGTTCGCAATGCTTGTGCAGGATGGGCCATATTTCTATCGCCTACCTACTAGTCCTGAACATCCATGACTCGGGACTCTTGTCCTTAACGGGAACGATTATATTAATTTATTTTCAAGACTGCTGGTCAAAAACATAACCTCATATGGCTCATATCATGAGCCTTCATTGTTCATACGCTCTTGATAATTTCCGTGGACGAAAATAGACGCCTACTAGTTCAGACCCATGTCAGATCTGGCATTGAAGAACATCAGTCGCTCAGACTCATCAACCGGCATAAATGGTTTAGCGAATGACCCCCACCATGCCGGGAAGCAATTGCATCGACAGCAATGCTGCGAACCTTGAAGGATAGGCAAAAGGCTTATGACTTTTTTGTCTCCACGGAAACTTTGCGGAGACATACTACCCGGAGACTTTTGGTCCAGCTGAACAAGAATGTAAAGCCATCCGACATATATAAGCTTATTTACCGGTTCTCAAAATGTATCTTCTTAAACTCTACTCTCCTATCATTCTGATCACTTCCTTTCCATCTTGAATCACTTCCAACTTAACTCCAAGAGACTGATTGCCAATCATGGGCGACAAGCTCAACATCATTGGTGACGAAGCCAAGGCACTTGGAGAGAAGAACAAAGAGCACTTTGAGTAGGTAGTCAATAGCAAAGACTGATCACGGGCTAACATCAACAGCCGAGTCGCCGCTGAAGTGTTCAAGCACCCGTGGATTCAGCGGCTATGTAATCAGATATCTGACGAGCTCAGAGATAACACTGACTGGATCGACATTCCAGAAAGGCCAGATGGAACCAAAATGCTCGATTATGCCTGTGGCAACGGCGTCGGTTCTCGCGTCGGTTCCCCCGTCTTTTTAGAAAAGAATACTTGGCTGACTGACCTGCCTAGGCACTCGCTGGATTTGTCTCCATCGTCAGAGGCATTGACATTTCATCCAAGATGGTTGAACAATACAACATGCTTGCAGAACTTTCCGGATTCAGTCCAGACAAGATGAGAGCTATAAACGGGGACTTGATGGACCCTGAAGCCTCGCCTTCCCCCGAGCTCAACACTCCAGAGTTCAACGACTTTGACTTAATCGTCATGTGTATGGCTCTCCATCATGTAAAGGACTATGCAGCTATGATTCAGAAACTGAGCGAAAAGCTTGTCCCTGGCGGCGTGCTTCTAATCATCGACTTGGTTGCTTCATCAGAGAGTGGCTGCCCTGAAGCCCCTATGGCTAAGGAATTATCTAACCATACCATGTCAAAAATGGGTTTTACTGAGATGGAGGTCAAGACTGCTTTTGAGAAAGCTGGTCTGGACGGTTGGTCTTGGAGATGGTGTTCTGAGAGATCTCAGGTTCCTGAAGAGATAGGTGGAGAGCAACAGGGCTTTTTCGCCCGGGGTTGCAAGGGCATCGGGGGTAGCGGGATTGGGCATCTGTAAGAGCTTTTCAGTTATATGTGAAAGAGAATAGTGCTTTATATGATAGTTGACGGATGTATGACCAGGGTTACATGAGCTCATATGCATAAGACCTAGGCATGAAAGTTTATATTTAACCTACAGGTTAGCCTTGAAGTAAACGGGTTACATCCAGTACAAGAATCGATCAGACTTCAATGATATGTTTGCTGTCTGTTGTCACTGGCCTATTAGTTCTGTCATCGCGGTGGTGGCTTCAGAGAGCTATTTGGGCTAGTGCTCGATATAGGTCCTGACAACATGGAAGCTTGTACATACGACCATACCTATCAGAGAACTCGGGATCCCGTCCGCTCTCCCATAGATAAGCTGATAAGGGGCGGATTAGTAGTTGGGTCGGTGACGACCAGCGAATCCCCGCTGTTGTATGTTTTTTTGGCGTTGACAGAAACTCGCTGTCTTTCTCTTCGTCGTGACTCCTCTTCAAGACTCCCTCGAGGTGCGCATCTCACACAGAACAACAACAGCATAAACTGTCAACCAATACGGAGCAACATGTTGCATAATTTCTGTCCTTTAGAATACTATGTATGTCACCGAGCTATTATTTTATCTTATCTGATCTAATCTGGTGGATCCACGCTGTTGCAAAATTGAGGCTAATGCAGGGTTCTCCACTTCCGTCATCGGCCAACTTTTTTCTCTCATTCTTGTCCGCCACTTTCATCTTGGCATCAAAAGGAAACATGCCTCATATCCAATCATGACTCCAAGACCATCCTCCAGGCCTCAAAGCCCTCGATCCTCAGAATCAGACGACGCACCTCTCCTCTCTCGTAGTCCCTCGCCGCAATCCCCCCCTCCCCCAAAACCACCAGTATCATGGTCCTCCCTCCCAAACAAAGGCCAACTCGCCGTCATCCTCCTCGCACGCCTCGCAGAACCTCTCAGCGAACGCTCCCTAGCATCTTATCTCTTCTTTCAGCTCCAATGGTTCAATCCCGATATTGACCCTTCTGAAATTCCTAAGCAGATGGGTTACATCACTGCTACGTTTGCGGCGGCTCAGTGTCTTACGTCCATGTGGTGGGGAAGAGCTGCTGATCATCCGAGACTGGGGAGGAAGCGGGTTTTGTTGATTGGACTGGGTGGTTCGTCTGTTTCGGCGTTGGGGATGGGGTTTTCGAGATCGCTTGGGGTGGCGTTCTTTTTTCGGTTTTGTGCGGGTGCGTTGAATGGGAATATCGGGGTTTTGAGAACAATGGTTTCTGAGATTGTTCCTGAGAAACGGTAAGTCGAAAACACTCCTAATACAACGATAATCAGCTCACTCTCTGCCTCAAGACACAAAACAAGAGCTTTCCTCCTGCTGCCGATATGCTTCAACGTTGGGGTGATCATTGGACCTTTGTTGACAGGTTTCATGGCCGATCCTGTTCACACGCTCCCTGGCATCTTTGGTCCAGGTTCTCTATTTGGTGGAGAGAAAGGCGTGCAATGGCTCGAGAAGTTCCCTTACGCACTTCCAAATCTCTTCTGCTTCTCTATCCTAATGTCCGCTTTTTTTCTGGTCATTCTGGGCCTTGATGAAACGCACTCGCATCTCCGACATCAACCTGATGCTGGACGCAGGCTCGGAAAGCTTCTGCTACGAATTATCCTTCGCCGAAAGAAGAATGAGCATCTTTACAGCTCTATCAATATTCAAGATACGTCTGAGGAACTGATGGATCATGACGCTGATCAAGAATCTGAAGAAAGTCAAAGACCAGCCAAGGCATACAGCAAAACGCGACCTCCGTTTCGAGACGTGTTGACAAAGAACGTCTGTCTCAACATGCTGCAGCGCTTCTTGCAATCCCTGCACGTCTCGGCTTTCAACTCAATCCTATTCAGTCTTCTGCCCACTCCAAAAGCAGACTCTGCAGATTTTCATCTGCCCTTTCGCTTCACCGGTGGTCTTGGTCTGTCAAGTGAGAGAATGGGTTTAGCCAACACGATCATCGGAACGATCGGCATCCCACTTCAACTCTTTATATACCCCAGACTCATTGGTAAGCTAGGCGTAAAAGCTTCATACAGTGCTTTTCTTCCACTAAGCATTATCGCATATTTCCTCCTGCCATATCTGGTTCTCTTGCCAGATAACAACGCTCTGGTTTGGACTAGTCTATCTGCAGTTCTGAGTCTGCAGGTACTGTCTCGAACATTTGTCAACCCTGCTACTATGATGCTTGTCAATGATTCAGCGCCGAGTCCGAATTTGTTAGGCACGGTGCATGGTTTGGCATCGAGCATTTCCAGCGCTGCTCGAATTATGGGACCTACTGTTGGTGGAACGTTGCTTGGATGGGGTCTTGCTCATAATCTTGTTGGACTGCCTTTATGGGTATTGACGATTTTGGCATCGGCAAATTGGGTTATCTTGTGGTGGATTGAGGATGTGAATATGTCTGAATGAGGTGTGCGGATAGACTTATCCATGATGAGATCAAGGATTGGATTCAGTATTCCTTCTACGAGAGATATATCTTTTGGGATTAGTGGATGGTTCCAAAGACCATTGCCACGAGTTCGCAATGTGAGTTCTTATATAGAAATCTAGCAATTGGCCTTCCAATCTCATTCTTAGTGACTTCCTCCGCCCCTAGCCGAAGGTCCTCGTCAGGACGTTAGCCCTCCTTAAGCTTTCGACCAACAATAACACGCTAATATGAGCTAGAATCGCAGATGGTAGACAAACGAATGTCCAACAAGTGTCCAGAACAACTTTCATTGATCATCCGGGCGATTGCCCCTTAGCTTTTCTCGAACCCTCTTTTGCCAATAGTCATAATGTATTCTCCCATACCCTCGCTCTCAAGCCTCCGAATCCTCATCACTATCCTCCTCCACAACAAGATCAATAACCAAAGCCGCCTTATCATTCAACCTATCAAGCTGAAACCCCGCCGCAAGCGCATCAGTCGCATCATGTACACAGCCTGCAACATCAAGCCCAATATCATTCTCCTTCAGCGCAAGACAAATCACTCTAAAATGCTCATGATGCAAATCCTCATCGTCGCCTCCGTCGAATATAAGCACAGCGTTGCGGTGGATAAGACAAAAATCTTCTTGTACGCCGGGATATTTCTTGATGGATGCTAGTTTGGCGGGTGTGCAGGATGAGCTGGCGACGAGTCGTGTGAAGATGCGCGCAGTGAGAAGAGCGTTGACGGGTGAGGGTGATTTGGGGGTGAATATTATCACATTGGGGGGTAACGTTGGAGTTTCTGAAGTATTTTCGGAAGGTAGATTTTGTGTCGTCATTGTGAAGGTGTAATTCAATTAGTTGGAGTTGGAGAGGTGTAGGTGACAGGGATTTTGAGGTGCAGAAAAAAGTGAATGAGAGCAAATTTGGGTTAAGGCGTGATGAGTCATCCAGTACAGGGTAGGTTTTACGCGGCAGTTGATAGCAAGAGAGCGTCAGTATGCAGTGAACGAACTGGAGAATAGCATAGAAAAGTCAAAAGACATCTCTTTATCCTGACGAAGAGTGTGCGATTACCAGGAGTTCGTTGAAATGTGTTCATTAATAGATTGAGATTACCGTATAAACTCGCGAAATTGAGTCGCGCCTGTAGATCTCAGCTACTATGGCTAATAGTAAAATATCAGAACTTTATTTTCCTCTGAACTAATAAGGCAATATATTAGAGATTAGGATTAGAGTACCTACAGGCGCCACTTAATTTCGTGAGTTTATATGGTACCTCATCTCGTGACCTAAACGTGCTAATAACAGCTGTTGCCACGAACAGTCGTTGGAGCGAAGTCGCTTTGATTGAACAAGTATATACAATTACAAGCACATAGTTTCTATGAATCACATTGGACCAATGCAAATAGGATTTAATCTCAGAGAATGTCGATATAAACATTCTCTCCAAGTCATATCCATGGCACGTCAATGCCCCAGCTTATCAGGCAGTCCTTATCGGACCAATTAACACCAACTGACGAGATTCAGCTAAAGCGTATCTGCGCAATGAACCTTGATGAAATTGAGGCGCAAGCCAAAATACGTGAGGCGCAGGGACCAAGAGAACGGCCAGGACAATTCATAGCGCCTGAACCGTTATTGCATGAGACTATTGATGTTCGACTCGGCCCTTCTCCAGATTCTGATCGCTGCAAGTTTCCATTTCGCGGCGCATTGCAAGCGCTTGTCTGAGATACGGGGTAAACGCTAAAAATAGACAATTCTCATGCACTTCTACGGCGGCTAACAGACTTCTACGAATTGTTAGTTATTCTTACAAGATTTAGCATTGAGAATGATAAAGTTTAATATGGAAATAATGGCCTTGGAGTGACAATTTATGAGCTGCTCCATCTTAAATACAGTTCTCTCAAACACCCCTGGCAATGGAGAACCAACCGCCCTATGAGCTGCGAGGCCGTGTTGGTTGACCCCAGACATTCCTCACGACGGGCTGACTGCGCCCCCAACATGAGTCACTTCCCATGTCAAGGCATACTCGGTACCTTCCAAATAAAGTGTAGCAAACAAACTCAGCTTCAACATTCAGCCCTACATACCGTGTGACTCACGCGGTAACATTCCCATCTTTATATAGGCCGCCTATCTGCCGCAACTAATATTCGGATCTTCATCAATATTCATTATGGAGAAAGTACGCAAGACGTTCTTCGACCCTTTGGCTACGTCAAAGGGTCGGATAGCTGAATTACTACAAAACTTGCCTGTTGGCTCTGCACATCCTTTTAGCCCCGAGGGCATATTATTATGTCGAACGAAGAATGGTATTGAAGAGATTGATATCTCGAATTATAGTCAGGAGTACTTTTATAATACTGTTGACTTAGGAGAGATGGGAGAGATTCTACTAAGACGGATGAAGGGCTTTAGCAATCATTTGGGTAAGGATGCAAAACGCTCACAGAACCCCGGTTTGGCTAACACTTGGATAGGCGTGTTTGATGACTTTCAGATCATGCAAGCTCCAGCTGCTACATTCAAGATCCCCATAGTGTCAGGGCAAATCACCATCCTGGCAGTATCAGAACGTACTCCTACGTACTACGACTTCTGCTTCGCAGATCAAGACTGCAACACCTGCTGCTGGTTAGAACGAGAGACATTTTCTGGAATCAAGCACAGCGGCGATCTTCTGAACCACCAGGATCTTTTGGACTATGTTAGGGTAGACCAGGATAGCTTGACGCAGAAGCCTATCTGTGTTTTTATCTCGGGATATACAAAGACGCAGATCACGAGGTTCTTGGGAACGCATCCGGCGCTGATGGTTGCGGATCACGTTGACAAGGTTTGTCGCTAGAACTCAATGTGGAGTTGATGAAGCTAATAAGTAGTAGATTCTGTACATCATTCCTGTTCCTTTGGATAAGGCGACTATTGGAGATGCTACCATCTGCTGTCCTTTGGTTATCAAGCGTGATGAGGATTCCATCATCTGCTCTATTCTTCCTAAGGCGACGACGGATAGGAACATGATGTGTGACAGCAAGAAGCTGGTCAGCCCTTGCTTCCCCGAAGCTATCAACAGTGCTGACTTCACTATCTCTGAACCTCAGCCTGCTGTTGCTGCAGAGGAGAAGAAGAGCGAGAAGGACGAAGCGGTAGAAGATGAAGTACAGGTTTCGGACAAGAGACGTGCGATATTGACCACTAACTCTTCCAATCTTCCTTCTTTCCTGGCTTCTTCTGAGTCACAAGTCATTCGCTTCAGCACTGGTATCGAGTTCATTTCTTCAGACACAAACAACATTGACCAGGACAAGTCAGCTGTTGTTCTTCCCTGCATCTTCGGATCACAACTTCAAGGTCCAATGCTTCTATCCACGGGCAGCACTCCTTCCAACGTTCCTTTCAAGGATGAGAAGGCTCTTTGCGCTTACTACGAACAACTCGAGAGTATAGTCGTGGTCGTTGATGAGCGAATGACTGACAACGCGCGAAACTTGGCTTCCGGTCTACGGATGAATACCTTGTTCATCGTGCAGATTAAGACCAAGGACAAGCATGAGACTGAAGAGGAAGTTTCGGCGGTGTTGAGTTCGGCGAATATCAATGCTGTAACGGCGCTGGCGGGACCTCAGTCTTTGATAGTGGCTAATATCGGTGAGAAGTTTTACTTCTATCGTGGTTTGGCGAATCACAAGATCTTGGATACGGCCAAGTTGAACTTTGGAGCAGATATCACTGAGAACATCACGTCGAACAGTGTGGAGTCGCTATTGGCTCCAAAGATTCCTCGACTGGTCAATCTCACGGATACCAACACCATTGTTCTTCCCTACTCAGCCCAGGTTGTTCGTCCTCAGGATTTATCTCAAATCTTTGAGGGTCTCAGCATCGCCGAGATCATTACCATGCACGACGACATCACCGCCGCAGTTCCCCAACTCCAAGCCCTCCTCAGCCAGAAAGATCTTCAACAACTCTCCAAGACCCTCGTCGACACACTCTCCTCCAAAATCGATAAGAAAATGGCCCCTCTTCGAAGCGAGTACATAGTCTTCATCTCCAATAACTTCGGCGCCGATGATCAAGCTGTTCTCACCAAGAAGAGCAAGATGCTTGGTGATATGCGAAAGATCAACAAGGAGGTCCAGACTGCTCTTGAGCCGGTCATTACTAGCCTGGCGAATATGATCTCTGTTCAGGCGACGTCGAAGAGAACGCATGATATGAAGAGACTTATGAGACAGGCGCAGATCCAGAATAATGTTGAGGCGACCAAGTCAATGACTTTTGAGAGTTTGACGGGATTGTTGGAGAAGCATGCTGAGGAGATGGGGGTTATGTTGTTGAATATTGAGACGGTGCCTTATAAGCAGATGTTGGCGAAGCTGAAGGGCACTACCATTGATGCCAAGTACGTTGTGATACACACTTGATTTAGACTTCTTATACTGACATTACTAGGCCTTGCTGTGCACTTGACGATCGAATTCTTCATCTCGACGGCTTCGACGCTGGTATCATCATGGAACAATCCCAAAGCCAACACGCAGGCCCCCTCGTCAGCCAAGCCGGTCCTAACCATCCCATCCTCGCGCTTCCCTACCTCAGCCAACAGCGCGGCATTGGCTCAATGCTAGCATGGGTATGCTGGGATGAATTCGTCAATCTCAAGAGTCCATACACAATCCGGTGGATGGAGAAGTGTAACGAACCACACATCGCCGCGCTACGAATCATGATGAGGGATACTCTCAGCCAGGCTGTTGCTTCGCGGGAGTATAACTTTGAAGCGGGAAGTCCTGAGATTGGTCATTTGATGAGTTCCTTGCTTATGGCGGCTATGTCGAAGCTTGCTGCGATGAGGACGACTGCTCCTGTGGTGTTGGATAAGGCGGAGGATACGGTTACGAGATTGATGAGAGGTCTTTTTGGTAATCTTATGACGATCGCTGGATCGGGTGTGAGGCCTTTGAGTATGGTTTGGCAGCTCTTTGGACTGAATCCTCAGTATGACGTTCCTGTCACGGATGCTGATTGGGTTTGGTATGAGAATGTCGTTGAGCTGTACCCTTACACCGGGTGGCCTTTGAAGCAGTTCAACGAGAATCTTCTCAAGCTTCTTGACAAGGTTATCGTGCGGGTCATCACCAAGAACGAGAACGTCGCTGAGATCAAGCAGAGTCGGGCTTATGACATGGTGCAGTTCTGCAAGCTTCGAAACATCCAGCTCGAGCACTGCCGTACCATCATCACCGTCTTCGAGACGATGCTCACCACAGATGGTTTAGATATTCCAGCTATCGCGGGACGTCTTCGGGAGAAAGTTCCTAGTGAGCTTGAGAAGCAGACCAAGGGATATACTAGAATGATGCGATACATCGATCACCTTGCAAAGGGCGGCGCAAGACGTTCAGCGGATGATCTTGTCTACGGTAACGTGTACACCAAGCGCTCAGCTGCGTTAAAGGATCTCAAGATCGCGGTCGCTCTAGCATGTCAAGACAAGAACTGGGATGTCGCAAAGGAGAATTGTCAGGCTGTTCTTGACTTGCATAAGGAGATTGCTGCTAAGTGGCAGATCCAGCCTGAGCAGCTCAAGGTGCAGAACATTCAGTACTACCGCGAACTCATTGATGCAGATGTTTCAGAAGACGCTGAACAAACCGTCAAGAACCGCACGAGAAAGATCGTTGGGCGAATCATGGATGATGCTGAGAAGAAACGTATTCCATGGCAAGTTGGTAACGACGCGGCCAAGAATAACGTTGAACCTCTTGATGAGCAGTTCCTCGAGCAAGTCCTCACTGGAATACGCTCTGAAGCTGAGACAAAGGCTGTAGTCGAAGTTTCCAAGGAGGAAACTGTTGAGGATGTCGGCTTTTCAGCGTTCAAGTCTTCTTTGGCGCCCAAGTTTGTATCTGCGATGGAAGAGGCGCTCTCAGCAGAGGATGTCTGCACGATAGCCAAGATTCCTGAGTCTTCGATGAGGGTGTTTATCAAGGCACTCAACCCTGGGTTTGAGTGGGATGATTTGGCGCAGCAGTTCAAGATTGTGATACTGAGTTTGTTGCGGGAACGTTCGGGGCGGATCGAGAGCAGACCTGCTGCTAGGATGTTGAGATTACGATGAGCTTGAGGGATAATAATGGGTATGATATTTTATCTAGTTTTATTGGTCTTGGTTTCTCATGGTAAATCAGGCTTTCTTGGCTATAGCTCGCTCTAACGAAATGATATCTTCTAAAGCTTCTCTGCTCGGGAGTTCCTAATGGTCTTATCAACTATGTTCATTGCACGAAGACATTCCTCGTCTCTAAATCGTGGTGCAATGATTTGGATTGCGGTAGGTGCACCGTCTGTGGCCTCGGGAATATCTTATATTGGTTAGCTACAGTAGAAGAGTACTTGATAAGAGGACTTACAATCAGGGTCGAATGGGGCCTTGGCCTTAACATGCTCGGAGTCTTCCAACTTGGACGAGTTTCCGAATGGAATAATACCAGCAGGGAACTGTCATATAATTAGCACTTCTTCATTTCCAGGATACAATGATGTCAACTTACATCCAAGACGTTCCACATAAGGGTGTAAATAGGAACACCGTACGTATCATGAGGAATAGCGGTGGTAGCAGCTCCAGGAGCAAGAATAACATCAAGCTTGTTATCACGATATGTCTCCTGCCAAGCCTTAAGATACTCAAAGCGAACCTCATTCAAACGAGACAACTTTGTAGGTGTCTCCAGCTCCGGAGGAACAGGAAAGTTTCCATGAGAAAAGGGATGAACAGCGATAGCCACAGAGTTAACAAGCGGCTCACCGATCTCTCGCGAGACGGTATCAAGATCAGGACCCATGATACTGAATAACTGGAATCCGATTCTTGCACCAAGACCAGCGTTACGCTTAGGATCTTGAGAGAGATAAACGAGCTTATGTCCTGCGTTCTCAAGTGCAGAAGCAGCCTTTGCTAAAGCGCGTCGAACAGGTGGATGGAGAGGATACTCAGGATCTTCAGCCATGACACCAATTGTAAGCTTAGTATCGGCTTCACCGAGCTCTCTCCAGGGAATATCAACAACAGTGGGGTCATAATTCCAAGGTCGTTGAGCAAGAGTAATCTTCATGAATAGCTCAAGATCTTCAATGGAGTTGGCCATGGGTCCACCGACTGGTGCAATTCCAGGGAGATGATCCTTTGGAAAGGGATATTCTGACTGTCCTCCGAAGGGAATGCGTTCAGAGGTGGGTTTGAATCCGTAGATACCACAGCATAGGGAGGGAATGCGGATGGAGCCGGCGATGTCACTGCCGACGCCGAGGGGAGAACCTCGAAAGGCGACGAGAGCGCCTTCACCGCCGGTTGAACCACCTGCTGTGAGGCTGGTGTTATGAGGGTTGAGGGTTCTTCCAAAGATGTTGTTCTCCGAGTCTGCTGTCTGCAAGATGTTAGAGGATACAGTCATGGTAGGACAAGGTGTAGCTTACCATCATTGTCTGGGGCAGGTTTGTCTTGCAGTATAAAACAGCTCCAGCGTCGAGCAACAGGTCAACGAGGGCAGAGTTGTGGTCAGGGATTGGTTGACGAAGAAACTCGACATATCCGACGGTGGCATGATGGCCTTTAACGCGGTATGAATCCTGGTTTGTCAGTGGAGTTTTTGATCTTGGAGTTGATGATGTATACCTTCAGACTAATGGGCAATCCATGGAGTGGACCAGCCAACTTTCCAGTTGTCTTTAATTGCTCATCAAGCTCCTTGGCTCTCTGGATACCCTCCTTGAACATAATCTCAGTCAAGCAAGATGTCTACCCCGGTTAGTACTAGTCCCAACGGTTGTCTTAGTCGAACATACCAATTGTTGAGCAAGACTGGCACGCTTGCTAAACGCCACGGTAACTTCCTCTGAAGTGAGTTCTTGAGAATGTATCTTGCTCAACAACTCAGCAGCAGTATACCGCTCCGTAATAACAATCTCCTTCTCCGTAAGAAGTCCGGACCTCTGAACGGCCTTTGACTCAATAAGTTTACTACCATTACCATCACCAGTATTCTTCAGTCCCTGGAGTTGTTTCTCTGGGATGACCCATTCTGTCGGTATAGCATCACGCTGCTTTTCGCGGTGCTGAGCAGCAATGGTCTTCCAGTTGGTAGTAGTAGCAGGCATGGTGAATGATGTGAAGATGATGAGACTTGGGATTTGTTGGAGAGGTATTCTGGTCTCCGCATTGTTTATTAATGAGGAAAGAGAGCAGGCGACGGAATACCGGAGTTCTGGATCCTATAATCTCCCCCACAATGCGGAAAGACTACCCCATACTGCAAGCCGAGATAGCAGTCGCCTCGAGATTTGGAGGGGATTGTTTTAGCTCCGCGGCGCATGTAATACCCCAATTTGGCAGTTGAAGCCGCCAATGTGTCGGCAAATCGATGCGGCATAGAAACAGGGTCTGATCTGCAGTGTCATCTTGCAGTATCATCGGTATCATTTCCGTAGCACTCGCCGTATCAATCAGCGTATCAAACAAAAAATGATTCGTAAAGATAAAAGATGCCATGGTCTTCCAAATCAAGTATACTAGGTTTCAACACGATCAGATCTAAGATCTAACACTCCCTGCCCCCCTCCCCGGCCAATTTTCTCTGGAATGTCTTCACACATACCATCCCCCGGAAATGACTTCACTCCTTCCGACACCGATATTCCTAGAATGCGCATGCCGCATCTAGAGTTCATCTACCGCATCGTTGCCGAGATGGACAAAGGCGGGGTTACCGAGATTGCAGGCATCGACGGCACCTCAAAGAGCAGAATTGTCCTCCCCATCCAAGGAGGCCAAGTCAACGGTCCTCAGATAAAGGGAATCATCGTTGACAAGAGTGGTGCCGACTGGGCCGAAGTCATTAACCCCAATAAGGTGAATATAAAAAAAAGCTTATCATAGATTAGCTAGCTAACAGGGGTATAGTCTCTTGTTCGGTTAAATGCCATGTACACGCTGCGGACTCATGATAACGTACATATCCTTGTTAAAGCACAGGGCATCTATCGTACTGGACCTGGAGTGGAGGAGCAGGTGGGAGAGCGGGATACCGTTACGCAAGATGAGATGGAGTATTTTACGCATATTAAGTTTGAGGCCCCTGGTGATAGTTCCTACGGTTGGCTGAATAGCGTTATTGCTATCGGTGTTATGATCATGTCGGAGGGGAGACCTGTTATTGACTGTTATCGGTTGACCAACTTTCCTGGAAAGAGAGCTGCAAACTTGTAGATAAATAGATGTTGATATAACATAGTTCCACATCGTATCTTTGAGCTGAAGACTCCATGTGGGGCTGGATGGCCCGGAAATAACTGTCTTTCAGATGTGATGTGACTCAACGACGTAATGATCTCCCTGGGAGAGGCTGAGTCTAAAACACCGCGGAGTTTCTAAAGGTGTGACATGTCCTAGCGAAGTACGATACAGCCAATAGGACGGTGGCTGTTTGACTAAGGAAACTGTAATTCAAGTCCGTTCACTCCAAATGAAACTTCACAGAAACTTGGGTTTTGAGATGAAAGAGAGTATGAGTAAATTGATGATACCTAGACTAAGAATACCATAACCAGATAGATCCCAATGCCTTCCATACAATTTCATCCTAAAGTCATTAATCCGCCGTAAAGCCCTGTCAAATACGTGACCGCATCTCGACCAACTTCCAATAGCGAGGTGCCAGAGTAGTGCGAATCCTCTTTCCGTAGATGATCATGGGTACAAAGAGAGAGCCGATGGCGAATGCAATGCAGCCACTGATGATGAACATGTTGGTAAGACCCATGGATGTCATCCAAGGAACAATGGCAAAAGTGACACCAACGGACACAGCGTTTCGCAAGAAAGCAATACCGATGAAGGCTTCAGCGACAAGCTCACGATAAGTATCGATGATGAGAGTGAAGGTGATATCACCGTTGGCACCGAGTCCAAAGGCAAAGAATGCTCCGCCAAGGGAGGGATAGATCCAGTGCATGCCCTAGAAAATGTTAGCAAAAGCTAATAAGATGAACGAGGTTGACTTACTCGAGCAGCCGTAGCGCCAAACATGATGATTCCACCGGCCATGAAAATGGTAGGGATAACAAGAGGATACAATCGCATCTCAGGCTCATAAACACCACCATTGCGTCGTGCGAGTCGAACAACAGTCCAGTCTGCTAGAGGTCCTCCGTAGATACTTCCGAAGATGTTGCCAACAAACGGACCAAGAGCCATATATCCAATACCAGCGGTAGTGAAGCTATAAGGAGGAGCTGAGAAGACAATGGAGATGATCTGCATGAAGATAACAAGCCAGCAGACTCCAGAAGCAAACTGCAGAGCCGTGAACATGACGTGGGGAAGAGTGATGACATGGAAAGGCATCATGAACAAACGGGGAAGAGATTCGCTTGTCGTGGTGGTCAGACGCATGCACTGACGGTAAGAGTTCATGGGGATGGTAGGTTCAGTGTGAGTAGCGATGGTAACAAGATCATTGTCGACCTTGTTCTTGGAGTCGATGTCCTTCTCGATGGGGTTCTGCTCAGAGCATGCGTCATCATTGTCTGCCTCACCGACTGAGACAGGAATGTACTTTGTCTCCTCGAATGCAAAGACGAAGACAACAAAGAGAATGGTAAGGCATACGGATAGGGTGTAGTAAGACCAGCGCCAGCCTTGGTTGGCAGCTTGTGTTCCAGCGGCCATGGGGGCGAGAAAGGAGCCGACCATGACGGCGGTGAAGTAGACAGCATTAGCAGATCCACGATGATGAATAAAGAAGAGGTCAGAGATCTATAACATCAGTAAATGACCTCGAAGGTGAAGACATGGGAGACTCACAGTCATCTGAACAGCAGTCTCATTGATAGCACCACCAAGACCAGTAATAACCATGATGACAATCAACTCAGGATAACTCTGCATTCTCGAAGTCCACCAAGAAACACCAGCAAGAACAGCAGTAGAGATGATATACGCAGAGCGGCGTCCATACTTGATAGCAAGGGGAATGAAGAACAAGCAACCCATAGCTAGACCAGCTAGCTGGGCGGATTGGGCATTGGTCAACTGCTGAATGCTAACGCCCATGTCAACAGTCATCTGCTGCCAAAAGACAGTCTGGATAGAGACATTGGTGAAAGCAGCGACCGTGACAGCGATCGACAGTCCAAAGTTGAACAATTTTCGCCATGTAGGCCAATTCTATAACGCGTTAATTAAAGTTTTACAGATAGTGAGAAAAGTGCTCACGAGAGGCTCATTGGGATCGTTGGAGGGCGTTGGTACGAGAACGAAGCGCGACGCGTCAGTAGCTGGTTCTGCTATGAATTGATCAGTGAAATTGTCGGTGATGAGAGAGGTTATGGTGTTTTACCCAAGATCAGGCGGGCCTCTCCCGGGATGGGGACGCGATCGGTGGAGGTCATGATGGGACTTGGCTCGCTTGGAGATTGAATTGATGGGGAAGAAAGTGGAGGTTGATGCTGAATGAATCGTATGATGTGAGGAGAGACGGCACAGGCTATATATCCTTCAATCTCAGCCGGTCTGTGATATCAAGGAGTGTACAGCCACCAATATGCAGTGCAATGAGTCTTGTCTGCACGAGACAAACTTGATACGATGGCCGTCGGCCGTCCTCAACCCAACGTCGGCAGTGCGTCAACAAGAGTACAGAACGGGGATAGGGGTCAGGGCCTGTGTACGCGATTAGCTTCCCTCCCGCTATCTCCTCTTACAATCCCTGCCCATGTGGTTATCTGCAAATCATGAGCAAAGGCCATCTCCCCGCATTCTCATCTTCCCACATACGAAAAAAAAATTGTGGCGATAACAATGTCCCGTTGCTGATCTAAACTGCTTTTGGGAAATACACGCGCGGCGCCTCTTTCACCCCTTTTCGTCTATAAACTTCCATCCCCAGCCCCGCAAAGTCTGATATCGCCTCCTTTCGTACACCCACCTCCATTCAAATCCCTGAGATCTAAAGCGAGATACACTATGGCCCGATCACGCGGAGGCTGCCTGAATTGTAAAGCCCGCAAGCGAAAATGCGACCAGGCTCGCCCAGAGTGCCACGCTTGCTCCCAAAGGGGCATAAGGTGCCAGGGTTACTCTACTCCTCTCCGCTGGGTCAATGGCGTCGCTTCTAGAGGCAGATTTGCCGGAGCCTCTGTGCCCGACGCGTCATTGGTCGCGATCCAAGGGCCTGAGAGCCATCAGGATCTGCTAGCGATGGAGTCCGAGACTTCCTCTGCTCCTAATCAAGATACGTCAAGTACCGCGTCTGGCTCAATCTCGTCATCTGCCTTCTCACCCCGGGCTGTCGGCGTGCCCTCACCAGATGCTCAAGACCCGATCTTTCAGAGATGTATGTTGTTATTTACTCCTCATTTGATACCGAGGTAGTTAGTTGTAGTTGGTGCTAATGTTTCGCTAGTCATGAACAATGGCCTCAATCGGCTGTACTCTACGGAAGCGAGCTCATGGATCAAACCGTTCTTTGAGCAGATGGCTTATCAGAGCCCTGCGCTAGTCATGATTGCCAGTGCCATACAGGGTTATATGGATGATGGAAATCGGGGCATGTCTGTAAAGTCGATGGAATATGTCGACTTGGCACTGCAGACATTCCGACAAGAACTTTCTGCTCGTTATGAGCGAATGCACCTCGCGACAATATGCGCTGGCTTACTAGTCTGTTCATTATGTGTACGTGTTCCCTTCACTGCTTATTCCCGGCGTTGAGCCTCGGAAATTAACACCTTGCAGCTACTGCAAACCCAACCATGGACAATGTACCTCGAACTCATAGTCGACGTCTACGATCTCAGAACCAAACTCAGCACAGTTGGACAAATTTCCAATGATCTCCATACTCAACATCTTCTTGAAGTCCTTGGTGTAATGGATCTTCCGTCCATGGTCATCGGTCGAATAAATCCATCCATCGGCGTCTGGAAACTTTTCCGTCGTCTTCAAGATGACCGCGAGGAAGGTCGAGCGACCGGTATCGAAGTCGTATCAGGCATTCCCCGCTCTCTCATCGATATCTTTGCTAGCATCGTCGACAACGATCCAGAGTACACCGAGAATCGCTTCTGGGCCTGGCCGGGACAGGTAGGTGAGTCATTACAGTGCCACTACTGGGAATGCTGGCGATTGGCAGGCATCCTGGAAGTCCGTCGTCGACGGAGAATGGAGCGAAAAGCAATAGGTCTTCAGGACCGAGACGACGACATGTTGAGGAAAGCTCCAGATACAGAAGTCGTTCTATGTCGTCTCATCTCATCGATAGATGCCCTGCAAAAAGCCTTCGAAGAACCTCGCAACCAACACCTACTTGTCCACAATGGACTTCCATATGCAGTCGTCAACGCTGGTCTAGAAGTCCCGCTCCTCAAACAACATCCAACCTGGAAAGCAACACTCGACGACGTCAGGGCGTCATTACTTGACACAGATTCCTTTGATCTAATCAACACTTTGTTTGAAATGCTTGATGAGGCTTGGGCAGATGGGACAGCTACTTTTGACATTGAGAGCGCAGCACGCTCTAGGAACCTTGAACTTGCTATTTTTTAACGGCGTTGGGAATAATCGGCGCATGGTAACTTATGACTCTCTTCTGTACTATGGATTACTATTTATCGCTTGAAATAAACGATGCAACTCGCTGGATGAGAGACTTCGTATACTCCGTACTAGGCGCCGAGTAATCAACCGTGTAGAAAGATACCGACGCCTTGCCATTCTCAACAACGTATGTCTCACCAGGAAGAGAGCAATCACCATTGATGCAAGCATTCACGCCAGCGGCGTAAGGCTTGATGTTAGCCCAAGTGAACGTTCCTTTCTCTTTGTCGAGGACAGCTTCATTTACGTGAGCGTTTCCAGTGAATCTTGTCTGTACGAAATCCGGATTTAGGTTCTTCTTTGTCAAGACGGGAAGGTTGACGTTGACGCCGTAACCGATGGGGAGAAGAGGGCCGTTCTTGGGGGATGTGGCGATGAAGTTCTCGACGAATTTGACGGATGCTTGTGCAGCCCATGTAGCAGGGTTAGTTCGGTTTTTGACCTCAAAGTATGGGACTTCTTGGTTGCTTGCTGAGATGGCAATAGCGGGGATTCCACGGTTGGTAGCGGCGTATCTATGCATCGTCAGTTCGGACATGTTCCCATTCGGTTGATGGATACTCACGCAGCTCCAGCAGTACCAGATAAAGTCCACACAAAACCACCCAAGTTGGTCCCGTAGTTAGGTCCAGTAACGACAAGATCTGGAACACTAAAGTTGGCGAATTTGGGGAGGACGTAGTCTAGAGCGACAAAGGTGCATGCAGCGGGTGTGCCGTTGTAGTACCAGATCTGGCTATCCTTTGGATCATGTCCAACCTATGTCACGTCAGAGGAGGATCCCCAAAAGCAATGATTCAGAGAACGTACTGAAGGTGCACCCTTGGGAATCAAGTCATACTGCGATGGTGCAGTCAAGTTTCCTTCGGTGGTGAAGTCAGAGGTACCGCCTTTGCCGCTCTGCTTGGTAGCGGGAGCAACGAGCCAGACTACAAATGTCAGTCATGTTTCTCGATATGTTGCGGCTGGCTTACCATTATGACCCTTCTCCTTGAAAATGCGATACATCTCACGTAAGTTCCCAGAACCGAATCCATCGTCATTGTTCAACAGAATATTCAATGCATTGGCGCCCGAAGCAGAAAGCAGAGCTGCCCCAGCGATGAAAGAAGACAGACGCATTTTCACAAAGCTACAGGGTATCTTGATGGCCTGTGTATCAAAACAAGAGAAGAAAGTGCCGCAGAACAATCAATTGAGGGATTCTCGACGATCTTTTATCTAAACAAATCCAACGGAGAGCGGCCGTGTCCGTTATCGCATTGCCAAGCCTTCAAAAGTTCCCTTGTCTATCATTATAGTATCTATCGCTCGCGTGCTCTCCTTCCAAAAGTGGACAAGGTGAGGAGAAGATGAATCTGGCTATCGATAGTGTACTATCAGCTCTAGTGGTGTTTTACTCTATGCTGGGATAATCAACTAGCAAAGCCTATCACAAGCTGGTTATCGTGATGAGGGGTTGAGAACCAACCATGTGATAGACAAGGCTACCCGGATATTACGGCTGCAAAAGATCCTGGTTTTTAGTAGAGGAACAATAATTGTCCGTCAAGGTTTGATATGCTTATTCCACTGGACTGATTGGTACTACAGGAGACTGAAGATCATCGCGCCAACACTAAGGAAAACAGCAGCCCCCAAACCTCCAACTCGCGATGCCATGTTCTCGTCCTCTTCATCAGCTCCTTCCAGCTTCAACTCGGGTTTCCGACTCCCACTAACAACCTGATCAGGGGCCATGCATATCATCCTACTCATACCAGCACCCGTTGACACAGAAAACAACAATGGAATAGTCTGCTGAACCCTCAAATCATAAAGATCGAAATCCCCGCGATCCTTATCACCGTCTAGCCCTACCCACAATCCACTGCCAAAAGTTGTGTAATTCTCCGGAAGATCGAGATATGGCATTTCATCGACTGAACAACGCGCCGAAGAGAAATTGCGCGGCACGGCTGAGGAAAAGAAAATAGTTAGCGATATAGTCAGAGGTCCGAGACTGGTTCAGAAAGTACTTTGTCCGATAAAAAGGTGCTCCTTGCATTCCTCGCTGAGGTCAAAGGACTGCAAGCTCGGACATTTGGAAGAGCCTCCTCCAACAGCAAGAGTTGAGTTCTCAAATTCCTTGATACACTTATCGCTTATAACCCCTTTGCACGAGTGATTCGCAAACGATGGATCGTCATCGGTATCCATATCGGGTGGATTCTCAGAGGTCTTGTTGACAGCTTTCATCATGTACGGGCAGACCCGGCTGTCTCTTCCGCGTTGAGTTGCAACAAGTGTTCGAGGAACGCTTATAAAGACACTGAGCTCCTGACTGGTATCGACGTCTCCGAATACGAGGTTTGGCGCGCGTCTGTCGGTTACTGTGGCGGTTATGTACCATGGAGCAGATTGTCCTATGAATCTGGAGGGCGCTGTGCGCGTCGAGTTGTACATCGGAAAGCCCTCGTCCACGGGTTTAATTTCCACAGAGCAGTCTTTCGGTAGCGAGGAATTTTGCGCGAGGCATATTCTTGAAAGGTATAACCAAATCACAGCGAATAGTCTCAACATGTTGTCCATTTTTAACAATAATGTCGAATTGTAATAAAACTGAACTGAAAATCTCCGCGCCCGAATTGCGAGATAAATACCCTTCACATTTTGGCCCCCAATTACATGACTTCATCACGATTTCCGGGGTTTACCTGTTCAGCTCGGCCAAGGAATCCTTCGCCATGTCATTCTCCTTGTTTATCCCGTTATATCAAAGCGCCAAGACAGCACGGGCTGAGCCAAGACATGCTAGTTGGTGATCAATGCCTCAAAATCTCCGGTGTTTTAAGAGGGTCAACGAGTTGTTTGGGAAAATGACGTATTGCTACATATCAGCTTTGACGAATGGCGGTTTATTCGCTGCGTGCGACGGGAATAATTTGTGGGCTATTCATGCCTTAGTCTTTCGTTGGTTGTAGATAGATACTTGTTTTGTTGAATTGATGATATTGGCGGATTAAAAACTCCGCGGCTGGTTGAATAGGTCAAAGTTTGTGTATCGACCTTCTTGCGAAAGTTCCCTTGTCCTCATCGCGAAACTGTCTGACTCAATATCTAAGGCTTGTGGGATAATCGGCAATGTCCTCTTCAGAAGCCCAAGAGAATGTTCCAGCAGAAATCTTACCATCCATCCATCCAACTTGTGACTTTCCGTTGACAACAGACAGATCTTTTGAAAAGCCATCAATCTGTTTATCTAGCACATGTCAGCGGCATATATATGGAACGGCAGAACTTTGTCTCACCATTGCTTCTGTGGCTGGCCAGTATTGTCGAAGTTCTATCAGTGCTTCAAAGTTCGTGTTCAATTCTTGTCGAGCTTTTGGGATATCTTCTGGCTCGCCCAGCAAAAGCGTGTGTAAAAGGACAGCGGATGCTACAGTTGTCATGTGTCCAACGGTCGGGTAGTTCTGCTGACATCCACTCATCTGTCGTGAGGTGTGTAACAAACTGCTGAAAGACGAAGCGTGAAATTTGCACAACGCTACGTGATCTCCTTGCCCAAGGTATGATGGCTCTTTGGTCTCGAGAGAGTTGAAGTATACTAGTGCCGAGAGATGATGAAATACTAAATGAAGAGCGATGAAATGCCCTCCTAGATCGTTCTGCTGGTGGCTGTAGATATTCTGTATCGTCATCTGCATGTTCTCTGGCAGGTTGGCCCTCCATGATTCGAGCTGGTGGCCGATGTGTTTGATGGCATCGCATTTATCCGTGGGTTTCATGTCTCCCTTAGCCAAAGCGCGGTTCAAGCCTTGAATGTGACCAAAGTGCTGGATTAAGGTCACCATATGCGCAAAGACACCAGGAGTTCGACTGGAGTTTTGGAGCAAGGACGAAGGTCTGAGGCGTTTGAAGGACGTTTCGTCAATAGGCAGAGGAGATGAATCAGGGCAGTGAGGGTTATCCATGTGCCGGGGTATGCCAAGACCAGAGGAGCACCAACGATCGAGTATGTAGAGTGACCACCAAGTTCTAAGGGCTGTCTCAGTCATGATACTTGGGTCATCCGCACAAGAAGAGTTAAGCTGGAGAACCTCAGCCATACCAATCGCAATTCCTGTAACGCATCAGTAAGACTCACCACTTCTACATCGATGTTCACAATGCAAATGGACTTACGGAGGAACAGTGTCTCTGAAGAAGTCTGGCAGTTTCCAGCACTAAGAAGTGCTAAAAGGATACACGTCTGCACATTCTCAATACACACATTCTCAAGATCTGCCTGCACCAGCCTCTTTGCCTCTTTCGTCAACGAATTCTCCAAGGCGCGATGCTCAGACTTGGGCGAGAACTTGGATCCCAGAGCACATATAGCATAGAGCAAAGCATCTCCAATTTCTTTTTTGCGAACTTGCTTTCGAAGTGTTTCTTGGTGAAAGATGCTGTGAGGTCGACCGTCAAGATGCGTCAGATAAGACTCAACAAACTCGATAGTTAGCTCCGCTGTTAACTCTGGGAGTGATTCGTGGTTTTCTTTGGGTGCAGATGTAGTTTGTGAGCTGATGTGCGAGGAGCAGGCCAGGTTCTTGCGCCGACAGTTGTTGCACGGCGAATCAATGCTCGGTCTTACACACCGCCTCTTGGCCTCTCGACATTGAAGACAGGATGTTGCTTTCATCGTTGAATCGGATTAATAATGTCTTCGCATGGAAACAAATGGCTGAGACTGGGTGGTTGAGCGGATGATACCGATTGTTAATAATGAACCAATCGAAGCTTTGTTTGCCCGAAAGTCTCCGGACAGGCTGCGGCCCCACTTGCGGAGTATCGAAGCTATGATTCGTCAGGGGGTCTAGAGTCGGAGACGCTTGAGCAGGGGGCCTTGGCTCTGCTAAGGAGAAAGTATTTCAAGACCAAGTTTAGGAGCATCAATACTTAACATCCACCATGAAGGACCAAATACAGTTGATGTTGTTAGGCATTTGTAAATGAAGCTGAAGTAGATGCTACTCAGTATTTAACGTCGACGATTTCTCTCTCATTTCATCCAATACTCAGTTCAAACCTATTCACTGCAATGTCCTCAATCCTCGCTTAAAGCTCATATCATCGCTTTCATCTTCATCATGGCAAACCTCCTCGAACCAATCACCATAGGAGGCAAACTCCCTCTCAGAAACCGTATCGTCATGGGTTCAATGACTCGTAACCGCTGCATCGACGATAACAAACCTGGTCCAGCCCAAATCAAGTACTACGCCGACAGAGCAAAGTACGGCACCGGTCTCATCGTTACTGAAGGCACTTTCGTCGATTGGACTGGCTGCGAATGGAAGCACGCTCCCTTCATGGTCACCCAGGACCACGCTGATGCGTGGCGAAAAGTCACTGATGCAGTACATGACGTTGGTGGAAAGATCTTCTTTCAGGCGTGGCATGCTGGGAGGTGTCAGCATGATCAGATGCCTATTATGAAAGAGATGGGCGGAAAGGTTCTGGCGCCTTCTGCTATTAGGGTTGATGCAGGGAAATATCGAGATTTACCTGGAATGCCTGTGAGTTTGCTCTGGGCCTGATGAATGAAGACTGATTGAGAGATAGGGACATACGGACAATGTCGAGGCCATTACAGATGTCCAAGCTGTTATTGAGACGTACAGACGAAGCTGTGAGCTAGCCAGATCAGCAGGCTTTGATGGAGTTGAACTCTTGGCCCAAGGGTAACATATCCTGCAGCACGTCTAGTACAAATGCTAACTGGCATCAAAGCGGATATTTACCTCAACAATTTCTCAGCAGGTCAGTCATACCAGTATTCTTAATCAGCCTAAGCACTGACTATGTAGCCGTGCAAATCATCGTACCGACGAGTATGGCGGTTCAGTCGAAAACAGATGCCGCTTCACCCTCGAAGTCTTCGATGCCATCGCTGGTGTCTTCAACGGACCTGAGTATATCTGTGTCAAAGTTAACCCTACAGATTATCTCAACGACTCTGTTGTTGACTTTGATGAGATGCAAGAGACTTATACAAATCTTATCACCGAGCTTGTTAAGAAAAAGGTTGGTATCATCAACCTTGGTCGTCGTGGTGCCGAAACGTCCACCGGTTCAGGAGAATTCTTTGGGCCTCTCGTTCGGCCTGAAGGCTATCCTCTCCCTCGTGGTTATGATCCTGTTCTTGACTTTGGGAAACTCGTCAAGTTTCCCGGAAGTCCGACTTTGCTTATGGCCAATCAAGATTATACTGTTGAAGCGGCTGATGCACTTGTTGGAGCTGGAAAGCTTGACATGATTACGTTTGCGAGAGCTTTCATCCACAATCCGGTGAGTAGTCCAAGACCAACATATTCTAATTCTGACTGGTTGAAAAGGATCTTGTCCCTCGTATCATTCACGGAGTACCTCTCGCCAAGAACGATAGAGGCTTTGGGGTTTATTATGGGCTAGGCAAGACACCTGACGAGGGTTACAATGATTGGCCAGTAGCCTCAACCACATAGACGTCACTAGAGCAAGCAATAGAGAGTCACTAGACTTTTTTTCACGTGTATATCAGATAGGGACAGATTAATGAGCAATATGTGCAGTGTTCCATTCAAATGAATGTGACTCAATAATATACGAGCAGATAACTATATACAGATGAATGAGTGTCATGGAGGAATCACCATGGCAATCCCATTTGCAATGCAAAACTGGGTGTTCAGCATCCACGTCCGTGCAAACCCCAGGAGAAAGAAGAAAGCACTGCTAGCACTTTTTCTCCATCCTCCCCTTACTTCTTGAGGGTGAGCAGACCAGGGCGGTAAGGAAGAGTGTTGTAGTCGCCACCAACGTTGGGGTTGCGGCCCTGGTAGAGGAGCTGAAGGTTGCAAGGGTCGACGGGGAAGGTCTGGTCAGCGCTGGTTCGGATGAGCTCTCCGTGGCTGATGTCGTTGGTCCAGGTGGCACCACTGTTGGCCTTGCCGGCGAAGGGGTTCTGCTCTGTGGCAGCGTTGGGGGTCCACTGGCCGTCGAGGCTGGTGGCAGTGAAGGAGCGGAAGAATCTTCCGTTGCTGCCCATGGCCTCTACAATCATGAGGTACTTGTTCAGTCCCTTGAGGGAGTAGACCTGCACAGCCTCGAAGAGGTTCGCCTTGGTGTCCTGCATGACGATCTGCGAGGCGGAACCGAAGCTGCCGGGAAAGTTGCCAATGGGCATGCTAGCGCGGTAGATGCGGCCGTTGTCACCGCAGAAGAACAGGTACATGTTCTTGCTGTCACCAATGACGGTTTGGTCGATGGGGCCAGTGTCCGAGTCGGCGATGTTGCCGGTGAAGAGAGGCTGAGCAGCAGACCAGCCGTTGGCGTTAGCAGGGTTGCTGGAGGTTCTGTACGAGAATTTGGTGGGACCCCACTGGTGAGCCAGGATCCAGACGTTCTTGGGCTGGAAGTAGAACAGAGTAGGGGCGACGGCAGAAGAGGTCATGCCGGTCTGGGTGGCAGAGCCGAGCTGGTTGATGTTGGAGACGACGCTGAAAGCCATGGATCCCCAAGAGGTGCCGTAATTAGTGGCGTAGACAAGCTGGCCGCCATTGTAGGGAGCGACAGTGAAGTCCTTGAGGGAGACCCAGGGGGACTTGGGCTGGGCGAGAGCGCCGCTGGAAGTCCACTTGTAGCTGGAGGGGAGAGCGCACTGGGCTGAAACGTCGCCGACGGAGGCGAGGAGCAGCAGACCTGTAGAGAACAGGCTGAGATCGTTGCTGAAGAACTTCATGGTGATGGAGATGTGAGGAGTTGAGATGAGATTGTGATGATACAGAAAAAGACTGATCGACGGGGAAGAAGTCAGTATGTTATATATGAATTAGTAGATGGACTATGCATGGCGAGATGGCCCTTAATTTGTATGGGGATCATTCGTTGCTGGGGAATAATCAAGCATGTATTGGAGGAGAAAATATCGTGTATCCACTGGGATACAACCATATAACCCAGTCTTGTTCTAGATCATCCGAACAATGACCCAAACAAGGATTTGATCGAGGGTGTTTCCATTGAATGTGTTCCTTTTGGAACCACGGAGACGGATCCGAGTGTTTCTGTTTTTGGGTTAGCTCGATCTAGTTCGGTACATGTAGCTTACGCTAATTTAACCCAGAAAAGAAAGGTACCTTGCCTGTTGTGGTGCGAGTCAGCTTGTACGTGCGTTGCCTGAAGCTGAAGCAGTGACGAATATACGAATGTTTTGCGTTTCCATTTTGAGAGTATAAACTTTCTTGTTGGTCCAACTGCCTGCATTGCGTGCAAGAAACGTGACGAAGCGGTAGACACGGCATGTTTCTCGGCTTCATCTACAGTAAATTCTTTCGCCAAGCTGAATCATAGTGGGTTTCATCTTGGCAGGCCTGGTTTCAGCCTCCACTCGGTCATCTCTTGGGGCTTCCCGCGGGATACGAGAAACAGGCCTGACCACCACATGATGTCCTTTCCCAAATGGACTGATGCAGTCATTACTACACACAGTCTAGTTTACATTGCCATGTGGCGAGCAAATATGCACCCCAGGAACACAGCTACCCAGGAAAAATACAGCAAGATATTGGCGCACCTATAGAATTGCACTATTCACCGTCTTGGTGTAAAGCCCGTCGGCAAATCTAGTCACCCCAGATTTGTCCCTGAGCGATAACCCCAGCCGGCAAAGCCTCATTAGGCTAAAGGGGAAAAAGAGTATCGGGGTGATCGATTGTCATATATTACAGGCGTGCCAGTAGAATTAGCTACTGGTATATTGTTTCACACGCGGTGTGTTATTCCGCCTATCAGACTCAACTTGTATTTAACAGTATTGTATTTTAGCCAGATTTGGTGTAAGCGGACGAATTAAACTATGGGAGTCGCAAAGGAAATAGGGAATAGCAATAAGAGAATGCGGGGGATGAATGCGGAGTGCATACAGCCGTGTAAGTGAAGATATCATGAATTTCAGGTGTTGAGATTTTGAAGTTTTGGCGGTGAGGGCGAGGGGGATTGAGCATGATGACTCTAGATAAGGCTGAATGTTTTCCCACGGAACTCGGCTTCTGCCATGTTTGATGTTAAATGTCAAGGCGAGAACAAAGTGGGTTTATTGTAGCGTGATGGAAGTCCCCTTGAAACGCCAAGTAATATCAATTTCCAAGAAGGGATAAGATAGGGCGACAGAAAGGGAAATGGAAGCGAGATGTCAGAGAAACATATTGATAAGATAAGAGGGATAAAGTCACTGAAGCTCACCCTATACGTCCACAATATCTTGAGTCTGCTACTAGTAACTCAACTATTTCTATAGCTTTAGAACGTTAAGATGAAAATAAAACATTAGGTTTATATAGAGAAGTTAGTAAGTATATATATCAGGCTTTTTCTAGGCTTTAAACCTTAAATTCTCAGTATATTATGTAATTTATATCTTGTCTTTTACAATGTCACAATGTAAACCTTATGACATACGTTTCGTTACCAAAAGTCAAATACCAAATAATCAGGCTCAGTTGGATAGTACAGGATAAAAAAATCTATTTCTGTGACAGGCTTCTAGTATAGATCTAATCTAAGCAATCTATGCATTCGGCATATGATCCTTCAACCAATTCTCCTTTTCTATCCGTATCGACCTCTGCCCCCATTTAATAGTCACCCACGCCCCAATAGCTCCCCAAACAGATGGAACTGCCCATCCTAGCGTATATCCAACCTCAACAGGTAAGATCCACGCCAACACAATCAGAACAATGCTCACAATAGACCCAGTAATAGCCCAGGCCCAAAGCATCTCAACAAGCATCCTTCTAAACCTTGGCGACGCGTTATATCGCGCCATAGCAGCTTCTCTATACTCCTTTCCTCCACCTCCATCACAAGCTGTGATATCTTCCATGATTGCGAATGTAAGCGGGGGATATTTGTCGCCAATGACGTGGGAGCTTAGACGGTGCCAGCCAAGTCTCCAGCCGAAATGATACGCTATGCCAGTCCAGATCATGTATGATGTTACCATTAGTATACCAACGGGCATGATAATACTCAAACCCCTCATCATCGGTGGATCAGGTATGCTGAACCCAATCATGAGCGCCGTCATGACAAAATAAGGTGGACCAAGTACAAGATGCACCGTATCAAAACTCCATCGTCCTGCACCGTTAAGAGGACGATAAGTATCGCGTTTCAACGCAAGTCGTAAACCGCGAAGACCATATTCTCCACCTGATATAAACCCAAACATCGCCGTTATGATCGCAAACATGGCGCCCGGACGTAAATCGGTTAGGTTTGAGATTGCGAAGTAGAATATTATGGGAATGAGTGTGCATTCTGTCAAGATGAGGAACCAGAATAGGAAAATCATGAGTTTGTGTTCGTGGAGGTTATACGGTAGTGGTGGAGGACCACGGGCGATAGTATCGGGCTGTTCATTTTTGCTCGGCATGGACGGTGTGCTCGGAGCAGAAGAAAGCGTTATATTTTCTGTACCCGACACGTTATTCGAGGTTGTCGCCATTGTGAGAAAACTGGCGTGCATAAGCTTAAAATTAAGCTTATTTACAAAAACACTACAGAGGAGACAGAAAGCACCATTAAATCACTCAGGGGCATTCACTGTATTTTATTCTAGCGTGTAGTGGTTATGGCGTACGTCAGTGGCAAAAGATTAGTGACAGACGAGTGCGTCAGAACGGTCTTGGTATTGAAGAGTTGGGGGCGGATGGAGCGGGTGATGATGCTGTTTTTGCTTGGCGTGAGCGCTGATAATATGTGCCAAGGGATTGGAAAACAAGATTGGCTGTCTGGAGAGGCTTGGTTAGAGTAGAGTGTGTTACGCTTAGGAGATTTACATCCGGGTATGTAACGTCGAAAGCGAGAGAATTGGATCGATGATGGCTGCTTTTGGTCTTCGGTTTCGTCTTCACTGGAATATTTCGTACTCGGTTCTTGAGGGATGGTGTTGAAGGTTTTGCCATTGTGGGATGATGGTCAACTTCAAAGCGGGTGTCATCCGACTAGAGACGCGAAAGACATCGCCTTGAAAGCCACCACAGAGCCTAAATGGAGTTCCAGTTTACTTCAGTAGATTGTACTAAAGAGTGAGAGGATATGATATTGATAACTCATCATTGGCACACGTAACTACCGGCGTTGATCTACAACAGCACCGGTGTCTTATTACCGACCCGGACGTCCGTACAGACAAGGATGACAATTAGACCATTCTTCCGCATCTTCCGGGCCGCTTGTAAACCCTTCGTCTACCGCAGACGCACCAATGCCGAACCATCCATGAACAAGCTCCACATCTGTCTGAGCTGAACGAGCCGACCCGCAAGCTTCAAATCTCGTGCTATACTCGTACCAGAAGACGGAGCATAACACCGAGGATAATAATACTCCGTAGAGATCGACTAATACATACAATAACGCCGCCCGAACGCGAGATCGGTAAGACCGAAAGTTTATTCTTTCGCGAGCTCGAATGCGCTGCGATAGGTGGAGGAACAACCACGCGGCCTCTTTTACACCGACATGTCGTGAGTAATGTCAATGCATAGAGTTCTTCAAGTTGTCTTCGGAATGAATTGTCCATCGACTGAGGACATGGTTAGCATGACCCTGACATGATCGCCTTACAGCAATGCAAACACATCACATAGACACTGGACATTTTCGAACCAAAACAAATCATGGGTATTCGTGTACTGTTCTAACCTAACTCCCCCTTCACAAGTTCAGTCCCCTTCCTCCTCTTACTAACTCGTCACCAAATCCGGAAAATACCTCTTAAGATTACTATCCAGCATCCTTATCCCCACCGGCTTAACAAGATAATTATCCGCACCCGCCTTACCCGCCGCCTCCCTATCCATCTGACTATCCTGCCCCGTGACAATAAACACCACCACCTTACTATCCCTCATCTTCTCCAGCGCTCTGATCTGTCGTGTAGCGCTAATACCATCGCAGACTGGCATTTGTAAGTCCATGAGGATGAGGTCTATACCACCGGCGGCGCAGGTTTGTTGTTTCTTAAAGAGCTCTACGGCTTGGTGTCCGTCTATGGCGCTTAGGTAGGGAAGACCGCGTTTCTTGCAGTACATTTCTAGGATGCGCAGGTTGACTGCGTTGTCGTCGACGATGAGGGTCATGGGTTTTGAGGTGGTGGGGGGTATGAGGGGGTGGATGGGGAGGTCGATTGTTGCTGCTTCGATTTGGGATACGGCTTTTGCGAGGGATTCGCTAAGAAGTTGTTGGGTTTCGTTTGTTCTTGTGGGGGGAATCGAAGAGCCATTGGCGGAATCGTAGCCTTCGTCTGATGTCGATTGTTGATCGCTCTCGGTTGTTTGGTCGGCGGGTGTCAGGAGGGATTTCGGACCTTCGAGGGGAGCGGGAGATGGTTGTGGGGATGTTCTTGTTGACTTGCGCAATTGTGCGAGTAGTTGGTCGGCTTTTTGGAGAGCAGAGTCAAGCGTAGACGACGAGAATGGTCCATTGACGAAGACGATGTTGGTACATGATTCGGGAACGTCTGGTTCATCCGAGTTGGGGACTAAACAAATAGCGACTTGCTCCTTCGGTAGTATAGAGTGATATTTCTCTCGTTCGGTCGAATCGCGTATGTAGTCGATAATATTGAGACAATCTTGCGGGTCATTAGATAAGGAAAAGCCATTTTGGGTGAGGTATTTCGCTAGGTTTGAGGTCAAGTGTGCATCGGGTGAATCGGACGGAAGATGGCGATAACTCAACGGCAGGTGCTTGAGCTGCAAGGCTGCTGATTCAGAGGGCGTCGAACCCGAGGGACGAATGTCGCGGAATGTAGCGCGGAAGTGTGAACCGCGATCAACCTCTGACGACACCAACTCGATTGAACCGTAAAGCAGTGCAGAAAACTTGGTCGCGAGGGTCAAGCCAAGTCCAGCGCCAGTAGAGTGCTCGCCAACTTTCTCGTACAGATCAAAGATGCGACCTTGATCTTCAGGAGAAATGCCACAACCTGTATCCTCAACATCCACCACGAGCGTCTTCGTTTCTTGCGTATAGGACTGTGTGACAGTCACTACTCCTTCGGTCGTGTTTTGTATAGCGTTTACGATCAGGGGAAGGATACCGTCTCGGAAGAGGTTGATGTCAATTCGAAGGCCTTCGGACTCGGGGGTAAGGTTGTGATGAAAGAAGACCGGGGCTCGTGTGCGTGTGTCCCTAAAGGTGAAGTCGGCCAATGCCTTGACGAGCGACGTCTCAAGAGACTCGATGCCATGCGTGGCATATTGTCGTTCGGCAGCAGCGATATCAGCCCAGCGGTTGAGGGTGATCATATTGTTGACGGTCGACATGAGTTCCCTGCCCGCCGTAGATATTGTATCGAGGTAAATGGACGACTTTCCCAGTTCAGCAAGCGGCTTCATTATCGCCTCCACGCCAGGCCGCAACGTCGAACTTCCGGGCACTGTCAATGCCCTCAGATCTTCCGTCAATAATTCTGCGGCGCCGAGGATACCGTGGATCGGGGTTCGAAGCTGGTGCGATACACCTCGAAGGAACTTTTCTTTCGCTCGCATAACTTCTGTAAGGAGACGTTTTTGCCATCGCTGGGTGAGCATGGTAGCACAGGTGTGCACAAACCAAGAATCGACATCGTCAAATATTCTTCTGAAATCTTTTGTCGCGACGACGAGAACAGAGGGTCCGAGTTTCGTTTCGCATTGCGCTGAAATGAAGCGTACTACTCGATCTTTCGGCGGTTCGTTGGAATTCGAGTTCGCGATAAAGTCTTCGATATATTCGTCATCCTCCCACAATCCATGCTTCAAATCTGATGTCGTCGCGGGATACGGGACCGTCGATTGATCGGTGCCTGTAGACTGCAAACTTATTGACTCGTCGGGGAATGCTTGTCGAAGGATTCGGAGGATAGGCTCTTGGACATCGTCGCCCTCGGGTTCATGCTGAACTGCTGCGATGAGCTCAACAAATCGGTGACGTTCTCGTTGGCGTCGCGCTCGTGCACATTGTATTATATCGTGGACGATCCAGTCGGCTAGTCTAGCAAGTGCAAGCTGCTGTGTCTTAGATAACGGATATCGACCCGTCGCAGAAGCCACGCATAGCGAACCGAGTCCGACACATTCGCCCGACTCGTGTTGCATTCGGAGCGGGACACCAGCATAGGCGACAAGTCCACCGTGTTCAACGTATGGCGATTCGCGAAATCTCCAGTCTTGGAGCATGTTCGGTAGGAGGAAGACATTCTATCGAGGCTTAGCGAAGGGCGTCGGAGAGGCAGCGGTGACTATACTCCAGGTGGTTGAGTAACGGTATGTGCGCAGAGGGTTTCACCACGGGGAAGAATAGCAAGTTGAAGGCCTACCGTGGCCAGACGAATGTAAACATTGACATCCAGCACACCGACAACAGCATACTCCCAGCCCGATGACTCCTGAGCAAGACATGCCTTCTCCTGCAGACCCGCAAGAAGTTCAGGCTCATTGTCTAAATCCCTCGCATAATACCATAGCATCGACAGCCTCAGCCGTTCATTCTTTGCCAATCGCGATCGCACATATTTCGAAGAAGCACATTGCGCTTCGGGCGGTATCGACGAGGGACCGAAAGGATCTGGCTTCGGAGGGTAGAAGGACGAGTGGACGTCGGAAGTCCAAGGCTCTACCGGGATCTTGAAGTTGTTGGCATCGAAGATGGGGCCGATTGCTTTCGGACGCGGAGGGAGAGAGTCTTTATCGATTGTTGAGGAGAGTAGCGCGGCGTCTGCTTTGGGGAAGAAATGCATTTAGTGATGATTATCTAGGAACTGAAATTGGCGAGGCATGGGAGTGGGAACTTTTAGGGAAGGGATCGTCGAAAATTAAATTGTTAGAGGAATTGAATTGAAACTGTACTGAATTGATGAGATGGAGAAGAGAGGGAGGGGCTCGTGACCCGACCTAACTTAACGCGGGAATGACAAACATCTTTAGGGGCTGACAAAGATGTCGTCATAACTGTTCAAGCCGAGACAAGCGCTATTTAAAACGATTTATTACTTCAATTCTTTAGAATAGGTGCTCCTTTTTTTGTAGAGTTCAAGCACTTCATTCAACCCTAAGGTCCCCCCGCCTAAAATGATACCCTAAAACCTATGGACATTCTTCAAAAGTCATGGGTCACTTTTGCTAGCCTATCGAACCCCGGACATGCTACTATTCCGTCTTGTACCCGGTAGTCTAGATACCAGAGTCATCCTGAGTCGCGTTGTTGTGCTTGTTGAACATGGTATAATACGCAGCCCAGTTCGCACACGTCTCGGAATATGTAGGCAAGATGCCAGACTTTTTAAACATAGGTCCAATGACTTCAGGAGACTCAACGAACTGAAGCGCCAGACCTCCCGATGCGTGAAAGGCGATCTGAAGAGAGAGAATTAATTCCGAGGATCGAGAGTGGGGAGTGAGGCGAAACTTACATGACAGTGCATTAGCCAAACACCAGGGTTGTTGACTAGAAAATGTTAGTCCCTATTCCGCAACAGTACTAAAATAAAGGGATTGCTTACTTTGGAAGGCGATAATAATGTAGCCATCGACCGGTAAGAGTACAACGTCCCGACGAGGAGGGTTGTCCAGCTGAAGAGTAAAGTTATTCGGATTAAACTCTTCAGTCCCAGAATCGAGAAGAACAAAGTCATGTCCATGAACATGAATCGGATGCGCAACAGGTGCCTGCGTCTTATAAACCTTTCGATGGCCCTTTGTTGTAGAATTATGAATCGATTCCGTAAACTTGCCCTCTATGAGAAAAGCAGCCCACGTTCCATTCTTATAATCCAAGGTGACAGGTTCATACCCAACAGGAAACTGAGGGTTATTCCATCCTTTTTCCGAAGCGATCTTGACGAGACTTAGACTTGGTTCTGCCCAGTCAAGGTAGAAGGAGGAGTTGGCGAGAACCCATTTGTGCATCATGGAGTCTTTCTTGAATTCGTTGGGATATCCGACGAGATGTACTTTGAATGAGTTTTTAATGTAATCCTCATTGTGTTGTGTGATGTTACGCTTAACAATGGGTTTGAGTTTCTTGCTGGGCTCGTCCTGACAGCCGTAGCAGATGTTATCCTGTCTGGGGGGAGGTGTCCAAGGGATAGATGTTGAGCTAGCGTCATAGCGGATGATACCAAGATTAGATCTCGCACCGCCATTTTGACAATCGCGTGCGTGGATCCAGAAGTTCACGTTTCTGCTACTGTGCCCCTTGACGGCTGTTGCGTTTACGATGATATCGTAGCGTTGACCAATAGCGATGTTGATCATGTCTGTTTCGTAGGGTTCAATGGGGACAAAGTCAGTCGCCACGACCCAGAACTTATGACCGTCGATCCAAAACGTTGTATGTGTTGAAGCAGCAGTGTTGACGAGGCTCATTTTGTATGTCTTGTCTTTTTCGAAGTGGAATGATGTGAGTTTGGAATCACCCTTGCAGTTCTTGTCTAGCGAGGGACAGCAGTAGTATGTGCCGTTGCCGTTCATCAGCATGCTGTCTGGAGCTGGAGGGCGGCCTGTTGTCTGTTAGCACGAGTGAAATTCTGTTGGGAAGAAGAGGGAATAGTACCTAGATATTCGAGCTGAACTTGGGAGAAGGCAGTTTTGTGGAAGTTATCAGTGATGAGAACTGGACCGAGATCAACATCGTAGTTCATGCTAGTCGGCCCATTAATCTTGAGTGCGCCTGCTAGTCCGTCGGCATCTAATGTAAAGTTAGTAGAGAATGGTGATAGAAGAGCCTAGAGATGCTAACATTGTAGACTGAAGTGACCTAAGATTATTAGAAATTGTCAAAACTTTTAGGAGGTATGACTCACTGTGATACCATGATGTTCCATATTGTGTAGCTCTCCAACGATACGTAAACTGTTCACCGGGCTGCACTTGTTAGCACTCTGAAGGTCCATATTGGAGGTGGCTCGAGGCTTACTGGGATCGGGCATTCAGTCACGCCTGATACGCCGTCCATCCAGTTGGTGTTTAGTTGACGGATGCCATGCCAGTGAATAGAAGTGCCATTGAAGTTTGTCAATTGGTTCACAACGGTGATTTCTTGGGACAGTCAGGCCATGTACGGATGCAAAGAGGGACCAAAGCAATAGGACTTACCAAAAGTATCTCCCCAGTTCCCCTCAAGAGTCGGTCCGGGATACGTTCCATTGAACAGCATCCGGTCAACCCAGTATCCATCAGGTGCAATCCTTTCATTAGTAACATACAGAAGAAACTACATCCCTTCAGTATCAATCTCACAGCGCAACAGATGAATGACTCACCTTTCGAACTACACCCTCTGGGATGATCTCCTCATAATCCGTGTGAATATCAAAGTCAGTTGACCAGCATTGTCTATTCTTAGGTGAATTACAAGCCCCGTCAATAAACTTTGCATCAAAAGCATCAACGAGGGAAAGATCTTGGACTGGGGAGTAAGTATGTGAGAACTTGGTTTGGTCCGTGAAACGGTGGATGAAGAGAAACTCTGTGAGTCTCTTCCAGAAACCCATATTGAAAGGCACTTGGATGGTAACCTATTGTAAATGAAGAGAAGAGGGTAGGAACGGCAGCTGGAAAGAAATGGAGGGTTACGCGGACCCTGATGGAGAAGGGATATTGATATAAAGGCCTGACAGGGTATCATCTCATAGAAACGCATACTACACGGGACTCCCCTTGGCGATAAGCAGTCTTGCAGCGGCTGAAAAGCCCATGAGCCGAAATGTAAAAACCCGCATGGTGGCGTTCCTACAAGCCAAAGATTACAAACGAAGTCATCGTTAACACCACGTTATCAGCACCAAATCATTCGCCAATACCACCCCCAACGTCGTATTATTTGGATCGGTCTAGACTTGAGTTTCTACTGGCATATGTGTAGATTCCAAAAGCAGGAATCAGAACAGCGCTGAAATGCAGGATTTCAATAATGCGATGCAGAGGGTAAGCCATACATGCAGCTGAGAGCGGGGAAACACCAAGCTTGGTGTTGATGGGTGATAAGATGATATGGCGTTATCTTGATGATAAGTTGGTACCTCAGCTTGTTCTTTAATATGATGTTGATCTAATTTAGTTGAGTCTGGATTGATTGCGCATGTATTAGCCCCACGCTACGAGTTTGCATCGATAGTCTTAGAACTATTGACCTAAAGCGGATGAAACGCTACCCGAATGGTTCTGGCACGAACCGTTGGCGTACAGTCTGATTGGACGGTGAAGTATCCTCACTGGGCGTCATGCAGTTGTGAGAGATAATTTATTGAAAGTTTGGGTAGGTTTGATACGACTGCGTGTAGACGGCGAAGGTAATGTTGTATGCAGATTGCTGACCGGTCTTCTCCGGGGAGATGCGGGTAAGCTGCGTGGCTGGATGAGGTTGTATTGGTGGCCTAAGATGTTAGACGGTGTGGATTTGGGGTATGACAATACCGTAGTTAGGTGTATTCACTCAGTCCCATCTGGTATCGGCATACGCCCCGTTCTAGAGAATAAACATGAAGTATTAAAGACCCAATCCCTCATCCTAACTGCGAATCACTATCATCAAGCATTGCCATCATGGCTACTCCAACCGATCCTCTCAACTTCATCCCCGCAGACATATTCTTCCCCACCGTTCCAAACTTCACCAAACCCTCTGAAATCCTCACCGTTGAATCATCCACTTCAACATCCCCCAGCGATCCTCTTCGCTATGCTGCACACATCACTCTGAAGGGTGAGCCAAACACTCACTGTCTCGTCCAGTTTGCATCGCCGCAGATTTGGAGAGTGAGATATAATCCAAAGTACACTGCTGTCTCGGGTTATGATGATTTCAACTCGTAAGTTATTACTCTGTAGTTTGTTGTTTCTGATTTGTGGTCTGTGAGGCTTTGGTGCTGATGACAATAGGCGTACTATTGTTAGAGATACGTTTTCGAGTTTGGTAGATGGTCTTCAGCAGGAGTATAGAGACTCTGAGGCTTGGAACTCGCATCCTGCTCAGGAGGGATGGTTTTGGAAGACGTCTTTTGAGCAGAAGGCTCCCGATCACTGGGTTCTCACCGTAAGTCTACCAGAACCCCATCGTGCTACCATCTAACTCCTTCTAGACTGTTGAGTATCAAGATAAAACATCCACTGGTGTTCCGAACACAGCTCTTCACTTCTTCGCCTCCCCATTCCGCATAGTCGTAAGTACCCTCCCCCCTCTTGTGCTGCAAAGCTCACATGTTTAGGCGACGAGAAAACTCAAGGCACTTGATGCAGACCCAGCGTTCTTGAAGACTGTTGGTATCGACGCTGTATCTGAGTACGAGCAGATTATCTGGCAGACTACCGACCAGACGTTCTCCTATCAAGGTGATCCTATCGTTGACGCTGTGAACAATGTCGTTCTCAACATCAAGAAGCCTGGACCAGCAGCGTATCTTGGCTTTGGAGAGCAGGGTGGACGGACTGTTATAAAGAAGCCTACATATCTCAACTTCTTCTGTAAGTGTAATGCCATGATGCGATGATGGCTGCTGACAAGTTAGGTTATGATAACTTCAACTATTCAAAAGTCTATGGACTTGGAGCTCTGGATACTCGAGAGCCGCTGTGAGTATTGTTCATCCTATGCCAGACACCGTCTAACAGAGGAAACAGGTACCACTCCACACCTTTCTTTCTGGAGATGAACGGCAATCCGGATCGAAAGAATGTTACTGGCGTCATGGTGGATAACTACTCTCAAGTTGCCATCGATCTTGGCAAGAATGATTCGCATACCATCAGTGTAGCGACTCGTTTCAACACCTTTGATGCATGGATCCTCACGGCCGACGACGTTCCACGGATGATTTGGTAAGTAAAGTGTCTGTCTTGATGTTGGTAGCTGACCGCGTTCAGGCAATATACCTCCATTGTCGGCCGACCTAAGCTCAAGCCCCGTTTCATTTTGGGACATCATCAAGCATGTAAGTTGCACAAAGTGAAGCATGTGTACACAGAATTAGTTGACTGACCCATATAGGCTATGGTTACTCCAACGAAGGGACTGTCAACAATGTTGTACAACGGTACCGAGATTCAGAAATCCCTCTGGATGGTATGCACCTGGATGTCGACTTTCAGGCACGTCCACCTGCAAGCTTTTCTGACCTAGACTAACAATAACAGGATAAATACCGTACCTTCACCAACAGCAACAAGAATTTCCCCAATGTCGGATCATTCCTGAACGGCCTGAAGGCAAAGGGCGTGAAGAGCTGCACTAACATCACACCCATTCTCACCATTCGGCCCTCAGATGAAGGTCCCTACAAAGCACTGGACAGCTTCTGGGATGTCAATGATAAGAAGAACCCAGAGACCAAGTAAAACACCAGCGCCTTCATCTTCAGGATCATTACTAATTATGACAGTCTCTTGGTGGCCGACAATCGATACCTCAAGGGCCTGCCCAACAACCAACCTCTTTGCTGGCGCTACGATGGCGGTCTTCAGAACTTGGACCCAAATAACGTCAATCAGCGTGAAAGATTCGCAGACTATATCGGCGCTCCGGACTACAGGGATGACTACAACTTTTCTGAGAATTATAACAGTGGATATCCATTCCATGGCGGTGTTAGCTATGGTACTAACCTCGGAACTGTGAGTTACAAAAGAAGTAAGCGCCAAGAGTAGAGTTGAACTAACATTGATAGCCCGGATTCTATCCTGATCTCAACAGAAGAGCTGCGAGGAAGAAGTGGGGTGAGCAGTATCAGTATCTCTTTGACAACGGTCTCGAATTCGTCTGGCAAGGTAAGGCGCGCGATGCAAGCATCAGCTGTCAGGTCTATTAACACTCTCAAAAGATATGACAACTCCCGCCGCAGCAAAATGCTACGGTGACTCCCTCGGGTACTTTCCTCCTCCCTCCTTCACCCCAAACACTTCTAACAATATTAGTTTCCCCTCTCGCCTCCTCATGACAGACGATAGCTACACCGACCCCCCGAAAACCAAAACCGCCATCGAACTCTGGAGTCTGTACTCCTACAACCTCCACAAAGCAACCTACCACGGCCTCAACAATCTCAAAGGGCGCGAGAACAAACGCAACTTCATCATCGGCCGCGGTAGTCAAACAGGTATGCATAGATACGCTGGTCTCTGGACCGGTGATAATGGTAGTTCGTGGGACTTTTTTAGAATCTCGGTTGCGCAGGTTCTTGCGTTGGGATATAGCGGGTTGAGTATTGCTGGTGTAGACATGGGTGGTTTTACAGCGGATCCAGCTAATACGTTGCCGAATCCGAGGTGGTGCGATCCTGAGTTGTTGATAAGATGGTATTCGGGGGCGTTTTTGCTGCCATGGTATAGGAATCATTATTTGCAGCATCCTGAGGCGAGTTCGGGAGGTTGTAAAGCTTTCCAGGTAAGTATGGTCTGGGATACACAGGCGAGATACTGACGAAAATACAGGAACCTTGGGCTTACAGCGATATCCTGAACAACTTCCCCGGTCCTCTTCCGCCTGACCAGGCTGCGTTGTATCGCTCAGTCGTGCCTGTTTGCAGGTACTACGTTCAGCTTCGATATTCCCTCCTTCAGGTCCTGTACGACTACATGTTTGCCAACCTGACCAACGGTCTGCCAGTAGCTCGTGCCATGGTTTGTCCCCAATCCCCTCAGAACATCACTGACTTGCTAACAAATTTAGCTCGTTACCGACCCCTTCGACACAAGCCTGTTCAACGCCAACCAAGGATTCATCGACAATCAGTACCTTCTCGGCCATAACATCCTAGTCTGTCCTCAGGTTGAGCAAAAGGCAGGACGTCGCGATGTCTATCTTCCCAATTCTGATAACTGGTATCCTTCCAACCTTCGAGTCAACAACCAAGGCTTTGGACCTGATCCGATTCTCAAGCACGCTGCTGTGTTGCAGAAATCAGCTCCTGGTGGCAAGATTGTTGACTATGATTGTCATATTCCTGATGCTGTTGCGGATCCGGAGCAGGTTGCTTATGTTACTCCTGTGTATATCCGAGGGGGTGAGTCTAAATTACTCGGTGGTATTGAGAAAGCTGACAGTTATGAAGGTGCTATCATTCCTCAGCTTGATGTTCGTCAATGGGTCAAGGAGGGTGATCTGAACTCGCCGACCATTCACGTCTACCCAGGTGGCAAGACGACTGTAAGTACTACCCCGGCGATCAAATATTTTGCGCTAAGTGTTCTTGCAGTCATACTCGATGTATCTCGACGACGGTGTCAGCCGCGACAGTGCACCCATCGATCTGCCCCAGCACAAGTACAAAGACGCAGCTCAATACACCAAAGCAAAAGGTTTCTACCGCGAAGTCAAGATCACTCAGGTACTTTCATCCCTCATTGCTCCCCCACCATCATAAGAACTAACATAGCTTCAGGAAAACACCAAAACAAACCGTAAAATCACCATTCAGCACCAATGGGACGGCTACGACGCCAAAGCAACCATCGGCGACACCTACAACTTTGCTATCTGGACCGTTCAAGCAACAGCGCCGCCTGAGTCACAGATCAGTGTTGACTTTGAGGATGAGAATGGAATGACGGTCATCGACTCTGGACTGACGTCGACTTATATCGTAGGCCGTGGTGTTCTGACGGTTAGTGTACCGGTGCATCTCGTGCCGTCGCTCAAGACACCTCAGAATTATACGCAGGGATCTTTTGCGGATCGGTATCTGGCAATTAATGTCAGTGGACTGCCTTGAGAATGACATGGGCTATTTAATGTGGACACTCTCTTTGCTTTGGATTTGTTGGTATTGAAATCAGTCACGAATGAACATTAGTCAGATTGCAATACCATTTCTCAACTTGCACGATATCAGTCATTGGTGGGGGTTTAGGCGAGAACTGTTAGCGCTAAAGTAGCGCCAGGTACCTTCTGGGCCTCAAGAGCATCTCGATTCAAACCACGTTCTTAAGATGAGGCTATACTATTATAGCCCAAGCTTAGGGTTTCCAATTAAGTTCATGATGATATTGATCAGAATTGTGATATTATCATTTTAAAATGTTTACCAGTCACTGGCTATCTTGGGCTGCTGGGCACCGCCGTTGGGCCGTTGCTCTTCAACGCCCGCTCATAACCATCTGTGTCGCATTGGGCTGCAGACAGTAACATCCGGTGCTACAACGATGAGATACTCCTTTATGTCAAGTGCTTCACAATGTTCAGCATATCCTTTTCCTTACAGAATTAGCCCTGTTGACCAGAAGAAGAGCACCCGAAATAGATATCGTGCCACGAATCACCAGTGGGGTAGCAAAGACCATGTCCATGTCCATGCTGCATCGTGTCTTTGCTGCACCTGCATAATCTACGACATGCATACCCGCAACATCTTCCTCAATCAAGTGTCTTGCAGGAACACGGATCGCCAGTACATCCGTCAAGGATAAACATCATATCATCAAAACACCTCGAAGAGTATAGTGACTCACGCCATCGCCGATACATACTACGTAGTACAGCACTGGCTATCCACTTGGGCATCAATTATACCAGTTAATCCAAGGATACAAACTCTGACTCATGACAACAAGTTAAAAATTCCATCTGCCAGCAAATCTAGCATCGTGTACCATCCCCAATATGCATGCCACATCATCCCGATTCCACCAGTGGGGCTTCACCGCCAAAACCCATTAATCGGTATGGATACCTATTTCAAGCCCTACAATTCTCCTCAAATCTCCCCTCAAATCTCATCATCCATTCAAACTTCATTAGTATCAAATGTCCCGCCAGAAGAATGCGTCTCATACACACCAAAACCTTCCAGCTAGAGGAATTCTACGGCCAGCCTCCCGAATATGCCATTTTATCACACACATGGGGTCCCGACGAGGCCACGTACCAAGACTGGCAGGGCAACCTCGAGCTGATGAAGCTAAAGAAAGGTCATCAGAAGATTCGGCGCGTCTGCGAGCAAGCGAGAAAGGATGGCCTAATGTATCTCTGGTGCGACACCAACTGTATCGACAAGAGCAGCAGTTCAGAGGTCTCTGAGGCGCTGAATGCTATGTTTTCTTGGTATAAGAATGCGTCGGTTTGTTATGTTTATCTGAGTGATGTGTCGCCCATTGATACGGGTGCTTTCGACCCGATGGTGCAGTTTAGACAGTCGAGGTGGTTTACCAGAGGTTGGACACTGCCTGAGCTTTTGGCTCCTACGTCGGTGGTTTTCTTTGCGAATGATTGGACAACTATTGGGACGAGAAAGACTCTTGCCAATACGATTTCGTTCGTCACCAAGATTGATCAGCAATATCTCGACTGCACCTTTTACAAAGCCAGTATCGGTGAGCGCATGTCTTGGCTATCCAAACGAGAGACGGAACGAGTTGAGGATATCGCCTACTGCATGCTCGGCATCTTCGATATTAACATGCAGATCATCTACGGGGAGGGAATGAGGGCGTTTATCCGACTGCAAGAGGAAATCATCCGTGTTTCAAACGACCAAACACTCTTCTGCTGGGCCTGGGATGAGCGCTACGTTCCTCACGACTGGGCCAGCATTCTCTCCCCATCACCAAAGACTTTCGTCGACTCGAGTATCTACACCGAATGGCCTGTCCACGAAGCAAAGACATACACCATGACGAATGCTGGTCTGTCAATCAGGCTGCCTATCATGAACACCATCACCGAATCAGTCGAGCAGTGGCTTGTTCTTCTCAACGCTAGACGAGACTCGGAGAACCAACAAGTCGCATTGCTCCTCAACAGATTACCAGGAAAGGATCGATGCACTCGTAATCGGACACCACCTTGTCCGGTACCAGTCCTAACCGGATCTACAAAACTCCGAGAAGAAAACATGTTCATCGCTGGAAGTCGAGAGCGCGCCTCATACCAACCCGACTTCCACGGCTACGGCAGCTATGAAGTCCTCGTCACTCTCGACAGCGGCGCCATTCCCTACGACAGCATAACATCATGCCCTCGACTAGAATCTGGAACCATCAGTCTTCAATCATGGGACCAAGCAGGCCACTACGGCCGCGTCCTCGCCATCCAAGGCATGCAAAGCATAAAGAAGAACGAAAAGCGCGCCTCAGTCTTCATCGCCACCCTAGTATTCGGCATAGAAGTTGTCGGCTCCAAAATCGAATGGTTCTGCAAAATCCGCGGCATACAAGAATCCTCCGGCCCATTTAGCAACAGCACCCTCGAAGAAGCAGTCTACGAAGAAGAGCAGGATATTCGATCTCAACTTGCGAGAACAGGTCACTGGCGGGCGATCTTTGATCAAGAGAAGGATACTACGTCTGATACTGTGAGAAAACATGAGATTGATCTGTTGACGTCGGTGTCGCTGAGTTCAGGGGTGAGGATATCGGCGTCGTCGATGATGGCGGTTGCGCATTTGCAGTTGGCGCATATTGTGAAGCCGGCGGAGGTTGCGCCGTGGGATGATGGGCATAAGTTTAGGACTGCGGATGGAGCGAAGGATTTGTCGAGATGGTTGAGTGCTTTGGAATGAAGAATGAAGGAAATGATTTACGTACATGATTTAATGAAAATGATAGATACACATAAACTAGAATACCTTTTGCATTTATAGATTGGTCAATGAAGAAACTTTGTCTTTATATTCTAAGCGCAGATCTGATTTACTTCATCTTGATAAATGTCTTCTTTGGACCAAACTCCATAAAGTCCTTTCCTTCAATAGCCAGCCTGCTCACTGTGATAGCTGTCTGCCTCTCTTCAATCTCAACATCCTTATCGCCTTTCAAAACTACCAAGAAGACCAACTGATTCTCCAACCCATTCCGCAAGGTCCCTTTTTTGAGTCTCGCCGCAACTAAGCAACGATATCTCCCCGTCAGTAAAGTCATGTTATGCTTAAAATTCCTCTCCGTAACACATCCAATGGCCTGATCTGTCCCAGGTATAACCACCTCACTGAACGGTTCAGTTCGAATGTCAAGCGTTACAATCCATCCTTCGAGCGTAACAATCTTGTCATCAATACTGACCATCCGCGGAATGAGATCACCGCTCTCGGTAACTGTTTCAGTAAGGTCAGTGGGATACTGCACAGTTCCACCCCAACCGGCCCAACTCCAGCTTGGAAATGCAGCTCTGCGTGTTGGCTTGACTGTATGGTCGTGGATCCAGGCTAGTGACTGAGGAAATTCTTTGAGTGGCATTCCCCATTCAAAGCCTTCAGGGTATACTGGTTTGCCGTAACGCGCTAGACCGACTTGGAAGGCATTCAGAGAGTCACCGTCGTTGGTGAGAGAGCGTGAGGTGTATGTTGTTACCGTTGATATGAACATCGAGGAAGTTCGATCGAGGAACTCGGTGTTTGTGGCCTGGATGTATTAGCGTTAGAACTTGAATGATATTTGTCCGGCTTGCCTCGACGTGATCAGCTTTCATCTTCCCACCAGAAACCATTGTCCAAGTAAGATCCACAGCTGTATCATGCGCCTCAGCATAATCACTCGGTCCCAGTGTCTCATTACACTGTAATATCCATTGCGTCTCTGTCAAGTATAACTTTCTTGTAGAGAGAACATCCTCTTGCCAGGTCCAAGCTCGAGTCTGCCAAACAGAAGACTTGATCTCTGTCATGACCTGCGGAGGGACGACCACTAGATCCTTTCCGTTGATGCGCTCTCGTGTAGATCCCACACGTGGCTTTGAGATTCCAGGAATGCCGTAGTCGGAGTGTGGACCAGCGACAGCGAAAATAGTTATCGTGGCGCAGTAATAGATCAGGTGCATGAGTTGAAGTTGCTTAGCTTTGGTGGCTGCTTGTTCGGGCGTTGGATTGGGACTTTGATCAATACAGAGGGCATCAACCTACCAAGTTAGCAATTTCTTTAGAAGCTCCTAGGACTTCTTACCCATAGGTATCGCTTCCCAAGCTTCTTGGTCAGAGTGATAGCATCCTCGATCGTCTGAGGAAGTGTCCCAGCCTCCAAAGCCCCATCGGCGGGATGTATATCGCCCCAGACATAGCTGAGAGCTAGATAGTCACAGTTATCAGGACAATCAACCACTTTTCGGGTATCAACGTCAAGCATTTTGGTAATGAGCAGGCCTTTGTCAAACTTGGCATTACATTGCTCTGAGTGATGGTTCTGACAATGCTCAAGGCCCCTTTTAATGTGATCAACGTCAACCATCCCGTCGATAACCCTCGCATTGTAAAGTTCCTCTGAAGAAGAACTCGGATGCATGGCTATTGCTTCACCTATCATCATGGCGACTCTCAACTGCTGACCCGCATTAAAGAAGCTAGGACCAGACATATAAAGACCAGGCGTTGAAAGACCAAACCAAATTGCGAACTTTCGCTTATCATCTTCCGGAACGCCTTCCCAATGGTCCTGTCGGATATACCATCGATAGGGAATAAGAGTTAGAACAGAAGTATCGTGCTCAGGTGGCGGTCTAGGAATGAGTCGATAGAGCAACCGACATAGTGGGCAAGAAGGAGTCATGTGAAACTCTGACAGAAGACCGAAGCGTAGTCTGTATGGGTCCTGTCTTTCAGCGTGTTGAACATACTGGGCCTTTTCTAGACTGCCTCTTTGGCTTTCATCCAAAGGATTGGCTTCGTTGAAAACGCGAATGATATCGAATTTGGCGCATCGTTGACAGAGCTTGCTTGGGCGTTGGCGGAGCCGTTCAAGGAGATCTTCATCTTGCTTCGTCCATGGCTTCGTGATATTATTTATACCGCTGTGGAAAGCCTGAGTTGGTTGTTTCGAGATCGAAGGACATGGTTTGTCTATGGGCTCGAGGTTACGACAGAAGCAGCACAGTCTTGAGTTCTCGATAGACATGTTCGATGGTGGTGGAACACTGGAAGATGATTGGAAGTGGTCTGTGACTGGGTCTTGATAGTTACTGCACTAACAAGGAGACTGTCGGAGAAAAGCCCTTGAATATTCTGGCTGCAGTTTTCGACCCTCACTTACAGGTAAGAGGATGCCATACTAATGAGACGGTAGCTGATTGTAAGAAACGCCCTTTTTGCTGCGGGGTTGAGCGTTAGCGGTAAGGCTGAGTGGATTCCTGGATGCCATGTCTCGTACCGGATGATAGGATGAGACCAGACAAGGGTTATCAGCCTAGCCCACTACGAAGTGGAAACGCCTTGTGCAGCCACAGCAGACGTGCTTCCAGCTGAGCTTTTCAACCCCATCTATTGGAGGAGATCCTTACATCAGCGCTAAAGGTTTCGGGAAAAGAAGTATTCGGACAGCACTTATTTTCACTTTATCTCGTTTCACAAAGAAGTGGCCTTTCCGGCGAAAGTCTTTGTACTAAGCTTGACGTCTGTGGATTGCTTTCAAAGTTGTCGAGCTCATTTAACACCATTTCAGTCCAACACATTCAACCTTGCGTCACAAGAATGTCGGACATACCGGCGACTCGGCTGGCTCAACCATATCCTGGACCATCACTTCCCAGTCCAACGCATATTCGTCTCGTCCACTTGCAGCCCGGAATCGACGAAGCTATTCACTGCGAGCTAATAACAGCATCTATTGAGTCCTCACCTAATTACGAGGCTTTATCATACACATGGGGAGATCCCTCCAGTTCAGAAACCATCAACATGGCCACGCAGGGCTCCGAAACCACCCAACAATTCTCAGTGACATCTAACTGCTTCTCCGCACTGAAACGCCTCCGGTATAAAAACAAGCCCAGGGTTCTTTGGATTGACGCCCTGGCTATCGATCAAACGAATATCGACGAGAGAAATCACCAAGTCAGTCTCATGTCGAGGATATACTCTCAAGCTGCGGGTGTAGTCGTTTATCTCGGCGAATCTGCAGATAACAGCGACTTGGCCATCGAATTCATCATGGAGTGCTATGATCCATCTCCCAATACTACATCTTTAAGTTTTCCCAAGTCAGATACTTTGATGGATGCACTTCGGAATTTCTTTCTTCGACCTTGGTTCACCAGGGTTTGGGTGATTCAAGAAGTCTTCCTATCGACCGAGAAGATTATATACTGTGGAAACAAAGACCTGTCATGGTCTGCGATGGAGAACTTCAAGCATTACCTCGCCAACACGAGATTGCTGTTCCGACTGCCATACGTGGTTTCAACGTCAAACAGACGCTATAAATATGAGTCTAGAGAGGAATTATTGTTGAAGGCTCTTCTTGATTCGAGACACTGCGAAGCAACCGATCCGCGCGATAAAGTCTACAGCCTACTACCGATCCTTCAGTCATCTAACAAGTCACTGGGCCTGACTCCAAAGTACCAGGACATGCGAGACAAAGTCTACACAGATTGTGCTCTCTATCTGTTGCCAAATTGCGGCTGGAACCTTCTGTATGCAGTGCAAGGCCAATCAAGTACAGAGCACCTACCGTCTTGGGTTCCAGATTGGAACGTTCCGCCTCAGCGATATATTCTCGGTACAGCTCCTTGGATGGAAATGAGCTCCTTTTGGACCGACAAGGTACTCCCAGGCATTCCGGATAATCCTCAAATAATGATGCGCAGCATGGATGAGGGGCAAATACCAGTGTTACAAGGGTACGGATATCCATGTGGAAGGATCTTGAACATGGGATCAACTTACATCGCTGGACAAACACCATTTCCCGCTAAGGAGTGGTATAATCTCGTCAACAAGATTGATCCATCAATACGAGCTCAAAACTCTGGATCTGGTTCACCTGGCGCAAAGTTCCTTCGTAGGGCAGACTCTCTTTCCAAATTCCTTGGACTTGCTCGTTACTTGTATTCATCAAGTATGCAGGAGAAAGAAGAAGATCCTGCCGATGACCTGCCGAACCCAGACTTTGTCATCGCAGGCTCACGCAGCTCTTACCAAGAATACAAGTTTGGTTCGAAATGGGAAGATACAATACGGAGATTGGCTGCTGAGAGGAAACATGGTGTACTGTCATTCAGGGATATCCCGTTTCAATATGCTGCGGCGGGTTGGCCACTGAGTTACGCCAATACCATAAGCGGGAATTTGGAGGCTTGTCATTTGCGTCGGTGCTTTGTTACTGATGCAGGGTACTTTGGACTTGCACCTGTGGAAGCGGAGATTGGGGATCAGTTATTCATATGTGTTGGTGCTTCGGTTCCGTTCGTGCTGAGGGATACTGGGGGTAGTGGAGGTAATGAGTTTCACTTGATTGGGGAGAGCTATCTACAAGTCGGCGGGTGGTATGGCATGGTCAACAATGAGAGTCAACCTCAACCTTTGTACATCATATAATTCTAGCAAGCTTTATCTACATATCAAGATTCAATCCTGGTAAAGAACTCCTGCTCATCATCCTTCCTCTCAACAACCGCCCTCCTCACAAGATCATCCGCAACAGCTAATCTCAGCTTCTCCGCCGTACATGGAGCATCCAGGACCAAAGGCTCAGTAACGCCATTCATCTCCCTAGCAGCCTTGACAGCTTCTCTCAAAGCAAAGAATACCGCACAACCCAAGAACAGAGGAGGTTCTCCGACACCTTTACTGCTTTGGATGGAACCTAGTTTGGACCAGTTGATGGGCTTGCCTTGGGAGTCATGTTGGAGGGTTGTTACGTTGAAGACTTGGGGGATGTCAGAGAAGCCTGAGATGGGTTAGTAATGAGGCGAGAAACGGGGGTAAGAAGGGAGGAAGTACCGGGGATTTTGTATGTTCCTGGGCCTTTGGTGAAAATTTCTCCGGATTTCATCCAGAGTGATTCTTCCATTGTGAAGAGACCTTGGCCTTGGACGAATGCGCCTTCGATTTGACCGTAGTCCATTGCTGGGTTAATGGATCGTCCAATGTCCTGGAAGAGAGTCAGCGCTAATTGGAGATTGCTTCACTGGTAACGTACCATCATGAGATCAGTTCTTAATACTGTCGAGTCTCCGGTCAAAGTATCGAGCTCCACCTCAGATATCGCCCTGAAACCAAAGTCAGCATCCATCTCTTATGGGAACGCCAAAGTGAAACTTACACTCCCTGAGTAAAGTAGTAGTACCTAAAGCCTCAAAGTCAGCAGAGCTTCATCACCAGAGATCAACGCACTCACATAGGCAAAGGATCCTTCCAATTCCCCCACTCATACCCAATCCTCGGCATCTTCCAAAACCCATTCGCCGCCAAATTAACTCTATCTCTATACGCCGCATGCGCAATAACCGCCATACTAGCATCCTTCCCAAACTTCTCCCTATACGGCTTCAACCTCTCATTGATCTGATCACACGCGTTCTTCACAGCTTGACCGTTTATATCACTACCGGACGATGCAGCTGTAGGTGAGGAATTGGCAACTTGGTCGGATTGGGACTCTTTGTTGTAGATTGAATCGACGCTGACCTTGAGTTCTTCGGCGGCGACTTGGGTCATTTTCGTGTAGAGGCCTTGACCCATTTCTGTGCCGCCGTGGTGGAGGAGGACGGAGCCGTCTTCGTAGATTTTTATGTAGGCTGCTGCTTGGTTGAGATGGAGAGCTGTTGCAAAGCTAGTTCTGTAAGCAAGGTAATGCTGAAGTGTTTTGGGAGACTTACCTTAGACCAAACTTGGTTGGGATTCTAGAGATACCTCGCTTCTTGAACCGATTCTTGGCATTGAAATCTTTAATGGCGGACTTTCGTCTCTCAAACTGTGACGAAGCGCTGAGCTGATCCATCATGGTAGGAACATGGAAGTCGTCTGTGATTTCTTGCAGGAAAGGTGTCCGTTGACCGACTTCGTACAAGTTTCGCATGCGAAGATCATCGACGTCCATGTTCAGGGACTCTGCAATCTTGAACATGATCGCCTCAGTGATGTACATTCCCTGTGGACCACCAAAGCCTCTGAACGCGGTGTTGCTGACTGTATTCGTCTTGCAGACATGACCGCGGATCCAAGCATGGGGAATGTGATAGCAGTTGTCGACGTGAGTACAAGCTCGGTCCCTATCATCGTTAGCATCTCATCTCACCACTTCCAAGGGTATCCCTACATGACTGCACCGCTCATATCCAACGAAGCACCCGCATTATTATAAATATCAATATCCAAAACCCGAATCTTACCCTTCCCATCAACCCCAACTTTCCACTTTGACTGGAACGGATGTCGCTGTCCACTAAAAGCAATATCCTCATCCCGATTCAACATCATCCTCACAGGCCTCGCCGTCTTCTGCGCCGCGAGAGCAAGATACATCGACAAAGCAGTAGTTCTCGACTCTTTTCCACCATATGCACCTCCCATTCTTCGAACGCGCATGTTCACTCTATTCATGGGCACGCCGAGGACTTGAGCGGTAAAGACTTGGTTCTCCATGAGATTTTGGGTCGAGATGTATACTTCCATTGATCCATCTTCCATGTGGGGAATTGCGAGACCTGCGTTCGTTTCAAGATAGAAGTGTTCTTGGCCGCCCATGCGGGTGGTCCCTTCGAGGACGTGAGCGCATTTACTAAATGCTTCGTCTAGTGAACCACTAAGAGCATCGCCTTTTCGTAGTTCTTTGCCGTGTTTGAAGAAACTCTTTGCTTTGATGGCTTCGTCGATTGTGAAGATGGCGGGGAGGCGTTTGTATGTTACTGTGACTGCATCGGCGGCAGCTCGGGCTTGAAGCGCTGTCTCGGCGTAGATCATACCAATCACTTGACCGTAGTAGTTGGACTTTCCATCTGCAAAGATGAGTTCGTCGAGAACGACAGGGCCCCAGGTATTCTGTTCCTTGGTGATGCTATCCTTGTCGATATACCCGACTACACCGGGCATCTCTAGGGCAGTTGAGTAGTCCACGCTCAGAATCTCAGCATGAGCAGCTTTGGACATTACCAGAGCTCCGAAGAGTTCGTTGTGTTGGCGTGGCATGTCATCGACATATTCTGCTTCTCCGGTACAGTGCTTGACGGCGGAGAGATGGGGAATTGGGCGGCCGACTTCCTTGGTACCCCGGTTCAACATTGACGAGGTGAAGTTGTCTCGATTGCCGGATGAGATACTGCGGTGGATTTCATCGATGAGATCGGCGTCGACTTTGCCGAGACCAAGATCGTGGACAACTTCGTGCCAGAAGCGGAAGAACATGGAGATAGTAAGAACTGTAGCACGGTTAGGCAGATGTAACTTGGAGGATGGGATGGATGAACTGGCCTTTTCGATAATGCGCCATGCCACCAGGCACACCAAATGGGAGTTGAAACTGCTCCAAAAGCGCATCAATCGCAGTATCCAACGTCTTCATATCAGACCATTTCTTCCCCATAACAGCCTGCTGCGCTTTCTCAGCCATAACTGTCGTCGGCGCCATACCGCCAACCGCAAAAGCAGCATCGTCAACAACACCATCCCCATTCAGTCGCACTCTAAAACCAGAAGTGACAATAGCGATATCATCATCCTTCCTCTTAGCTTGCTTATAAGCCTTCGTGATCTCAATGTTCTCTTCACGTGGAAGTGGAATCACGACTTCTGTTATGACTCCATCTTCGGGAAGTGCAGTGGTTCGGTAGGACAGGAACCATGAAGATAATGGAATCTCGATCGTCCCACGGGTTTGGGACTGGATCTTCACTTTTGCGCCTGCGGCTAAGAGGACGGGCGCAGAGTCTGAGATGGGACTTGCTGTAGCTAGACTCCCTGCGAGACTAGCCACATTGCGAATCTGTCGACCAGCAAAGTACCGAAGTTGTTTTCGAAGAGCTTCAAGAACCGAAGCTCGTCTACCAAGCTTGACGTACAAAGCAGTACACATCTCCTCAACTTTGGTCAAGGACAAGTTTCCCGGTATACTAATTTCCTTTAGTGATTTAATCTCAGCCTGTTTCATCTGCAGAGGATCAACAGTGAAGCCGTTCAGCTCAGAGATGTCTGCGGCAAACACGGAAACACGGTAAGCTCTCTTCTTGAACCGAACTTCGATCTGAGTCTCGCTCGCACCACCGACGATCTTGGCCTCTGGATAAACCCCTTTCAAGTCGATCAACTGTTGCAGGTTTGTCGGTCGGAACCATAGCCTTCGGTCATCGCCGTAGCATATCGGTTGAGGTTCGTATTTTCGCAAGGCTGGGGGAAAGATAGGCTCTGTTGAAGGATCGTATGGGAGGAATGTCTCTCCGAATGCTGGTTTGTCTGGAGACTTCGGAGGTGTGCTCGGCGTTTCGTGTGGTCTGGGAGCTGTGATCGGTGTCTCCATCTCTTTTGGGTTCGATTCATCTACACCAGTTGAGCCGCAGCCTTTTGAGGCGGGGTTATCCCGACAGCAGCCACCAGGACGGCCGCAGGAGCCTGTCTTGTTGACTTGACGTGCAACTGTCGCATAGTCGTCTTCTGTGTTCTTCTCGGGCGTTATCTCCTTGCCGTTGATCTCGGCGATGGTCCCGTTGAGGTCCTCTGTGATGAAAGTTCGTGCTGCTTCGAATATGGGTTTGTAGCCGGTCTAATCGCTGTAAGCAGATAACAGAGTATCTATACACAGGGAAACTTACACATCGGCAGAGATTTCCATCAAGATGGCCCTGTAGCTCGACTTCAGAGTTGGTAAGGTGGAATTTTCCATCCCGATATGAGTTTCTGATGAGTGCATACAAACTCATGACAATTCCCGGCGTACAGAAGCCGCATTGCGTGCCACTACCCCAATTAACCTCATACCCTCGCTCGAACTAATGATAACACTTACTGCATCTTCGCAATCCTCTCCTGTAGCGGATGCGGCCTCTTCACGGTCCCCAACCCCTCAACAGTGATGAGACTCTTGCCATCAACACCAACAAGCGGATACAAACAAGCATTTACAGCAAGATGTCTCACCCGTCCATCTTCCAGCGTCTGTAGCACTACAGTGCATGCTCCGCAACCTCCTTCTCCGCATCCTAATTTCGTTCCTTTTAAGGAATCTTGGGCTCGGATCCAATCGAGGAGAACCCAGTCTGGATTGGGATTCTTGACGGTGACGGGTCGACCATTGATGTAGAATTTTATATCAGAGGTCTTGTATGTTGTCTTTATGAGGACTGATAGAGATTCAATGGGTGTTTTGGGGGAGGTTTCATCGGTGTCGGATAGGGGTGGTGATGGGAGAGCGTCTTGCGCAGCCTTCATTGTAGCTGCTTGTCGTGCTGAGGGAATGAGATAGGTGTCAATTGGTACGGATGATTGCAGAATTAGGTTTCAAAATTGCAAAAACAACAAATGGAAGAAACAAAAGGTTCAGCTCAACTAGCCCCCTCCCTAGAGTCAGCCACTCGGACTAGTTGCAGTTATCACGAACTATCATCCCACCCTTGCCCAGTCCCCATCCTTGAACGATACGCCTCCCCCGCATTGCCATCACCGGTAACGATAAAGCAACGGCCCCATTCTTGCTGATTCGACTATTCCCGAACCTTCAATTCTGAAACGTTATCTCCCGTTGTGTTTCCGGAACGTTGTACTACAGATGAGGGGTTTGTGTCGCCGAGATAACCGAGTTATCTATTTAACTCAAAAGTGGGCTTCCTCCTCCCACTTCTGTTACTAGTATTCCCGAGTTATTACTTTACCCCGCGTCGGTGGTGCAGATTGATGATCTGCTTGCATGAACGTGAGCGGTTTAGGAACCTATTGGATTAGAGAAATAGTTGTATGATTCCTGTTCTTATACTTTCTCATTTCGGTAGGTAATCTATCTTGTTTTACAAGAGTGGCACAGTCTCTCCAATGCACACATAGTCGAATGCAGGTGGTAATCTTTCTTACATTGCCTCGAGGACTCAGGGCGTCTTGATGTGAGCTCATTCAATGCTCCAATTCCCATCAAACGTGGGATTGATCTTCAACTGGCCCAGCCCATCCTCGCCCGCATTCTTCCTATCAACTCTCTCTTCACCAATGGTCCAATTCTTGATATGAATACCCAGCGTCAGGTTTCCTTGTCCAGGAGTGTAATTATCCATTCCCTCCCCCTCGTCCAAACCTACGACGCTTCTCCCAAGTCTCAGTTCGGCGTCTTTATGCAACGTCTCAAAATGCACATTAGAGATTTCCAAGTCGAAGTTCTGCATCGGAGCAATTGTCATGAGCGCTGCACAAATCCCCTCGCAACTAACATCGTCAATTTTGATATGCATCGTCCGATCAGTGTCGATCTCTTTTGGATCACCGTAGAACGGTGATGCACCCAGAATAGCCGACGGAACATACGCATCGGGCTTAATCCACCGATTATGAATGATGCGAAGTTTACTAACAGAAACACTGCTTACGTTACGCGGTTTCCAGCCCATCTGGATGATCGCGTTATTGCGAGCTTTCCAGATCGTCAGACCGTGAAGTTGGGCTCCTGAGTGATATAGCTTTATAGCATCATCGTTGACGTGCCAGAAGACATCTCGAACTGAGCCTTTGTACATCTGTGTTCCGTCGGTTTGGAAGTAATATGCACCAACTTGTTTATAATCGCGGATATGTGCGCTGACTTTGTTGTCTTCCTCGTGAGGAGTGCTGTCCATAGGATAGAGATCCATGGTGTTGAAAGGCGGCGAGTTCAGTGTTGGACCAATGCAATACCATGTCTGGTTGTCTGTGACGGACTGGTGCCAGAACATGCGAAGACTATACCGGTCGTCCTTCACAGCGGTGTAGTTCTTGACTGTATTTGCCATGTATACATAGTTCTCGCCGGACAGTACGCCATGGCCGACGGTATGGAAAGTGGGGTGTTGCGTGGTGTATTCTAGCGCTGCTTTGACGTACGCGCCTGGCTCGAAATATACATAGTCAGTGTTCGGGTGAAGCTTGATATGATCCTTGCCAGGAACGCCATCCTTCTCTATCCAATGGATGCCCGATTCGAAGATGATGGTTGGTTTGGACCCAAAGGTGCGTTGCGTCATCTTGCCTGGGTGGATGACTTGGACATTACTGGATGTCTTGGACGGAACGAGGTCTTTGGGGAGAGGTGGGCTGGCGAAGATGATGAGACCATTTCTGGGCTCTTCACTCACAATGACACCACCATCCTTCACATAATCGTCGCCGTTGGACCTATATGTGAAGAGATCATCCTGAAACTCGACAGAGAATCTCGCCCCAGATTTCTGAAATGGTACTCGAATCAAAACAGTATCATCTTTCGGACTCTTCACTTTGAGACCGAGATCAACAGGGCGAATGACAACGTTGGAAGCGGGTCCAATCGAGGATCCGTCGGTAGTAACAATCCGAACATCGACGTTTTTGCGGTAGATGAACTGCGTCCAAGCCATGTTGATGCCCTCGTCAGCCTCAATGGTAATCCCGTCGCCATCCGTAAAGTCGTACTCCTTCCCAGGCTGAGCTGGGTCGAACATCTTCCCATTTCCATTTCGGGGAATAGACTCGTAGACAAAGGAGGGGAGGAAATCATCTTGATCCGCGAGGGAGACAGAGACGTTGTATCGTCGTGAACGCCGCACCTCGTCAGCCGCCACCGAGGTATTGGTGTTGATGACTGAGTTATCGTGCCACCATGTCGTGATATCGGATTTAGGTTCTTTCAGTTCGCAGAGTCGGGCTGCTGCGAGAACGCTGAAGAATTTCCAGCATTTCAGCACCATGTTTGTGACTAACGATTAGATATGCGATAATATCAGCGTTGAGGGGTATGATCCCATTAGCTCGTGCTTCTTTAGCAAAACATCGGCATCATTCAAGCCGTTCTATATAGTTCTAGGATGAAGCGACATATTAAACATAGCCACATGTCTAGAGGCCTCATTGCGTGTCAATTGCTTGATCTGATAAAGAAACGGACCGACAAGACGTCGTTAACCAATGGTAGGCTCTCTGCCGAGGCCCATGCATCTTGGCATCCACAAACTTTAGCCAGTAAACCCGAACAATTCTTGCGGGTGCGGCAATTTTATGCAGATGGCATGTGTTTCTGCCATCAAAACTTCCCGAGAATTATTCCGGAGAGCCAAGAAACCCTTGTTCTGACTCAATACAGTGATTGATTAGATCCAGTAGCCGAAGTGCTCGATTCCGTGCTCTCGCACTACTGGAAAATGGTGGCTTTGGCTGATCGGATGAAGGAAATATGGAATAAGTGACTGGATATATACTGGCGTACATAGAACAGCCGAGGAACAGACAATATTTAACTGAAGCCTCGTAGTGTAGTTCTATGCCCAAGAAGAGACAGCCCGCTACGATTCCCGCGTCTACTGCGATGCGGTTGCTTATTCTTGATTTAGTGGTGTCACTGATTAGGAAAATAAGGCTGTTACTTTGGACTATATAAGGGATTGTGTAGTTGTATAGGAAGTGTTTATTGCTGTTTGTTTGAGACTGAATGTACTGATCTCAACTCGAATTGCTTTATACGAATGCCAGCATTTACAAGTTGCTGAAGATACCGGTTCACATTATCCCATCCAAGAAAGATTAGGCGCCCAACTTTAACACTTGAACTTGAGAGACTCCCACTCATCTCCAATGTTGAAGCAATCATGGAGATTAAGGCCTTTCTCTGAATAACCCTGACAGTTCTTCTCCCTGTATCGAATCACTAAAGAAAGGCTAGTAAGCGAGGGTGACATGACGTTGAGGGGAATTGTAACTTACTGTGGCAGCTGCTCTTCTTTCTCTCCTGCATGCTAACAGCATGGTCCTTACCAGCTAGGGCTTTGATACAATATCCACTATTGTAGCTCTTCTTGGACCTCGAAGTCCTGCAGGTAGTGGTAGTCCAGAATTTGACCGTGACATCGTTGGCACGGCTCTCAAGGTGAGATTCCAGCCCAGGGGGAAGAGTGTCGATGGGATTGGCTAGAGCCGGAGCGGCGAGGAGAGAGCAAGCTGCAATGGCAGTGGTGGTGAAGACGTTGAAGAGCATGTTGGGTAGGGAGCTTGGTAGAGTTATTCAGAAGTAGGTATTGTTTGGTGTGAATGAAGAGATGCAAGATGAAGAGGATCAAACGGATACTTATACCTGAAGGATGTTCTGGCGGTATGTAGTTTAGTTAACCCTACGGCGACTTCCTCTTTCGCATGGTGCATTTGACATGCTGTACAATCAATATTACTACGCCACTTGACTGCAAGTATGCGGTGTGCTCGGACGTCTATTCAATGCCAGGATATCAACATCCGTGGTTTGCTAGCTTCCGAATCGATACGACCCCCAAGCAAACTTTCCTGACTCCTCAAAGCTCCAGGAACTGTAATATTTTCTGCGATTAGGAGTGTATTTCATGCCTGGATTTCAACTACTATCGTCACCTAAGTCGTAAAATTCATGGAGAGTTTGTATGCTCTCTGAAGCTTATTTTCTGATACGTTGTCTAGGCAGAGTTGGGTTCTAGCTGAGAACTGACGCTTCTCGCGCCTCACCTCATTATCTCGTCACTTCTATTGGTGCATGAACGGCCCCCAAGAATCGTTGCCAGGACCCTAACACGCCTGATAAACGCTGCGTATATCCCGCGCTTGGCGGTCTATCTGAAAGTGTAGATTTAAACCACTATCGGATATTTAGTTCCCTGTACTCCTCATAAATCTTACATACATTCAGGATCCGGTTTACACAAAGAACAAGGCGTGCTACTGTTGTCACTTTAAAGGGCTCAACTAGCAAGACTCGAACAAGGAGTATAGACGCCTGTCTAAAGATAAGTTCAAGTACCAAATATTGACAATGAACAGAGCTCTTTAGTAGCGGCTCGTAAATTCAGCTGAAAGGGGAACCGGATCACTCAGCCGAGACAGGGATCATGCAGGTTCGGAGTTCAACATGATGCAAACAACTTCAATTGGACTGTCATTTTATGTATCAACCGAACAATGGTACGAGCCAGCAGTGTTGTATTGGGGGCGGAAAAGAAAGTCTAGACTAACAACCGGAGAAGGATAGAAAAGCGCCCCGATAGGGGCGGCTGCGTCAAGCGCTGGTTTTTCACTAATGGGGTATCATAACTGAACCGCGCGTGGCTTTAGTCCATGACAGATGATATTGTCGTTGTCTTGATGTCCAGTTGATTAAGGCCAAGATTTAAGTTGCAGGTCGGGAGGCGAATGGTAGAACCTCCTCGACTCACTCTCGAGCACTATGATCGTCCTTGGCAGTCTTCTCAACCCCATCAAGACCCACTACTTTGCAGTCCTCCTTGGCTATTTGCCAAAATTGGTTGCGGAGGAAACGCGGCAGAGATACAGGGGAAGATACCTTCCCTGAAGCCAAGCCGGCTACGTCGGGTTCAGCGCTTCGTTCAACTGCAGGCCAAGAATATTTTAGATACACACGAAAGCGATGAGACACGTGAATTGAGGCATCGAGCACACTGTGGTTATGGTGTTAGATGAAGAGTTGAGGGAAAAACCAAGTTCAAGTCAAATTCACGAGATTAAGTATATAGTAATTCTAATCACGCGAGACTAAGTTCTCTTCAATGCCTCAGTTCTCGATAGGCTGTTGGGGTCAAAGTAAGGCTTCTCGCCAATGCCTACAGCTCTGTGACCTGTGCGCTCACCAAGTCCATCGTAATCATTCGTCGCGCTGTGGAACGCGCTGCGGTTATCCCAGAATGCTATACATCATTAGCATCACCCTTAACCATTACTTGAATCAGAGTACTTACCAATATCGTTGGGACTTCTCCATCGGAAGCGAACCTGAAGGTCATGGTTCTGCTCAATCCTCTTGTAGAGCGACTCCAAGATCTCTCTGCTTTCACGCTCGCTCAGCTCATTGATCCGCTTGGGGAAGTTTCCAATCGCAAAGATAGACTTCCATCCAGTGACGGGATTTGTTCGAACAACTGGATGAATAGCCTTGAGCTCATCACCAATATTCGCGGGATTCCCTCTCGGTTCCTCGTAGACCTTGTAAAGATCTGGTCTCGCATCTCGCGCCCTCAAAAACCCATCGCCAGAAAACGTAGCAGTCAATCCCTCAAAGAACTTCCTATAGGGATCGCTATATCGATCATATAGTTCATAACCCGAGGCCCAGAGTGTATCGCCACCTCCAGCAGGGAGTTTCGTGAGTCTCAGGCTCGTGTAATCAGCGGGATATTGCTCAAACTGAATATCGCTGTGCCAGCTTGCAGCGCCTTGCTTTCGATCATCACGGTCTTTGATTCTGTCCTGGAAGAACTCAACGTTTGATGAAATAACGCTGATTTCATTGTCGTCTACGCCGAATTCATTGGTGCTGTTGAGAAGAGGATGGATGTGAAGGGTTGAGTCCTTGGGTTTGTTGGTTAGTTGGCCGAGACGGTGGACGAGTTGTTTGTGCTGTTCGTCTGTGAGGTTGTCTTGGGCGCGGAAGAAGACGACGCCTCGTTGGGAGACTGGGATGTTAGATGAGTTGGATAGGGACAGGTGAATGGCATACTGGTGATAGCGAGATCGCGGATTAGTTCATCTGCGTTTGGGGCGTTGATGATGTCGTCGACAAGGTTGACTTTGGGATATTCACGGCCGATGACTGGGGTGGATTCTTCGAATGTGAACTTGTCCAGAGCTCCGGAAGGCTGAAGAGGTTCTGGATATTTGGCTTCGACACTGAGCGGCACGATGCGCTCAGCCTGTTGAGTGATAGTAGCAGTATTCGACATGTTGAATGGAATTTAACCTGTCTTATAAAAACGATCTTATCTTAAAGAGACAGAAAGTCTATACAGACGTGGTTCTAGGCTTCACTTATATATAATAGCATCAGTCCCCACTACGCGTTATCAGATCGCACAATCCGCCATTTCACTTACGACATCGCATATTGCCGCGATTGACCTCGCTAACCCCGCAGAACAGGTACGCAGCAAGTCTAGTGAGTCATGCCGTTGGTCTTGCGCTTTCATCATGGTCGATGGTGTCACTTTAGCTTCTAAATCCATTGGATAGTGAGACCGGGGCATTGCTGATGCGATAACGTTGTTTCATCCGCATCATCGGTCGACGACCCATTCGGAACTCGGAGTCACTCGGATCTCGTTCCATTATTGATCCCATTGGATGATCGGACATCAAGGAGCTGTTTTGAGCTCCGAGATATCGGTTCTCGCACGCATTTGAGTCGGACAAGTTATCCCTACACTCGGTCATGAATGCCATTTCCTATTAGGTGACCAAAGCCTACAATTTCGTCATGCCTCGCCTTTCCGACAGGCCGGAGATAATTCTTTCAATTCTCAGAGCCACATGATTATGCCCGGCTTCTTTGTAGTTTGGTAGATTGCTGGGAAATCGGGATGGCGTGCTAGCGTGTCAAGCCCCCAGGATTGCACGTTATCCACTTCGTCATTAGAGCCTTGGATGGTGAAATGCGGAGGTCTCCATTGAACTAACGCAATGATAAAATATTAGCATGGAGCAATTTCTCTGATAAGATTGATCAAAATGGCATTTGTAGTTGCTCGTTCGCCCTTAGTGCTGCGTTACTGAAAATATATTGCTCCCAGTGACCTTGAAGACCAGTGAAGGTCCATTGAAGCTTTTTGGGTGTGTACATGAATAACAATAAACCGGCCACATCAGCCAATTGCACTAGAAAAACACACAATTTCTCAGAATAGAGTAGCAATTGAATTAAATTATTAGTTCCTCACAAACTATGCGAGACAGTTGAGTTGTAGATAATGTCATTTTGTATTATCTTGACCTATTGATGTGATGACTTGATGGTCAAATAAACAAGCTCAGGGTAGCTTGGTTTGATGCCCGGACAAAGGCTTTTCCAGCCACGGTTATCGATAACAGAACGCAAGCTTTACAGAGACAAAGATTCACCGGAATAATTTCGGACATTTCCTTTGGCCATGCCTTGGGCTCTTTTATCACCGGAGCCGTCTCCGAAGCCCTCGGTCCCGACCAGCACGGCCTCACATTCTTCCGCCCTAACCACGCTAAACAAAGGCGGAGAAACAGCCGCCGACTCCGCCAGTATCCCGCCCCCCTCCGCAAAGATTTTCCAATGACACACAGAACAGGCAGGTCATGGAGTCTGCAAAGCGGAAGCGAGCCGCCAAGGCATGTAATTACTGTCGAAAGAGGTAAGTTTTATGTTTGGATATGGGGTTGTGCTAACTAATTGGTAGGAAGAGGAAATGCGATGGCAGACAGCCAGTCTGTACGCTTTGTGAAGAGGCGAATAACTCCGAGTGCGAGTATCGCGATGAAGGGAATGAGTCAAAGTGAGTTTCACCCTCAGAAGTTATGATGTAAGGCTGATTTAGTTAGGCGCATTGCTATCCCTGTTGATCGTGTTGATGAGATCTTTGATCGTCTTGAATCTCTTGAATCAACCTTTCAGTCCGCTATAGCCCGTCAACGAGATCGAAGTCCTATCTCAACACCTTTCCCAGCATCAACGCCCTACGCACCATATCCCATAATGCGACATAACGAACCAATTAGCCCTGAAGATGGAATAGTAGCTGCTTCATCAGTTCACTCAACAGGACCTGGTACACAAACATCTTTATCTCAATTCGCTAATAACAATGTATTCAACACAACGATGGACATACCACTTTCTCACTCATCCACAACGGGGAATTTACTGAGATCTGCGCCTGCGAAAGCACTACTGGGTCATTATCCTTCAGATCTGTTTCTTCATATTGAGTTGAGAAGACCGATTCCTGAGGGCTTGAGGTTAAACGCCGTGCCAGCGAGTCAAATTGACTTACCGACGTTATCACCCAACGAAACAGATCATCTCGTCAGAAATTACTTCCAGCTCGTTCATCGCTTCCATCCGATTCTTGATCAACGAGCTTTTTATGATTTATATGATAGAACTGTTGAGCACGGTGCACGGCCTGATCTTCCCTCATCACTGGTCCTCGTTGTCCTTGCACTTGGCTCTGTTGCTGCCGAGACGCCGAATCGAATGGATGCGAATTGGAGCCCGGGGGTAAAGTTCTTTACACCGGCTGTGAGGCTTTTACTCACGGAGTCGTTGTGCTCGTTTGGCGGTGATCCGCTTTTACCGCAGGCGTTGTATCTTGCTGCGTTGTATTATAGTTATTTGTCGAGGCCTTTGCTTGCGTGGAGGTTGGTGCATATGGCTTCCACTGATGTCCAGCATTATTGGATCAGGTATGTGCAAACTTTCCCAAAATGCAGTAGTGTCCTGACAATCGGCAGATCAGAGAAGTTGCTGCGAGATGGTCAAAGCGGTTCGCAAGATCAGTCAATTCTTCGAGTCTTCTGGGCCATACTCGTACTCGAATGGTGAGTCATATTTTCTATCTCTCGAAGGTCTTATCTAACTATTGCCAGTGACATCCTCGCAGAACATCATCTCCCTCGCAGCGGTATCGAAAAGATCGTCGACAAACTTCCCTACCCTTGGTCCGATGGCCCTTCCGAACCTTACATGCACCGCTGGCTCGCCGACCTCTCATCACGTCGCCTTCTGAATCGTATTCACTACGTTCTCTACGCAGAAGCTGAACCAGGTACAGGCGATAACTCAGCAGATAACTCCGAAGAAACCCAATCGAGTCTTCCAAACTTAGCTCATGAGTTGAACCGCCAGCTTGGTGCGTGGTATCATCTTCTTCCTCATAGTATCCGACCAAATCTTGAGATTCCTCCAATAGGGATTGATGATACCATGGTTACTATAAGATATCACACAACAGGCGATATCATTTACAGACCATTTCTGTATCAGGTTTGTGCTCTTGCGCCGGGGACGCAACCTAACCCTGCGACACTTGAGAATGCGAGACAATGTCTTGTGCACTGTCGCAGGTACCTTAATGCGGTTGAATTTGCAGTCCATGCGCCGACGGCGTCTTTGGAGAATCTCTTGCATGGGTATGTCTATACCGAGTGTAGAACAACAATTACTAACAGTCCCAGGACCATGGCGGTGGTATTACTCCTCTCATTCGCAGCCTTCTCAAGATTGGATGCCCTCAGAGTCCCTGATCTCAACCAATTACAAGACAAGGGAATAAGGATCTGCGAAAGATGGGCGTTCCCAGGATCGAGTATAGAGCAAATGGTAGTTATTCTGCGCGCCCTCCGAGCAAAATGCATTGATACAGGATGAGAGCAAGCTCTATAGAAAAGAACGTCAATGTGTAGATTGCAGAAATTTAATCAATTCGGTATCATGGCTGTGCATACCCGGTCCCGGAAATGGCCAATCCAAAGGCGAGGTCCATTGATTTTTGACATTAAGGGCGCGCGCTAGTCATCGTCGGAAGCAGGGCCGAGATCTTTCCAGAAGCCACTAATTCAAACAATCAGATCTGCATTGTTCTTCAAAATTTGATCTTGGAAAAGTTTATCTGAGTTTCCTTTTTGGACGATTCAAGTATTTTAAGCCGCCCAGCTAAGCCAATTGTTGAGATCCGAAATCTACAGATCCACTCACCGCCAACTCCTTCAATATCTACCCCGGCTACACAATATCCATTACTCAATCATTATTACATCTTGTCTAGCTGGTACATTTCAACTAGTCTCATCATGACTGCCAAGGACTCCCAACAGGCTCACAAAGAAGTCATCATCAAACCCGCAACACTCGCCGATGCCAATCGCATCGCAGAGCTAGGCGCACATGTCTTCTCAATAACATTCGGGCACTCCGTCGAGCCTCATGAACTCACCGCCTTCCTCGAAGAATCATACACAGAGCCATCCATCATCAACGACTTAAACGACCCAAACAAAGATGTAATCATCGCCACAAACTCCAACGATGACTTTCTCGGCTTCGCATATCTCACCCGCGGGAGCAGTGAACCTTGCGTAGAAAACATGGAAAAGACCGTTGAACTACAGCGGATTTACGTACATCCTGACTCTCACGGCGCTGGTGTTGGGAAGGCGTTAGAGAAGGCTATTGAGAGTATGGCGAAACAGCAGGGGTTTAAGAATTTGTGGCTTGGTGTTTGGGAGGAGAATCCGAGGGCGATAAGAGCGTATGAGAAATGGGGATATAAACAGGTTGGGGATCATGATTTTACTATTGGGTCTATTGTTCAGACTGACCATATTATGGTCAAGAGTTTGTAGATACAAAATGCTACTGTGATGAACGATGAATCGTGGGTTGGTGAATTTGGCATTAGATGGTGGACTTGCAATATGGCAATGAGATAGACAGGCGAGATTACAGATCAAATAGCTTCTTTCCGATTTTTACCCTTTAAATCATGTCTTTCAATCCTGTTCGGCATTCAACACCGAGATATTGGGACTCAATTGATGAAATTCGCATTCAAGCATTTTCGACCTTCGGAAGCAGGTCCGATAACGCTAGGTGAATGACCAATGACAAACCTCTCGGTACCGATTCATTCTAGACCTTGCTTAGAATGACTGTTCGTGTGATTCGCCGACCTAGACCGGCCCGGTCGATGTGAACGACGCCCTCTCATACTGGCGGCCCGCCCTCTCCGCCAAACCTTTATTACTTGCGATATCCGTTCTTTCTACACCAGCTCAAAGACTTCAAAATCGCAAGTATCTCTCTTACTCAGAATCCCAGAAGGAATTCAGAAGATATCACTTTGACATCGCAACCATGTATATCCGTGCCGCCCACGCCGAAGCAGACCTCCACGTCCTTCGCCGTCTCATCCACGAAAACCCCCTCGGAATGCTCACAACCGGAATAAAATCCCAAACCTACTCCTTTCTCCAAAGCAGTCACATCCCTTTTCTTCTCGACGTAAAAGATGAATCCAGCGAAACAGAACTCGGTCGTCTCCGCGGCCACTTGGCCCGTCAAAACCCCCAAAGCAAAGCCATGATAGAACACTGCACCGCAGACCCCTCTTTAAAAAGCTATCTCGAAGATGAAGTCCTAGTAATCTTCACAAAGCCGGCTCATCATTACGTTACACCGAAATTCTATACAGAGACAAAACCAGCGACTGGAAAAGTTGTGCCGACGTGGAATTACGCTGCGGCGCAGGTTTATGGAAAAGCGAGGATTTACTATGAGAACAATGAAGAGACGTCTTCGTTTCTGGGGAAGGCGATTTCTGATCTTACGGATCATAATGAGAGGAATACGATGGGGTATACGGGTGGTGATAAACCAAGCCAGTGGAAGGTGTCCGATGCGCCGGAGAAGTATGTTGAGTTGTTGAAGAGGAATATTATTGGGATTGAGATTGAGGTTACCAAGTTGGAGGGCAAGTTTAAGATGAGTCAGGAGATGGGGCAGGGGGATAGGGAAGGTGTTATTAAGGGTTTTGAGGGATTGGGGACGGAGGTTGGGGATGAGGTTGCGAGGGTTGTCAAGGAGCGTGGGGAGTTGAAGGATCAGAAGAAGTGATCTCCAGGGACATTGACACGCCCGTGGGTATCTGGAAGGGTGTATAGAATACACTAATGCTTAGCTTGACCTTCTCAAAGCCTGGGGGATGAAACAATGATGAACACCTTGGTGACTCATCAAGGTGAGCATGTTACGGACCTATCGCAAGACAAACAGTTTCTATTTCGAAAGTTTAGATCAAACGAACATGTGATATGAACAGAATCGAACAGAGAGAATTGAAATATTGAGAGAGTTCATCTCTGCTTCAGCAGCTAAGCAGATTCGCTACCAAACGACTACTCCAATCGACCCATCGTGATAGGCACTTTCAGCATCATCGCACTTTACCTAATCACCGAGAACTATCCGGCAACTTACCTCGGCACTGTCAAATAACACAAGATAAGCTTGTCCCAAATGCAAACCTCAACAACCGTATATTCCCGACTATGGGGCCCCATGGGCTGTCAACCGCTCCAATAACACCCTCATTCTAGCGGTATCGTGAAGACGACCCTCGACTTTCGATGTTACGCGTCGCTGTCGGCCCTTTTATCATAGCATGAAAAACGCAGATCATCAAGTGATACACTTCTAAACATTTAATTGATGAATTCTTCAAAAGCTGACAGCACTACGGATGGCTCGGCTTTCAGGTACACCACGATGCGAACACGAAGGGGAATTGTGTAGGGTAGGAAAAGGGCACACCACGCTAGTATAATAAAATTCCCCGACAATGACATGATACAGTATATCTACCAGAAGAACAATTATTGACTCGTGAGAATTGAATGCAAATAATTGCTTAGATAAACGAGCTAGGGCTTTGAGAAACACGTGGAATTAAGTTAAGTTATGTTTTGGGTAAATTACCAGCATAAAAACTGGTTTTCTGGGGAAGCTTAAGAGTACGGGATTGCCTATGACGCAGTGGCGCTGGGAATACTGTACATCCGGACGCGGCTGAAGGGTACATGCATCCCGCATCCCATGACAGCAAACAGACAATTCCCTAAACTACCGTACAGTGGCAATCATATGGAGAATGGGGGACACGGGGTATGGAGAAATAAAGAAAAAGATAAAAGTGCTTTCGGCCGAGGCAGGGCCGTTCGGAGACGAAGAGAGCGGGTACAGTGCTGGAAGTTCTTGGAAATCGAATGGGAGTAGTTGGTACCTGGAGATTCTATGGAGAGAATGGATGAGATCGTCGTTTTGGGGGATTGGCGTCATTGCTTCGCATGCCAAGATTTGTAGGGGAGATCGGCAAACGGGGCTTGGCAGTTGGGCAAGAGATTTTGACGGCTGGGCATAAAGAAATGATTCAGAGAGAGAGACTGTAGTCTTGACATTTAAGTTCCTGTACTAAGGACATATCGATTGACTTTGATTCAGAGTCAATCTTGACAAGAAGATGTCATGGACTGATGCTCATCGAATCAATGTCATGGTCTCTCCGGATCTCTCGGGGTGTCGTCATGAACCAGATTCAGAATAGTACTGAACAAGGATTAGTGGCACTCAGGCACTAACGCTGCTACCAAACTGTCATTCATGCCATCACGGGGACATTTCCCCCAATCAGAAGTTCTGGGATTAATGACATTCATTACAGTTCTTTACAGGCCGTTTCAGTTGATTTGCAGCCACTACAGTTCCAAAAGCCATATCGTCATACCAAACACTTCACATTCACCGCAGCGTGAGGTGAAGGATCTCGGGCTTTCCCCAGCTTTACAACCCCGTGGAGGTGGTACCCCGTTATCCAATTATTGACCCCATTACCCATTGTTCACCCCATTCATCCAGTTCCCCTGGTCAAACCCCACAGAATTGGTAGAAGCAAAAAAAATGGGACGGACCGATTTCATGGTCTCGAGACCATGACAACTGGGATGCTACCGGAGTGCGGCTCATTGGGACACCTGTTTTTCCAGGCCTGACATCACGAAGTAACACACTTTGGCTTTATAACGTCATTCTTGTTCAATATGTATTTAAATCCTCGATACCCTCCCAGTCTGAATCAACTCAATCACCAATTGACTTTTGATCATCACTCAAGATTATAACACATTGTTATTCACTGTAGGGACTGCCCATCATGGCGCCGTCTTTCCTCACTGTTCATTTTGATGACCAGAATCCAAACTCTGAAAAGGGAAAAGAGGCCGGTGCGAGGAGGTCTCTCGCTGGCCTTGATTACTCGCCTTTACCTCGTGTCACACCCCGATCCTTTCTTTTAGCTACGTTTGTCTCAATGGGTGGTCTTCTGTAAGTTCCCTTTACCCTTGTACTCTACCAAACATGAGCTGATGGGAACAGCTTCGGCTATGATACAGGTCAAATCTCGGGCTTCCTCGAGATGCCAGACTTTCTGGACCGTTTCGCCGAAACAAACAGCAAGGGAGAAAAAGAATTTAGTACCGTTCGCTCAGGTCTCATCGTCGCTCTTCTCTCAATCGGTACGCTTATGGGTGCTTTGATCGCAGCGCCTGTTGCAGACCGCATTGGAAGAAAGTATAGTATTTCCGGCTGGACGTGGGTAATTGCTATTGGCTTTATCATCCAGATTTCTTCAAACACGGATTGGGTGCAGATCATGATGGGTCGATGGGTTGCTGGTCTTGGAGTCGGCGCTCTATCGCTGCTTGTTCCTATGTTCCAGGGCGAGACTGCACCGCCGTGGATTCGAGGTGCCATGGTTTGCTGTTATCAGCTTTTTATTGTAAGTTGTAAATCTTGGCATGCCAAGTTTCCTGTTCCGACGATCTGTGGGGTATTGTCAAGGATTGCACTGACACCTTTCTAGACTATGGGTATTTTCTTGGCTGCGTGCTTCAACTACGGCACTGTAACGCACCATCCCAACAGCTCAGCATGCTGGCGTATCGTCATCGGCATCGGCTGGGTCTTCACCCTTGTTCTCGGCATTGGAATTCTCTTTTTCCCTGATACGCCCCGTTTTGACTACCGCACTGGTAAAGTCGACCGTGCGCGCGACACACTCTGCAAAGTCTACGGCGCGACGCCTAACCATTGGGCAATCCACACTCAAATGGAAGAAATCGAGTCAAAGCTTCGCGCCGAGAGTAAGATCAAGCAGAATCCCGTTCAGGAATTTGTCAATATGTGGAAAGCTCCGCGCATGGCTTATCGCATTTTCATCGGAATGTCGCTTCAGATGTTTCAGCAGCTCACTGGTGCGAATTACTTCTTTTACTACGGTACTACCATCTTTCAGTCTGTGTCTATCAACAGCTACAAGACGCAGATTATTCTGAACACGATTAACTTTCTGGTTACGTTTATTGGATTGTATATTGTTGAGCATTACGGTCGGCGCAAGTCGCTTATTGCGGGAAGTACTTGGATGTTCATCTGCTTCCTTATTTTCGCATCTGTTGGACACTTTTCGCTGGATCGCAATGATCCAACCAAGACACAGGGTGCGGGTATTGCTATGATCGTCTTTGCTTGTCTCTTCATTCTTGGTTTCGCTACCACTTGGGGTCCTATGATCTGGGCTATCATGGCTGAGATATTCCCCTCGCGATATCGTGCCAAGGGTATGGCTCTTTCAACGGCTAGCAACTGGCTCTGGAATTTCCTCCTCGCTTTCTTTACTCCCTTCATCACGAAAGACATTGACTTCCGCTACGGATACGTCTTTGCGGGGTGTAACGTCCTCGGTGGCTTGCTTGTCTACTTTTTCGTCATTGAAGGTCAGGGACGTACTCTTGAGGAGATTGATACTATGTATCTTGAAAGGGTTAATCCTATGAAGAGTTCCAAGTGGGTTCCTCCTCCTCCTGAGGAGATGTCGAGGATTAGAAAGCAGGCTGGTACGGATATCGAGACTGCTGTTCCAGCGGCGTCTAGTGATGACGAGACGCTTGCGAGACCGTCTGGTGTTACTGATGGTGGACTTGGACATCATAAGGAGGAGCATGCTGGAACTACGCACCGCGAGTAAGGGATTGGTGATGATTGAGATGTGATAGAGGACGTTTTTATGAGTGATGTTGGAGACGAGATTGCATGATACCTACGACCTATTCTTATTGTTCATAGTCAATTTTACCGTATTTATACCTGATCAGCTACTTACAGGATGTGACTCAAAGACTGATACTCATTAATGACACTTGAACTGTGATGTGGTCATAAGGTTGAGGGGTTAAAAGAAGCTTCAGCCTCAACACAAAGGTAAAGAACATATATTAACACATATAGGCAATATACTCACTGCCTTCACCTAAGATAAATCTTTTGACTGAAAAGTTAGTTATCATCCATGACAGTAATTAAAAAAGCTCCCGGCATGACCCATCTCAGCGCTAACGAGCCGTGCTGTTGCATGGCTTGTGCTTCAGGCAGTCAGTCGCAGTCTTTGCACCTGAACAAATCACTTTCCTCCACGGTCAACGAGCTCACCCAATGCGACTTCCATCACTCGCCAGTCACCTCAGATGGAAAAACAACAATCTCCGCCAAATCTCCATTCTGATCCATGCATCGAAGAACGCCATCATCATCATCTGCACAAAATCTGCCGCCGCTATCAAACTTCCATCGTCATTACGAACGACACTTGTACTATTGACCTAGCTCGCTACAGTTACGCCTTCCACTACATAAACGCCGACGCCAGTACCTTCTCCGTCATCCTTCCCCTACCCACCATCCATTGTCAACATCCTCGCCACGAACATCATCAATAGCATCGACAATCTGAACCCAGTACTTCATCATCATGTGTCGGAAATCCAGCCATGAAAGGCGCTGTGAAGACTGCCACATGAGAGTCACCATCACCATCACAACCCACCAAATATGCCATGGTAAGCCCCCAATAAAGGAAGACGAGTTCCAAGACAAGACACCCAAGCCCAAGGACGATTTTATATGCAGCTTCAGAATGCGGCCTTACGCGAAACGTTGGTCCTACATCGGAGCGCACACCTGCATGCGTTGCAGTCTTCAGAAGGAAAAGAAAAACGTGGAGGAAGAGCTAAAAAGACTTGTTGCGGATGAAATTCGAAGGGAGCCATTGATATGCGAGAAAAGAGAGCAGTTACAGAAGTTGAGCCATGAGTTTATGGATACGGGGTCTGAGAAGATTTACAAGAAGACGCTGCCCAGGAGAATCGAAATCGACCAGAGGGGCTAGTTGCCTGGTGCACTGGCTGAGCCGGATAAGAGTATCCAAGACAGTATTGAGTATTTGTTCAAGGCCAGTACTGAAGCGGATCAACAGCCAGATGACCCAGCCGCCTCGTCCTCAGGTCTGTCCGACCCGCCTACTACGAGCGAGGGGGAGCCTTCTTCTCATGCAGCGGCAAAGAGGACGAAGGGGAAAGAGGTTGAGATCAATGATGCGGAGGATGTACCGTCCGAGGCAACCAGGTCATCTCCGCTCCCTGGAAAGGACCGAATTACGATTCAAGATAGTATTTCAGATGTTGAAATGGAGGACGGGGATGGAAACGACGTGGAGGCCATGGAAATGGACGACCAGCCCCCTGATGAAACGCCTTGGTACCCGACCCTATAGAAGAAACGAAAAAGGATGTTCCAAGAGTCTATAGCAACGGGATCACGTCAACATTGGTCCGCTGGTTGTGAATGATACTGTTGTCGCAGGTTATCCTTAGATCAGAGTAGTCTCACAGTGGTGGACGGACGAGTGCTGGATGGGAATGGGGGTTGCGACATGTATTATCAAAGCAATAAGTATGGGAAATGAGTGAAAAAGGTTGCCGACCACCCATGACAACAGGTAGATAGATAATATGACCATCGTTTCGTTGATCTTACTTACCTCGGAGAGATCGTGAGATGCGTTTCTTCAAATTTGAGAGTCTCTTGTGCCGGCAGACCACAATAACCCCATCAAATAATTTTAAAATACAGAGGTCGTACGAGTGCTGGACTGACCGCCGTGATCCCCTCATAAAGATCGGTCTTCAAGTTAAGAGGGCGCAGCATCGCATAGCACAAAGCATGCTACACCAGCAACAATGCCGCTATCGTGAGGATTAAAAGTGGTAAAGGAGGAGAATATTTGATGCTAGGCACTGAATGTCACGATCAGATGTCTCTGATTGACCTCAATCGTGCTGTTGGAGGGTAGGCGGGGAGACAAAGAAGTGGCAGATTTTATAGGTGAACATGCTGCCTTTTTGCAGTGAACAACACGCAGGTGACGCTTAGGGTCAGTGAACATGCGAAGTATTGAGAGGAGAATAAAGAATGCGATTCTTTGGGTACTTTCGCGAAAGCCGTGATAGTGATGCCTTTCATCTGAAGACTGAGCATCACTTTTGCCCCAAAAGGATAAAGGCTTCCTCTCATCCCTCACAATTATTTAACCATTTAATATAACATCCCGACACAAGTTCAAAGCCTAACATTCATCATCTTCAAGACTTGCTTGCCCAAAATGTGCCAAGAAAGAACAGAGACATGGCTATGCAAGTACTGCTACCGCTACATGAGATCTTACACATACAAAACGTGGTTGTGCGAAGGATACAAGCTGAATGGTCCTTGCACTGAGGTGAGAAAACCGCTGGAAACGACTATCTACCAGCATGATGCAGATTGTGAGTCTTGTAATGCGCCGAGGAAGTGGCCTGACGATCAGATTTTTGATGCGTAGTTTAAGAAGCAGGGTGGCCCATTAGGATAGGGATACAGTAGGGTCATGAAGGGACCGAGGATGGTGAGGATGTTGGATGTTGGATGCGGGAATGGGTAATGGTGTTTTTTTGAGAAGGTTTGGGGGTTGGTGTCTTCTTCAAAGCATGCTCAGAGCCGGAAAAAGCGCTCCATAAGTACTCCGTACATTATCCTTCTACTCCGCGCATTCTCGCAAATCATTAATTGATTCAATGACGCTTTGTAGTCGTTTGTATAGCAATCTTATCTTATCACCGGCTCATCAACCCGGTCTCAGTCCCCATCGGTATGCATCCCGATCAAGTGACACGGCATTGATACTCCACATTCTCTTTTCAGCCATCTTGTCTCACTGACATTTTTCGACTGACGAATCACAATCATTCTCAGTGACAGATTGTGGGGATTCATCTCCGATCTTCATGACGGCGGCCGAGCTTTTTCTCCTCCGCATGTTTTATCACATTAGCTTGCGCCCGGAATTTGAACTCAAGATACCCCAGGAACTGAGCTGACCGGAATTCCGAATTTTTGCTAAGAGATTACGCAAAGTTATACAGCCAACGGCCAACGATAAAGCCAATGCCGAGGACTACAGGCGAACCGCGTGTAAGGCGCTCTTGTGAGCGGTGTCGGTACGTTATCAGTCACGATAATGGCGACAAAACTGACAGGAATATGTAGTGAGAAGAAGATCAAATGTCCTGCTGAGAAACCGGGGTGTTCGCACTGTCGAATGGCGAATCAGACTTGTACTTATCTTCCGCGGAATCACGTCAATAGCACTCGAAGATCCTTTGCTCGGAGCTTGTTAGTCACTGTGCGGAAGGGTTACGATGAATGAGAGAGCTGATAATGAAAAGCAGGCCTCTCAAAGCACAACACGCTAGTATATCTCCGACTGCATCGAGCCATTCGTATCATGAGCCAGAGTGAGTTCTCAGGTTGAGTAAGAGTTGGTGTTCTATCTAACCGGATATTAGTCAGTCTTTTGGAAACAGACATCAAAGTCAAGATGCCAATACCTGGAATAGTCATGCAAACTCACCCCGCATACATCAGCAATTACCTCCGATAACAGCTATGCTCTCCGAAACCTCCTCATGGTACGGCGCAGCTTATAAACTAGAGTCTCAGACTCACTAACAACAACAGGTCACCAGCAAACCCTGAACCACCATCGGACCTCCTAACAGACTTCGTACATGCCTACCGCGAAAAGCTTTACTTTCAACCGCTTCCACTCTTCGACCCGAAGCGTCTTCAGCTAAAGATCGGGACATTACCTCAGTACCTCCGATGGAGCTTCCTAGCTTTGTCACTGCATTATACAAGTCATAACTTCTACTATGGCTTGGAAGGGAAAGCTATTGAGTACTATACCACCTCTGCGAGGAGTGTAGTTGATATGGCGGCGGAAGGGCTTGCGCAGTTGGAGGTTATGCAGGCTTTGTGTCTTCTTGCTTTGTGTGATCATATTGGTATGTAAGATTTGGCCATTTTGTATGTCGCTGACAGTTGCTCAGCGGGGAAACCTTCCCGGGCGTGGATGATGATAGGAATGGCAGCCAAGCTGGAGTCACTTCGCCTCTCAGACTCAAAAACCAGCGGCTCACGACAGTCCGATGATGCGATCTCAAGATGTCACTGGAGTATCGCCATTCTAGAAAGCACTTTTACTCCCCACTGCAACACTCTTTTCGAAGCAGCCCACGCACCGAATTATCCCAAAAGCGTACCACGACCAACGACTCTGCATGGGATGAAGACATATTGCGCTGACTTGACAGATGCATACGAAGCAAACGTCCAAGACGTGGGGATTGTCGCAACTTGTCTTGGCTATATCTCCGTTTGGGGCAGTATCATTTCTTACCTTCGAGATATTCGCAACGGAGCGAATGAGTATCCATGGCTCGCGACGTCAAGACACAATCAACTCACCGTCAAGCTATACGAGCTCGAAAACATCACTTCGCATCGCCATCTCATCCGCAACGCGCCCTTCCCAGATCAACCACCCTCCGAACTCAGCGAAAACAGAGAATACTGGGCTCCGTGGGTATTATTTCAAGTAATGATGCACGCCACCCAAGCAATCCTCAACAACCCCTTCGTCCAACTTGTCGCTCTTCGCCGCGCAGGTCGGAACTTTCAACCACGTTCCTTTCTGCAGAATACAGTTGATCAAGCTTTATTCCACGCAGAGTGGGTTTCTAGACTTGTGAGAATGTGTGCGGATAGGCAGTTTGAGGTTAATGATCCTTTGATTGGACAAGCTGTTGCTGGATGTGTTTCGATATTGTGGATATTTCAGTTTGCGAGGGATAGGAAGGTTTCGGAGAAGGCGAAGGAGAATCTGGGTATTTGCGAGACTTTTCTGGAGCATTTATCGCGGAAGTGGCCTCATATTGCTGAAAAGGTGAGTCTACATAGTGCTTGGTGGTTGGTGATACTGACACCGTTGTAGGTTGAGATTCTACGAACTCTTAACGTGAAAGTCACAAAGAAACGACAATCTCCACAAGATGACGAATCTAGCAGCGCAACTATACAATTTGAACCAGATATGATGTGGGAGCTCCTTGATCCTGCAATGTCGGGCGTTGACTGGGCGAGTTTATGCAGTGACGCCAAAGCAGGAGGGACTTACGCTGCGACGAGCGCTACTATCAAAGTTGCGACGAAGTTTATACATCCGATTAATAGCGATGAGGATAATGCGCCGATGGAGAATGTTTCGCATAATTTGTTTGATCTGGAGGATGTTTATGGGGAGCCGTTTTTGGATCAGTTCTTTTCTGACTCTTTACTTGTCAATATCTCATAGACGACATCATATAGAGTTGTTTCTTTCTTGGCTGACAGTTTAATATTCAGCCGTTCAATATCCTTTACCATATGGCGCCAACTTTCGGTCCCGGCTAAGAAGCCGAGGTTGCTTTGAGAACCTCGCCGTCCAATCATTGTGATACACAAATGCGCGGACAGTAAGCCACAGCTACGTCATTAACCAATACGAAATGCCGAGTTTGTAACCTGTCTGAGATAAGACGAATGAGAAGACGAAGTGGCTTCAGCTTGAGTTTGGGGCTGACACAGCCGTTCACCAGCTGTATATAAAACGCGCAGGCTGGCTGATGAAGCTTGCTGGTGCATAACTCATCTTTCTCAATATGCTTGTCTCACAATCGCTTCTCTCCCTTGGTTCTATCTTCAGCTCGGTGACGACGCTGCCGGGATGCGGTGAAGTCAACGTTTTCTATACGTGAGTCATGGCTCTAGACTGTTGATGAAAGAATTACTGAACTTGATATCGAGCGGTTTACCGGGTCGCCATATGTATGTTACGCAGCAAGGCTATGATACCGCTCTTGTTGAGGCGCAGATCTTCAACCATACGCGCCAGCTACGGGAAGCGGGATACGATACCTGGCTCCGAAATGAATAAGCACATGAAAGACGTCCTCTGGCATGTTGCCGGCATTGGCTTTGGAGTCCGAGGATCTCAGATTTCGGATGTCATCACGCTCTTTGAAGGTCAACAATCTTCCCTCACAGTCGAATTGAAGGGGAGTCGCTGAAAATAGCCAGAAACCCTTGACATATACCGTGAAGAAGCGCCGAATGCGAAATTTGTCTTCAACTATAATCCATTGACCTTTTTATGGTCTGTCAAACGGTATTTCCCATTGTCCAGTGATTGCAAAGATCAGCCAGGAAAGGATTTGGTGAGTATGTGAATGATGGGATGACTGGATCGAGCTGAACATGCATCTGCAGGGATACATCACGATTTGCGATGGAGCATGTATTTGAATTGGACAACAACATACAAGAAACCGATGTTGGAGAGGGTGATGAAATATCTTTAACTTCCGCCTGAGCGCAACATTAATCACAGGATAGTTGTTCTCGGCCATTGAGATCTTCATAAACTGATCTTACTTCTGAACATCATCGTGTCACAGTGGCCTGGTCTTTGAGCCAGACACCATGCCCATCACCATCAGGCATAAGGCCAGGGAGAAAATATGTAACCAGTCGTAGGAGTTTCTAATCGCTATGCGTGGCTATATTGAAGCAAATCTTAGTTATCGAGAGGTGTTTCTTTTGTAGTTCACCTAACGCATTTAAACCAAATCCCGTCCCTTAAAATTGGTGGTTGATTAGGAATAGTGCTTGTCATACTGATCCATCTTGTCCCATGGAACTCTGTAGAATATTTTGTATTTATTCAATCCGCATATGGAGTCCACGAGCGGTAACCCCGGCTGTCTAAACCTTGCTCGACTATTCGCTGTAAGATATCGACAGCCTGAACTACCAGCCTCATACAGTCATCCCAAAACGTGCGAAATCGAACGAATATGCTTTTAAACACAATACTGGCATCCATGAGAAACAGAAAATATCATCTAAGTGATATGTAAGTTGTGTAAAGCAAACGAAAGAAATAAGAGCATGACGTGCAGTTGTGTCGACAAAACACTAAGACAGTGCCACTCTCACAGGACAAGCCATTCCTACCGAGAAGGGAGAACCGGAAGAAGATTCTAGAAGGATTTGATGCATGGTAGACCAGCGTGCGATCGCATAGTGTCAAAATTGCTACGGTACAGAAACATCACGATTAGCCTCGCAGGTAACAGATCACACAGACTCGTCCTGCCACGTGTACGCACGATATGGTCCTTCCCTCCCTTGACCACGCTAAGACTGCCGTGGCAGTTCAATCACAACGGGCTGCAACCATATCGTGAGTTCCGGGTGTTGGGGACGCAACCACCGGGTAACAGGAATGGATCACAGCGAGAGGGTGTACGGCATGCAGATCGAGCAACGCCTGGACTAATATCTGGGGGAACACATGACGTGAAGTTATGGTTGCAGAGGATTGACGTTTTGGGACACGGCCTAAATCACGGGGGATGGTCTGTGAACACCTGGGCTCTCACGATAGGGATACCACTCTGGCGTGTATATACACCAGGCTTATCAGATGGTGGGGTGTTGATCCCTTGCGTCCCAGATTTGGGGTGACATTGGCATAAAATCAGGAACAGACCTTCAATAGTCACTGCATATAGTTTTATTACAAGGCAAATAGTCGAAGAAGACAATGTGAGTTGGTCATTGTGCCGAAGTTACGGTTCGGAATAGCATCGCGTTGCGAGCAGATAGGCCAGAGACTTACAGCACGGTGACGTAGGGTGACCAACTGCATGTTCCACGCATAGGCATAAGTCAAATAAAAATATGCACGAGGTTTTTCATTCTCAAAGTTTCATACTTATCTCTATTCAACTGCAGACGCTATCACTAGTCATTCATCATGAATTCATGGACAAGCAAGCAGCAACATCGGCATACTAGCATACGCTCCGACACCATCACATCTCATGCAACAACCTATCCCTTGAACGCCTTTCCAGTACTGACATTAACCTTTGTCCACACAGATCCTGTCGACATGTACCAAGCGAACTGGACAGGCCAATAGACGTGCATCATCCACAACCAAGGAAGAGGATCCCAAGACTCAAAAGTCCCATCCTTCCAGTAGATTATATGTTGCACAAAAGCCCGAATGGACTTTTGGATATCCGACAAACTCATTGTGCCTCGGAAGAGAGTGAGGTAGAAAGGATACAGAACAAGCTCGACGAAATCTTGGACCACCCAGTAGTATTGCTGAGGGTTCGTAGGTGACAGTGGTGGCTTTGTCAAAGGCCTTGGTGCAGATGGGGATAGAATGGAAAGATACTCATCGACGATCTCTGGGGTGTTGTTGAAGAGAACGGTGGCAGTGTGAACTCTTGGGTTGCACTCAATGGGATATATCGTGACCTCTTTATCTGCACCAGACTTCACGGCGTCTTCGTCTTCTTTATTTATCAAGAAGTCAAAGCTCATATGGCCTGTAAAGCTCTCCCCGCCTTCTTCAGCTTGCTTGAGTGTAAAGTCAAGCATTGCCCTGCTCAGAGGGGAATCAGCTGGGAGGGCGGAGTAATGCATGAGAACATCCGCGGAACGACATGCGACAAAAGCGCAAACGCGACCGCGTATGACGAGCGCGTGAGTGCAGAACTCAAGACCTGTGATGTACTCTTGAATGATGAAGGAGCATTTGGCTGTCTCGAAGGGAATAGAGTCGATGCGTGTGAGGGTAGCATCTTCAGAGGAAAGAGGAAGTAAAGGCATTGCAAAGCGCGCAACATCATCTACACCAACAGGCTTGACAAGATATTGCCTCGCACCATGCTTGTGCTTAAGACCTCCGTTCCTTTGAAGGAAGTTTATAACATCTTCTTTATCCTCAACAGCTTCCGTCAACGGGACCGTCAGCCCAAGACCCTTGGTATGCTCGATAAACGCATCCTTCTCATGAAGTCTCCGAATATCCTCAACACCGAATTGAATCGCTTTAGCATTCGTACGAGCTTCGATGATTTCTCGAACTGCAGCGTCTTCAACAGCCGCATTGACATCCGAGACAGAAACCCAAAGGTCAACGTCTTCGTAGTGAATGATTTCGACAATGCGATTGAGATATGGATCATTCATGCTCGTTTTTGAAGGACCTGAAGGCGGTGGGAGACGATAGTACGCGTCGATTGCGAAGGATACGCGACCAGGGGAGAGGGAATGACAATCTGCTCCTATGACGCGATGGCCTCGACGATGAAACATTCGTGCGAGTGAAAGACCTTTTGCCATGTTCACGCCCGTAACCAAGACGGTGACTTTGTCCAGATTATCACCATCATTTTGAAGGTTTGAGGTTTTCGGGGCAAAGCGGTTCCAGAGGTAAGCCCCTAATGCAAATAGTACATTCGTGGGCAGGAATATGAAGCTGAGGAGGAGGAGAGCCAAGTTCTTGGCGAATTCAATGGCTCGAGAGCTCTCAAGAGCCTGATTTGACTCACTACTCATGATCAATGGGATATAAACTCTAAAGATTAAGTCGTAACGGTGTCCAATTGACAATTATGAGCTTCACCAAGCTCAAGAGCTATAGCTATGGAGGGCAGAGCTCGAAAACGCGTTGTGAAAAAAGTCAATTGGAAGACGTCATGACTTGGGCGTGTCTGCGGAGAATGGTGTCACTAGCACGTCGGTGCAGCTCCGGAGCAACACATTCCGATCGCAAACCAGTCCCCTCTACTAAGACTGTCTAACTTAACTTAGTCTGAGATCCTGAAGAGGTGGAGTACTTTAGACTTCTTCGCCAGGAAGATTAGCTCCGATGGTTTTACACCATGGATCTCTCTTGCATATGCAGCATTTCACACCGGTCCCTTATACGACCAATTACAGCTACAGGGTGTTCCTCATGTCTTTTGAGGTATCACAAGTAAAACACACCATGTGCGGAATTGAGCCTGTGTGCCATTGTGAATACCGATACAACGGGTCGAGACTCTTTTCATCAGCCCACAATACTGTTACACCGAGATGTTGTGCTAGGAGTTTGCTATTTCTATGACGTGCTAGACTCGCGAGTGAGTGGATAGAAGAGCTGCAAAACAATAGGAATTCGGAAAATAAAGGCGGTCAGGGAATAACGGTCCCCGTGAAGAGCAAGGATAGATATCGTAGATCTGCAGTGCAACATTCCCATTGACCTTTCCGATCTCACTTCAGGGTCTATTTCACATGTCCCCCATTCAGCTACCCACTAGGTCAACGTGGGGAAAACCTAATGAATGACGCGCACATGCGAGATGGTAGTGTAATCGACGCCCTCACGCTAACATCGCCCCGTCTTTACGAGAATACAGTACCCTTTTCCCCTCAGCGACACTCCTACGATATGAGATCTAGGTACAATCTGCCCCACGCGGGGCCTTAGATCTTGCCCCCTGAACGACAATTCACGGTACATCCCGTCTTCTCACCTCTGTTCGTAGGTATATGACACCTCGAGAAAGAAGGATTCGCAATACACCTTGCCAAACAGGCTAGAAAGACCTATGTCGTGCTCAACCACTCGTTCCTTCGGGAGGTCTTCCGTCCACTCGTACAGAAGCGTGGAACTAATGCTTCAGACCCATCATAACTTGTACATCATGACACCAACATTAGATACATGCGTCTGCGTGCGAGAATGCACCTATAGCCAAGTCTCTGGCCTCAAACACACTACCCAACGAAAACGGTCCTGTTGTCTCTGTACCTCTCTCCCAACCAATGGTTTACCGAGAACTTATGTAGTGTTAACTTGCTCTCGTGAAGAACCCTGGCTTGAAGCTTGTCGGTAGTTGAATATCCCTCAGAGGAAGTTGCAACACATAAAAAAGCTCTTCCCATCACCTACCCTCCAACTTACACACATCCTCTACACCCTTATATCCCTATTGTCCTACCCTAAAACACTACCCACCATGTCTGATATGAGTGCTACTGTCGAGCCCACCTCCAAGGGTTTCGCTGTCTGTGGCTACGAGAAGATCGAATATGACTTTGAGTTTCTCGATGGTGTTTTCAACACTGCCAATCCTCAGCTATACCAGCTTTACTCCCCCTGGGGACGGTGTCTGGCTGTGATGGATCTCAACATCTTTAACCTTTATGGGAATGAGATGCAGAGGTACTTTGATCATTATGGTATTCCTCTTACTATTCATAAGACGATGATTGGTGAGAAGGCCAAGAGTATGGATACGCTGTTGTCGATTGTTGATTCTATGACCGATTTTGGTATTTTCCGAAAGGAGCCTGTTCTTGTTGTTGGTGGCGGTCTTGTCACTGACATTGCTGGGTAAGTTTCAGCCACCGTTGTAAATAACTCAACTGACCGTTATAGCTTCGCTTGTGCTGCGTATCGCCGCAACACCAACTACATCCGCATCCCCACCACAGTCATCGGTCTCATCGATGCCTCAGTCTCCATCAAAGTTGCTGTCAACTACGGCCGCTACAAGAACCGTCTCGGCGCCTATCATGCGCCCTCCCATACATTCCTTGACTTCACTTTCCTCCGCAGTCTCCCCGTAGCACAGATACGCAACGGTTTCGCAGAGCTGATCAAGATCTCCACCTGTGCTCACAAAGAGACGTATGATCTTCTTGAGAAGTACTGTGAGCAGCTCATCAACACTGGCTTTGGAAGATCTGATGATGCTACTCCTGAGATTAAGGAGGTTGCTGATAAGATCTGCCGTGCTGGTATTCATGAGATGCTGAAGCTTGAGACACCGAACTTGCATGAGATTATGCTTGATCGTGTTATTGCCTATGGTCATACTTGGTCGCCTCTTCATGAGCTTGTCCCTGAGACGCCTCTCCGTCATGGCCATGCTATCTCCATTGACATGGCGTACTCTGCTACCCTCGCTCACATCCGTGGTCTTCTCTCATCAGAGGAACATACTCGTCTTTTGAACCTCTTCTCCCGAGCTGGTCTCTCCATGGATCACCCTCAGTTCGACTCTCCTCTTCTTGAGAAGGCCACCGCTGCTATTCTCAAGACCCGCGACGGCAAGCTTCGCGCTGCTGTTCCCGTCAACCCAATGGGTGACTGCGTTTTCTTGAACGATGTCAGCCATGACGAGATGGTTGCTGCTCTTGAGGAGCACAAGAAGATCATGAAGTCTTATCCTCGACAGGGCGCTGGTATCGAAGCTTTCGTTGACAGCAGCGACACTGGCTACACCATGAACGGTGCACCCGTTGAGAACGGCAATGCTCAAGACATTCCCCTCAACGGCGTCGAGAACGCTAAGCTTCACGCCTCTGGTCCCGAGGGTGTCGATGGTCTTCAGCAAGACTCCAGCAGCGACGACGACTATGTCGTGAGCTCTTCCAAGACCAATGGTCATCAGGACAAGGGTATCCTTAGTGACCTGAAGGAGAAGGCGAATGGTTTTCAGAACCAGATCGCCAAGGCTGTCACTGTTGAGAGTCAATAATTGCGTCAAAACAAAACAAAGTTCTTTGCATTGAGGAATGAGTATACGATTGCTAGGTACTTGGGTTAGTTGACTGGGATTACTTTACATCTTGGTCCTTTTAGCAAAATGATACCGGGTCTGAGAGCGAGATGATAAATCACTCAGCATCCACGGTTTTACTTTCGATTCAAAATACAAACAAGGATTCCATTCCATCTAACATTCCGATTGAGTTGTGACTTTATGCATGGTTCAATGTTCTTTCTCTTCATACTTGCAAGATGAAGTTTCTCATTCGGCCTCCTCTTGTCCATCTTGCATCGCCCCGTTGATCATGTTGATGAAGTCCTCAGCCGCGTTCTCCGAAAAGAACTCCCCTTCGCGTGCCATACAGCGTCGTATGTAGTCCTGGCCACGTTCAAACATCTCCTGCTCATATTCCTTCAAGGCATCTTCCAACCGATCTCCTTCAATATCTGCACCACCAACTTGCTTACTGTGCTTGGCTATGGCTGTCGAGAGCATGAGAGCATCGAGCATCGCCATGTTGACTCCTTCTCCAACAAGCGGCGTCGCAAGATGAGCAGCATCTCCCAGAAGAGTAACGCCAGGGACTCTGTTCCAACTCACTGATGAAACAGGCAAGCGATATAAAGGCCACGCATGAAATGGCCCTTCAGCATTGGCCAGATATTCCTTCAGGTTCGGAGCCCAATTGGCGAAGAAGTCCAGTGAAGACAGGAATCTCTGGCGAATATCCTCTGTATCTTTATGACTCAGAGGTCTGCGATACAGCTCTTCCGGCGCATCCATGCCCATGTAAAGCCGATAAGAGCGATCGGCCAGCTGTTGAACGGCAAGTATCTTGTGCTGTCCCATTGCCAGCATGTTCCCAGGCCCTGCGTGTTCGAGAGCAGCAACATATGCGGGATTGTTGTGTGATATGCTGCCCTCTATGAAGACTTTGCCCGAGTAATCTGGCTTTGACGAAGTAAGCTTGCAGTGTATTAGTACAGGCTACAAGGCGATAAGTGATTTGACATACCAGCGGGCGCACCTTGCTCCACGCTCCATCTGCGCCAACGATGAGACGAAAGCCAGATGCGAAGGTACCATTGGCGAAACAGATAACATGCTCGGTAGCTTTGCCTCCTGTCTCGACAGACTTTACACCATGACCCCAACGAATCTTGTCATTCGGAATAGAGCCAAGCAATAGCTTCCGAAGTTGCAGTCTATCAATCTCGGGTGCATCACGGTCTTCTCCAAACACAGCCTTGACTGTACCGGTTGGATTCTGCATACAGACTCTAGATGCATCCCGTCGAGCTATGCTCCTGAACTCGTCAAACAACCGAGCCTCCTTAAGAGCGAGTTGACCAGAAGAGGTGTGGATGTCTAGAGTTCCTCCTTGGTTGATGAACTTGGGCTCTGGGGTTTCGTCACGCTCATAGACGATGTAATCGATGTTATTGATCTCGAGTAGCCGGGCGAGAGTCAGGCCGCTGGGGCCAGCTCCTATGATGGCGATGGATGGTTTGATGGTCATATTGGAAGGTTTTCAAAGGTATGCTTTTGTTTCACTGTGTTGTTCAGGATGAGAACATGACCTCTTGATGCGTTTTATATCAGAAAGTTGATGAACCGGTGGTGACAACGGACAACAATAACCCCTCTAAAGTCCGGTATTCCTCCGCTGACCGGCATCTACTATTAACTCATAAGCTGGTGTCTTCGAAAAGATGGAAGGCGGATGAATCCATTGAACTACATCGCGCATGTTGCTTAGATGTCCGAGCCTGACGCAGTTGATTGGCGGACTTCGGAGAGTAAGCACTTTGTTTTCTCCGATTCTGGCCAATGAGGTTGCGTTGCCTCGGACTTGATGACAGAGGGGAACTTCCTTAGTCTCATAGCGTCATTCTATTCTTTCTATTATTTATCACTATCAACCCTTTCGTAAACAAGATCCATCAGCCCTAATTGAAATGCCGTCACTCGGCAATGGCGGCTTGGCTCGTTATGCTGTAAGCATCATTCACCCTGTGCCAAAGCTGACACTAACCAAGCTTCAGTGCGACTACTGCAAGCAAAAGAAGTTTAGGTATATACTGAAACAAAGTGAGAACAAAATGAAGACTATTAACAGCTTTCTAGATGCTCTAAGGAACTTCCCAAATGCAGCGCGTGCAAGCCTTGGCCGGGGCCTTGTAACTATTCCCGAGATAAACCGGCTCCAAAGCCACAGTCCAACGAGCTGGTAGATCCATCATCTATTAGTTCAACAGGCCGATCAATTATAGATGGGATACATGAGCGATTACAGAAAGTTGAGGAAGCGGTGCAAGTTCTGACTGATACCGTAACTCAAGCTGTTGAAGCGATGAATCACGCTGCGTCAACGAACTGCCAACAGGCGTCAGAAAAAAGCCGTGAACCTCAGGGAGGAGGAGATCCACCTCCTAACCTGAGTGTTGGAGATGTCAATTCATTCTCTTTTCTGAAGGACACAGCTATCACAAACGCGACTATCGGATCATCACCTCTTCATCAGCATGCTGCAAAGGAGTTGCAGTATTTTTCAGATTCTTTGACAACAGCAGTAGCCAGCAAAGAGCATTCTGATACTGGTTTCTACGTACCATCCAGATCTGAGGGTTATCAGATGATAGGCCGTTAGTATTACTCTCGACAGAAGTTATGGACTTTAATTGACTGGCTGTAGGCTTCTTGGAAAATGCCTGTCTAGGCGACGCGTTCTTCATCACGCCTTCAGAAGATCTTCTCATACAAACCATATTCAGACCTGAGACTGTGTCAAGAAAGTCATGGGTTGTGTATGTCAATTACATGATCCTCACTATGCTGAAAAATAACGAAGATGCCAAAGGTCAAAGGTACCGGAACAATATGAAGTTGGCACTTAACGATAGCAGGATCTTTCTCGAACCTCACGAAGTCAATCTTCAAGCACTCATCATGCTAGCCATCCATGGTGAGGACTATGCTTCGCCGAATCTATCGTGGATGCTTGTCGGCCATGCATGTCGTCAAGCTGAAGCATTGGCTCTGCATACATCTTACAATTCAGACTTTGAAACTCGACAACGAAGACTTAGCCTGTTTTGGCTTCTCTTCGCGGTAGATAAGTCATGTGCTCTCGCATTTGGTCGCCCATGCTTCCTTTCATCAGCGATATATTCTTGCGTCCCGCTCCCAGACTTGGGATATCTGACAAAGTTTCAGCCTCAAAGCGACTCCCTTCATCCAGAAGGAAGCGCTGAAACGTCAAGGTTCGGAGCTCACATGTTTATCGCACGTATGGAGTTTGCAAAAATGATTGGCACCATCCTTGATTCACAGAAGCGAGAGCATGGAAAGGCGCTAAGAGACCAGCTCAGGGAATGGTATGCTCGAACGAATCAAGTAAAGCCAAATCCTGCATTATTGTAAGACATGAAAGGCTAAAGCGTTACAGATATTGAGGGATATTCTTGACAACGAGAGACCGTCGTCAAGTCCCAATCAGCTACATGAAATGACACTAGGTATCAGCACCGTCAAGTTTGACTACTTACATGCCTTCATGACTCTTCTCAAGTCTCATCCTCCATCCAAGACTGTGAGACTGGAGGCAGCCAGGGAGGCAGTCTCTCTTCTCCCTTCATTGGTGTCAAACTGGACTTCGGTATACAACAGCATGATATGGTGAATCGTGCCCCATCTTTTACGTACAGCTATCTAACATGCGTTAGGCACCTTCTATACTTTCCCTTCATACCGTACTTCATAATCTTTGAGCATCTGGCACAGGGCCACGCCATTTTGGGCACGGTCACGACCCGACAAGATCTTGAACTTCTTTCGGCAACAGCTTCCTACTACTCAAGTATGAGAGCTGAAATGCAGATGCTAGCTCCACTGTGCGCGCGTCTTGAGAACATCGCGACAGTATTCCTCCGCTTAGCCAAGCTGCACATAGACCGTCCGGATTCCCTATACTCAACTCATCCACTAGCTCCGGAGTCATTGCAGCCACTCTCAAGCCAAAGTCAGAAGACCAGTGTTTTAGTGAACAGCACGTCAATGGTCTACATGCAACAAATACAAACAGAGCTAGGTGACGAAATTGATATCGACTTGGAGCATTATCTTCAGTGGATATCACCAGAAATGATCCCTACTCAAGATTCACAGTCTACAGAGATCCCTGATGGAAATTTGGATGAAGGTCCTTTGGTTCTCGAGGGTGCAGAGTCGTTGCAGGCAGAATCCCGGGGTACCAAACGGCCATTTGATGTTATGTTCGACTGGTTTGCTTGGGATGTCTACTACGGAGAGCAGAACTTTGAGCTGACATGAAGTTCTGATGAAAATGTAGATTCTGAATGTTTATGCAGAACTAGATGCTGGGTTGTCCGTTTTGTTGTATGGATAGCTAGCCATCTCCAATACCTGTGGCCTGTCCGTCTTAATTTCTTTCCTAGGTCCAACTACGAAAGTCAGCAGATATCCATACTATCATGTGCAGTAAAACATACAGATATTCAAACAAATAAATTTGATCATTACTGGGAACCAGATAGCCACAGCAACGAGTTGCCCAAAACCCCATGTCGACGGACCCCCATCAGCCAAGTACATACCAAGCAGATCAATCATTTCGCGCAGTCCAATCAAGACCATAATAATGTTGAATATTTCAATAGTAGCCCAGAAGAACCCTAATGCCAGTTTTGCGGCCTTGGTCTCTGCGAATGAGAAGATCGTCTGAGACTCTCTGCCGATTTGCATATACTTGACCTTATCTCCTGCCATTCGAGTCTTGGCGAATTGCACAATCCAGTCGATAACCAGACATGATGCAATGATATGAACAATGAATTGGAAGCCTATAGTCAGGGCGAAGAACTCGTAGCTCTTCTTAACCTTGATGCTCTGGCAAAAGCTCATAGGACCGGGGTTGCCTCCACACGCTTCCACCGGGGAAACTTGCTTCAGGTGCTCTTCAAATGCAGCAGCGTTAAGGTCTTCGAACTCAGGCATGACAGTCATAACGATCCAAGACAGCACCACGAAGAAAAGAGTATAGAAACGGCGCTCTCCTGCTCGATGCATGACTAGCTGCGCCATAAGAACGGGATACATGCCGGCTGTGATTAAGCCCTGCATAATTCGACGATTGAACATCCATGAGAAGATCGTAAGCATATTTGCTAGTCCAGGTCTATTTCCGCCGTCGAATGTGATGATAGCTGTGATCGAGATGGTAGCAGCGAACAAGGCTTGCGACTCTTGGAAATCCAGCAGAGCTGAGGATGCAGCATTTGCGAAGCGTGTTTGAGACAGTGTTGTCTGCCATTTCTGACATGTTTCTTGCAGACAGCGCCTTGTTGAAGCCAACTAGCTATGCGGCCGAAGTTTCGGATCCAGGACGTTGTGAGTTTGAAGCAGAGGCCTAGGAAAAGGACAAGGGCGAGCTGGATGATATACGCCGTGACGATCTACAGAAGTCTTTTAGAGTGTCTTGGAACAGGTAGGAATGGGTGGCTTACACCTTGTCCAGCGATGTCCAAATCAATACCAGCACTTGCAGCCTGACAATACGGTTTTGCCATAGCCCTCCCAAACTCGGCGATGTTATCCGGCGACACAGGACCGCACTTGAACCCTTGAAGACTGCTCGTACAGCTGCCATACGTAGAGTCAGAGCAAGACGCCCAAGCACAGTCTCTGACTTTCCGAAAGACATTCAAGGAATTGAACTTCTCAACAGTCCCAAAATGAAATCTCTCATCCATCTTCCTCTCACTATCGCGGTCAATCGTATTGTTTCCCTGACCAACAAGTATACCTAACGTCGCGAGAGTCATGCAGTTCCACAGGTTTACTGGTGAACTGTACATGAGCGTTGCGTTCGAACATGCTGTAGTGCAGTTTGGTGAACTAGCATCGCCATTATTGCAGCCGATTGAAACAAGCCGCGCGCCGTCGGTTGGATTCTCAACAATTTCGTTGACGCAGAACAAGTGGGCGGTCTCCCAGGCTTGCCATTGCTCGTGTATTGAAAAGCCGTGGTAAGTTCTGTTGAAGTCATGCTCGTCTATGAGCTCAAATTTTCGTTCAACCATTTTGACAGAAGATGGAAAAGAGAGAGGATGAGAAGATTGAGGTACTCTCATTGAGGCTGGTGAACAGACCACTGAAGCCTACAGATTTGGCCCTATGAGATGCGTCAGCAGGCTTCCACAGTAAGCACAGCCATCTCTCCCAAATTTCTCATTTGATGAAACCCGATCGCCAAGTATTAAGGCCTGTTAGGCAGATAAATCATACGATAAGATTTGGGTGCTATTGTCGAGTCACTCAGGCACTAACTAGAACTGTTTCCGTTGAGGGGAAATATATCTGTCTAGGTAACCTCATATATCAGTGTTAGTAATTCGTTGAGAAAGTCAAGACAACTCATTCTCATAGAGGCCTATGCCAGAAACCAAGTGCAGTTCAAGTCTCTCCTCAACGGCTTTGCCGACAAGCTTGTTAATAGTAACCCGCTCGGCAGCTGCAGGATTTTGATGGCAACAATGTCTGTGTCAACGCTCTTAGAAGACATCTCTTGTTGATGCTTGGCTTCGAGAGTATGTTGACTGTCATTATGGGGGAAGACAATTATATAGTGATACCTCCAGTATAAATAATTCCACCTCTTCACCAATTAGATCCCGTGAGGGACTGATTTGATATCAAGGTTCTCTTCGGGCAGGTCAATGCTCTCTTGGCAGGCCCTACTGATATGTAATCTAGATTCTCCCCCCATAAAGGAAGTTGTTAGCAGGTGTCGCATCCTCAACATCAGTATGCATCTTGAAGATTGCTTGGTCTTCCAGAAGCTCACTAAGGCGAATCATCTCTTGACGGTTTACTTTTTATTGTTAAACTACTTGATCTGGTTATGCTTGGAATTACCGACGAATTCTTAAAGGTGGAATTTCATTCACTTTTAATACTGCGCCATGATCTTCATTGAGATGCCCGAAAAAACGTCTATTTGAAGCAATCGTACCAAGGAAGCTTCCCATCTATAGTACGGGCTCTGTCATAAAAAAACTTACTAGAGCTCAGTCCCCAGATCCCTTCTAGTCATAAGTATCACCGGATATGTAGGAAGTGGCTAGAAAGGATTCCTAAATATTTCTTTTGGTCAAGACCATAAACGCTGCGCCACAGAGCCGAGGGAAAACGAACATCCTTCTCGCTTCTGCTCTCGCTTATATCCCCTGCGATAAAGAGGGAGCCTGTGTTAGTCAGCGACACTTCAAAAGTGGCGGTAAGTCTACGCCCGAGCTTTAAACTAGCAAATTCCTTTCACTTACTTTCTACACCTAAGATCTCATAAGCTTTAGTCGACAAACCCTTTGCAATATGGCTGATGTGCTGTATGATGTATGTATATCCCATTTCTCTCACGTTCCAAAGCTAACTCAGCTTCCCTCCAGTACCGTTGGAAAGGTTTTATAGCACTTGTCTCCCTAGCAATTATTATTTACTAACCGATAATAGTAATTCTCCTAGGAGACTCAACAGTTGGAAAGTCCAATCTCGCTAGCCAATTCGCCCAAAGTGAATTTCAGCCGGACTCTAAACCAACAATTGGCGTAAAACCCGCCAACAAAATCGTCCAATGCAACTCCAAGACAATCAAACTCAATATCTGGGACACGGCTGGCCTAGAGAAGTACCGGGCCCCGGTACGATATTACGACGATGCGGTAGCTGTAATGTTGGTCTATGATATTACCAAACGCCAGAGTTTTGAGAATGCGGCACGATGGTTAGGCGAGGTTCGGAAGCACGGTGAGCCTGGGATTGTTATCATGCTTGTGGGGAATAAGACAGACTTGGAGGGTAGGAGATCTGTGACAACGGAGGAGGGGAAGAAGTTTGCGGGTAAGTTGATCTATCTTGGCTGATGTAGTCAAAAATACTGATGAGGCCTAGGTGACAATAAACTTCTGTTTATTGAAACATCCGCCCGCGATAACGGCCAAGTTGAACTTGCTTTTCAGACTATCCTAAACGGTACGACTGATTTCCTCCCAAGAGTCTCACGAAAATGGTAGCTGACGACATTATTTGGACTAGGCGTCTACAAACAGCATTGTCTGGACAAACAATAGTCTAGATTGAACACAATTGGTTTGATCTCGGCTTTCTCATCTTTCCGTATACTTTGGCATAACAATATCGCTCCGTACCAACGGACATGGCGAGGAGATTCGCAGTATGTAAATAACCGAATAGAGACTGTGATGTCCCAAATGACGTGAATTCAATATGCATACAATCTCAGTGCTTCATCCCTGAGTTGCGAGGTGACAGTGGATCCTTCCAAGGATCTACTTGCTTGTTACACAACGCGCTCTTACTCAGTCACAAACGAATCCTCACTCCATCCATAAGCCCGGTTCAACCGTCGCGCCAAAATCAGAATCAAATATCCCTCAATCTGCGACTGATGGGGTCTGTGAATGCTAACAGGCCTCTTGATATCCATATCCTCAGGGGGTCGAAACGTGTAGACAGATCCAAATCGTGGCAGCACCGAGAAATCTAACTCAGACATGGCCCCCTCGAAAGATGACCAGTTCACGGATCCTCGCGACTGGGTTTTGTCGAACAGAGTGGCAAAGACTTCAGCTGTTGATGAGCTGACCTTTAAGGGCTCAGCTGGCTTTACGGTTTCTTTGTGTTCGAGAGAGTCCGTGGTCGGGGTGATCGCGTAGACGGAGGAATGTTCTGGACGCGTCTTTTCCTTTTGTCTTCGAGTCTCAATTCGTCCCTTCACGTCCACGGGAGTAGTGTCGATGGGAACAAAATCCGCTTTGGTATCCTTGTTCGCCTTATCCTTGGCCTGTTGGTACCGTTCTTCGACATTTCGGAGCGCCTTCTCCAGTTCATCTTGGTATAGGAATCCCATCTTTGTTCCTGCCTTGTCGATGACGAACTGATCGAGCGCTTCCAGTGCTTTCGGGGACATGCCAGGTTCAAGGAGGTTGTCAATGGGTGCAGCATAGTCTCGTAGATCTACTTCCTTCCTGATCTTGTTAAGCTCGGCCTCAAGCTCTTGCAGCCCAGAAACGAGCAGGTTACCCTTCTTGCGCGAGGCAGAGGGAAGTGAATACACGGCAGAAAGATCTTGGACGAAGGCGACGATGGCAGCGACACCATGAAGAGTCCGTGACTCCCTCTCGCCAAGCTTCTCTCGCTCCAAAGGATGCGCCTTGTAGAGGTCACTCAGCTTTTGCATCCACTCAACAGCCCTCGTGACCGTAGTTTCCGGCTGATAGAGTCGCAGTAAGTAATGCAACTGAGGGTCGGAACGCGTGAGCTCCTCCGGCTTGCCCTTCATCGAGACTTTAGCATTCCCCGCGTTATCGTATACGTTGGAGAGTCTTTTGAACCACTTCGATCCGGTTCCAGTTGAGACTTGGCGCTTGAATAGTGCTTGCGTGCAGGCGTACTCGAAGTGGCACATATTAGAGAGCTCTTGGAGAATTGTTGATTTGTAAAGCTTATCGGTGGATGGCTTCTAGAGGAGGTCAAGAAGGCCAGTGATGGACTGCCAGGTAGCGATGCCTTGTACTGCATGATGGATTGTCTCAAAGACAGCGGGTCCGACGTATTTATCTGTATGAACTGGTAGCGACCGGCCCCTCTCGTCGGGCACAAGCTCGGGGCGGCTAAAGAATTGTACGTTGACACCAGCACAAAGGACGGTGGGCTCAGTTCGAAGAAGCGACAGGTATTCCTCAAGAGACGACTTTTGGTCGGAAGCAATCGCAACAAGCTCTTGGGGCGTGAGCTTGACAGTTGCCTGCTTGGCGACAGAATCGGAGAGAGGAGCGGTGGGCGGCTTGGAATTCTTCGCTAGCTGGCTCCGATCTCTGGTCTCAGAACCCTGGTCCAGAACATCCTCAATCATAATGTTAAGTATCTGCAGCAGATGGAGTTGTCGCTGAAGAATGAGCTCTCCCAAAGACTGAGGGATAATAAACCGTTGCTCCAAAGCAGACTCCATTCCTGATAACGCCTCTTTAACGTTCTGGCCTGCGGGGACGCGGAACGACCAACCATACTCCCTATCATCAAAGAATGTAAAACAGTTCTTGAAGTCATCAACATGGCGCAGGTTTCGTGTTCGCGCCATCTCATCAATGAGGTCGAGATCTCCAGCGGTTCCGTTGTAGCCACTGCGGTACTGCTCTGACAGAGATTTCGTGGCGCGGTGCTTGAGGATATCAAGAAACAAGTTCGAGTTGGGGTCTGTGATGTCTTTGAGATTCCACTCGGGTATAAACTTGCAGACGTTGCCTAGCGAGGCATCTCGGGAGTGTTTGAGGACTTGTCCTTCCATTGCCCCCGCCTTCATGCATTTCGCGCGCTGGGCTTTGTTGAACGACCGCCATGCTGCTTCGACTCTGGCACCGTAGGCCTTGTACTTGCGAACAAGATCTTCATGGAGTTCCTTGATGGCGGCCCCTGTGGAGTATTCTGTCATGGTGGGCAAGGAAGAGTTGACAAGTTGTGTTGCCTGGAGGAGAAAAACTTAATTGTTTACTCAGGTTTGATGCTGCAACTGAAATGGCGGGAAAACACGCGCGAAGGCTGTGGCTGGTGCGTCGTTGTGGCTGATGAATCATTCGTTTGACAGAGTAATCGCTAAACTGGATGAAAATATACGAAGAGAAAGGCAATAAACTTAGAGCAAGCATTTTCGTACCTGATTGCACTGTGTGTGGTACTGGTGATTCTGGCGCTAAGTTGACATGCACACCTTTCAGAGGGTAGTTCCTTGGAGCAAAGCTCTGGCTGACAGGGCTGTATTTCGCCGACATGTAGTTGATGGTCAACACGAAAAAGGCGAGTTTCCAGCTTCCTCGATGTAAGGTTCAACAAGTGGGGTTCCAGCCATGGATGGGTGCAATGTTGCATCATAGCCGCTTCCGGTGTCAAACTCTGTCAGACTTTTGATCGTGTTGGAGTCAGGCCTTGAGAAGGGTGCAAGACTGCCAGCAAGACCATATCGTTCCAGGCCACTTCGAACCCTCGCCAGCTTTGCCTCAAGATCTTCCATAGTGGATCTATAAATACAATCCCCGTCTAAAAAAGAGGGAGCAGGTGGGAAGAGGGATAATACCTTCTTCACAAAGCCAACGATAATGTTTAGTTCACAGACAGCGTAGAGTTCCGTTTGGAGAGGTCTATCGATTTCCAGTGGTAGCTCTTTGGAAGTATCGTAGAAAGTTCGAATGAACTCGTCACCCGTGAAAATATCAAACGCAGGGCTAAAGAAACAGAAGAGGTAGTCTGGTCGAAGGTCGTTAAGAACAAACTCGCCTACCTCCTTTTTTATACAGTCACGAGTATTATTCTCATCATCCTGCTTAGGGAGAACCCACTCAGATATAACACCAGTCGACATGTGCCGTTTAAGCTTTTCATGCGTCCGCTTGAACACGCAATTGCAGAGACAATAAAGCTCCTCAATAAGCCTATCTTGGTAATATCTGCCCATGGACGACCCTTCGAGAAGACCCAGGAGACGATTGATACATTTCCATATGGCGAGGCTATACTGCTTATCCAGAATAACCTCAAAGACCGCCATGGTCATGAAATGGCAAAGTTTGGAGACACCGTGCGGGGTTTGAAGCCTAGAATGACTGGCCAGATGATTTGTGACGGTTTCGCACAGGATATGTGGCTTCTCGCGAAGAGTGCATAGATACCAGCTGGGCCACTCCTCCTTATCCTGACCACTGGCAATGATGTCCTCAAGAGTGAGCTTGAAAGCTGCTTCTTGACTTTGTAAGTACTCTTCAAGTGTCGCATCAACCATGGGATTCAGAAATCCCAGGAGAACCGTCTGCCTTCGCAGTATAGCCTCGCCTATGTTCTACTGGACAAGAAACGTCGTCTCTATGTCGTTCTCTAAAATATGGCAGTCAATATTGGGCTCGATATAAATGGTTTTTCCACATGAATCCGGGGTGAACAGCAGGCAATGGTATCCAGATAATCTTTGCCGTTATCTTCATCGGGATCATAGACCGTATCGCAGTCTCCAGGTACGTCATTCCATTCGTAGCAATATTGATCGAACAGACTTTCTATTGATCGATTCTTGAGGAGTGTTCTTCGTAGTTGAGTTTGGGTTTCTCGTAGAGCTCTTGGGCTTTGTGGGAGAGGGGGTGGTACTCTACTGTGTCTGCTATGACTGCTACTTTTGAAGTGCAAATAGACAAGACGTTGTTCTTTACGGGTTGCCTTTTTTTAGCTATATTTTGAATTAACGATAGTGTTGAATGACGGGATCGGTGTTTGATGTCGTTATTTGACTTGCGATGGAGATGGAAGAAGGTCGATCGAAAGGGGATGAGAAAAGCTGTATCTTGTTTCCTATACTGGATTTTATATGGAGGAATTTGTATTTAGGAGCTCGCATATTTTGATAGAGTTCTCGCGTAAGATCGAGCCAAGCATATCATTGTGTAATGTGGGTTTGCGCGGAATAACCTTACTACATTTGGGCCAGTGACGTTAGGATCTGTTCCTGGATAAGCAAAGTATGTCTTCAAGCTTCAAGACGTCACACACACTGCCTGTTATGCTTCGCAACGTGTCAAGTTGGGTTCACGAACCTTTCAATATCCAAAGGAGAGATGTCGAGTCAACAAACGTACAAATCCTATAATTACTGATAACTGACACATAGTCCAACCATGCCTTCTCCTATAGATACTTGCGGGAGCCAAACCAGTAGACCAAGGGTGGTACGGCAATCTCAGTGATCGTAGCTCGTCGCACCCACGGAAACCCCCAGCCAAAGACGCCAGCTGAAATAGCTCTCCCAATACCGCCGAGTGCCAAACCAGCCAAGAGAATATTCAATGGCAACTGTCTTTCTTTTACATCGTAAGACGTCCAGCATAACGCAGCGCCGTAGCCAATGTATGTTCCACCAAGGAAGCGGAACTGTGAGTCCATGAGGGAGACAGTGGCGGAGGGGAGTTTTTCGCGTTCAGTTTGTGTGAGATATTCTTTTATCCCACGCACGACGTGTGATACGCCGAGATAGATGATCCAGGAGGAGAAGGCTTTCAGAATGAGGGGAGTGTATTCCATGGGTGCGGACTGGAACATTCTGCTGGGAACTTTGGTGGAGATTGGGGAGAATCTGGAAGTGCACTTGAATTGGTAGAGACGATACAGAAAGGCTCCAACGGACTACTTATAAGCCTATGATACAAGTTCCACTCTGGCCGAAACAGCGCGCGCTTAATCTTGAACAGTGAGATCTGGTATGCGTGTTGTTGTTCAAAACGGGACAACTATCTTGCCGTTGACCTATCAGCGCTGTTTGCAACGAGGAAAAGTCGCCGAGGTCAGGGGTAGGGCGGGATAATCCACTTGTCAGCGTTGCTGACAAAGATCTAAGCTTCCGGGGAATCAGAAGGGTCAATAAAAGAGTGCCATGAAGCTCGACAGTAGTCACAGATCGGTTTATAGCGGAGCTTTTGAAGATAGAATTGGTGGTAAATGTACTAGGCTTTTACGCGATGGCCATGCGATACGGATAGCCGCCCCAAGGCATGAAGCCACGGTGTAGCCGAATGGATTAAAACGCTAAGTCAATTGGATATACCCGGGAATATATTCTAGCAATTTTTCCTTTCTCACTCCTGTATCTTTCCGCATTTTTATGCTCTTGAAGCGTTGTGGATCACCTTCACCGTCTTGTACCCGCGCAGCCCAGTCCTCCTCAAGACCTCACAGCCCTGCTCTGCCGAAGAACTGCACGCACCTGTCAAATGCGTACCTCTCGTCCTCGCATAAAATGCAGACTCTGAGAGGTTCAATTATGAGGTCATCGTGACGAGAAATGGACCCTTGTAGAAAGGACCTCCTTCCTCGTCTATTTTATGGAGCTGTGACGATGCCCTTCAAGTTATGATATCATCTCAAGAATCAATCTTCTTCTTAAACCAAACCTCACAATTTCAAACTCCCATTCTCATCTCCATCAACAAACCCCGCAAACCAACAGCTCTCATCACAAACCGTCAAATCCATCCTCACAAGCCATCAGTCCTCACCAAACTCTCAAACCCCAACACAATCATCTCCAAAATGGCAGACCTTCCCACCAAAGACGATATCAAGTCCCAGGCCATCGACGGCCGCCCCATCACTCAAGCCGAAGCATCAGCCATCGCCTCCGAAGAATCAGGCCTCACCGGCAGCGGTCCCATCAAAGGCGGCGCAGCAGCCACCGCTCAGAGTCTACATGACAAACAGATGAACTTCCTCGAGAAGGCGGGTGAAGTCGTACGAAAGCCGCCTACCGAGGTGACCAAGGAGGATGCTGCTGAGGTGCAGCGCGCAGAGGTAAGATATCGTGATAATTTGGGTGGTGATGGTGAACTGACAGATGTAGGCTCGCGCCAAGGGCGGTCCTCCTGGAAAGGGATCAACTGCTGCTGATGTGCAGTCCGTGGCGGATACGAATACCCGAGCTTAGAACTAGGCTGTGCTCTTAGAGGAGGATACTAGGATGAAGGAACCATATAAGTGCTACAGAAAGACCTCGGAAAGAAGTTCGAATAGGAACTTGAGAACAAAGACATGATTAAGCATGGCGAGCCGCAAGGAGAGGTTTCAGCTGAAGGCAGCGCCGAAGTAAACTTATTCTAGTCAACAGTCAAGTCATCTTAGCTCAGAGCCACTTGGTTCGTTTTGCAAGCTTCAGTTCTTCAGTTACTCGCGATGGACCATGTCACAGAAATTAACATTCTTCTACCAATAATCAAATACCAATCATTCATCGTGCACAAACTATCATTCTACTTGAGATCCTTATCCGTGACCTCAGAAATATTCCAGTCAATCAAAGCATCACTACCCAACATTCCTTCGATAAGAGTTGTGCTCAAATCCCACAAGTTGGACGCCAACTCGGGGTTTGAAGCCTGACTCGTTTCCTTGCCCTCTTAATCAGGGTCATAGAAGTAGTACCCATTCAGATCCTCTTCTTCAATCTTGGGTGAAGTCAATGCCCATAGTGCACTGTAAGATCCCTGCTCGACATCTCTTCCGATGGCCACAGTGACTACAAATACGGCTTCAACAGCCAAGTCTCCAAATGGACCATCACTGACAATGGCGTTGACCGCTGCGTCGTGTTCGATCAGGAGCTTGGTATTGATAATTACGCTATTAAGTCCCTTAAGGTCAAGGAGATTAACAACCTGAACTGCGGCCGTGAGTTTCTTCCGTCTTTCCTTTGTGTTTTTTGAGTACTGACTCAGTTTGACAATAGTTTGGGTCTACAGTGACTATGGCTGCCATATGAATGCCCATAGAGTCGAGCCTGGCAAATGCACTGCCAATACTAGTAATAACTTCGGCTGGCGATCGTATGCTTTCTTCTGTCTTGATCATTAAGGATTTAAGGCTGATGGGTAATTTGAGTTTGTTGGCAAATGCAATGGATATTCTAGGTGTCATTCTTTTCTCTTTTTTTGTCTTTTGTCTTTTCCCTTTTCTATCCACTGTCCTTAGATCACAGTCTTATCAACCTTCTTTTATTAATGCACCTTGTGCAAAACTATCTATGTATCTATAATTCTTCACACGGCATCGGTATTTTACCACGGAGAGAGTGAATTACCGTACAAGCAGTCAAGTGGCTCCTGTGGTGGCGCAACAAAACCCATACTACATGCTCTCCTGTCGTAGTTCCCTCCCCCATATCACGATGGCCGATCCTGATCCAGTAGTCTTTACTCTGAATCTCGGGAACTTCCCGCCAGAATGTTTCTCCCATGCCGTGACGCGACTCAAAGACCTCTATCCCAGCATTCATTGCATGTTGCTTTCTGGGACCATAACAAGAAGATGGAAGGCCAATGACACCAACTTTGAGCCGATCGAATCTTTTCACCATATATTCCATTGACTTCATAACCACCTCTTCTACCTTGTTATATGCCTCGTCAGAGGAAATGGATTCTTTCTCGACTCGTATTTCGGGATCTGGGTACATATCCCCTTGCAGCGAGACGAATAGATGCTGTAACAATGGGAACGTCTCGGGAGTAGCCTGTATTAGACTCACGAAAGTATCATGGTCGGTCAAAACTGAATCATCATCCTCCTGCTCCCAGAAAGGGTGGACTTTCCAAGTCATCTCCAAGCTCCTAATCCATACCAAGTGATCTGGTACAAGGAGGCTCCTAATCCATACCAAGTAATCTGGTACAAGGAGCCTCGGCAGGTTCAATATGAGTTCGGGGTTCGACATGATGAATCTGGTAGTAGAAAATAAGACGCGCATACCCTTAGTGTACCTATCGGGCATGTCAGCTTGGAAATCCGCAGCATGCAATGGACTTACGCTTGTCGACAGGACAATAACCAACCCATCACACCAATACTAGCCATCGACTCGCTCTCGAATATGTCCTTCCACCATTCATAGCCGCGAGTCTTGCAAGTGTCTATACTATCAATCATATGCCTGGGTTATAGTTGAGGGTTTTCGAACACAGAACATTGGAGGGAACAAATTCCACTCCACCACTGCCATTGTTTAGGCTCCCGTTTGTTCACTCGTGAAAGGTTTCTCACCCAGCAATAACCACTATCCTGAGGGTCCGGGCAACTTCTAAATACCACTAGAAAGAAAAATAGCACTTTCATATACTACCAGCACTTTTTTATGATGACCGTAGTTAGACCTTGGCGTCGTGTGTGATGGCTGGGGTAATTCAAGGGCTCGTCATAGCGTAGTAGCAAGAGGCAATGGAGGAAATTGGTACGACAAGGTGGATAAGTAATTCGGCCCGAGTGCCCCGCGCCAAACCCAAGAGCTATTTCAGTCTCACAAGCAGTAATTTATAGAGATTGTGTCTGGTTTGACAGTAAAGCGGTCTGTGATTTCTCGGAATAGGATGGGAGTCTCTGGCTTTGTAAAGGCTGTCAGGCGATTCCTTTTTAAGGCAGGAAATCAGGCTTTGAGTTTCACAGCCTGCCCTGCTTGGTAAGACAGCCTTATGCAATGCACCAACCACAGATTTCAATGAGGGATTACCACCCAAAATGATCAGCCCCGCCACTTTTCTATTTCCTTTCAGCTGCATCATCATCAATCTTATTTATCGTCATATCTCTGAACCGACCGTCACGGGCTTCTTATCCTGCATCTACGAGAGAGGAGGTCTCTAAATCACACCTTTTACGATTCTAGCCCTGCAGACAAGTCAACGGGCTTGCATCTGCATCTATGCTTGTCGCTAATCCTTCCGGGCGCGACCGGTTCGCCCCGGATTTCGAGACGATTTACGAGTACTTCAAACACTCTCATAGTTCCCAAGACGGCGTCTCCCAGATGAAGAAGACGTGCAAACTGTCTACCAAAGATGCTTGTAGCACTTACATGATCGGAACAGCTCATGCAACTTTCACGGCGAACGGTCACGCGTGCTGCGCACCAGAACCGCCAGCCACGGGCTCAAGCTTCGAAACGCTCTGTGTCCACGTCATTGCTCTCGATGTCCTCCTACAAACTGCGTACGCGTTATTGAACGATCAACGTGCGTATTCTTTTACGCCAGCTAGCTTTCCTTCTCAATTTCCTGTCTGGTTAGACGGGTACCTAAAGACGCATTATGTTCATGGCCTGAATTATCTCAATCTCAACAAAGTCAAGACTGTCGCTAGACAAGACCATACCAGCCCCTCGTACTTGACTAGTTCAAGTCAGTTGGGACACGCAAATGCGCAGGACAACCCTCCGCTCGGGATCCGAATTACGAATACCGAGCTGGCATGCAAGCTCCATGTTAGATCGGACACAGGTAATCCATGCGTAGTTCTGAATATGCTTGGCATCTCGCCATTACAAAAATTGTTGTTTCGTTACTGCAGAACTACCTTGATTCTGTCATGGAGGAAGAGGCACCAGACATATAGTCGATGGAATGAATGTCCTGAGGGCCTCTACTACTCCAACCATGGTTCGAACAACTTGAACAAAGATCGAAAGAGCAAAAATGGAGACAAATCTATCTCAAATGAAAGTCATGACTTCAAACGTGTGCCGTCGGCATGGAGTGAAGGGCTTATATCGAAGGAAAAGAACACCATCTGGAAACAACAAGGAAGTGAAGGGGTTCTTCATTTGGAAGACGAACAAGACTTGATCCAGGTTTTTAACTTGGATACAGCTGGGCTTCAAGAATATAAGACTTCCGGCTTAGTGAAGGATATCTGGATGGACAGAAATTACTCAATCCAGCTTGTAATGCTCAAAGAGTCTAATGGGGACGATGTCGACTTCATGTCGATCCAGCAGGCCAATGGCTCGGAAAGAAACGAGTCAGAACAGAAAGGAGACACCCACCAACAGCAAGGGCACTTGGATGGATATTCTGTGTCCCAGGGAAAGAGATCCATAAGCTCGACAGAATTTCAGGACAATGATGATGTGAACGATTCAGAGAGGGATGGTGGTGGGTCTAAGGCTCCCGGTAAGAAGCGCGTTAAATACAACGCGTCAATGAGGTTTGCTTGTCCGTTTTATAAGCACGATCCCGATAGATACAAGGCCGCAAGATCATGTTGTGGGCCGGGATGGGAAAGCGTTCACAGAGTCAAGTAATTAATCCCTCGATTGGCCAACCTCGGTTCCTCAAATACTAACCTACAACGCGTTCTAGGGAGCATATATTTAGAAGTCATAGCGCGCCAGACTTTGTATGTCAGCGATGCTTTGATGGTTTCAAGAGCCCTTCTTCACTCACTGCTCATCTTCGCGACGAAGTACCATGCAAAATTCGACAGAGACCAAAACTGGCCTCAGCTAGTCAAGAGGCACTGCGTCTTCTTAGATCAAGGTCAAAGAGGACGACAAAGTCTTTGACTGAGGAGGAAAAGTGGTGCAACATGTACAAGATCATTTTCCCCAATGACACACCAATTCCGAGTCCTTGTGAGTTGTATGCCAAATATCTCGTGGAATGAAGGCTAACTCTGGACTGTTATAGACTACGGTCATAGGGTGTCTGAAAGCACTGACCTTCTGGATAGAAATGCGATCACTACTTTTAAAATTGAGTTTCACGGACGGCTCCTGGAGGAGCTTTCATCATCAAAGCTTGTAGAGCTTTCATCACCGAATATGATAGAAAGAATGACTCGACTGGCTGTAGATGCTTTTATAAGTACCCTTTCAACAAGCGAACGGAGTGATAGATCACCAAACGATGCACGGCAAACAATAATTAACAATCTGAGTGATACCGATAGACATCAGTCAGAGGCCAAGTCGCTATGTTCGCCGGCAGAGAACGGACAAACGGCGCTTCCTGATGGTACGGCAAACTTAGGCAAGCGGCAGGATGCTGGAGCGGAAAACATATCTTCACCGACCGATTTGACGGCTTGCGGAACCTGGAGTCATAACAGAACAGAGAAAGTTGAGCAAGTCCAGCCCTCTGCACATACAGACTCATGGCAATCGAATTCCTCGGGGTACCCCTCATCTACACTTTTCGACTTTCGGGTTCCTGTATTGCCCAGGAACGACTGGACTGAGCCAAACAACCTTGAGCCTGGCGTTGTGTACTCCGCAGATTCGACGTATGGGTCTGTTCCATCAGAGTCTCTTGATAGACATAGTCTCGATTATCTCAAGGAATGGACAATGGAGGGGCCAATATCGTTCTTTCATAACTGAAGCCGGCAGTGATGGATTGACTTGGAATGCGTGGAACTATTGTTTAGATTATTCAGAAGCATGTGTGTTTGGTCTGAGAAATGTACTCAAGCAAACAGATGACGTCAGATATTGGCGTGATTGAGAGATGATTTGATATTCAGAGTGTTTGTGGAAAACTACGTAGGAAAATGTAACGCCGGGCTACAGCAGATAATGATGAATACAGTTTTGTTTTGTATAGGAAGCTTACACCGACAGCCTGTATAGTAACTGATTAAACTTCAATAAGCTATGGGCAAGAGACCAAAAATAATAGGATATTAGCAGATGCATTGCCGAGCAACGCAGCTTGCTATATAGTTGACAGTGATCTGAATTTGCGGTCTCAATACTTTTACAAAAATCCATTTTCCAAAAATAAAAGTAAGGCAGGGTATTTATATCCAAACGCTAAGTTATAGTTTTTAAAAAGATCTCTTCAATAGTTAAACAATTACTGTAAATACTATATAGTTAAGCGTTACTACTATAATGATAGGATATATTTAAAGATACTCTTAAGAGCTTTTACATATAGATACTTTAAAGATATCAGATAAAATAAGGGTTAAGAGTCTAAACCTCTCAGTATACAAATTTCAATCAAGTCTGCCATAGCACAGAAATGTTATAAAGACTATAAGATGACAGCTAATGTAATCAACGTGTTATCGGTAATGACAGGACGAGCCCTGTGGCTCGGGAACATATATGTGGCAAACTATTCTACACAGCTCACAGAATTATATTGCCACCCTGTTCCCTTCACACCCTAACCGTCGGCTTGGTAGCCGAAGTGGCCAGCCCATGCCTTCTCGAAGAAGTCGTGATGTTCCTGCCAAGCAGTCACCTTCTCATCACCCCCCACATATATACAGTCATTTGGTGGTGACGCAAGAGCCGCGTTCCCATCGCTTGCAGGTGTTGGAACCTGTAGTGGCTGCAGCGCCTCTTGATCATCTAGTGATCTGGAAGAGCTTGGCTCGCCGGGAACTCGGGACATTGCCTGGCTGTACGGCAGCGGGCCAGTTCTGCTGACGACGTCATGGAAGACTGGCAAGAGTCGAAGAAAATAGTCAACAGTCTCAGCTGCATCCTCTGCATTCAGGGTATTCTTGTTGGCGAAAGCAACTGCGAGATCATCTAGGAACTGCGCCGAGGGGCGCTGGGCGAGTGCGAGGAGCTGGGCGACGCTCGGGATGTATGGTGCCGGAGCATTAAGGATACCTGGATTGGCACGCTGGAACATCTTGGTGCAAACCTCGCCAATTGTCTCTCTTCTTCCCTTGCGAATGCTGAGGATGTCGTTGATCATCTTGCTCGAACGATGCAAGGGGTTTTGACATATTCCGAGGCATTTGCACTCATGCTTGTCCCTTAAATGCTTCCTATCGTACAGTTAGCTCTCGATGTGTTCTAAGAGACAGTCTCGCAATACCGAAAATGGTTCAAGCCCACCTCCCCGGTGCGACACGACTTAGGGCTGTCGGGGGAAATTGACTGGGGATGGGGAATGATACAGGCGAGGCGATTGAAGTCACTGGTTTCGGGATTTTCAGTCATTGCGGCAGGTTGGCGGGGTGGTTACGAGAAATTCAGTGTTCAATTGGGAATTTTATTGAGACTGTTCGTAGTGTAGAGAAATTGGCGTGCATTGGTAGAGGAAACAAGGCGAGCAGACAATGGCGCATGCTGTAAGCAACAGCAACAATGCCTTCTCCCTGAGCCTCCATATGCAAGCTGAACCAGTAGGAATCAGCAGGGTTGGTGTAGTGCATTGGGCTCGAACACGTTCGATGGCAGATCATCGTTTCGGACAATCGTTGGGGATACGTAAATAGTTCTCGCAGTCGTCATTTACTCGTTCCCAGCGGCCCTTGGTCCAATAGATAAACATTTCTACCCATCCATTGTTGGATTTCCTTGTCATGTATTCTCGGTCTGGGTTGAAAATGACGGTATCGTACCGCAAGGCCCCTCGTTGGGCGTTCTGACTACCCCTCACGGTCAGCGTGGTTCGCCATGGACGCCTGTCGGTCAGCCTATCATGTCCGGATTGCGGCTGAACAAAATGTCCAGATGGACATTTTTCGACTTCCCTGTCCAGATGGACAGTTTCGCTGGTTTCTGTCCATTTGGACATCGGAGGAGAGGAGGTATGGCAGCCCCGTGTGCTTTGTATCGTCAGCATGCTGCGATCGTTCTTAACTAGATCATCTTCTCGTGAAACCGGCAGAACCTGTCGAAACAGTCCATGAGAAGAATTCCGAGAAAGAGTATTCGAATAAAAGAGAAGCGATACATTGAAGTACCCACTCGCAATCGCGTACAAATTGCCTTTTGAAGAAGACACAACAAGACTTCGCTGCATTCACACGCAAGAACAAAGAGACGAGGTAAAACAAAGTAGGAGAGACAATGGCATTGTTTTCTTCCTTTTCCTATTGGTGGTGAGCAATGCGTTAACACCGAGGAACAATAGAAATGACGACCGGTACGCCGGAAGAGGTCGCCGACTTGACCATGCTGCAGCAATATCTGTTTCATGGCGGTCAATCCAGCGTCCAAGGCCGCTTGGCCTTGAACAAGAAAGCTCCGACGGTGAAAGAGAAGAGGAAAGAAATGGGCAAGCGCTTGAAGGCTCTGGCCCCAGATACAGTGGCCACTAAGCCAGAAATTGGAGAGGACAAGATGATGAAGGAGCTTGAAGATATGTAGCAGCGCGATGAGAGTGGCATCGGCATATTCATCGCATCATTGTCGAGATCCAAATGTGAAGACTAGTATATAGATTCGGTGGGGATCGTGGAAGGCATTCGGCGCTTAAAAAGGGCATTTCGTGGAATAGAGGAGTCAGAGCAAAAGAAGAGCAAAACAGAACGTCAATTGAAGCAGAATAAGCCAGGCGCTGGTTTATGTTTAAAGCAGATAACCATTTCTCCTCAAGCCCCCATATCCCACAAGACCACTGGCGAAAGCTAACCTCATCGCATTCGCGTTCATCGCATTTGCGTTCAAACGCAAATGCGTCGAGCCCTGTCAAGCTGCCAGCCCACTCTGGTCCCAGTGGATTTTGTTGAACCGGAGATATACCGAAATACCTAGAAGGTCACTAAGTGGCGCGCCTAGTTTTTGGCCCTGTGGTCGGTTTAATAATTAAGAGTCTCAGAGCTATACTTTTAAAAAGATAGCTATAATTATAAGAAATAAATTACTAATTAATAAAACAAACTATTATCTAAATAAATAACCCTTAATTAGGATATTATTAATTATAAATATAAAGACCTATTTTCTTAATAGACTTAATAATTAAAAGATTTTTAAGTAATTTTATATTATAAAGATATTTATTAATAAGATTTATAAGTTTAAAAAAATTATAAATCTAAGGTATTTTATAGATTAATAAGTTTAAAAGCTAAAAAGGCTTAAATTTAATAATTACTTTATAAAAAAAATAAGCTTTAATTATACTTTTTAAATATTACTTTTATAATAACTTAATTAAAATACTTAATAATTTTATATATTAAATTAATATTAAAAGATTATAAGGCCTATAAGGTATTAATTATAATTTATAAAAATAATTTTAATTAATATAATAAATAAATCCC